TTCCTCTGTGCTCTAGGCTTCTATTCTGCCTGTTTCGTTTCTGTTCTTCCTTCCTTCATCCCGGATGGTCGGCCGGCGCAGTCGCGGACAGACTCCGCATATACGCATCGGCCTCGGCTGAATAATGGCATTTCTTTCGGATCTCCGCTCCGTACTTGTAGAACACAAAAGGCAAAGGGGCGCACCCCAAGGACAGAAAAGCCGGGACGCACGACGCCCAATGGATGCCGAGACCGCGGTACATGTACGGCGTGAACAGCGGGAAAACACACGCGAACGACGACCGTAACAGACACTGTCCCGCGATCACGGAGGCAGCATATATCGTATACGAATCGACGAGATAGTTCGTCACCGGCATGAACACCGCGACCAGGCCGAAGCCGAACGGCACCCCGGCGGCGATCGGTGCCATCCAATGGATCGAGGGGGAGTTCGTCCACGCAAACCAGAAGAGGCCGACGGGCATGCAGATGCTGCCGATAAAACTCGGAGGGAGCCGTTCCTCTGGGGGCAATCGGGTAGGAGACGCCAGGGCTTTCGCTCTATATCGTCGGTGCGCTGGGATCAGATGCGCGATGGATAGGACTGTACCAATGAACACGCCCACAAAAGACAGGCCGCCCAGGCCGGGACTCCAGCCCCGGACGTCCTGAAAGACGTAAGGGAAGGCATCGAAAAAGAGGTAGAGGATGCCGTAGACGATGGAAATGTAGGTGCTCAGCAGGAGGACGATGGGCTCACGGAAGAGCATCACAAAGGGTCGCTGCAGCGTGGTCTGCATTTTCCTGATGGCGGGTACATGATGGTGCTGGATATCATGCTTGGTGCGGTACACTTGTCCGGTGATTCTGCTCAGCGTCTTCCCTCGTGCACGTAACAAGACGGGGGGCATATGTCTCCGGCAGAAATAAGATCATGAGAATACTCAAGGCTCCACTCAGGATTGCTTGAATCCCCTGACACCATCGCCAGCCGCCTCCCTCCGCCAGAAAGCTTCCCACAATAGGCCCTAAGGCCGGTCCTGAAAGCGCGGTCGCGGAAAACAGGCTGCTATAAAGTCCACGATCATGCGCAGGAAACATGTCGGACATCATGCCGCTGGTGACAGCCCACGGTGCAGATCCAAGGCTGCTGGCAAAAAAGCGGAGGACCACCAGCGCCTGGATCGTCTGCGCTCCAGCTGCCGCCGCCGAAAACACCGCGAACAAGCATAGACTGAGGGTCAATGTCAAACGACGCCCATATATCTCACTGAGAGGACCCCACATAATAGGGCCTACGCCAAATCCGAGCACGAAGAGCGAGATTCCGAGAATCGCAACCTCCCGACTACAGTGGAGATCGGCCATGATATCCGTCATGCCGCCTGCATATGTCGATGACCCAAAGGCGACAACCACTGACCCCGTGATGGCGAGGAATGCGATACTCTGTTTGTACCGGTGGTTGAAGTTCAACGGATTGTGCGGATCATTGGGAATCCAAGAGACCACGTAAGGGTCTTCCTCGGTGCTGTTGCCTTCATATGTTGCTTCAATGATTGCCTGCGTGACAGCTCCGTGATCGCAAAGCAGGCGGCGGAACAGGTGTCGGAGTCCCATTGTGTGGTAGTAGTTGGTGACCTTCTGGATGTCGTTTCTAATAATCCATGATCTAAATTCGATGCTCCTATGTCGTGGACCTGAACACTTATGCTGTGGTCGTAGAGGCAGGCGGCATAGATGAACAACAGCTGGACGAAAATTGATGTCGAAGGAGATATTTCACGAGCACACCAAATTCGAGACTGTGGAGGTAGCAACGGCATGATATTTGTATGACTGTGGATGTCCCTTGCAGGAGCGCAGTATAATCAGACCTGTATTTCTCGGGCCACCACTGACGATCATGAATCGACCCGAGATGACGCGATATCATCTTTCCCTGCAATTTGAACCGATAAGAGCGAATATTGGCAAATTGTGGGTGCAACTATTGAGCCAATCTGCCCTGGGCCAAGGAATGGGTTCGATCCAGCCGGTCCACCTGCAGTGTGGGTATCTCGTCGGAATGCTGATCTGCGCAATGCGGCAATGTGTATGGAGTCGATCAAGGGTTCGGTCAGAGTAGGGTCCACACAAACGAAGCCACCATTTTAACATTCACGGCATGTGTCCATCGTCACGAAGTTGATGGAGCCTGGACGAGAGCAAAACCGTTCATCCGATGGGACAAGCCTTCAACTAGAACATCTCATGTTCAATGAACTCCCTCCGAATATAGGAAGTCGAGAGATAGGTTGAGCGATCTGCGCTAGTTGTTTTCGCTTCTTAGCATCGATGAGATCGACTAGTGATGGACGTCGATCGGCATTGTACATACTTATACGTGTTCGGCCCTCCTCCGTGTATTAGGGCTAGCCGCACTTCTCGAGAACATGCGGATCTAAACCTTCCACCTCCAAGTCTGTCCAAGAGTAGCCTCAATGCGAACCCAGAAACACGCCACGGTCGCAGCAAAAAGCAACACTCCCACGGTGATGACGGCCCGTTCGTACACCCAAGGCGCTGTCAATGCCGTCGTCTGGGGGATCAACAGGCCAGTCAAGGGGGTGCCGAACGCCCCAATACCCCGGATGAGATACAGCGCGCCATTGACGCTCGTGAAGTGCTGTACCCCGAACAGCTCAATCAGCGATGCCGGGAAGAGAGATATGTACGCGCTCGCGAATGCGCCATACAGCACTGTAAACACGATGAACAGTCCGTCAGCACTCGAAGTCGACAGTTCTCGCGGGTAAAACGTGGACGGCAACCAGAATGCAAACACAATGATCGCACTGAGAAATGTGGTCACGGCGAGGGCATTGATACGACCCCATCTATCCGCCGCATAGCCGATGATAATTCGCGAGATGAAGTTGGCGGCGTTGTTGACGGTCAGAAAGTTCGCCGCCGTCGTATTGCTGTAGCCAAGTGCTCGCGCATAGGCGACATAGAAGAACAGTGGTGTGGAGTAGCCCGCAGACTGCAGGAAACACCCAAGGGCATGGGCGACGAAGCGTTTACTCCGTGCCACCCGCCAGTTCACCAACGGTACCTTCATCCATCCCCATTTCTGGGAGAGACCCTGCGTCTGGACTGGAATCTGCTGTGCTTTGAATTTCGGCTCCCAGCCGAGCGTATATCCGGCTGCGGAGACGAGAGCGAGTGCGATACAGCCCGAGATGCGAAGGGCGTCGCGGAATCCCAAATGCGTGATCATCGCACGCAGCGCTGGCGGCCAGATCATGCCTCCGACGCCAGTCCCAGAGATTATGACTCCCATGGCGAGGCCACGGCGTTTGTCAAACCATGTCGGTGCGACAGACATAGTCGGGACGTAGGAAAGACAGGTTCCGATGCCGAGAAGAACGCCTTGTGTGAGTGTAAAGTGCCATAGCTGCTTTCCAAAACTGGCCAGAATGAGCGCAATACCACAGATCCACCCACCCGCGATGATGACAACCTGCGGAGGGTATAGCTTTGCCCAAAGCATCGCGAAAGGCCCTCCCATGGACATCAGAGCGATGGCGAGTGTTCCGATCAGCCCAATTCGCGCGGTTGATGCCCCTGTAAACGGGGTGTTGTTTTCTTTGGCCATCTCTTCATAGAGCGACTGGTAGACACCAAAGGTGAATACAAAGGCGCAGGTCGTGAACATGACGAGCGCGCCAGCGGCGACGACCATGGTCTGACGGCTGGGACTGTTAGCTCGGTTGTTACTGACACTGTGGGCATATCAGCTGCTGTACCCTGTTGAGGCCTTCTGCATAGTCTCCGCATTCGGCTGCGGTTGTTCCTTCCTGTCCTGCAGCTCCATTCCTGGGGCTGAATTGTCTGTGTTTGCGATCAGGCATGTGTAAGGAGTTGGAGAGTTGGAGACAAAGGATCAAGCGGGGAACCGTGTTGAGAAGGGCTAAAGGCTCATCCGGTGGGGAACCCCATAATGCTTAGCACGTCTTTCATATATCACCTTCTATACATATAGGGATCCATTGGGTGTGAAAGCAAGAGGAGGTGCTCTCATCAGACATTACTCTGTGCCTTTTGTTACCCCCGCGATAATCCATTAGCAACCTGCATCCTCAACCCGCAGCTCGACTTACGCCGCGATATCAGGATGAAAGCAATCATCGTCCATTACATTCTAGGCAGAAACAAAAGGCACCATCCATGTTATCCCGACTTTGTTCCGACTCTTACGAAACCCAGGGGATTATCCGTTCTGTCCGCGCCAGAGTATAGAGTATTGGACACGAGATTGTGTATGTCCATCATGTCCGACCGAAATTTACCCACGGTGACGATGTACCCTCGTATGATGGCATGTCCCCTATAGAGGGGGAAGTATTATATCCCAAGAGAGTCAGATCTTCTGGGAGGTGATTTTGGACTCCGAAACACTCTCACTGTAGGATACAGGCATTCCATTCGGTATATGCTGGGAGTGTGGTTTTTCCAAAGAAACGAGGTACGTATTTTTACTTTGATGGACCCACGTGAAGATCCTGCTTATAAGGATACTACATAGGCGTCTACTGTCCAAGAGAGCCCTGCTTTCGTTACAGCATATAGATCCCTGACAGACATAACCCCTCTTTCATAAGGGTTGGACAAGCACCGAATTGGACCTGGCGAGAAACAAACTGTCGATTGGATTTGGTTTCGATATTTAATTGGTGCTTCTAGATCTCTTTGACTTGGCGGTTTGCAATATCCAAGCACTAAAAGGAACAATATTAGGCAGTCTTATGTCAGGGTAAGCTTCTCGATGATCTGCAGGGAAAATTAAGCCATGACTAAGGAGCTTAACAATCAGGTTATGCATCAATGGGTGTTATTTTTAGCAAATCAGGGACCATCCACACCCTCATTTTGGCCCTTCCTACAACGTACTCCATACTATACTCCGTATTGTACTGCGCTGAAGCAACATCACCCACAAGAGAAGACAGACATTGGCATGCCATTACGCCATCTACAGCCGCAGACAGATTCTTGAGTTGATAAGACACACGAGCACTGATATGACAATCGCCCTGATTGCATGACCTACTGCATGCAGCCCCCCTGGTTTCCTCTTTAGGCCATGATCGGAGCATTCCTCATGACGCCATCTCACACTGTGTCACCAACTCCTCGATGCCCTTGACGCCCGACCACCGATCTTCCTATCGTCCTACATCATCCTGTCCGACTAAGACCCAATCTTCCATCCTGTGCGACTCGTCTCGGGCAAATAACCCATCAATTGGACGATCAAGCTCGCAAGCACTATCCCTGCGATATCTCCGACCATGAGCGCCAGACCATTCTACCCTCCAACCGACGACTTCAGTCGCTACGGAGGCGCAACCTCGCATCTTCCCAAGTTGGAAGTCGACGACTTCCAGCATGCAGGGCCTCCGCCGCCGCCAGGCGCTGGGTCCGGGCCGCCGCGCGACCCAGAGCCCGGCGCAGGCTATCCGTGGTACAACCCGCGCGGCTGGTCGCTGCGCACGAAGCTGATCGCCGGGGTCGCGGTGGTGGTGGTCATCGTTGCGGTGATTGTGGGCGCGGTCGAGGGCACCAAGGCGAATCGGTATCCTGACTATTCGCGATTGGATTATCAATTGGTTGATACCTATGACCCGGCAAAGTTTCTCGATCGTTTCAATTACTACTCGGGGGAGGACCCGACTGATGGCTTTGTGCAGTATGTATATTCCTTGCACTGGGGGAGGATGGTACTGACGAGTTTGTAGATATGTTGATAGAGCGGGCGCCCAATGGCTGAATCTCACGCATGCTACTGAGAATTCCGTCGTGCTCAAGGTGGACACGACAAATACGAATGCCGTCAACGGTCGCCAGTCCGTCCGGCTGGAGTCCAAGACCGCGTACGACGATGGACTGTTCATTTTCGATATCCTCCACACGCCGTATGGCTGCGGGACGTGGCCTGCGCTCTGGCTGACCGATCCCAGCAACTGGCCTGAAAACGGAGAAATTGACGTGTTGGAGACTAACAACAAGGCCACCGATGGCAACGCCGTGACGCTGCACACGACGAGTGGCTGCAACATGAAAGTGAAGCGGAAACAGACCGGCACAACCAACTACAAGACCTGCCTCAACAGCACCAACGACAACTCGGGGTGTGGAGTCCAAGGCGAGCCGGACTCCTACGGCGAGGCCTTTAACAAAGGCGGCGGAGGGGTAAGTAATGTGCACTGCGTGTATGGCGTATGCTGATGACCGCAGGTGTATGCGTTGGAACTGCGTGACGCCGGCATCCGCGCCTGGTACTTCCATCGGGACTCCATCCCGGACGACATTACTTCTGGCCATCCTGACCCGTCGACATGGGGTACCGCGCTGGCGGACTTCCCGAACACGAACTGCGATATCCCGTCGCACTTCCGCAACCAGAGCATTATTGCGAATATCGATCTGTGCGGGCAGTACGGGGGCCAGCCGCAGTTCTACACTAAGCAGTACAACTGTCCTGGAAAGTGCAATGACTTTGTGCGGGACAATCCGTCTGCGTTTCAGGAGGCGTACTGGGAGTTTAAGAGCTTCAAGGTGTACAAGGGCAATTGATGGTTGATATAGGGTATTCCGCGTGTTTATGATGTTGCAATGTTTCCGTTCTGATGACCTACCATAATGCTATAGCTGAGTTCTATCGAACTAATGATCACTGATACTCCGGCTTTCCACTCGGTACTTGAACTCTCTCGTAGAACTCTACATCTTCACATCTACCGTAGCAGCCAGCCGAAGACCCCCATCTCGTCGATCCCCCAGGTGGAGGTAAACCAGCCACTTCATGGGGTATTTCAACTTCCCCACAGCCTCGATCCCCCGGGAAACCCCCCAACCTCTCCTACAAACCTCCAGCTGTATAACCCCCCTCCCTCGCATACACAGTAAACACCCAAAAATGCCCCCCACCATCGTCCTCGCCCCCGGCGCCTGGCACACCTCCACCTGCTACTCCCTCCTAGAGCCCGCCCTCCACGCCGCCGGCTACCCGACCGAGAGCGTCTCGCACCCGTCCATCGGCGCCGAGCCGCCGACTAAGACACTCTCCGACGACGTGACCAGCCTGCGACACACGCTGGCCCGCCTCATCGACGAGCAGGGCAAGACCGTCGTGCTGCTGGGCCACTCCTACGGCGGGGTGGTGGTCTCCAACGCCAGCGAGGGGTTCGCGACGGCGGACCGCGCGGCGCAGGGGAAGCCCGGCGGCATCGCGGGCGTGGTGTACCTCGCGGCGTTTGCGTTGCAGAGTGGGCGGTCGTTGTTTGATGCGCTGGGTGGGGTGTGGATGCCGTGGATGAAGTTTGATGTACACACCTACCCACCCATCCCCCTTTCGTTTCCTTTTCATGCGATGTTTTTGTTTGGTTTGTGGTGGAGGCCCCAGGCTGATTGTGCTTACAGAATGACTACTCGTACCCCTCCGACGAGCGCAGGGTGTTCTACCACGATGTCGCGCCGGACCTGCAGGAGGCGGCGATTGCGTGGCTGCGTCACTCGTGCAGGGCGCCGTTCTATGGCGCCGTCGTCCATGAGCCGTGGCGGGCCATGCCCTGTGCGTATATCTTCTGCGACGAGGATCAAGCGATTCCGCTGTTCGTGCAGGAGAAGATGGTCAAGATGATGGCGCAGACTGCGCCGGGGAATGTGCTCACGGCGCATTTGCCCGCGTCGCATTCGCCGTTTTTCAGCATGCCCGAGCGGACGGCCGAGGCGATTGTGCAGGCTGTGGAGGGGGTGCTGGGGAGGGCGGATAATTAACTATTCGCTGGAGGGCATACGTATTCATAACAGCATTGTAGAGTCAAGACTCAATTGAATATGGACATGTCAAATCACTTATGTAACATCTGGATATCTAACCTCAACAACGACCTAACCAACGCCATGCATCATCATCGTAAATGACTCATAACTTGCGGAGTAAGCTGCCCTCGGCAAACGGATTCTCTGGCGACATGTCCAGCATCGGTTTCGACGCGTTGCGGTCTCCCGTCGCCACGCCGTGGCCTTTTGGTACGCCTCCTACCGGAACGTGCGAACGCGCGAGGAGACTATTCGGGAGGAACGGGTCTCCGCGCGGTTGAGAGGCGTCAGGGGAGATGGGCGATGTGGGCGCGGTAGCGGACTGAAGGTTGTATGGTCGCTGATGGTTGCTGGTGCTGCGGGCTGTGTTCGAGCGCTGTCGAGTCCGCGTATCGGACGGTATCTCCGGCGGCGGGGGTCGTCTCCATGTCGTCGACGGAGGGATGGCGATTCCGCCTGGCGCCTCGGGCCCGGTGGCTGCATCGATCAGGAGCTGGCCTGGTTCGACGGCAACGCCTCTGCCTTTGCGGATATGCTGTGGCGGTTCCTGGTAGACGGGCGTCAAATCGACGAGCGGTTTGATCTTCTCCGACTGCGAGCGTTTCATAACGCCGTGCAAATCTGGGGCGTGAGCCGAAGTCATCGTGTTGGAGCGACTGTTGGAGCGGCTGTTGGGTCGGCTGCGGCGCGAGCTCAAATTGCCCACGAGACCCTGTGCCGAGAAAGGCTCTTCATTCGCGCGCTTCTCGCGTTCTTCGCGCTCTTTCATCGCACGTTGGCGCATAGAGTAGGTACGGCCGAGAAGACCCGACGAGGCAAACGGCGAGTCACCCACTGGCGCATCCGCCCTGTCAGACCCGTCGACAAGAGTTTTCGGAAAGGATGGCGGCGGCGGTGCATGTTCCCGCGTGGTCTTTTTGCGTGCAAACAGGTCTTTGGATCGATACGACTTGGAGCGATTTAAAGCTTGAGCGCCCTCATCACTGTGGCAGCTCTCAGACGCACTCATATTCAACAACGGCCGCAACGGCTGTCCTTGGACATCCGCCTTTTCCTCCAGGTAGCCAGCGCCCAGCATGTTGACGAGATACCAACTCCGCCACGTCTGGACAGCGCGGTAGAATTGGTCGGCGATGGTGCGATCGTTCGTCGCAAAGAAGTGCACAAAGTTCTCAGTGGATAAGAACATGCTGGATTTCTGCTGGCTTTTGACGGCATGGCAGAGCTTCTTGGGCGGTTTGACATTGTGCGAGAGGAAGCTCGCCGTCGGCGAATAGATGTCGAAATCCGACAAGTGACACACATTGGCCTGCTCCTGCCCTTCTTCCCGCTTCGACACGGTGATTTGGCCGTCCGATCGCAGGGTGATGTACCGCTTATCCCACTTGCGCGGCCGTTGCGAGTAATACAGGTGTAACGTCACGTCCGCCGGCTGCTGCGCGGGCACCCGCTGGGCGTCCAGCAGTCCCAATGCGTCTAGGCTGGCGGACGGAATGACAATCAGCGTGTTCTCCCTGTCATGCGCCCACGAGTTCATGATGTCTCGGATCGACTCGTACCGACGCAACGGACGCTCGAGTCCGAGTTCGAGAAACGACTCCATCAGGATAAACTTGGTGGGGTCGATCTCACCATCAAGCGATTCCGCTGCCAGGAACAAAAGATCTTCCACGGAGGTCGATGGTGTGACAGGCAAATCCATGGACGTCTTTTTGTATTGCACGACAACCCTGCGCTCCCCGGCATTGACTGCGGAAACGGGGGCGTCGAGGCCTGGAAATTGGGCACCCATACTCTGATCAGCGCCCCTGTCTGCCGTCTCTCCTGACACCTTATCCTTGATCATTTCGGTTAGGGAGCGGCGCGGCCGATCGTGGCTGGTCCGTCGCGACCGGTCCTCGCGATGTTTCACGCTTCTTTCGCGCGTTGTCGGACGAGGCGAAGGCCGTGTCGTCGAGACGTCACCACCAGTCAACCTGTCCATCGCATTCTGCCGATGCCTTTCCCGTTCGCTATCGTCCTCGCTGTCCTCATCATCGCCCAGAAAGGGATTGACTACCGCAGCGGCTTCCCTCTTTCTCTCGAGGGATTCCGGCTCTCTGCGTAGTGGCTGGGGAACCGAATATCCATTTGCTGGATCATGCGCCTGGGACCTGTAGGCCAGGACTTGGTGCGACGGAGCGGGCACCGGGGGTTGTGACGGGACTTCGGTGGAGGAGCGCGACGACGGTGCCTTCTGGCGCCGGTATCGCGACATGCTCCGCTGGATGGTCGCATTTGTCGACGCGGCGGGCGGTGACACAATACCCGAGGCGGTCATGCTGAGAGGCTTTTCTAGCGGCAGCGGGGTGGACGGGGGCATCGCATCCGGGGTCTGTTTCTGAGAGGCGGCCTTGCGAACCGAGCGATAGCGGGAGAACTTCATGGGGGTTTGGCCGTGGGCGGCGGCGGCAGAGTCCTGTTTCTCCACGGCCATGATGCGAGGGAAAGGATTGCGACTGGATTCATTCACGCAGCGTTAGGATCGGGGGTGTCGCGTGGGCCTCCTGGGCATGATAAACGGCGGGATCTGGAGTCCAGAGGCGACTAAAACTAGTGCGATCTAGGACGATTAGTCTCCGGTTAGTTATATTAATCTCGCGAGACCCAACGGCTCCTTCGATCTATGCCTGTTTCGGACAGTCTGGACTCACTCGGGGTTCAAAGACTCATAAGAGACTTTCTCTAACGAGGTGTCGAGTATCGATCACTCTCTGGAGAACTAGGCGGCCCCTATTCCACGTCGCACAATCAGAGACACACACATGCGCCGAGCATGCACGAACATGGACCGGCCAAGTTCAAAGACGACCAAGTGGAGGGCCAAGTTCGCGGGATGACGGTGATGGAGGAAGAAAAAAAGAAAGAAAACCGGCTGAAGGAGAAGGGAAACCTGGACAGAGAAAGGGCTGAAGTGGGCACATGCAGGGGCAGCGGAGAAAAGCAGAATGCGACGGGAGGGAGTGATTTCCGGAGGTTTCCTCGCCCCATCCGAAATTAGCACATAGTTGGGTATTAGAAGGAAAGTAACGTCGCATCGATCACCGCTAATGAATGTTCATTCCTGTCACAGTGACTCTCCTGTCGCAATTTATCATTCTTATCAGGAGGAGGAAATTTCTACAGTACTGTAGATCGTATGGACCGCAAAGATCGACAGGTCCCCAGTACTATACTCGGAGTACTCCAGGGTAGATCCAAAGCCCTACTGCTGATGATTGACATCCATCCATTCATCTATCGGAGTATGGACCGCCCATGCTTTTCGTCGTAACTGAAATATAAATATACCTATATAGTCCACGGGAGCGCAGCTCGACAATTTGTCCCTCCGGACCAACCCTCCGGGCAACCTCTCTCGCTTATTTCTTGGATCCGCTCAAGTATCGGCGCCTGCATGCAGTCAGCTTGGCCCTTCTGCACCATAGTCGATCTCAATCAAATCAACTCCCCAAAAATAAGAATAAAATAAATAAAAATAAAATAAAACTCACCACCACGTCACGAAATCAACCGTGCGCACATCAATCCCCAACTCCTGCAGAGCCTTCGTCGACAGATGCGTGTCGTACGGCCGCTGCACAGATGCATTGGGGTCGTTGCCTTGTTGGTTGCGAATCATCCCTCCCAGCGACACCCCCATGATCTCCGCCAGCTTCTCGCAGATCTCGTACTTGGTCATGCGGTCCTCCGACGAAAACTGCAGAACCTTCGGCAGCTGCTTGATCCGCGACCGCTCCTTGATGTACTTGATGATGATGTCGCGACACACCCGTGCCACGTCCTCGGTGTTGGTGGGATACCGCTGCGCCCAGTCATCCATCGTCACCCGGGCATTCTCATCCTGGGACTTCTGCACCGCGTCGACCAGCGTGTTGACGGCACTCTCCGAGTTCGACTTGGCCGGCCCGTACAGCACCGGCACCCGCAGCACAATTCCCAGCCCGGTGTCCTTGGTTTCTTCCAACACGGCGATCTCACCGTCGCGCTTGAGCTGCCCGTACAAATTGGGCGGATTGGTCGGGCTGTCCACCTCGTACGGCGCTTCCCCTTCCTTTCCGGGGAAGACGTAGTCTGTAGAGATGTAGATCAGAAAGGCATTGCGGGCCACCGTTTCCTTGGCCAGTGCGCGCGTGGCGTCAACATTGAGGCGCCGGGCTTGGTCAGGGTCCTTGTCACAGAGATCGGGGGATCGATTGGCAGCACCTATCCATGGGTCAGAATAGGTTGGGGCTAGCTGTTGCGGCCATTCACCTACAGTGCACGACAATTTGAGGTCTATCGCGGTCAGCTCGTGCAATTGACTCACCACAGCTCAGATCAACTTACTTCACGTCATCCAACAGCGCGTGGATGTCATCCGGCTTCTCCAGGTCCGCCTTTAGGATGGTGGGGGGATTCGCCCGAGAGTACCCTTGGCCGACCACGAGACAGCCAGAGCTCTTGAAAGTGTTGAAGACCTGACGGCCGAGGAGGCCCGTAGCTCCGGTCACAAGGACGACAGTAGACATGTTTAGCGAGGTGGTCTCAGGAAATGACATGGTGGAAGAGATCGAGGAAGCAAAACCGTTCTTGAGAAAAGCTTCCGGCTGCGGGGCAGTGAAATGACGTAACCACTGGGGGTCCGGTTTGGGAGCGAGAGAATTGCTCGATATGGATGTGGTGGAAGTGGGAAGAAAGATATCGAGATCGAAGAATATGCAGGTAAGGAAAGGGATGATCGCAGACTTATCAAGGCACGCAGGAGGAATGGTGGTGCTCAACCGACCTTGTGCAGCTTGCAGCTGGTGTCATTCCCGATTGGGATAGCCTCCCATCACCACCAATCTCCGTTCAACACAACTCGTATACAACAAGGTACCTCATAAGGTAGCTAAGGTGGTACCTAACATACTAGCTACGTATTCGATCAGTACATGCTTCAATCTGCTATATCCATGCTCTCTGAAAGAATCACACCAACACGATATCCCTCCCCTGGTGCCCCCCACTCACAGCCTCCCCATACATAACTCCACCTACATACGCATCACCAAGTAAAACAAACCCTCCCTTAGCAGGTCTCACTAGATATGGCACCGTTGCCCCATAAAACAATGCAACAACATCACCAGCAGCCGCCATCCGCGGAACCAGGGCAATCCGTCCGTTCGTCGTGATCGCAAAGCTCCGTTCCAAGCACGTCGTTTTGGTTTGCATCTGAAACGTTTCGACCGCATCCATTTTCTGACCCTTCAGACCGCCATCGGAGCCTGCCTGCCACCTCTGGAGTGCTTCGCGATATGTCTGCGCGGGCGAGTGGATCGGACTGCTGTAGGCAATGGCGTTGGCCCCGATATAGGTGTCGTCCATCAGGAGAAGCCGGGCGAATGCATCCTCATTGTCCCGGTATGCGGAGCGTGAACGCCGGAGCCAAGAGTCAAAGTGAGCGCGGATGCGGTTGTGGTAGTCGAGGAAGCTTGGATCGGGACCGTCTGGGTTGGCGAAGGGCACGACCGATGTAAGACGGTCGATCAAGAGGCCTCGAAGTTGGAGGCCAGTTGAACCGGCGTCTCCGAGCAGTTCGATTCGTGGTGTCGATGATCCCGATGCCCGGTATGGCACAGGTCGGAGGGTCGAAATGTTCTTGACATTGCCTGACTGTGCGGTCCAATCAGGGACCCAGGATGCAAGTTGACCACTGTCAAGCCGGCGCTTCTGAAGCCCAGCGCTATCGAGCATCATGATGGCGTGGCCGAGACGGACTTGGAGCGCTGCAAAGCGTCTGTACACGCTATACACGTCCTGAGAATAGGGTCCAATGGCTCTCCGATCATTATCGTTGAACAGCGCTAACAGGCCGAAGATCTTGTCCTTGGGGTCGCTGGCCACAAAGTCGCTGGTCAGCTGAATGAACTGCAGGGAATCATTCCGACCACTAAGATAGGCGTGCTTGATGGTCTGCATTTTCTGATAATTAAGATATCCTCTCATAAGGACGGCGCCTCCGGTCATGAGCTCCCGAGCGCGTTCCGGATGCGATTGCAGTGCTTCTCTCGTCAAGATAGCGTCGAGTTCAGGCTGCGTGAAGATATTGCCATGGAAAATGTACTTGGCCTTCTTCGCAAGGGCCATTTCCTGGATAACCCATGTCCGAGTGAACCAAGGTTGCTTCAAAGCCAAGAACGCCGTTCTGAAATGGAATGGATGGGAAGGGTGATCAGATTCGGTGAGCAGGTCCTGGGAGCCCAATCCACCCACGGTGTCGCCGAAACGCAGCTCGAAGCCGCCGACTTGCATCGACAGCCCACCTAGGCCTGCAAGATCAATATACACCGTTTGCGCCGTGGAGTATATCTGTTCCATGAGCCGGATCTGCGCGTTCTTCTCTCCGATATCATGTTGATTGATGCAGATAGCATCCGCCCAAATCCACTCCTCCCTATCACCGGGGCGAAATCCGGCTCGGAGTTGCTTTAAAGAGCGCTCGAGACTCGAGGTGATGTGGAAGACCCACCCATTGCACAGTATCTTCTTATCCGCGAGATCTTTGCCCCAGCAGTAAGACAGCGCTCCATAAGCCGGGGCCTTGTCGAATTCGAATTCGGCCAGTTCGACGTCGACCGGATCCGCTCGAAAGATACCTGGCTTGACTTTCAACAGACGAATTCTCCTGTTCGACTCTTTCAGAGACGTATAAGTGAACATAGGAGTGTCTGCGCTAATCGTCAGAGGCTCCGTTCGAGTCGGCTTTGACGATGGAAGGTCAAGTCGAGCCAGGTCAGCTCTCAAATCCAGCTCGTTCGAACGGACACCGGACGGAGAGAGATGGTATCGGCTCACTCCCACTCGGCCGCTGCAGTGGCTGTCGCATTGCTCATGTAGCGTGCAAGAGTTTTGGGAGGTGATGATGGCGCTAAGCGCCTGTGCGAAAGCGTATCCTTCTACATCTTGCTGTTCCATGGCGATAGCTTCCCTCCAAGCCGGGAGTACAATCTCATGGAAAAGGTATTTCCTCCAAATCGGATATTAGGGTGTGTTTATATGTCTGCGTTCGAACTAGTCCGCCTTCCAGTCAGCCGGCGACGCCACCTCGTGTTTTGAACACGTGAAGTCGAAGCATACAGAGGCTGGATGTAACTACTAGGAACATGCTAGGTTTGGCGCATGTGAAGGTATATCAATGGTGTTTTGTCGAAAGAAATAGAATAATAAGTTATGCCTCTCTTTTAAGCTCATAAGTTGTCAGCTGTGGATGTTGACAATTTGAGATCTATATTTCCTTCAATATATATATCTTCCATCATTGACTAGAACCAAGACACGCAACACACATTCTATAGAACTCTCTGTCCATCTACAAGATTCAGAGGACATATCTAATTAATTCTATTGACTGATTGCACTTCAATAAGGAGAATTGAAACTCGCTAAGTATATCCATAGACACTACTACCTGGTGTCCGAGATCGCCCAGTCTACCTACACCCATCACGAACCAACTGCTGAGAATGCAGACAGCAGCCATCTGATACTACATCATTTACATTATTTTCAGAATAATCCATACCATTGAGAAATCGGTAATCTGGCGGCAGTGCGGATAACAATCGGGCCAAGGTCCAAGGATCCCATATGTACTTCCGTCGGGACGGAGGAGAGACTCCGGCGTCGGCGACCCGCCGAGCGAACCACCGTTCATTTTTTAGAGCACCTTGACAGACTCTCTTGCTCTCTCCTCCCCATCCACCACCACCATGTCGACCGCGAGGAATTTCTCAACCGCCCTTCGACGGGCTCGCATTCCCAAGCCCCGTAGCACGGGACGTCCTATTCTCACCGCCCGTGTCCCCTCGCTAGCGACAACGACGACTTCGACAACGCCGGCTCGGAGCTTCAGCATCACCACCCCCGTCAATGCGACCAAGGAGATCAAATACACCACCGATGCCTACCCAAATGTCAAGCGCAACCCGAACTTCGCCGAGATTACCGAGCAAGATGTGACTTTCTTCAAGGAGCTCCTGGGCGCACAGTCTGCCGTCGTTGACGGCGTCACTGCTGATGCCGCCGACGACATCGCGCCCTTCAACAGCGACTGGATGCGCAAGTACCGTGGCCACACGCGGCTGGTTCTCAAGCCCCAGTCAACCGAGGAGGTCAGCAAGGTGCTGAAATACTGCAATGAGCGGAAATTGGCCGTCGTCCCGCAGGGCGGCAACACGGGCCTGGTTGGTGGATCGGTGCCTGTCTTCGACGAGATTGTCATCAACACCGGCCGCATGAACACCATCCACTCCTTCGACGAGGCCTCGGGCGTACTGGTCGCCGACGCCGGTGTCATCCTTGAGGTGGCCGACCAGTATCTCGCCGAGCGCGGCTACCTCTTCCCGCTGGACCTGGGCGCCAAGGGCTCGTGCCATATCGGCGGCAACGTCGCTACCAACGCCGGTGGTCTGCGTCTGCTGCGCTACGGCAGTCTCCACGGCACTGTGCTGGGCGTGGAGGCTGTTCTGCCGGACGGCACGGTGGTGGATGCACTCTCGACCCTGCGCAAGAACAACACCGGCTACGACCTCAAGCAGCTGTTTATCGGTGCCGAGGGGACCATCGGCATCGTGACGAAGGTGTCGATCCTGTGTCCGCCGCGGCCGAAGGCCGTCAACGTTGCGTACTTTGGTCTGGAAAGCTACGAAAATGTGCGCCGCGCCTTCCAGGAGGCCAAGGGCCAGCTGTCGGAGATCCTGTCGGCGTTCGAGTTGATGGACGGCCGCTCCCAGAAGCTGGTGCACGAGTCGACGGGCAACAAGTACCCGCTGGAGGGCGAGTACCCGTTCTACTGTCTCGTTGAGACCAGCGGGTCCAACGCCGACCACGACATGGAGAAGCTGGAGGCGTTCCTGGAGCATATCATGGGCGAGGGAATCGTCGCGGATGGCGTGCTGGCCCAGGACGAGACGCAGTTCCAGGGCATCTGGCGCTGGCGCGAGGGCATTACGGAGGCGCTGAGCCACCTAGGTGGCACCTACAAGTACGACGTGTCGATTCCCCTGCCGGAGCTGTACCAGCTGGTGGAGGACTGCAAGGCGCGGTTGACGCAGATGGGCTTTGTCGGCGACGATGACTCATTCCCGGTCCGGGCGGTGGTCGGCTACGGTCACATGGGCGACTCGAACCTGCACCTGAACATCGCGGTGCGGCAATACAACAAGGAGGTCGAGGCGGCGATCGAGCCCTGGGTGTATGAGTGGATCCAGCAGCGCCAGGGCAGCATTAGTGCGGAGCACGGGCTCGGTCTGGCCAAGAAGGAATTCATCGGGTACAGCCAGAACGAGACGATGGTGAAGCTGATGAAGCAGCTGAAGAACTTGTATGACCCGGTAAGTTACATTCTCCAATGTGGATTCGAATGGATAAGAAGACGCTAACGGGGATCGGTGATAGAACGGCATTATGAACCCGTACAAGTACATTTAGGGAGGAACATGTGGCTGAGACATACTTCGGAGATTACATAGGGTGTAACTGTGTTCATGAGCGTTTGATTTGCCTGTGGGCGTAAACACAGCGATGCAAGTAAAATAGATGCTGCATTAGATGCATTCTTCATGCACGAGGTAAGGTCCCGCTTACCTCAGCCTGCATAATGCAGGCGGTGAGCGTTGCCATGCGTTACCGCCCTGTTGTGTCAGCGACCCATGGAAGCCGCCGGCGTCAACCATTGGATGCGATGGAGTCTGCGATCGGTTTAGTTGATCCTCTGCTTGTTATCATTCTCCTCTTCTTAGCTAGTTATCTCTCAGCTATCCTTCTGCTGCCGTCCGTCCTCGCGGTAGGTTTCAGCGCAAGGTCGTTTCGGACGACGATAGCGAGCGCGTACCGAGCTCTGGGATCTGTGTTGCTTTTCTCCCATTTTCTTTTTTATTTTTCGTCTTTTCCCTGTGTTCTTCCGCCCCTGAGCTGCAACAAAATTCCATCCCGCGAAAACCATGGCGGACGACATGGCCAGTCATTATCAGATGATGGAGGAGCTGGGGAGTAAGTCTTGCGCCAATTGCAACGCAATTCACGTCAATGTTATTAACCAGACTCTCTTTGTTCTCCGCAGGCGGCAGTTTCGGAACGGTGTACAAAGCGATTGAGAAAGCTACCGGGGAGATCGTTGCGGTTAAACATGTACGAAGGCTACATTCCGGTTGACGAGAGAAGAAACGAGAGACTCGAGCTAACGCGACCACTCTGCGAACCAGATCGACCTCGAATCGAGCGAAGATGACATCCAGGAAATCCAGCAGGAGATCTCGGTGTTGGCTACCTGCGCCAGCCAATACGTGACGCAGTACAAGGCCAGCTTTCTGCGGGGACATAAGCTATGGATTGTGATGGAATATCTCGGTGGTGGCTCTTGTCTCGATCTGGTGAGACCCATGAGGACAAATGAACACAAGCGAAGTGTGTTATAGTGCTAATTTGCGCAGCTGAAACCCGGTGTTTTCAACGAAGCCCACGTCGCCATCATCTGCCACCAACTCCTCCAGGGATTGGATTACCTGCACTGCGAAGGGAAAATCCACCGCGACATCAAAGCCGCCAACGTACTCCTGTCGCATACGGGGAAGGTCAAGCTGGCGGATTTTGGGGTTGCGGCCCAACTGACCAACATCAAATCCCAACGCAACACTTTCGTCGGCACGCCGTTCTGGATGGCCCCTGAGGTCATCCAGCAGGCCGGGTACGATTATAAGGCCGACATTTGGTCGTTGGGCATTACTGCCATTGAAATGATCAACGGCGAGCCGCCCCATGCCAGTACCCACCCGATGAAGGTGCTCTTCCTGATCCCGAAGGAACCGGCGCCGCGACTCGAAGGCGACCAATACAGCAACACGTTCAAAGATTTCATCGCCCAATGCTTGACGAAGGATCCCGATCGTCGTCCGAGCGCGAAGGAGCTGCTGCGACACAAATTCATCCGTAATGCGGGCAGGACGGAGGCTTTGCAGGAGCTCATCCATCGAAAGCAAGACTGGGATGCTGGTCGGGGGGTGACCAACAATATTAAGTACTATGCGGAGTCGCTGTATGTATACTCGGAGGGTCTCACTGTGAGCGGCTTACTGACGCTTCCAGCAATACTATCACGCACCTCGACAAGGATGACGACGGATGGGTGTTCGACACCGTTAAAGCGCCCACAATGAAGATCCCCAAGGACCCGTACGATGCGGAGAACGATCCCGAGAACCAGGACTTCCTGTACGACGAGACCTCGGAGATGATGGACGACTTGCACATCTCGAACCCCCCTCCTCCCCCCAAGCACGCCACGAGCTTCACCAACACCGCCGTGCGACGAACCCCGGCACCAGATCGCAGCCCGTCGGTCCGGCGGACCCAGCGAAAGAGACGGTCCAGCGGGGTGAAACAGCCTCTTGGCGTGGACTTGACCTTTGGCAACAGCCCGTCGACGGTGCGTCAGTTCCGTCGCGTGTCTGATAAGATTGTTCCCGACCCTGCGTATGTATCACAACACCCGGTCGGAGTTGATGAGAACGCCAGTCCCAAGACATTGTTCTCGGAAACCAACAGTAAAGAGGCGCAGCTGGGCCGCCGAGCGTATAGCCGGGCGGTTGGCCTCGCCTGTCAGGAGGTTCTCGGCACGACAGGGGACCAGGAGAAGCGTGAGGCGATCAGTCGCCTGGCGGAGGCCTGGAGCGATCTGGAAATGGTGGATCCCGAAGGTCTTTACCATATTCTCCGAGCGACCAACGAAAAGCTGCAAGCGTGCGTCTCCATCTTTTGTTCCTGGGTTTAATTTAGGTCGTGTGCTGACGAATCCCAGTGACTCCAAGCTGTCGAGTCTCGTCCCGCAAGCTCCACCACCGGATTCTCCACAACGACCTCGACTCGTGTTGGCGCAAAACAACCCCCATCTGAAGAGCCACCGACGGCGACAATCCGCCGTGGCGCCCGAGGCGAATGCGCTGGCGCCCGCGCAGTTGGCTAATCTCCCGGGGCAGCAGGTACCCGGGATGGAGCATACCAAGCAACTCTCCGAAGTGCTTTACCAGCGATGGTCCGAGGGACTTCGCAATCGATGGCCGGGGCTTTAGTATGAATGCACACAATGCATCCATGCATTCCCTGATTTCCTTTCTCCTTTCTTTCCTGTACAAAAGCTTCCAGGCGTTCAGATCGGTACATGCTTGACTTTCTCATCTGGCTTTCGCTCGTTCGACGGATGATAGGCACTCGTTTCTGGTTTTCCCGAGATACTGGGGTTAATACGTTCGTTCTCGAGTCCCTGAGTGTGCCGGCCACGTACTCATGAGGACTCTGCTCTGGCGTCTCCCTCCGACCCCTGATATACCCGACTGGTCGTTCGCTTGTGGGGTTTGGAGTTCCATTCTGTTGGATGTGATATTTCCTTTGGCTGAACCTGTGATTATAGTGTTGTTGGTCTTGAGATAGACGATGTATGTATGTATGTAAGTATGTATGGAGATAGTAATGGCATCTGATGATCCGCATGCATGTGTTCTACACGTGGAACTGTCCCTCATAACAGCGAAATAACTGTAGGAGTCGACTACTACTGCATAAGTACTCGTAATGAAACGCTCGTGGGCCGATCAGCCCCTGAGAATTCAAGGCGGAAAGGATGGGCGGTCAAGCCGGACTAAGAGCCTTGTAATTTCACTCTATGGCCGTTAGGAGAATTCATCTTATTTTCTGCATATATTGCTGGCTCTGTTCTTTCTGCTGTTTTCCCTTCTCATCTTCTCTTCTTCTCATTCTGTTATATTATTATTATCTGTACTTTTGTTTGTCCTTGTGTTCATTTCTCCCATCCCAGCATTCCTTCGCTAGCCACTGTCTTCATATCCTTCGCATCACCCCTGAATGCCATGATTCTCTCTTTACTGCTTCCATAGCGTTCCGTTATCATTCAATTCACAATCCAAATGGGGGACTGGGAGACCCCCGGAACGGGTGCGGCCGAACCATCGCCGGAAACGTGCCAGGAGCATCACCCGCCACCACCTGTTCATGACGATGCCCTTCAGGAACATCTTTCTCACGAAAAACAACAACGCCAGCTCAAACGTTCCTCTCTCCCCGCTCGCCCCCATGCGGCCGCCCGTCACACCAAACGCTTAACCCTCAACTTCCCCATCAATCTCCCTCCGGCCGCTGTGGTCGACTCCCACGTGTCGTCATCCCCCGGTGCCATGACCCCTGTTGCTCGCTCGTCCGCCCACCAATCCCCCGTGCCCCCGGTCGGCACTCCTATGGCCTTCGACGACCAAGACGATGGTTCCGGCCTGTTGACCGCCATTGCCGCCCAGGAGCGAAAGGTCCTCGAGTTGCGCGAGGAGCTCCAGCGGGCCGAGTCCGAGCTCGACTCGCTGAAGAAGCAATGGGCCCAGTCGGAGAAGACAAAGAAACGTACCGAGATCAGCCATCGCGCCGAACCCCTGCTCCCGCTGCGATCCCCCGATTCCACCGGTCCCGACCCGGCCGCCGTTGGACCGCAGCATAGTCGAGACCGCAGCGTCGCCAGCTCCGAGGCCTCCTCCGCCGCCCCGACGCCGTCATCGGCACGATACAGTCGCGAGTTGGAGCGCCGCCAGAGTATGCTCGCCGCTGCAACAAAGGGCACCAAAGTCTCGGCCAGTGGGCGTCGTGTGTTCCAGGGATCTCACACCCGCACGCTGTCGCTGCTGTCGCCGACTTCTGGCACCAGCAGCCCCCTCGGGGCGGCGGAGACGCCAGACGGCGACCGCATCGGACGGTCCCCTCGCTCCGCGACGTTGCCGTCCGTTGAACGGAGTCCGATGATGACCGCAGCGTCCGGTGACAATCGCGATTTTGCAAGCTCCTCCGGCGACGATGTGATCACGCAGTGGCGGCGGACGATGCCGCCGCCGTCGCGCGAGGCCCTCATGCGCACCGGACGACAGATGGCGTCGGATCTGCGCGAGGGCCTGTGGACGTTCCTGGAGGACATCCGACAAGCCACTGTGGGCGAGGAGGGTATCAGCGCCACGGAATCGCGCGCGATGCCGAACGCCCGGAACAAGCGGGACTCGAGCTCGGCCTCGTCGCGCAGTAGAGACCGCCTCTCGGTGGCGCAGGGCGGAAAGCTGTCACGATCGCCGTCGTCGTCCGGGAGCAAGGCGGCCAAATCTTCTTCTGGTAAAGACTCGCAATCGGCGGACATAGACTCGTCGTTCTGGAGTGAATTCGGCATTGATCCACCTGGACAGACGTCCCATCCTCCCGCCGCCGCGCAGCCCGCGCCTCGCCACGCCCAAAACTGGTCGTCGACCGACCAACACCCCACCACCAACAACAACAGCAGTCATCTCGACGTTGACGACAACTGGGATGACTGGGATACGCCCCAGCCGAAGAAAATGCACACGCCTTCGTCGAGCCGGTCGACTCTCGAATCGAAACAGGACCAGTCGCCCATGACGCAGAACAGTAGTCCGCGCACGAGCACGAGGTAAGTGGTTTTCTGTTTGCTCCCGGTGTGTTGGTTTTGGTTTTTGGTGCGTGTTGTAGTGTAGATTCGCTGACGGCTCTAGCTTTGGCGACTGGCGCCAACACGACACTCACATCCCCGACCCCAGCGTGTCCGATGGTATTCCCTGGCCCGCCATCACGAAACTGGCCCCGTCGAAACTGACACGGACTGCGTCGAACCTGATGGCTGAGTGGGAGCGCAGCCTGTCTCCGTCGCCGGAACGGAAGGTCCAGACGCGATCGCCGTCTCTGGATAAAGACGCCAAGACAGATTGACTGGCCGAGTTTGTCTCGCCGTGATTGTTGATATTTATGGGATGTGATATACGCGATCTGCACAGGGACTGGCATGACGGATTGACGCAGGGTGATGATTCAATACCCTTACGAAGCGCTTACGATTCTTACATTCTTTTGTTATATTATATATGAATAAATTGTTAGACTGGATTGTGCATAATAAGTAGAGACGAGTTGAGGCGATATACTTCCACTTCGACAGCCACTCACGTGATACGTAGTTGGTCCGCCGCGCCACCCGTGATAAATTTCCGCCTCCGCAAAACATCCGGGGTCTCCAAGTCTCCAAATTTTCTCGCCGCCATACGACATAGACCGACTAGGTCGATACAGCACTCTTTTTCATAGATTTTCTTCGTTCTCTTCAGCACTGCATTATGAACGTCCCTGGGATGACCCCCCCGATGGGTGGCCTCGGCGGCGCTGGCAACATGCCCGCCGGCATGTCGGAGCAGGAACAAGCCATGGTGAAGATGGTTCGTCTGTCCTCTTCCCTTATTGTAGCTAGCTCCTAACGATCGCAGATGCACGCCGCCATGGAATCCTGCCCGATCAAGACAGTGATTTCCGGTACGATGGGTTTCGGTCTGGGAGGTGTCTTTGGATTGTTCATGGCGAGCGTAAGCCTCCCCCTCCTCTCCTCCCCAACCAACAAAAGCGACCGTAACGCAACTAACACGGAATGGCTAGATGTCCTACGATTCCACCTTCACCCCGCAAGGCAAAGCCATCATGGACCTCCCCTGGCGCGAACAAGTCCGCCGCGGCTTCAAAGACATGGGCTCGCGGTCGTGGTCGTCGGCCAAGAACTTCGGCATCGTCGGCGCCCTGTACTCCGGCACCGAGTGTTGCATCGAGGGCCTGCGCGCAAAGAACGACCTCACCAACAGCGTCGCGGCGGGCTGCATCACGGGCGGCATTCTCGGCGCGAAGGCCGGGCCCCAGGCGGCGGCGGCTGGGTGTGCGGGTTTTGCGGCGTTCAGTGCGGCGATCGATGCTTATATGCGGATGCCGTCGGAGAGTGATTGATTTATTGATTGGTTGGGGCTGGGTTGCTGGGTTTGTTTGATATACTGCGATTGCGATGGCGTTTGGTAGAGGTGCATTGTTGGCGTTTGGGACTGTACTCTACTCATAGATTTGTACTACTATGCGAATACCTTGTCTTGTCTTGTCTTCTATGTATGTGTCTATGTGAGTGAAAGGAGTTGCAGCTTGGCTGTGCGCTTGCTCCAACCATAAGCAGCCCTCAATGCCGGTAACCGGAGATGGCTCCGCCAGGTTGCGAGGGTCGAGGCCGATGAATGGTATAGGGTACGACCCGGGCGTGTGCTGTACCAAGGCCGACTGTACCCTGACGAGACCCCGTTGTTGGGAATGGGTCTGTTGGGATCTACACCACCCTTGAGAACTGCTGGACCAGCTGATGTGAACCTCTTACTACGTGCTGGACGTTCTAGCAGAGAAGCTTGCGGGCAAATTAGATACGGTCGTGTACCTGGTTGAAGCTGGGGCGACTGTGAATATGCAGTTTGAGATGCGAGACACAAAGATGTTCTATAAAGTATTCCAACCTGGTCTTAGATAACGGTTATCTGATCAGTGCCACCATGACGTCAATTATATATACGGCATCACCAACCACAAGCAAACTCCCTCCCCTCAAACAAAATGGCTTGCACAGTAAGTAATGCGTTTCATTCACAAGTCGACTCTAACATGAAGCGAAACAGACAGAGTACTCCGTAGAAAACCCCTTGAATCGGGAACCGCCAACCAGGGCCCTCGTCTCGAGGTATAAGCCGTCCATACACACAACCCGTCAGGAAGACTAACAGACGGCAGTTTTGTCACGCCATCCAACATCTCCTATGACCGTAATCATGGTCCAATTCCCCATCTTTCAGCTTCAGACCACCGTGTCCGTATCGATGGATCAGTCTCGCAGCCGCTTGCATTGTCTATCCACCAACTCGCCACGGAATTCCCCCAGCATGAAGTCACATGTGCGCTAGAATGCGCCGGCAACCGCCGCCATACCATGAGGACCCTGCTCAAGGAAGTCGAAGGCATCGACTGGGGCGATGCAGCCGTCATGAACTGCAAATGGCGCGGTCCGCGACTGCGCGATGTGCTCGTCCGTGCGGGAGTGCAGGGTGGCAATACAGATGGCCTGCATGTGGCTTTCTCATGTTATCAGGTCAAGTGTCAAGATGACGATTGGTTTGGAGGCAGTGTGCCCCTAGAGCGGTGTCTAAGAGAGGATGCGGATGTCATTCTTGCGTTGGAGGTGAGTATATGCTCTAGTTCAGCGCCATATGAATCCTGTCATTGATGCATGCAGATGAACGGCGCCCCCCTCCCCTACAACCACGGGTATCCAGTGAGAGCCATCCTCCCCGGTATCGCCGGCGCGCGATGGGTCAAATGGCTGGACCGCATCACCGTTCAGGATCACGAGTCCACCAATTTCTACCAGCGACATGATTACAAGGTCCTGCCGCCTGAGGCGGTAGATAGTGCGTCGGCGGAGCCGTTCTGGGATCGCACACCCGCCATGTGCGACATGCCCATCAATTCGGTGGTCGCTGTGCCCGCGGACGGAGAGACGGTGACGCTGTCACCCGACGGGACGATTGAGGTGAAGGGGTATGCTGTGCCACAGGGTGCGGATGGACCGGTGACGCGCGTGCAGGTGTCGTCAGACGGTGGTAGGAGCTGGGTAGATACGGAGATTCAAACGTCTTCATCGCCGGATGAGGGGAAGTGGTGCTGGGTTCTGTGGAAGGCGGAAGTGCCCTTGGAAAGGGGTTGTGGAAGGGAGATACTGAGTCGTGCGTACGATGCTGGTGGGAACTCGCAGAGGGAGCATTCACAGTGGAATTTGAGGGGAGTTGGGTATAATGGATATGGGAGGGCCCGGAGTTTGACTGTTCTTTAGATGTGAGTTTTGTTCTTGTTAGGTAAGTTAATTATTGTTTCGAGATGTGCTCAGTATACTATTCATCTGCTGCCTCTTCCTCCTCTTCATCCTCCTCATTAACTCCAGAATCATCTAGGTAACAGATCACTTCGCAAATGACAGGACCACCTTTGGGAGGCAAGAAACCATCACCGTCCTCCCAGTTCCAAGAGATACCCTCGGGCCCAGTAAACGATTGCAGCCTTGCTCCCTTGGATCTTAACAAGTCGATCATCTCTTGATTGTCCTTGCGCGTGGCGACGTATAATGCAGAATGTCCCTCTTCATCTGCCCGTGCGCCATTGTCCAGGAGGAATCTGAGCATGGACAGGTTTCCCTTCAACGCCGCCAGCTTCAGGGAGCTTTCCTGGTTTATAGCTCCATGCTTCAACAGCATTTCTATGATATCGTATCTCTCATCGTCAACAGCCCGATACAATGGACACGGCTTATACATGTCCGGATCTGCGCCTCGCTCGAGCAAAAGCTCCACCAACTGCTCATGGCCATGTTTGACAGCGAGGTAGAGTGGCGGAGGGTCCGTCGCTCGACGGCCCCGAAGCCTCCGTGCAAACCCACAACCTCGCGTTGGCCTTTGGTAAGCTCCGCAGTAAAACTTGACCCGGGCTCCATGATCGAGGAGCGTTGTGACAATCTCCTTGTGGCCGCCTCGAATGGCCGCAAGCAGGGCCATTTGGATCTGGACAATGTGTGCGATCCTATAGCCTGCTGCTTTCAATGGATGGTCTTTGACTTCGGGAACAGAAGAGTATCTCCTCTCAGGGACATATTTCCAAGTCTCTTCGTTCTCGTCGTCCGTTGTGTCAATTTCTTCCCACACGGTACTTTCCAGACCTCGAGCACACTCGGCTGTGAGAGTTTCGAGAAACCGCTGCACGGCCTGTACATTTCCCTGTCCCGCCACGATACGCAAAGCGGACGCCTGCCGACGCCGGCAGTTTAATCTATATAACGAGTTTATCAGCACATGATGGAGATGCCGACTCGTGAGGAGGAGGGCGAGGATATCGCTCTGGCGACGCAGATACGAGGCAATCTCCACGAGGATTTCCAACGGTAGGCGAGTGGTCAGCATGATATGGAAGGTGAAAGGAAGAAACAGGTGCTGACGTGACATTTATAGCTGTCTCTTAGTAAGACATCCGAATAACAGTGCAATGCTCGTTACCCGAATGGGTGTAGTCTGATGCTTAGTCTTTCTTGGATGCTCGAACCACGTCGTGTACATAGATTGGCGCAGTACTGCATACTTGGCCGTGTCAACGAATATACGAGGCTCAATGATGCTATCCTGGGTATAATTAATGTTCTTTCCCGTGACCATCATCCAGGGATTGCGTGCAGTGCGACCTGGAAGTACCGGACTTAGGGTCTATCTCCGATCTTACTCTATACTCCGCTCAACTGCTCATCAGGCAAATGCATTCATATAAAGCGGCAAGGCGCGCCCGCAGAGTACTTCTTGACCATCTGTCCTCGGCTTCTTCATTCGTATTCAACTCAGCTCAAACATGGCAGACAACCAGGCTGTCGTCCTTCCAGGCCTCAAAGCCCACCCGTTCACCATCGAAAAAGCCACAAAGCCTCAGCCAGGCCCAGGCGAGTTAGTGATTAGAAATGCTGCAGTAGCCATTGTAAGACCCAGTCCTCCTATTCAGCAATGACGTCCTAACGAACTATTTCCAACCAGAATCCCGTCGACTGGAAGATTCAGTGGGGCATTTCTGAGCCGTATCCAAAGCTCCATACGCTGAACATCTTACAGGACTGAAGGAGGATGGCCGAACAAGTACCCCTTGGTACTTGGGCTTGACGCTGCCGGGATTGTTGAAGACGTTGGTCCAGATGTGACCCGTTTCAAGAAGGGCAAGAGGGTCATTGCGTACGTCTTCTGGCCCAGATTCCTCCTGTAGAAGCAGTGCCAACTCATCTTCACAGCCACTGCAGCACTTTGCTGGCATTGGATCCTGCCTACGGGGCTTTCCAGTTGTATCCCCTGGTGCACGAGGCCCAAGTGGCTGAGATACCGGATTCTCTTCCCTTCGAACAGGGGGTAGTCCTCCCGCTGGGCATCTCCACCGCCGCTTCGGGGCTGTATCCAGAGGACTGTCTCAACCTGCCATTGCCCGCTGTTGACGGCGCAAAGAAAACCGGCCAGACACTCCTGGTGTGGGGTGGTGCGTCCTCCATGGGTGCAACCACTATCCAACTGGCGGTTGCCTCGGGCTTGACTGTCGTTACCACTGCCTCTCCCCGGAATCATGATTTCGTTCTGTCTCTGGGTGCGGATGCTGTGTTTAACTACAGGTCGCCCAGCGTAGTGGAGGATCTTGCCAATGCGCTGGCTAGTACTGAATTTGTCGGTGTTTATGATGCAATCTCTGAAGAGCCCAGCTTCAACGCCATCTCGGCAATCCTTGACCGGTTGAATTCGACGGTGAAAGTGATCAGTGTTTTGCCGTGCCAGCACCCGACAGAGCGTTTTGCTCCAAAGTTCAGTCAGTTATAGATATCCCCTGTCAACGCCCAGCCAAATACTAACACGCACAACATCAGTCCATGCGACCAGTCTTGTCCAAGATGCCAATCGAGGCATTGGGGAGTGGGTCTGGGGAACATATGTACCACAGGCTTTGGCGAAGGGGACTCTGAAACCCAAGCCAGATCCCTGCGTCGTGGGCACCGGCCTGAAGGATATTCAACATGGCGTCGATTTGCTCAAGAAGGGTGTCTCGGCTCAGAAGCTGGTGGTTACTCTTTGAACACGACTGACGGGAAGCGACCTCGCTAGAGTATTGCATCGAATATATCTAAAATCATACATATGCTCATACGTACACCGATTACGGCAGCACCACGTACTTCTCCAAATGCTTGGGAATGGCTCCGCGCAGGCCCTTGCTCTCAAGCCAGGTGTTCGAGAAGAGACGGTCGGCGTAGCGGTACGCGCCATCACAGAGGATCGTCACAATCGTCTTTCCCTTGCCCAGCTTCTCCGCGACCTCCTTTGCGGCCACCACGTTGAGCGCGGAGCTCGCGCCCAGGTAGAGACCCTCCTCGTCGAGGCACCGGTAAACCATCTCAATAGACTTCTCATCGGGAATGTTCAGCGATCCGTCGAGCAGATCAACATCCGGCCGCAAGTTGTCCGTCACACGGCCCTGGCCAATACCCTCGGTGATACTGCCTCCACTGCGCTCGGTCAACTTGCCGCCGCTCTGGATGTAGCTGTGCAGGACACTGCCGGGCGGATCGGCGAGGAAGCACTTCACACGGCCGTCACTAGCCGTCTTCAAATACCGCGTAATACCAGCGAGCGTGCCGCCCGTGCCGGTAGCGCAAGTAAACGCATCGATCTGGCCGCCCGTCTGCGCCCAGATCTCCGGGCCGGTGGTCTCGATGTGCGCCTGGCGATTGGCGACATTGTCGAACTGGTTCGTCCACACCGCGTTGTCCAGCGACTCGGCGTGGCGGCGGGCCTGGTGGTTGTAGTTCTGCGGGTTGTCGAACGCCACCGCGGGCACCGGGTACACTTCCGCGCCCAGTAGTCGCAGCAGGTCGATCTTACCCTGCGATTGCGTGTTGGGCATGTAGATGACCAGCTTGTAGCCCTTGGACCGGCACACGTGCGCCAGACCAATACCGGTGTTTCCGGCCGTGCCCTCCACAACGGTGCCGCCGGGCTTCAGGAGACCCTTCTCTTCCGCATCCTTGACGACGAACAGCGCCGCGCGGTCCTTGACGCTGCCTCCGGGGTTCTGGAATTCGGCTTTGCCGAGGATGTTGCAGCCGGTTTCTTCAGAAAGGCGCTTCAGACGGATCAGAGGAGTGTTGCCAATCGCTGTGCGGAGTAATGATTAGTATACGGACGAATTGGCGGGGAACAAGGAAGGTGTACTGTACCCTCGGTCAGCCCGTTGACAAAGCCCTGAGCTCCGGACACCCGCACGTGGTATGGGGTCGAGGCCTCAACTGCGCGCACGGCAGTTGTGCCAAAACGTCGAATGCTTTGCCGGAACATACTGGTGAACCTCACAGACCGAGCTGCAATCCCAACGGCGTCTGAGGATTGTAGAGCATTGAGATCCCCAGATCGTCCGATGCCGATGGTCGGCGTTAGTCATCTAGATCACGTGTGAAATTGCGTGATAGCCCTGGAGTACATGCGTCTGTCTTGTGGTCCCTTACGCAGGGGATTTGGGACGACCCAAGGAACGAAGAGGGAGTATGCCCAACATAGCAACAATGATGTGCTCCGTAGATGTACAAGAACACAGCTGTTCTGCTACCAGGTGGGAAATGTCAATGAGAGGTGACGAGCATCATATACAATACTCCGAAAGTACAGTAGGGTTCCACGTGTAGCCCTAACCCTTATCGGATGCCTTCCCGTTTGGGCTGTTTGTTTATCCCGCATCCCGTGACTGTGACGATCGTGAAAGCGGCGGCGATACTTGGGACTTCATCTCAACCGACGACAACGACAACATCACATCCAACTTGAGTCGCCATGCCTGCTCGAGTTTCCGCCCGTTCAACGTCGGGGACCTCCCGCAAAACATCATCAGCCCAGCCGTCCACCGGGCGTGCTGGTTCGGTCCCTCCCTCGATTCAGATCCCAGAGGAACCCCCTCTTCCTGAGGCCGTTCCCAGTTTGCGCCGCGACGTGTGCTCGATTTTCGCCGACGCGCAGCGCTCCACAACCGGCCATCGAAAGCTCGTGGTTCGTCTTCGCAAACTGCAAGAAGCATGCAGCGGCATTTCCCAGAAAACCTCCAAGAAGGATGGCAAGAAAATCCAGGAACCAGTCTCGCTCCCGACCGAAGAATCCCTCCCGGAAACGGAATTCAATGTCGAAATCGGTCGCTGTGTGCTGCGCATCGTTGCCATCAAGAAGTCGGAGCCTGTTGGCGATCGCATCTTGCGATTCTTGGGCACGTTCTTAAGTCACGCCTCTGAGAAAGATGCAGAGCTCTTCGCTTCCGATGACGATGAGAATATCCCCGAGACGCCAACTTCCCGTCTGACAACCCGCCTAGTCGCCCTTATGGTGCCCCTTCTCCCTGCCAAGGACAGGACTGTACGCTTCCGCGCCACTCAGATCATTGCGAATATCATCAACTCGCTCGATACAGTCGATGACGACCTCTACCATACTCTTCGGCAGGGCCTCCTGAAACGGATCAGAGATAAGGAGCCTTCCGTCCGTGTTCAGGCCCTGATGGGTCTGGCCCGTTTGGCAGGAAATGACGAAGACGACGACAATGACGACAGCTCGGCACTTGTCGAGAAACTCGTTGATATCATGCAAAACGACACCAGCGCAGACGTCCGGAAAACCCTACTCCTCAACCTCCCGCTCTTACCAGCGACCCTCCCTTATCTCCTGGAACGTGCGAGAGATTTGGACGCCGGTACACGACGAGCTCTGTATGCTCGGTTGCTTCCGACTTTAGGTGATTTCCGCCATCTGTCGCTTTCGATGAGAGAAAAGCTGCTCCGATGGGGCTTACGTGATCGTGATGAGAGCGTGAGAAAAGCTACAGGCAAGCTGTTCTACGATCGCTGGGTTGAGGATTGTGCAGGGACAAACGATGAAGCCGAAGACGGCTCTACTGGACAGCGGTCGCCACCCAACATTCCCGCGCTCCTTGAGCTTCTGGAGAGAATTGACGTCGTAAACTCTGGCATGGAGCTGGGGATTGCCCATGAGGCTATGCGCAGTTTCTGGGAAGGCCGCCCCGATTATCGCGAAGCTGTCGTGTTCGATGAACACTTCTGGGAAACGCTCACAGCTGAATCTGCTTTCCTCCTCCGTTCCTTTAACGATTTCTGTCGAGTTGAGAATGACGGCAAATACGATAACCTCGCAGATGAAAAGATGCCCGAAGTCACCGCCTTAGCTTATTTCCTCTCGAAGTACATGACCGATCTATTGCAACGGAGGAAGATTGCCAAGGAATCAGGCGAGGTTAATGATGACGAGTCTCTTGAGCAGGAATTTATCGTCGAACAATTGCTTCATATCGCCATGACTCTTGATTACAGTGATGAGGTTGGCCGTCGAAAGATGTTTTCCCTGCTGCGCGAGTCACTTGCCGTACCGGAGCTTCCCCAGGAATGCACGAAGCTGACCATCGAGACTCTGCGATTCGTGTGTGGTCCAGATGCTGCGGCTGAGAATGAGTTTTGCAGTGTTGTCCTGGAAGCTATCGCCGAAGTCCACGATACCATCGCCACCGAGGATAGTTTCGTCTCCGCAAAGTCTGAAATTAGTGACGACGCATCCAGCCGTCACCGATCTGAGACGCCGGCAGAAAGCGAGGAAGAGAAGCCCTTCAACAAAGAAGAAGCCAAGGCCAAGGTCCTGCGTGAAATCATGGTTAACATGAAGTGTCTACACATCGCGCAGTGTATGCTGCAGAATGTGGAAGGGAGTCTTCAGGCCAATATGAACCTGGTTACTATGCTTAACAACCTGGTGGTCCCGGCTGTTCGGAGTCATGAAGCCCCCATTCGTGAGAGGGGCCTGGAATGTTTGGGACTATGTTGCTTACTGGACAAGGTAAGGCCCTTTGAACTAGATACGTCTCTTTTTACTGACTGTTGGCCCTCCAGACTTTGGCCGAAGAGAACATGACGCTTTTCATTCATTGTTATAGCAAGGGCCACGAGGCCTTGCAAGTGACGGCGATCCAGATCCTCTGTGATATGCTGACCACCCACCCTTCGTTGCTCGCTCCGGTGTCCCAGCCTGACGGAGAGACCGTGGCACCACCGGTGTTCCAAAAGCCCTTGCTTAAGGTGTTCGCAAGAGCTCTCAAGTCCAACTCTCCGAATAGCGTACAGTCCGCCGCTGCCACGGCGCTGTCCAAGTTGTTACTCACCAGTGCCTTCACTCCGTCTGGGGCCAACATCCCCCAGGCCATCCAGGAGTATAATCAAAACGCCATCGAGACTCTCCTCCAATCCCTGGTGACCTCCTTCTTCCACCCTCGCACCCGCGAAAATCCGGCGCTTCGACAGGCCTTGGCATACTTCTTTCCTGTGTATTGCCATTCGCGTGTGTCGAACACTGAGCATATGCGGAAGATTGCGGTACCTGTGATCCGGGCTGTGCTCAACGCGGCCGAAGAGTACTACTCCCTTGAGGCGGAGGAAGACAGTGATGGTGACATCGATGAGAGCGCTGGACAAAGGGAAGTCAAGGCATTGATGACTGGTGTGCTGGGAATGCTGGCGGAATGGACGGACGAGCGACGCGTGGTGGGGTTGGGCGGGGAACGAGTGCTTGCGGGTGGTCCGGCGAGCTCGACCGCCTGTGGATTCGTCCATCTGGCCCTGGTCAAGGATATTCTAGAGCGCGTTCTGGGAATCAGTTCAGGCCCCAACCGCTGCTCTAAGGAGGAGAAGAAGCTTCTCTTCTCTCTCATGAGCAAGCTCTATATTGCACCTCCGTCTGCGCCGGCACCGTCGTCGCGATCGGGGTCTCGTAACCCTGAGGGCGAAGATCCTTTCCGGTCTAGCGTCCGCAGTGCCCATGGTGAAGTCAGCCCGGAGAACATTGCCCTCGCACAGGAGGTGAAAGGGCTGCTTGATGAAGCCATTGAGGAAGGCGTCGCCGCTGAAGCGGCCGGCCGGAACGCGCTGGTGAAGGTGAAGAATGCGGTGCTCAAGCTGCTCGCGACTGCGCAGGGCTCCCGACCCGCCAGTTCTCGACCCCGCGAAGGCACGGAAGAGGGCGATAGTGATATGATGAGCGTCCGATCGGGTCGATCGGGTAGTGTCCGCCCTTCGATCGAGCCGGGGGCGTACCGTCGCGGAGTGTCGGTAGAGCCGAGTATCATGGAGGAGGACGAGAACGAGGACAGTCGGCACACGGTGATCAAATCCGAGGCCGCGGACGAGTAATGACGACGTTTATGTCTGGGTTTGATTGGCGGGTTGGCGTTGTGGATTGGGTGATGGGATGATGCTATGTAGATAATCATGGCGATGGTCTTTGGGATGTATATGAATGCGATTTTGATCTTTTGACTTTGGATACTACAGAGTAGTTACGGGTTATAGGTATGGTTGAGTGGTTTGATTGATCACACCTACGATATATATAGCAAGCTACGGAGTATAGATTTTCTATCGGCTTGACCAGGGAACGAGGGGGTAGAGAGTATTGGAATACTGATAACTACTAAGTAGTTACCTCTTATCTAGACCTCCGGCCTTTTTTGATTATATCAGCATCTTGTTAATCATAAATGTGATACTCAGATGGTCGTATAAGCGGTGGAAATGAGTCTGCCTGAACAGGGGGCGGCTTAGTAGACGGTGACGGGGGGACCGGGCCGGAAGCCAATTCGTTTATATCGGGAATTGATCCCTCTCTCCACGAGGACAAATAAATACGATGGCAAGTGACTACCGCTCTCAACCCATTGAAATGAAGAGACCTGGAGATGAGATGATTCTGATCGTGATCATACCTCGGTAAGTCGACATGCACAAAGTACGGGGAATTGGATTTGGTGGCCCATGGATGTATTCGATTGACAGCGGGAAGGGTTGATAGATAGGCGACGGATGTCCATGGCTCTGGGCTCTGATTATTATTATTATTATTATTTTCTCTTGGGCACTTAATTGAGTTTGTATCGAGATTGATACATTCCAACTTGACCACCTTGACCACCCACCCTTGATATTCGGACTGCCATGAAGCCTGCCTGGGAGCTAATACCATTCCGTAATGATACCGACTATCGTCCCACCTTTGCAATCCCCAGTTACACCAGATATCAAATAAATGACCTTATATCACTCATCTCAGGAGTCATCCCCAGATCTCTCCAGAGAGTTAGTAGTTAAACCACCGGACATATATCTCCTCGTGGTTGACTAATTTCCGCTGGGACCCAGAAAACCATCTCTCTCTGGACAAAAAGTGAATGGAATTTTCCTCTCCTTTTCCACCTGTTCGAACGCTCCACCGAACAGAAAACCCAACTGTTCGTACTTAGTACTTACTTACCACTGACCACTGACCGGGGGGCTTTTTGGACCTTTTTTTCCTTTCTGTCTTCTCCGTCTCCTCTCCTCTTCCTCCCCCTCCTTCCTCCCCCCGTGGCTTCTTGCTTGTCTCTTTTCTCTTCGTTTTCCTTTTCTGTTCCGTTCTCTAGCACTTTTCTTCTTCTTCGGGAGGGTTTCTCTCAATTCTCCTCTGCATTGTGTGTGTGCGCTTCGATTCCCCGACGTGGATCTGCCCAGAGAGCAGACGTCTTATTTTTCCGATCCGTTGCGCCGTTTCTCTCCCGTCTTTAGACTGGTTCCAGAGAAAAAAAGCCAACCCATCTCACCCTCTTCCTTTTCCCCCCATTCTCCTCTTCCCTCTCTCTCCCACCCACCATCCTCATCCCCCCTCCTGGAGCGATGGCAGTTTCGGCTCCCACCCCCAAGCTGGATCGCTACATTGTCATCCACGTCGCAACCACCTGTGACGAGCATGGCGTCTACGTCACCAAGGATTCCGCCGAGGTGATTGAGTTGGGGTGGATCTTGTTGGATACCAAAACCTGCGAGGAGGTACGTTGCTGCGTTGGGATTGTTTGATTGTTTCCCCCCTCCTCCTTTTTTCCCTCTTCCCCCCTCTCTCCCCTGGGCCGCAAAAGCAAATCCCGATGGCCATGAACCCAACCAACACAACCACCAATCCTGGAGACAGAAAACCAGGAAGAAAAAAGAAAAAAAAAATATCTCAATTGTCTGACGATCATATGCTAAACTCCCCTTAGCTGCATCGTGAAAGTGTCCTGGTCAAACCCGTCAACACTCCCATCACGCCTCTCTGCAGTAAGTCTCATCTCGATTCGCTCGGATGTATCGGTCAGTAACTGACGGTTGTCCATAGCCAGCCTGACCACTCTGACATGGGAGCACGTCCGCTCGGCAGGTACCTTCCGCGATGCCATCAATCGCTTCGACGCCTTCGCCCAGGAACACCTCATCAGCAAGAACCTGGAGTTTGCCTTTGTCACATTGGATTCGTGGGATCTCCGCGTCCAGCTGCCCCGTGAAGCCCGAGACAAGGCGGTCGTCTTGCCGCCTTATCTCCAACACTCCCGCACCTTCGACCTGCGCACCGAGTACCAGCGGTGGCAGACTCATCACCCGGAGTCCCTCCCCTTCGGTCCCAGCTCTCTCTCCAACATCTGCGCCGCCCTCGAAGTCGAACCCGTCCAGACCTCCGCCCCCATCAAGCATAACCTCCCCTTCCATCTCCAGGCTCTGGCCCCTGCTTCGCCCCGACGGGCTATGGAGGAAGCCGTCACGCTCGCCCGTGTGCTGCGTGGTTTGATTCGCAAGTCCCAGCCCCCTCACGAACATCCCGAGATCTTGACTCGTCCCATGGATGCCCGTGCGGACGTGCGGGCCTTCCTCGCCGAGCGCAGCAAGGTCCTCCACCTCAGCGGCTTGCCCCATGATACTACCCAGTCGGAGCTGGAGAGCTGGTTCACTCAGTTCGGTGGCCGTCCCATCGCCTTCTGGACCCTTCGCACACCGGATCAGCACAAGCCCACTGGCACTGGCTTTGCCGTCTTCTCCTCCCACGAAGAAGTGAGTCGTCGAGCCTAGGAGCGGACCGTGGACAGTACTGACTGATATTCGGATCTAGGCGGCTGAAAGCCTCTGTATGAATGGTCGCGCCCTGAACGAAAAGGCCATCGAGGTCTCCCCCTCGTCCAGCCGTGTTCTGGACCGTGCGGCCGAGATCCTGACGCCCTTCCCGCCCTCGAAGAACCGCCCGAGACCCGGTGACTGGACGTGCCCCTCCTGCGGATTTTCCAACTTCCAGCGTCGTACGGCCTGTTTCCGCTGTTCTTTCCCGGCTATGGCTGCGGCTCCCGACCCGCTGGGATACGGTGCGGCTTATGGCTACGGACCCCCATCGATGATGCCTCCCCACATGGGACACGGTCACGGCATGGGCCACTCCCGTATGGGCGGCAACGGTGGTGTCGTTCCTTTCCGCGCGGGTGATTGGAAGTGCGGCTCGGAGGGTTGCGGCTACCATAACTTCGCGAAGAACATCAACTGTCTCCGTTGCGGTGCCCCTCGTTCCGGCGCTGCGGTCGTTGCCGACTCGGCTTTCCCGTCTCCCATGGATCCCCCCTCTGGTTTCGGCATGGGCCCGAACTCGATGACCAGCACTCCAGCTCCGGGCCCCTTCACGTCGAGCGCCGGTGGCTTCGGCGGATTCAACCAGCAGTTCGGTGCGCCGCCTAGCAACTATGGCTTGCCTTCCGGCCTGGGTAACGCCCCGGGAGGATACCCCCCGATGGGACAGATGGGTGGTTACGGCTCTACCACGTCATCCCACTCGGCCGCCTCGTTCGCCAACCCCGCCACGCAAGCTGCCTTTACCGGTGCCGATGCTTCGTCCACCAGCGCTTCGAACGGCAACTTCTACGGCAACGATGGCTCGAGCGACCCGTTCGCCTTCCTCTCCACGGGACTGGGAGGATTGTCGATGGGCGACGATGCCCACTCGCGTCGCAACGGCGCCGGGGCCAGCAAGTCTCCGGCGTAAGGCGACAGCACATACTTTAATTCGATCCGCGGCGGTTGTACGACTTTCTTCATTTTGATTCATGGCAGGTTTCCCCTCCCCGCGGCTTTTTTGTCAATACGGCGGTCTAGATTGTTGCTATATGTGATGGTTGATATGCGTTTGTATAAGGAATTTTGCAGTTCTGGTGCATTCGGTTGGGAGGAGCAGGCCGGTAGCGTGTCGTCGTTTCCCTGGATTGGATCCCCTTTTTCTTTTTCTTATCGTTCTGGTTTTGGTCGTTTTTGTTGAACCTTTCGGTGTGTCTTATTATTTGCCGCCTTTTCTTTACATGTTGTTCCATCGAAAGCGATGTTTTGAGGGTATAGAGGACTGCCCTGGCTCCGACGGTTCTCCTTTCTGTCATCGGTTTGCGGCACGACCAATTGGAGGTTCAGTCATGGCATTGCATTCTAGATATCTGCTGTTTTTGGTTGCCCCGTTCAGCGCTTTGGCACTCGGAATGTTTGGAGAAACATGGTCTTGACTCACGGATGGGATACAATGGAACGGAACTTCTGTTGGGGGTGTTGGGGTATTCCTTTTGAGCCAGCAACTACACAAAATTCGACAGATTTGGGACATTGGTCGAGGCTGCACGGATCGGGAATTTGTGAATGCAATATTGGATGTCCATATCCTGTGATTTGATTGATTGGTTGCATATTTTGTGTAGATAGCGTGCATAATGGGTGATGCATGAGGTACCTCCTACCTCCATGGGTGTTGTCTGTAGGTGAATGTAGTGTGGTAATCCGACCCGTAGTAGCCGCGCGGCTAGCGCCTGGGAGCTCTGGAGGCAGCCGCGGCCTCGCGTCCACCTCCATCTGTCATCGCCCACGCCGACCTCTCCAGCTCTCAACTCCCCAAATACCACGAATTGCATCTGTGTCGTTTCTTTTCTGTGCTTGATTGTGATTTTCCCGATCCATCTTTTCATCTCCGCCAGAAAACACCCCTCTGTTCATAATGTCCGGATACGACCGAGCTCTTTCAGGTAAGACAGCTAGCTATCGTCATGCGGAGTGACCGTTCGATTCTGACCTGCCCCAGTGTTTAGGTATGCCGTGACCGGTCCGCTCAGCTCCAGATCCAGCTGCTAACCCTTTCCCCCAGCCCGGACGGGCACGTCTTCCAGGTGGAATATGCCATGGAAGCCGTGAAGCGAGGTGCGTCCCCACCGCCTCCCTCACGTTCTCAGCCGATACTAATCGCTGCTACTTCATAGGAACCTGCGCGGTCGGCGTAAAAGGCAAGGACATCGTCGTTCTGGGCTGCGAGAAACGCTCCGCTCTCAAGCTCCAAGACACCCGCATCACACCGTCGAAGATCGCCATGGTGGACGACCACGCCGTGCTGGCGTTTGCCGGACTCAACGCCGACGCCCGCATTCTCATCGACAAGGCCCGTCTGGAAGCCCAGTCCCACCGTCTCACTGTCGAAGACCCCGTCTCCATCGAATACATTACCAAGTACATCGCCGGCGTGCAGCAGCGCTACACACAGAGCGGCGGTGTCCGCCCCTTCGGCATCAGCACCCTCGTCGTTGGGTTTGACCCCAACGACACCGTGCCGCGGCTTTACCAGACGGAGCCGTCGGGGATTTATTCCGCTTGGTATCTACCTCCCACCTTTCTGTGCTCGGGCGAAATGGGGGGAAATGAAGGCTAATACGATGGGGTGATAGGAAAGCGAATGCGATCGGCCGCTCGAGCAAGACCGTTCGCGAATTCCTCGAACGCAACCACCAGGACGACATGGACCGCGAACAGACCATCCAGCTGACCATCAAGTCGCTGCTGGAGGTGGTGCAGACGGGCGCAAAGAACATCGAGGTGGCGATTATGGCGCCGGGTAAGGCCATCGAGATGCTCCCCGAGGACCAGATCGAGGCCTATGTCAAGAGCATAGAGACCGAGAAGCAAGAGGAGGCGGCGAAGAAGAAGACCGGCCGCGGCGGCACCACGACGGCGGCCATCTTAACGCGGGGCGGTGACGAGGGTCGTGAGTAGGCCTGCTGCGGAGGGTGATGGGTTATCTTAATATTTGAGATTTGTCGAAGCGACGGTTACGAATGAATCTTGTTTTACATTAGAGGCGAGATGTAGCAGTGTAACATGTATAGTTGGGGTGTGTATATGTGTAGGTGTAAAGTATTCTACGCAGAAAGCCAAAGATCGTATCGTCATAAATCCGCACCACAGGTTACCCCAGTCGATCCGCCGCATCACGCACGTTGAAGATCGACCGTTCATGGTCGCCGCGCACGCGGTCATCCTTGAGCATCCTGTCTCGCGATCAGCGCAGTCCTCCACCCCCCTTCCCCTCCAACGCCAGTAAACATACCTCGCGTCTATCCGCGCATCCTCGCCCTCCACCTGCAGCGCGGGCTTGGGCGTGACCGCGTCGATCACAAAGTGGTTGTCACAGTGGGGGCAGTATTCGTCGCTGAGCCGTCAGTACCGTCGTTGAAAGTGTGCTGGTGGCGGCGGTGGTGGTGTACCTTTCCTCGAACTCGGTGGCGTCCTTGCGGAAACACTTTTTGCATTTTTTACAGGCGAAGACCTGTTGTATGGGATCTGTTAGACGCGCGGTTCGAGAAGTCGGTAGATGGTGGAGGAGGGGTACCATTTCGGTGGTTTTGGTGAGCGCGTGCGACTCTTGTTCGTGGTGGCATTCGGCGCAGTCGAACCATTTTCGGCCTAAGAGTATATTAGGTGGTGGATTGGATATTGGAGGGTTAGGGGCGAGGGAGGGAAGCGTACAGCAGGGTGATCGGATGGAGACTTGGGCGTTGAGGATGTGTTTGCTGGTGGTGTTAGTTGGGAATCTTGGTTCTCAGACTCTGGGATGGCGGACGTACCACATGATGGATCAGACGATCAGATGTCCAGTCTATACACAGAGGTGTGTATGGAGATTGGCGGAGTAAAGAGGGAGAGAGTGATGGGAGGATCAGAAGAGGAGGGAGAGAAGAATAGAGAGGGTGTCAAGGAGTCCCAAAGAGGAATTCGGTTCTGCGGCGTAAAATACTCGATTGATCGAGAATCTTATCGAGACGGCGATATAGGATGATGTATTATTGTACTACTGACAGGCTATAGAAAGCATTCTACTAGTACGTCTGTACTATAACTACCTAAATCATAGAATGATCATCTCCTATTCTTTTATGTACACAGCCATCCGATGCTGTCATCCCTCCCCACTGTCTTCTACACACGCACCTCTTTCTTCTCCTTTTCTCCCCTCATCAACACCGTCTTCCTTTCTTTCCTCTCTTTCTCCCTCTCCCTTTCATTCTCGCTCCTCGACTCCTCTCTCGTATTCTCTCTCTCCTCTCCTCTCTCTATCCCACGCTCTTTCAACTCTTGAGCACTCCTTACTCCTCTCCTCTATACGGATCCACACGCCTGATTGTTTCCGCCTAACCGTCCCGAACTCCGCCACCGACCTGCCACCCTGCAGAATCCCGCTGAGCTCTGCGTGCGGCTTATGATTCACCTCCCTTCCTTGAGCTCGTGTCGGTCTTGTTGTGGTCATGGAGGGCTCCCGCAAGGACAAGGACGCTACCGATAATGCTCCCATCGTACGCCGCGCAATCCAGCTACTCGTGTGTTCATCGCTAACTACTTCCTCAGAGACCAGTGTCCTCCCTTCTGTCCCATTTCGAGAATCTCTCTCACCGTCGCTCCCCGTCCGCTCTGCCTGCCAGCTCACGCGACCCATCATCCTTCTTGAGAACCCCCGAACCCGCCGACGAAAGCCGTTCCCGCGCGTCGCTGGACCTCCCTCGGCCCCGGTCCCCGTGGCTCGCCTCGAATGAGTTTCAGAATGGCCATCAGATCGAGAGGACGAACGGCGACCCTGTTCGCCAGACAGGGTCTCCCGGACGGTCGAAACGGCAAAACAGGCCCATGTCGATGACCTTCCATTCTTCGCCTCAGCTTGCCCCAACCTTGACTGTCGACTCGCCGCGGTCACCCCCGCGTGAATTAGGGACGTTCGGCCGCGACGAGGATATTCGCGCATCTCGCAGTCCCCCGCGTGCAGCGCCAAACTCCCTACCCCCCAGGCCGGTTCCTCGGGGAGCCACTTACACCCGACCGGGGACGCCTACTCTTGCCTCGTCGGTCCCTACGGAGCGGAAAATCGGACATCTGTCTCCTGGGGCGGTGCCACCAGCGAACGATGCGCAGTCGGATCGGAAGTCGAAGAGCGCATCATTGCCCCCCCCGGCGAACCGCGCCGAGAAACCCAAGATCCCTGCGAAACCTGCTGCCCTCTCCTTCCAGGACGGGCGGTCTTTGTCGCCGCAGCCAGAGCGTGCACCCTCGGAAGATCGAGTCTCGCCGTTTAGCACACCTCCCAGCAGCCCCGAGAAGCCGTCGCCCAAGCGCCTGTCGCACCGTCCCATTTACCACTCGCATTCTCCGTCGCAACAGCCCACTGAACCGCCACCCCGACGGTCAATCGACGATCGTTCGCCTCTACCACTGTCCCGTTCTCTGCGCGATGACTCAGAGAGGTCGCAGCCCCGCAGGCCACCGATTCCTGAGCACACGAAGCCTCTCGCGGTGCGGATCCCTCAAGGACCGCTGTCTGTGCACGGGGAGACCATGTCCAGCGTTCCACTGTCCGCTCGCATCCAGACCCCTGATACTCCCCGCGAGCGCCCTAACCTCCCCCCACGACATCCATCGGTAGCCCGCCGGACAGGTCGGTCCCCGGCGAGAGCTCCCCAACGTTTGGACAGTCCCGCGCAACCTTTGCCTTCCCCACGGCCCGAACAGCGCCCACCGTTTCCTGCCGAGGCACAGAAGCCGATCCAAACCCCTCACCAGGTTCAAAGACAACCGTCATTCTCGAGAGAAACGAAGCCCGGACAGGCGCCTGCCATTCCGGAACGGCCAGTCGTTGAGCGACAACCCGTTCGACCGGCGCCGGTTGCCGTCCCGAGCGAGGACGAGCAGCCTCCGGACGACCAGCCGGTTCCGCGAACTGACTATCCGGATGCTTCTTTTGCGAACCGTCGGCCGCCAATCTTGAAAACGGGGCCGCAAGAGATTCCGACGCGGTACGATACTAGACTTATCGACGTGTGCGGAAAGCATGCCTGCACCACGGGTTACATTACGCGGGTCTGGGATCTGACCAGTGGAGAACAGCTCATGAGTGTCAGTCATGGGGAGACGGTGAAATGTCTTTCATTGGCGTTTAAGCCGGGAGTGGGCTTGGAAGACGAGGGCCAGCGCATCTGGCTAGGAACTAATGCCGGGGAGCTCCACGAAGTTGATATTCCCACTCAGTCGATCGTGGCGTCGCGGTCGTATCCGTCCCGGCGCGAGATTATCAAGATTCTGCGCCACAAAAAGGAGATGTGGACTATCGATGACGAGGGTCGTCTACTTGTATGGCCTCCAGATGAGTCCGGTGTGCCCAACCTCCAATACAGTTACCACAACCCATACGACCGCGTCGCGCGTGGACATACGTTTTCAATGGTGGTTGGCGACACTTTATGGCTCGCGACCGGCAAGGAGGTGCACATCTATCGACCCAATGCTCGGGACGATGTATCATTCAAAGTTCTGAAGCGGCCACTGGGCTCGCAGCACTCGGGAGATGTGACGTCGGGCGCCTATACCACCAGAGATGGAGGTCGAGTATACTTGGGCCACGCCGATGGCAAGGTCACGGTGTATTCCTCTAGTGATTATGCTTGTCTGTCGGTTGTGAACGTGAGCGTGTACAAGATTAATTGCTTGGGTATCGTTGGTGATCATCTCTGGGCTGGCTACAAGACTGGCATGATCTATGTCTATGACACCAGCACAACGCCGTGGACTGTGCGCAAGGACTGGAGAGCTCATGATAGCCCCGTGTCCGGGTTCCTTCTCGACTCGAGCAGCGTGTGGACGATGAATCGATTGCAAGTCACTTCTCTTGGAACGGACAACTGTATTCGTCTTTGGGATGGCATGCTCGAGGATGACTGGCTGGGTAAGTTTGTCGATTGTTGTCTAGTTCATCTACTAACGCCTTGCAGAGACTCGAATGCAAGCCAAGGATGTCGAGTTCTGCACCTTTAGAGAGATCCGCGCTGCTATTGTCACGTGGAACGCTGGTGCATCTACTCCGGGCAGTGTCAAGGCGTCGACGTTCATCCAAGATGCTATCCATCCGGATAATCCGCCCGAAATTCTGGTGTTTGGGTTCCAGGAGCTGGTGGATCTGGAGAACAAGAAAATCACGGCTAGTATGTATCCTTCCCTTGACTTCTTAGCAACGCTAACCGATCGCAGAGAGCTTGCTCATGAGCAGCAAGAAGAAGGAGAGCGGAGAAAAAGAGCATATGAGCCGTCAATACCGGGTTTGGATGGAATATCTGACACGATCTATCAACGAGTGCATGCCTCTGGACGAGTCCTATGTCCTTTTGCATAGCGCCAACCTGATTGGTCTCTTCACGTGTGTATTTGTCAAGCATAAGGAACGACAACGGATCAAGAGCCTGAGCGCCGCGGAAGTGAAGCGCGGGATGGGTGGATTGCATGGCAACAAGGTACGACTTTCTCCATACTCTAGATCGACTAGACTAACTGTGTAGGGTGCCTTGATTCTCCGGTTCGTTCTGGACGACAGCTCCCTCTGCTTTGTGAACTGTCACCTGGCTGCAGGTCAAAGCCACACGGCCCACCGTAACAACGACATTGCTGCCATTCTCGAGACGGAGTCGCTGCCGGCGGAGCAGAGCTTGATCACGCGTGCGGACCACTTCGTCAACGGCGGAGATGGGTCCATGATCATGGACCATGAGATCTGTATCCTGAACGGAGACCTGAACTACCGCATCGACTCCATTCCACGCAACGTGATAATCGAAGACATCCGGAACAACAACCTCAGCAAGCTGCTGGATCGCGATCAGTTGCTCGCCTCGCGACGCAAAAACCCTGGCTTCCGGCTGCGTGCGTTCAACGAGGCGCCCATCACTTTTGCCCCGACCTACAAGTATGACGTCGGCACGGACGAGTACGACTCGAGCGACAAGAAGCGATCTCCGGCGTGGTGTGATCGCGTGCTGTACCGCGGTCTCGGCCGGGTGAAACAGCTGGAGTACCGACGCCATGAGGTGCGGGCGTCCGACCACCGGCCCGTAAGCGCGTACTTCAAGCTTCGGATCAAGACGGTGCTGCCGAAGGAGCGGGCGGCGGTATGGGAGACGTGTCAGCAGGAGTTCCAACAAGAGAAGAGACGGCTCGCTTCCGAGGCGAGGTAAGCTTTCGCAATCGTTCTTATGGGTTTGCGCTAACCAATGCAGCATCGAATATCTGATCAGCGTCCTTGGCACCGACCCGCAGCAGGCACGAGCCCTGATCCTGGGTAGTTAGTCTGGCGCCGTGGCATGAAGAATTAGACTGCTGCGCCTGTGGCAGCGTGTATGACTAATGACTTCACGATAGACATGTATGTATCACGAGTGGGATTAGAAGGGGCGAGGCGGGGTTATAATCCTAATACGCGTGCATTGTTGTATATATGAGATAGACATGATTACTTTGCTTTTCTTTCAACGACATGCAGTATGTCTTGGACATCAACGATTAGATCCCACTACCCATCGCACCCTATTTACCTCCCTCTCCAACCACCCTCAAATCGAAACCTCCATAACAGGCCCTTGATACACCTTCCTCGCCCGCAGAACATAATACACCACAGCGAGGACAATAGTGCCCACCGTGCCAACGACACTAAAATTCATCGTCGTCTTGTCGACCTCCATCTGCGACGGCCAGAAACTAAAAAACACCACAATCATCATATACACCACCGCGTAGCCGTTGACCGCCTTGCCCCAGATCCCAGGCACATGGAACGGTCCCCAGACCAGCTGGGCGCCGGGAACGTTGACAGTGCCGTCGCCACCCTGGTCGTACGCCGAGATGGCGCCCGTGCACCGCCGGTAGAGCAGCAGACTGCCCACCATGAGGTAGGACAGATACAGCCCGGACACGGCCATCGAGACGACGGCGTTGAGCGCGACGCTGGACCCGATGTTGATGAGGCCCAGGAGACAGCAGACGGTCATTGTCAGGAGGATCGAGTAGGTCGGGAGGCAGTTTACGGGGGAGACCTGTGCCGTTAATATGTATATTCGATGAGAGCACGGGGGAAAGGGTATACCTTGCTCCAGATGCGCCAGCCGGGCACGGCGCGGTCGCGCGCAAACGACCAGAACTGGCGCGATGTGGCGGCCAGCATACCGATTACGGAGCAGACGCCGATGATCAGCAGGATGGAGCTCATACCGAGGGCGCCGGAGAGCGAGTCGGTCGCTTGGTAGAAGATCTCCATGTAGGGGTATCCGGTTGGGGTGTTCAGGGCCGCGTCGACGTCGCCCATGCAGAAGAGGACGGCGATCAGCATGCTGAAGCCGAGGGCGCCGTTGATGAGGACCGAGAGTAAAATTGCGCGTGGGATTGCGACGGGGGCGTTTTTCACCTCTTCAGCCATCTGTCAGGGTCAGTTATGAATTCACATTCCTCACGGCAATGCTAGGGAGATAGGAAAAGGATCCGTACATGCACCGCGGCGTCGCCGCCAGCAAACGCAAACACACACCCCGTCATACCGACAAACCACGACAAGCCCTGCGTGGGAAAGCCGCCGGAGTTGACGAAATCATGAAACACCTCGTGGGTGGTCTTGTGGTTGGCCATGTAGGTCATGGGGATGAGGATGCCGAAGAAGCCCACCAGATGGATGACCAGAATGACCGTCTCCAGCCGCGGGAGCAGCTTGCCGCCGACGACGTTGATTCCCAGCGCCAGCAGGACCGCCGCCCACATGATGAGGGTGCCCTGCCAGGCCTGCGGCTGGTAATTCTCATGCGCGAGGAGGACGGCGCCTTGGATCTGGGTGCCGGCCAGGAACGAGGCCGAGGCGAAGGCGGCCTGCCAGCCGATCACGGTGACCCATCCTGGAAGTTGTGATTAGTGGTGGAGTGGATTGAGAGTGCGATGGTAGGTGTAATACCTGTCATGTAGCTGAGGAATTTCATGAGATGGGGCGGAGCGAGCATTGCGCACCAGTGGTATTGGCCTCCGGCGGTTGGGGCCCTGCATGGTCAGTATTGAGGTCCGTCCGCATATCCGTACCGGGGGATCATACATGGAGGCGAGCTCGGAGAGAACGACAAAGCAGCATGCGGTTCCTGTCCAGGCGAAGATAAAGGCGTAGACGGCTCCGCCGGGCCCTCCACTGGACGGGGTTAGTTTCGCATTTGTGTCGCGATTTGCGGTACTGACTTTTGTAGAGGCAAGAGGAACGTGCTAGGGAAGTGATTAGTTTGTGGAGGTTCTTGTGTGGATAGGATTCATACTCGAATAGGCCTTCCCATGTCGCCAGAATCGTGCAGCTGAATCCGAGCGTGGATAGGATGCCGAATGTTCGCCTCAGAACTGGCTTCTTTCCCAGTCGCGCCAGAGCGTTGACATCGCGGTCATTGCTGCCGATCATCCCATTGACCTCTGCGTTTGCCGAGACGGCGCGATTCTTGAGCTGGTGCGACTCCATGGTGCGATTCCGAGGACAACAGTTGAACTTGGTATCGGCTCAAGTTGTCGAGGGGGACCGCTTCCTGTTAAACCTCCCTGTTAAAGAAAAATCCTCCGACCAATCTGGCCACCCCCCGCGACCTTCCGTTCGAGTTCTAGTGTCCGATGCAGATGGAGGCCCTCTTATGGGTCAGAAGTCTGGCCGGTTGAAACCGACATGGACGGCGTGGCTCTAATTTACGATCCCTGTCGGTATGGCTGGCCATTATTAATGTCGTAAGGCAATGGCATTCTCAGGGCTGACTCTTCTGCAAGGGATGAGTCCAGCAGTCAGTCAGCATCTTGACATCAGTGATATGCTATACAGCAGTAGACGGTCATACAGATGCTGAAGATGCTGAACACTCGCCTGTCGACTGCTGAGCCATGGATGCTGGCAATGCTTAGGATGCTTGTTATCTCCACCCGTGTTTACGTGATATGCCTTGGCGCGACAGGGGTGGGAGCCAAAAATGTAACCCTACTCGGGCATCATCGTCGCACATGGATCAGTTGTCGTGCCGTGCCGTCGCCAGGCTGTTAGGGTTTGTGTCTGTTGTGCTCGTGTCTGGCTTGCCTTCCCGGCTGTTGAAACACCTTCGAGACTGGCAGTATGGCATGGGATGGAGACGGCAATTGCTGAGACAATCGAAAACGACGGCTAAACTTATTCCGCTCCTGTTGGAAAGATAAGAGCACCAGACTGGGGGCCGAAGGCTTGACATCCCTGTTGCGCCGAGTCAGAATTGAGTTCATACTGCGACCAGGCCCAGGTGGGCGCACTTCATATGCAATCTGTTCACCATCCTCGAGTCCGCCATGGCTCTGCTTCATCTTTTCATGAACGACCAGCCCGTTCTCTTCGCATGCCTGCAGGCCATGACTGGCAGACATGGGCCGATTTGCCAATATCGACACCCGCGACCCCGCCGTCAATGTCACCAACTGGTTGTTGATCGTGATTGCGGGCTTGAGCGTCCTGATTCGGCTGGCCACTAAGCTGTGGATCTTTCACCAGTTGACCAGCGACGACTATCTGATGATTGCGGCTTTCGTACGTCCACCAACATCACATACATCGCGTACCGAGCAGAACCAGAGTCTTACTTTTACTGCGTTATAGACATTCTACGTGACGCAGTCCGCAGCCATCTCGACGGCAGTGGCGCACGGATATGGAGATCATTTCGCAACAGTCTCGAGCCAGAGTTTCGATCAAATCATGAAGGTACTGAAGACCAGAAACAGCCGCAACAAACCTGCTAATGCTTGATCAGTCCCAGTATGCCGCCTACATCTTGTGCATCGCAAGCCTCTGCTTCTCCAAGCTCTCGCTCTCCTCGTTCATCCGCAACTTGACCCCGGTGCACAAGGATCACTTTCAGGCCGCCGTCCTGCAGGGTCTCATTGCTGTTCTAGGCGTCATTGGTGTCTTTGGTACAGCCTTTCAGTGTCATCTGCCCCATCCCTGGGACTATTGGCATGGTCAATGCTTCAACTTGGTAGCTCCTTGCCCGTTCTCCATGAGACGATCCCGTGTCACCGTGCTGACCTCGTGCTAGCTCGCCTGGAACTACTTCCTTTCGCTATCGAACATTGTGACGGATTTGATGATTGTTACACAGGCTTTGCTTCTCATTGGCGGCATCCAGGCCACATGGAAGAAGAAGATGGTGTTTGCCAGTATATTTCTATCGCGACTCATGTTCGCTATACCCTCATCTTATGTCTTTTGGAACGGAAAACTGATTCCTGGCGCAGTGTGGTCATCGCAACAATCATCGAAATAGTCTACACCCGCGACGTCCGCCATTCCACCGATCCAACATACGACTACTGTTCCCTCACCGTTGTCTCACAGGTCGTGCAGTGCGCGAGCATCGTCACGGCATGCTGGGGCCAGCTGAAGCCGTTCCTCAACCAGCTCAAGTCCAACGGCTTGCGGATCCAAGGCGTGGAATACCAATACTCGAGTATGAAGGGCCAGTCGTCGCGGTCCTATGGACGGTCTGGGACACACCACAGCGGAGAGGAATGCCATGAGCTGGTTCCTACAGCGTCTCGGGGACAACATCTGACCACTGTTTCGGCGGCTCCAGGGTGGGATGCGCATAGCCAGTCTAGTCAGACGGGGATCATTCGCGAGACGCGGACATGGCTGGTGACGGGGGATGAAGCGGATTCACGGCATTCGTCTTGATGGAGTGTACCTCACCTTCTAGCTGGTTGAATTGATCATCACTGAATCTGCTCTGGGTAATGAGAATTGTTTCATGATAATGCCACATTTATTGCTGTTATCTGGTGTTCCTGAGAATGGCCGCCTGCTAATTTACGCTTCGTTGATGGAGCACTAGCCTACACCTCTAGTATATCGTAATGCGTGCAAATTCCTAGACAACGACGTCAGCGGAAGAAACACGCCCAGTTCCACGGAATGCCTGTTGGGTCCCCTCAGTTCCATCCGTTCCTTCGGTACCAGGCGACTGCGCCCCGATAGCTGGCATGCTTGCTCTAAGCCCAATTCGCTAGGCTCCTTGCCATATTTTCAGGGCACTCTTGCGTCCAGCTGAGGACTCCGAGGGTTTTCAGGAGGCCGCGGTATAAGATTTCCGGGTAGTATGTTGCGTAACGGGCCCAGCGGAGCACACTCTGGGGTATTCAGGAGAGTGGCGTATGAGAGACCTAAACAATTAGTATGCAGTGTAACTAAGATATCACCATCTCGACCGGCTGAGCAGACCGAGTATCATTCAGCAGAGCGAAGCATGGGCTAATTCATGTAGTGGACTCAAGTCTGCAGGAATGGAGGTTTCAGCTGCGAGCCATTGTAGATATATAAGGAACTACTGGTACCCCCAATGATGGATCTGGGATATCCCAAAGCCAACAGTGAACGGACAACATCCAAAGCCTACTTCACCTCAATTCCAACGATGAAATTCTCTACCGTGCTTGTCGTGCTCGGCGTTGCCTCTGGAGCGGTTGCAGTCAGATGCAACCAGGGCCTTACCTACTGCGGATCATCGCTGCTCAAGAAAGGTACGTCGTGCTACTCGTACGACTATTAGCCACAGGTGCTAATAGATTCAAGGAAACTACCGCGCGGACATTGTTGCGTGTCTGGAAAGGGAGGGCCAACCAACGACCACTGACTACATTCTTTACTCGCGCTTTCTTTGCACTGCCGATGAGGACTTTCTCATCTGGGTGGACAAGTGTCCTACTGGAGGGTGCATGGACAATGGCAGTGGAAGAGATGACACCTGCGCTTGAAACGAGATGGTGAAACGCATGGGGAGTCAGGTTCTGGGTTCTTCTGGGGGTGACAATTGGCGGGAAAGGGGTGGATCAATGGCCTTGCTAGAGGTTTTTCCTACTGTAATAGGTTTCCCTGTAGACTCGTGCAAATGCAAAGGCTTGATGGAGCTTGCCAGCGAGCGACTAAGTAGAGCTGCGGGACGATCTTACTTCTCAGTAGACTGAGGCTGGAATGAATGCCGCTGACGATTATCGACTCTCTGGGCAGCGTTTATTTGGTCGTCCTGCTACCGAACACAAAGATAAGAATCCTCATAAGTAGAGTATTGAGAATGAGAAAGATGATTGGCGAAAGAGGGCACGCTCAGAGATCCCGGTCGATATATTTGTAGACTTGTGTGGATGCATCTGCATATTGCCTATAGTCAAAGTATCTCGATTGGATATTGGATGTCATCAATGGAGTGAAACAAGGGTGTAGCTACGCCGCCTTCATCAAGGCTCAGTTATCACCATTTAAACCAGACTAGTTTCACGATATATTGAATAGTAGGTACATCATTCATTGCGTCTCTGAACCAGGCCTTTCACAGACCCTGTCCCGTTTGATTTGGCAGACTTGTGTCCAATTCACCCTTTCTTCCATCTCCACGGCTACTTCAGTAATGTATCCTCCCCGCTTTAAGTAGCCAAGATCCCGTCTCCAGCTGTCTACAGGCAAGACTTCATTCGAGTGTTCTAAGCAAGATGGCTAAGATAATGGACTGCAGTATAGCATGATTATCATTACTGAAATGAAAAGTAACAGACTAAGGTATAATTATCAAAACACGCCATATCCAACCCGACATAAGGAAGTCATCAAACGAAGGACCAATATCCTCACTATTACCCAATTTATACATTAACAATCTTGACCCGAGCCCGCTCCACGTGTTCGACTTGTAAGATCTTCGCCGTTTGGATTTGGACAGGCGGTTTGGAATTGGGATAGAAGTCTATCTTACCCCCTTCCTGGATAATGCCAGTCCGGTCCAAGCAATTTCGCGCCCGTATGTAGGGGTCTAGCCTCCAGTAGTTCGTCCTTAGCTGCTCGACCGTCTCCGCACGGTAATAACTGGCTTCTGATACTCCGAGGGAGTCCTTCGCCCTGGACGCAGCGATCCATTGCGATGTAGCAGCAAGGAACTCGTCTGTTATTCCCTGTCGTTCGGCGAGGAGGACATTTCGCGTCATGTAGTCTTCCATGACTTCATTCTCGTCTGGATCGGGCTCGGTGTACTCGTATTCCCAGTCGTCGTTGCCGCCTAGTTCGCTCACGATGTGTTCGCGGGCTATAAACTGCTCAAGGTCGTCTACGGACCGCGTGAAATGGATCTTTTTGACGAGGTCAGGGTCGATCCAGCCCTTGATGACTTTCCAGATACCTGGTGCTTATTAGTAACTTGCAAGAACCGGGGAAAGGGACCGCCTCACTTGAGAATATCTTTGGGGCGTTGTGCAGGAGCATCACTCCAAGTAACTCGGGGTAGTATGTTTCGAAACATCGGATGATGAATTTGACGGCGGCGTATTCCTGACCCGTTAGCGGGGAATTGTATACTCTATCATGCGAATGCTCACCATGTTGGCAAGAGAGAAGCCCGTCATGTCGAATATAACTGTCTATAACCCAAGTCAGTACAGCATTAAAGAACTGTTTGGAACTTCGAATCCATACCCCAGTTTCCTGCGGCGGCGTAATCAGAAGCCTGACAGACTCCATCATATGCGTGATGAACTGGTTCAGCACCGTTTCGCTCTGCGCCCCGGGCTGATGCAGTCGCACGCGAATCACACACACCGGCCGGTTCATCTTATCCACCCCGTGCACGTACGACTTCCCCATACGCAACTGGTCCAAGAACGCTTCTCCCTCCTCCGCCGCCTCGCGGTCCAGCGCGCGCTGCGACAGCTGCAGCGCATGCAGCTCGCCCTTCGCCAGCAGCTGACTGTCAACATTCATCTCCTTCATGCGCCACCGCAGGGAATTCAACAGCCGAACAAACGCCTTGTTAACATCCCATTTGGCAAATCGCAGAAACCGCAGGAGATACGCATCAGGCGGCTCCTGTTTCGCCGCCGTGACGATACCGAATCGCACCTCGTCCGGCGTCAACGACGCCAGACACTTCCTGGCGGCGCGGATCTCCGACGTGGCCATGCCGCCGGCGCGGAGGCTGTCGAGCAGGCGCGCATGCTGGGCCGGGTACGCGAGGGTGCTGTTTCGGCGCGAGATGTTCGACTCGGTGCGGTAGAGGAACGAGTTCCGGCTGCGGAGGGACGGCGACGGCGCCTTGGGCTGGGTTTCGGTCGACGAGCTGACGGGGCTGATGGGGTCGAGGATGCTGGGTGCTTCGCCGAACTGTAGGATGAGCGCCCAGAGCTGCTGCAGGCGGTCTTCCTGCTCCCACGAGAGATTGCCCACGAACCCGGGTGGAATGCTGTGCGAGTCCATGGCCTGGGGGGTCTGTGTTTGGGACTCAGGGATTTTTGAGGGTGTCGTTGGAGGAGGGGGCAAAATAATGATGGTGGTGCTCGTTAGTGCTGCTTCCCCCGCAGTCGACGGATGACGATCAACCCCGTCCACCTCGGCTGATAGGTGCGCTATGATCCCAGGCCGCGTTTACGGGTTTAAGGGTTCTTGTGTATGAGATGAAACAGTCGTTCATCGTTGATCTGGAGTTATCGCAGACGGAACCGGTGGAGTCGACTGTATACTCCAGTATAGACCCTGTGTTGTGTCAACGGTGTCTCCTTCGTACACAGTCGTTACACCGGTCCATGTGGGATGATTCCATGTGCTACAACCGCACGGGCTTGGCCTCTTGGATGCATTTGCCACGAGCCAACTCGGAGATTTCGGAACGTGGATGTACTCCGTATCGATTCCTGCTTTCCCATACCGCTTTTTGCTGCGCCTGGGGTTGGCGGCCCGGCTTACCCCTTTTCACGATCGACAACTCTAGCGCACTTTGTTATGAATCGTAACGCATAGTGCTGGTCCCATTGGCCTCCACTGTCCATCGATTGCCCAATAATACCGGCATTTACCCGGTTGGGGATCGATTGGCTGTTCATCCGGTAATCGACTCATCCCTGAAGCCTTGACATCACCTCTGGGTATAAACTTCATTATTTCAAATGCTGAAAGCGAATTCAGAGTGGTGACGATCATCTTTCTTCTTGATTCTATTTTGGCTGTTTTGGGCAGCTGAGAATAGGTGTATCGTGATGCGCAATATCGTACAAATATACTTTGTTCTGGGGGTGATATATATCAGTAAGTCCCTATTCAGCATGTACGATGAAGTGTACTTGATGGTGACCATACAGTATGCAGAATTCCAGCCAGGTGGCTTCATATGAATTACTATTAACTCACCCACACCAAGATATATACATCAAACAAATATGAGCACAATCAACACCAAATGCATGTCTATCAACCCCCATGAATCAACGAGTAACCCACTTTTCAATCCTCCTGGCCAACTGGACGCATTTCACATCCACATACCGGGTATAAACGTCGGCGAGATAAACCACGATGACCGCCATAGCAAGAAACGTACCGAGCCACGAAATCCCAAACGCCACGATATGCTCTTTCGCCGTCTCAGTGTCCGGGTACGCTTCCCCCCTGAGCACTAGCCAGAAGAGTTTGAGCATCGGGTCTCGCCCGAGATGGTACACGGTCTGGTGGACCAGATACAAGGAGAAGGAGATTTTCCCCAGGTACTGCACAACGTCGGAGGTCAGCGGCCGCTGAAGAAGCGCCGACTTGCTGATCGCGTAGACGAGCATGAACGACCCCATGCATTTCCAGGATTTGCTCAGCACGGCCCAGTCGTCGTCCCAGCGGGAGGACTGGAAGTGTTTGAGGAACTGGTAGCCTGGGGGAAGATAGCCGTCGTCGCTGAGACAGACCAGGTAGAGGCCGAATATGAAACAGAATATCGTCCAGACTCTGCTGAAGTTGATGGAATTGAGCTTTGGCCCCCATGTCGTGGAAAGACGGAATGGCAATTCCCACTCTTTATCTGTCTCTACTTCACCGGGCGTAATGACGATCTCGGCGAGGTACAATCCAGCCAGGAAGCCGAATATATCCCATAGGCCGTAGTAGAAAAAGTACACCATCATGACGACGAGGGCTCCGCACCGGAAACTCGGCTTCCAGAATGCCAGGGCCAGGACCGTGAGGTAAATGATGAAAGACCCGCGGATTTCAAACGGCATCGTCCAAAGCTGCCCATTCAACCCGGGGTTTTCATGGAACTGAATGCAGTTTGTGATGTCCAACACGTATCGCATGAGATACTGCAGATGGAACATGGGCGCTGTCCACGGACGTCTGCCCCATACCACATCGTCGCCGAATGACCAGCTATACAGGTTGCAAAAGTATAGCACCTGGGATATAACCGCGATGACAAACACGGGAAGATAGATGCGAAAGGGTCTCCGGGTTGCGGCAGATGCCAACCGACGAGCGAATTCGCTCCCATGATTTGTCGTATTGGCGCCATCTCTGGCTCGGATCAGGTTGATGGACAGCGCGAAACCTGATATCACGAAGAACAGTGGCACCATCGCATGCGCGGCGAAGAATATCCGCAGCGGGAAGAGCTGGATAACGCGCGAGTTTTCTTCGCGCGGCTCAGCCCAGTATGACCGGAAGGCGACGTCCAAAACACCACCCATGAAGTAGTGGTCCAGCGCCACGATTGCGGCGGCAATACCGCGCAGTCCATCGAGCCAGGCGGTGCGGTCCATGGCTCTGGACGGGTATAGAGGGAGTGGGATGAAGGAAGACGACGGCGAGGAAAGGGAGATAGACTAGGCCCTGTAGGCACAGCGTTGGACTGTGGAGCGGCGCACTTTAGCGCTCTTTGCGGTGGAGCCGGGCTGAGGACCCGTCGACGAACTAGACTGACTAGACCGGACTATCGGCGAGACCCTGAGACTGTCGCAGTTGAGCCGCACTAGAGGATGAATTTTCGTGGTGATATGCCGGCATCCCCATGCTGACAGCTCGCCGGCTTATGTCTCGTGTTGACGCATGCATGTCTTATAGTATATTATTAAAAACTCCCAAAAATAAACCAATCTATGTACATGGAACAAAAGTACTATTCCTGGCACTCCCAGTTTTCCACTCGCCGTTTCAGCCAGCCACTGGTCCAAGGCAGAGATGTCTCTCGTCGGGAATCGCCCGGCGGGATCCCACTGCCTAGCAGCGCCATGCTGTCCATCTTGCACCGATCTTCGTAGTAACTCCACTGCACACACTGCGCCCAGGATTTGCAGGCAGCTTCACAGGCATCAATGGACTTCCAGGCGCTGCGCCACGTGTCGGCGGATTTGACCGTGTCTGGAACCTCGGCCTTCTCTGCCGTGTTCGAACGGATGTCATGTTTGGAGGACCAGTTATCCCACCATTCGACTCGGTCGCGAAGATACGGCGCCACGAATTCATTGAAGATGTCACGGTACCGGATCGGACCGCGCTGAATTTATCAGTGTTTCATTCTCAAAGAACATAGTGGCATGGGGCATACCTTTTCAAAATCCCAAGACTGCTCGAGATTGTAGAACCTGGCCACATCCCTGCCGTGCGTGTGATGCCAGCTGTAGACCGGCTTGCACCAGTTGGCCGGCTCGTACCAGGTAGACCAGTGTGCCTCGGGGTTGAATCCGTATGTGAATCGGCTGTCGCCGTGCGTCTCACCAAACTCGACGCCATATTCATGGAGAACATGTCCCAGAATATGGTCTCCGAAGCTATGCTGCACCGTGTAAGACTCGAACTTCTCGAGAATGTTGGGATCCTGTCCAAAGCTCTTCATCCACGCGCCGCGAGACAGCGCGAACCCAGAGCCACCGTGCGCAAAGTAGATGCCGTTATTCCAGGCCAGACTGCCCAGATACCAGGGCTCCTCGTGGTTGAACTTCTCCAGATGGCGCTCGAGATTGCGGAGGAAGACGAAAGAGTCGTCCTCGTTGAAAATGTACCACTTCGCGTTGGGTTTGGCTTCTCCCGCGTGCTTGATCATGGGGAGCCATTTGAGCCGGTCTAGCTTCCATCCGCCTGACAGCCCAGGCGAATCGCCTGGCACGTTTGACAACTCGGCGTAGTTCTGACGGTCGTCAAAGTCCTGTTGCTGGAGATACGGAACGAAATCCTGGGACTGGCGGACTTTCTCGGACGAATTGGCCAGCACGTCGATAAACTCCCACGGACCGACGGTTTCCGCTTGATCCGAGTACAGCAGGACGTTGTCGGGACTGATGCGAGCGGGGGAGAGCGTGGTGGCCAGATGAATGGGCACGCGTTTCCAAAAGGCCGAGGCGCCGGATTTGAACACCAAGACGATATCGTCGCCGGTGATGGAAGGCGTTTGCTGCTGCTGAGCATGGCCGATATGGTGTTTTGAGGGCGCAGATGGAGTTTTCGAGGGCACTGCAGAATGCACCGGCTTTTTCACGGCGTCCTTCTCGGGTTCTTTGATAGTGGTGGTGGTGCGTGTAGTTGAACCCGCATCCTTTTGCGGCTCCGCGACTAGGGAGTCAGGAACAAGAGGGAGTGTTGGACCCTGTCGATCCAGTTCGAAATGGTAGATGAAAATAATGATGGTCAACAGCATGAGCCCCAGAGGGACCATGCGGTTGTCCTTGTAGAACGCCTTCAGCATGTTGGACCGATGTCACAATCGGGCATTTCCTGTCACTCCCACGTTTTCCACGTGTCTTCACACCATCGCGACGGCCGAATTCCGACGTTTATAAGACCCTGATTCTGATTCACCTGCCGATAATTTGTGCTGAAGAACCCCTTTTCGGCCAAGGTGGATGTGCTGGCGTGCAGTGGGGCGGCAGGATTTGGTGGAATTGTCTCACAGATTCTGTTTTAGCGGCAGGATCCAGTGGGATTCGCAGCCGGTAGCGAGATTGAGGCTTTTGCGCCCCGGTTTCATTTGCCCACTACTGCAGATACGAGCAAAGGATGCTGAGCAGTGTCTCACTCTCCATGGCAAGGATCGACGTGTTCCATGAATACCCTCGACTCCGCCCCCGACAGGTCATCGAATGGATTCTTCATTCGACACGCTAACAACGTTCGGGCTGAGCCGGTCATCCTCGAAGTGGGCAGACTCATCTCGCAGCCTAGACTAGGTGTGTTAGCGTAGGTTCCAGCGGCAGGGGGCCTAGAAGCCTCACAAAGAAAGTGATCCATCCGAAAAAGTCCGGAGTAAATACAAAAAAACCTCGTCACCAGCAGTCATGTCATAAACCACTTTCGTTTATACTCTCGTTCCATTTATACTTTCGTTTATCACGTTCATTTTGTTGCATATTAGATTATAGTCTTCATTCGTTTATGGAATCATGGCCTCCCTAGGGGAGAAAATACACGCTCGCCTGTCGATTTTTCAAGATCGCGGGCCTGACGTCCCTTTTTTTCGCCAGGTGTTGAACCTGCTAGGATGTCTGATCATCCTGCCAATGTACTATGTTATGACCGCCTATACTCGTCATCCTCTGACGCTGGATATTCTCGTCACGATCTTTGCTGCGGAGCTGAATCGATTCTGTAACGAGCGTCGACGACGGCGTTTGTATCGTCTTGATGGCGCGTCCTCGACAACAGATGCTGAAAAAGCCATGCAAGCGATGGTCCATTCCGATCTGGGTCCAGAATGCATGGCCGCAATCGTGGGATTCCGTGAAGATCCAGAATTGTTCGCGCGCTGTCTGGAAAGTTACAAGTCTGCCAGGGAATGTCGCTTTGTGCTTGTTGGCGTCGACGGAGACGCAGCCCCCGACATGGAAATGATCCAGGTGTTCCAGAAGGTACGTACGCACCTAAGGTCAATGCAATTTGGATCTGACAAGATCAGGTGTTCCCCGAAGACTCTGCGGTAATTCATCTGGACGAGCCTCTAGGTGAAGTGGCGATGCGCACTTTTGCCAAGGTCTCTGAGAGTGATGGCTACGCGCAGCCCCGTGAGGTGTACATGGAGACGGCCATCGCCCATTGCTGCGAGTTGGCACGCGAAATCTTGATTGACCACGACCTTGACATTGGTGAAGCTGGTGGCGTGACTCGACTTTGTCTCTACCAGCCACATTTGCACAAAAAGGGCATCATGTTCAGTACATTCATCTTCTCCATCGTTCTCTCGGAAATGCTTGGGGTCGAGTATCTTTGGTCTTCGGATTCGGATACGATCGTCATGGATGGTTCGTTGCGCAGAACCATCGAGACCATCGCTGGGGACCCGCATGTCGGTGGTGGTAGTGCCGGGCTGATCGTCCACAATGAACACGACTCCATCACCACCAAGCTGGGAAGCGTCGTGTACTGGAGTGAGCTCTACTTGACTCGGTCTGTCGCAATGGCATCTGGCACGAGTGACTGTCAGAGCGGCCCCAGCACGGCCTTCAGGGTGTCTGTACTCCCTGCAGTGTTGTATCCGTGGTACACCCAGACAGTATTGGGACATCGCATGGTGAGTTACACTGTTCGTACGTAGACGATCATCACTAACACGTATAAAGGTTGTCAACGAAGACCGTCATTTGACGACTAACCTCTTAATGCGCGGTTGGACCGTCACATATGCATCCGACACCCTCGCCGCCACCGACACGCCCACCACGCTGAGCAGATGGATCATGCAGCAGGTTTGTCTCCATTCACTTTTTACTCCCAATACTTTACTGACAACCGCAGGTCCGCTGGAGTCGAGCCGGCCACATCGAGTCCTTCCAACAACCCAAGATCTACCTGATCAACAATCCCTTGTTTTTCTGGGCCGCAGTCAAACGCGAAGCCGGCCCTCTCCTCGGCCTCCTATATATCGTCTACTACCTCGTCACGGGTAACACCTTCGCTTACTTCTCCTGGTACGACGCAGCCTTTCGCACTGTGTACACCATCATCTACAACTACCTGCGCAACCCGGACCGCAAAGGAAAGCGTGAGGCGATCTGGATCATCCCGGCCCTGCTCTTCTATAACGTCCCTCTGCCGATGGTACATCTCTGGAGTTTGATCACTCTCTTCTACGATAGCTGGGGCACGTCTATGCGCTCGCAGTCTGAAATCACGAAGCGGGGTGAGGCGTGGAAGCGGTTCAAAGATCTGGGCTTCATGGTGGTGTGGGCTGCCATTGTGGGTGGATCGTTGGCCCGAATGTTTGCTTTCGCGGCTGGATGGAATACGATGGCTGCCATATTTTGGGGGATGCTTATTCCTGGCATGGTGACGTTCCACGGTCTGGTGTTGCGCGGCTGATCAGTTTTTTTTGCATACTTCTCTTTTTTGCATATACAGGGGCGCGGTTCTATGACTACCTCAAAGTGGCGTACTGGATGCCACTAGATATATTAATTAATAACCACAAAAGCAAGCTCATTACATTCTTTTTAGAGATATGACTTTTCGTACCCAAGCTCAGTGCCCCGTGGGTTCTCCGCACCTGGTATACTACCGCACAACTGCTGTGCAACATGAAAAGACTCAACAACGAGTCTGGTCTCCCAGCCAAACAGTCAGCTGTATGTTCCAGTCGGTCTTCTCATGAAACCTCGGCTCGCTGCGAGCGGCGTGTGAAAGGGGAGGGAATTTAGTGTTTCCTGTGTCAATGCTGAGTTGTCGAGCATAAGGACAGCGAGCCAGAGCTGGGGTCGCAGGAGCCCAAGCAATGGCAGTAGCATATGCAGAACGCATGGCAATCGATCGATCAGATAAGATCGCGATAAGATTGTTGGTAACCACACTTGGGAACTTCGGGACAGTTCGCACTGTGGGAGACATCCACCCAGTATTTATGCCGGCCGATCCTATCTCCTTATCATCATCCCTGAGCTCGAATAAGGCAAGGGAGCCCGAGTGTCTGAATGAGATGGACCTCGCGCTGTATCGGTCCGGGTTGTTCGTCTACTACCCTAGCATTGACCGATGAAGCAATGATATTCACTGTTGTGGAGATCGTGGGTGTCTGCATGGAGCACAAGTCGGCTTGAACGCTGTTACAACTATCGAGGCTAATGCAACTTGGCTCCTGGGGTCGATATAAGCCGATGAATTATTAGTATTGTCCTGTGCACTACGGACTAATCAGGTACTTGGGATTGCCAGATTGTGGTCACCAACCCAATGGACCTTCATCTCGCCGATCAAGGGAGCTTCATTGCTTGCCGTCTCAAGGCAAACGATGTCGGGCGTAAAAAACTAGGTTTTTAAAGATATAGCTTATTACTATGATACTGGGGCCATTATTGCCGTTTGCACATACATCATTGCGACGGGCTTCTGCGCCTATTGAAACTTTCAACTAGAACAGAAAATGATGATTACATACATCAGCGAGTATAGCGGAAGCTAGGGATCTCCTTGTCAGTCTTGTTGTGCTGCTCCTCCATCAGATCGCGAGCATCAAGCGTTTCAGATACCGCTCCAGCTCGTCTATCCCGTCTCTTGTTCTCCCAAGTATAGTAAACCCACAAACATCCCAAGAAGAACACACCCAGAACTAATCCGCACAGGGATGCTTCGATACCACTCTGTTTTGATAAACTATCAGTAAAAACCAGGACATCTCAAGTTTTGCGGATTTGCATACCGAGTAAACTGGCTCCTGCGAAGGAGAAAAGAATTGAGGTCCCACGATATTACCCACACAGTAAGCGCTAAAGATAGCGACACTAATCGTGCTTCGCTTTGTGGATCCGGCGACGTTGGACGTAACAATACTCAGACTGAGTGGGATATTGGCGGCGTATGCGGAAAGAAAGGCCAGGCCAACGAGTTTGACAACCTTGTGAACGTCATCGAGGGTATAGATCAAAACAATACCGATAACTGCGACTGTCACGTTCAATATCATCGACATAATGCGCGACGATGGGATGTATGTGCAAATGGCCGCTGTGATGATGAGGAAAACTAGCTGGGAAAGTCCCGCAGGCATCTGAAGCAATAGAGACTTGAACTGCGAGTAACCAAATCCCGTGATAATGATGGCGGAAAACTATTTAGGCGTTAGAAGAAAGAGCACAGAAGTATCTGCGTGAGGTATACGCACGCTGGTGAGTCCACCATTAGCCAGGTTGACGCAGAAAGTGTAAAGCACCAAGCACCAGGCCTGCGGGTCTTTCGCAGCATCGGCGACTTGACTCCATTGGAACTTTTCTGTGACCTCTACAGATCCGGTTTTGTTCTTCAGTGTTCGCTGAACTGCGATCCTCCGTTCGGCTTCTGTAAGGAAGACTGCCTTGGCGGGAGAGTCGGGAAGAATGAAGGCAAGGATGATGCCGTAACCAGAAGTGATACTTCCGAGAACGAGGAACAAAAGACGCCAGCTTTGAAGATGCGAAGGAGCATGTCCAATACCCCATGCAACGAGACCACCAATGAGATTAGCAACACAGTTACCAACAAACCAGGCTGCTTGTCTGATGGAAAGAGCGGATCAGTTTACCGAGCCATGTAGTGTTTGATGTGGTCCCTCGTTAGAAAATGTACTTACCGAGAGGGCTGCTCTTCTCTCTTGTAGAACATTCCGGTGATGATACCAAATCCCGGAGCCACGGCAGCTTCACTAACGCCCAGGAAGAATCGAACCGTGACCATACCTGCGTAGTTCTGACAGGCTGCATGACACATGAGAACTCCGCCCCACAAGAATCTGTGTATGACCAAGTTAGCGTGTGAATGGAATTTTGATTGTCCGCCTAACATACACAGTCGCAGCCAAATATTTGCCTAGAGGAAGGCGCACAATCAGATAAGAAGTAGGCCAGCTCCATGCGAGATAACCAAAGTAAAAGACTGCAGAGCACCATGTATATTGATCACCAACAAGATGCTGGAAGATGTTAATATTTGACAAGGGAGTGTGGTGTGGTCCCACTGACAAGATCTTTTCGCACGTTTAGAAGAACAGCCTGGCTAAGCGCAAGTTTGTCCATATATTGCAGCATATAGCACAGGCCCATCGTTGGAATCACACTACAATGATTCTTAGAAAATCACTCTCATGATCTCGTGGAGGGACATGCGCATTACTCACAACATATCCAACTTCCACAGGAGGCGACGCTCTTCTTCAGGAGTGGGCTGGTAGTCAGTATACTCCCCAACGCTGGCATCCTGGCCGATGTCATCCTTGACAACAACTGTCTTTTTTTCGTCGTTGTACAGCTCTTCCGCTGTACCCATTGTATAGAGAGAAATAATCAAAGTGAAAAGTAGATATGTGTCTCAGTATCTGATGATATTGCTATGGTGAAACGAAGACGTCCTAGAGATGGGTTACTCAATGAACTCATACTAGATGAACGTGTACGCCACTTCGGTGAATAATAAAGTATAAACAAAGATATGCGTATCTCCTTTTTTATCTGGCCGACATGAAGCTCGCTTACCAGTCGCCCAGCTACAGCCAAGCCCTCTCACGTTCACAGTATTCGCGACGCGTAACTTTGATAGATCCTGCAACACGCGATAAAGCAGAGATCTCAATAGGAGATACACACGATAACACATAGATCTCAGACAGAAAATACATCCGATAAAGCCCCGATTCCACGCAGCCTCTTTCGCTACCCCAGTATATTTCCTATCAGACAGGGTGAGAAAGGATCGCTTTCCCGCGGAAAATCCTCGTGGGCGAGCATAAGGCGAGGATAAGAAAACATCACTGGATTCATGGATATGAGGTCGGCAAATTCGATCCTGTCTATTGGTCTGAATGAGGCGAGCTTAGGAGGGCCCAGACTCAATGCATAGATATCGGCAATTTAAAGTTAATCGCGGACCCCGCATTGGTCATTATGTATTAGCTAGCTTATACTTATGTATGGTCTTATACTGATGTTATATGTATTAGTTAGATTTATGTATTATCTTATACCGCATCATCGCGTGTAAAGATACCTTAGGGCTATGAGCTCTAGGCGGTTGAAATAAACGAACTAATTGTTACTTAGCCAATCGTCGACAATGAGCCAATTATTGAAAACCACTGTTTATGCTTTTATCACTATTTATGCATACTCGTATGGAAGAGCTCGGCTTTTAGATACCGTCTAACCCGGAGATCAGTTCGAGGATGATCGTACATAGAACTATAAAAGGAGCATGTTCGCAGCAACAAATTTGGTAGAACTATCACAATCACCAATTCTCCTTACTACCGTTGATCAAATATCTTCTCCCCAGCTATGATTACACCTGTGATTCACAAAATGGCCGTCAACTCTACCATCTCGATTCCTCCTAAGGAACTCCAATCTGCAATTGACAACGCCCTTGAGAAAGTGGCTAAGCAGCTGCGTGAACTGAACCATTACGTACGGCTCTACTCATCTCTCCAAAGAAGTAATATGACTGACCGTGAACCCTATCTCCGTAGATTTGGTCTAATCCAGAACTGGCATATGAAGAGCACAAGGCCCATGATGCCATCTGCGACTTCCTTGAAAGCCAAGGATTCACAGTTACCCGGCATGCCTACGGAGTAGATACATCGTTCGAATGTATCAGTGGCACTGAAGGCCGACTGATTAACTTCAACGCTGAATACGATGCGTTGCCTGACATCGGCCATGCCTGTGGGCACAACCTTATCGCCACCAGCAGTATTGCAGCCTTTTTGGCACTGACCCATCTGCAGAAGGAGTATGGAGTCAAAGGCAGAATCCAACTACTTGGCACCCCCGCAGAGGAGAATGGTGGAGGCAAGGCTAAATTGATTGATGCTGGGGCTTATAAAGGGGTTGATATCTCTTTGATGTCGTAAGTCCTCATCTCCATTAACTTTATAAGCCTGATATCTCGGTGATCCTAATGGTTCCTTTCTAGACATGGTGGACCATCGAACTTGAACTTAGTCGGACTCCCTGGCGACGGAGTTGCAGGCGTCCTGATGAATGCCCGGAAGGAGCTACATGTGGAATTTTTTGGCAAAAATGCCCATGCCGGAGGTAATCCTTGGGATGGTGTCAATGCATTGGACGCACTGATTCAGGCATACAACGGAATCTCTACCCTGAGACAGCATATCCTACCAGATGAGCGAATTCACGGTGCCTTCCTGGATGTGCCAAAGGTCGCCAATGTGATTCCAGCTTATACAAAGTCCTACTGGGTAGTTCGAAGCCCAACTTTGCAGGGACTCGAAAAGCTTGTCGCGAAGGTCCGACAGTGTATAGAGGGTGCCGGTATCACGGCTGGATGTACAGTCAAGATTGAAGAGTGAGCCTTGACGAACAGCGTCCTTCGTGACGGATGATAACAAGTGGTTAATTTCTAGGGAGGCACTTTATACCGATATCGTGCTGAACGAGACCTTGTGCGAGCGGTTCGCAGGCCACATGGCAGGTTATGGAAAGGAAATCGTTCGGAAGTGCGACAAGATCCTGACTGGATCATCCGATGTTGGTGAGTTCAATGCTTCTTTTCTCTATTCCCAAAGACTGGCTCACTGATACCTCCTCACAAGGGAATGTAAGCTACGTATCGCCAACACTTCATTCCATGTTCGCTATCCCGACACCAGAGGGCTCTTACCCCCATCACCCGAGCTTTACAGCTTGCGCTGGAACGGACGAAGCCCACGAGCAAGCCATCTTGACTGGCAAGGGACTCGCTCTTACGGGCTTGGATATGTTGATAGATGATACTCTTTTTGAGTCGGCTAAGGCTCAGTGGGAGGGACAGGTGCCTGCGCCCACTAATTAGTGATAGCACAATATGAGCTCTTGGAATTTCGATTACATAAAGTGAACAGAATCCCTCGAAATTCGTACAATGATACCAAGCGGAATAGCCCCTCAATCAACTTTGAGATACCTTACTCTAGAACATTTTATCCCACACATTCTCCTCGTGATCCAAGGCAGCCGCCTCCTTCCGCAGCATATCAGCACGGAAGCGGCGGAATGCCGTCTCGATTCGCTTTTTCCTCTCCGGATCAGCTGCGATGCTCCGGCTTCCACTGGCCGCACCGGTCAAGAATCCTGTGTCGAAGACAGTCATAAGCGATATGTAGTCGTAACTCCAAGGCATCGGTACGTACCCAGCTCCCCGCCGAGGAAAAGCCCACCCGCCGAGGCAAAGAAGTAAGTCGCAAAATCACCAAAGGTAGTTGGTTTCAGTAGGGGAGTAATATCCGGAATTGGCTCTGTGACAGGTTAGGGATTGCCGCGGGGAATTGGGTGGTAAAGACATACCTGTGCGCCCATTCGCAAAGATAACCTGCGTGGGCTTCTCCTGCGCCCGGAAGGCCTGGAAGAGAGCTCTGCGCGTGCTCCTTAATCGCATGGCGACATAGAGTCCGAGCCCAATTCCAACTGCTGAGCCAACGGTGGTCCACAGTGACACCTTGGATGCGGCGTCTTTCAATGCGTCCCGGTCGCTCTGGTACAAGTCCTGTTGTAGGTGCTCATCGGCGAGCTTCGCAAGGTCATCGGAACGCTGCCGGCGGAAAATGGCCAATGATTCACTCATTATGTGCTATGAAATTGTATCCGATTATCAAACTGGAATGAGAGCCTTCAATGGGAGTTGGGTTTCTGATCGAGATACCCTGGGTGGGACGGGACTACATATTTAACGTATGATGTGATGACGTCATGGTTAATGTCCCGGCTATAATGACATGAGCATAATCCATGCACACTTTATGTCCTATAAACAAGACACTGAAATCGTACATGGAAGAGTACATCATGCCAATGTGCACCATCACACCACACCTACGTCGTCGGCGTTAGCTTTCAAATTCCAACATGCGCCACCTCCATAGTTACTCAACGTCACTAACTTCAGGTAGACAACTTCACCACGCGGAGAGTGATATATTAAATTGTCACTCGCCAATTCCCTATCAATACAAATCACGCAATGAAATAGAGACAAAGCCCTTCATTGCGCCCGCATTACCGTGGTGAGATATGGTTGCTTCACACCATGAAATGAATAAGTGCCGCTACTGTCCTTCTCTGCCTTGTAGACGAATTTTCGGCTTCGAAATTGAGACACCCTAGGTAGTGTCGATGGACCATGTCAGTGCATATATTTGCGATTCGCATATGTGAGTCGAAGTTCATTGTACACTAAGTCGTCCTCTCGCTTCCCCTCCGCAACTTGTCTTCGACGCCCTGGCGCCCTTTATCGTTGCTAAGACAATTGCTTCAGCACCATCAAGGTGAATGGACATTCAAAGAAATATCCATTGTAGCCAAAATGACCTCATATGTAGAACTAAAACTTCACATAAGACTTCACTGAGTGGTGTGGCAAAAAGGCAATCCCCTTATTTGGTTATGTAGTGAAGACAATCCCCATAGGATAAAATCGAAGGTCACCTCTCTCAACTCTCACAAAAGCCTTCATCTTCCACCACGCCTCTCACTAGGCGTCTCGGCACTTTTTGGTAGCATACTGGCTACTTTGGTCAGTACATATCCAACACAACTGTTTGGATTGGCGTCGACAGCCTCACATATATAATACATCATCATAGCGTCCAGGCTAAGAACCCAGGAAGAATCCACTTCAAACTGCGAACTTACGAATGCCTCCAGTTTGGTGGGTCTAAACGTTGGGGAAAACCACATTTGATACCACTACGATCGAGGACGAGGTTTACTGCCTGTGGTATTTGTCCATGCATATAGTATATACCGCTAGGACGACGCCCCACCGGGCAGAGAAGAAATACTAGGTAGAGTGGCCTATCCAAGAATCCTCGTGGATTTTGGACATGCGGAATACTCCGGTACAACTGATTTCAAATGGTTGATCGCGTATGTCAACCACACTCCCCCGGTCTTCCCACGATAGATCTTTAGCTAACTAATGATATTCATAGGGGCCACGCCGATGCTCGAGGAACACCCGTAGGACCTCGCATTGACTAGAGGCGCATCAGCGGCGTACTCGAGAATGTGGCCGGTGACCTTTTTTACATTTTTAGCTGCTGTTCTGCGGTTACAGTGCCAATAGAAGATGGCCGGGAGACGATCGGGGCTACAAGGGAGCAATCTGCGACAGTCAACGTTCATTTTTCCTTCGCCAGACATAAACGGAGCGCCTGAGACGGTTGCTAGCATTTATGCCCGACTTTTCAGAAATTCATATCAATATCAAGTGGGTTCGTTTCCTGTGCACGTACCCAACAAGGGGTCCTCGAGTATCACCATTCTGAGGATTCTCCGCAGAAGTCTATCCAGGGAGCTGCGCCCAGGGCCCGCGCTGCATTCAATCGGACGAAGGTATGTGAAAAGGTCCAGAAGGGTGCGTACATGCGTATTTCCCCATCTGCGTTCTTGCTAACACGCCTAATCCTCGGGGATGTCTCGTTAACCTTAGTGGACCAAAGAGTCCTCAACACCCTTGATCCCATTCGCGAGGTCTCTTGGGAACATGACGAGTACCATAAACCCATCGCGCGTTCTATCACGTCCGGACACCACGCAGCTGCGGTCGTTATGGGCATGTGTGGCGATATCTTCCCAGGCGCCCTGGCGTGCGGAGGACCATGGTTGCAGCCAAGATTTGGGGTGAAACTGCCTGTCGATGCGGTCAGACGAGACAGGCTGCAGCGCAAATTTTGTATTTTATTTGGGCACGACAGATTATCTAGATGAGGTCAGGCCCTGTTAAGTAGTAGACAGGGACAGCCGGCTCTATATCATGTCATGCAGGTAAATAGGCAGATTGTTGACGGCTAGGCCCAATCGGGCAATGCATCCGCCATTTCATCATCACTATAAATAGAATGGTTCTGGACGCAAGGGACTGTACTCATTATCAAGACGATAAACTGGACTCAACCAGCAAAGGATATCCAAGACTCAAGCCCTCTAAGACTTTTTTCTACTACATTAGCATTACGAACAAAATCTTATGTACCGGGCGGAAGTGCCGTTTTGGACACGCAATACCACTCCACTCGGTTGGCTCCACCCCCGCAGCAGGCACCTCAGCCCCCCGGTCCCAACTGTCAGATTTGTTTCGATCTTGCCCAGACATCAAAACACGAAGTCTTCTTAACCTGCGGGGAACTGATGACAATCACAGTCGAATCTCTATCCTAATATGAGCCAAGACCATGGCATCCCTGGGGAGTTGGCCGATACTGAGAGCCACGACTTGGTTCAGGTAGAAGCCGATGAACCAGGACCACTGCAGACACCCGTTTCCAACGGGAAAGCCCTTGATATCACATGGAAATCATCATCGAGAACTATAGATGAAGATCTTGTATCTGGACTGTCGAACGAGGATGTGTGGATGCTCATCCGCCGGTTCAACAAGGTATGATTGTGCCTTCGCGGCATCGCCATAAGCTCGGCTGATGCATTCTCCCGCACAGCAAATCTACTATGTCAAAGCTATGTCGGACGCTCCGGCGGGTGAGCTGGATCTCAACCGCGCGGACGACGAGCAGTTTCCCCCGGAGAAGCTACGGATGACTCTGGAGCGATTTTATATGTCGGTCCTGGTCGGGCTGAGCTATTTCTCTAAGCACATCGCCAGGCTGCGGTCGTGGAAGGAGCCTTTGCGCACACTTCTGTTCTGTACTGTACGCATTTGCCACCGAAAGTGGATGTGAATGTCTTGTTAACATTGCTGGCAGTGTTATTTTGTCGCCTGGTTTCAGGACCTGCTCATTCCCGCCATATCAGGCTTTTTTGCGACTCTTATCCTATGCCCGTCAATTCGCACGTGGCTTTTCCCTGCTGCATCTCGTGCTGTTTCCGACGACGAGGGTGCGAAATCGGGCGAAGATACTACATCACAGGATAGCATTACGGGTGCTCCAGAGCGCTACAAAGGTGAAGCAGCCGAACAGGAGGCCAGAAACCTTGTCAACAGCGTTGCAAATGTCGCCATGGAAAGTGCAGCCGCAAAATACGGCCAGGGCATTTCCAATGAGGAGTCTGATACTGCTTCCGAGTTGAATATGGAAGATGTCGGAGTGAAAGCAGAAGAAGCTGGCGAAAACGAGATTCCGGACAGGACGAAACGCCCCATGAAGAAAAAGATTGGCAAAGCCACCGACAAGGTCATGTTTGTCATAAGTGATATAACTGATATTTGGGAGAAGTTCTCAAAGTAAGTGCCCATCTGGCGACTGATGAACTTAATACGTGCTAAACTAAACCAGTATCCTCTCACCAACTCCGCCGTTCTACGGTGTCACTGCCCGGTTGCGTTTACTCGGCATATTGGCAGGAATATCCGTATCATCTCTCGTCCTGTCCAGCCACTTCATCCTCCGGACCGTCTCTTTCCTTGCTGGAGTCGTCTTCTTCGGTGGCCCCATCTTCCAATGGACCATATCCTTCCTCAACGAACGTGTTCCAAACTGGAAGCAACAGCTGGACCTGAATAAAACGCTACTGAAAGGGGTGCCAACCCACGCCCAGCTCACTTTGACGCTTCTTCGCATCGGCGAGTTGAACTCCTCCCCATTGCCACCACCACCGAGCTCTAAGGAGGAGCCAGCGTGGCCTCTACGCCGCAAGAAAACAAAACCCGCAATCTCCGACAAACCCGCGAACGCAGACCCTGCATCGCCTCTGGAGGTTGACGGCACAGCTCTGGACGAAGCCACTTCTCCTGTATCGCCCAAAAAGTCCAAGAGAAGATGGGTGTCAAAAGTCCTCAAATTCGTGGGCCGCACGATCGCAACGGCCATTAAAGGACACATTGCGATTGATCGTGCAATGGCTATCGCTGGTTCGGAGCACACGAAAAGCCTGATTAGTCTTTTGTCCAAGAGAGGCTGGGTCACGGCCCCATTCGGTCCTCTGAAGTTCGATGCGAAATTTGAGCGTAAGCGAGGAGCTGTTGTCATTGACTCCTCGCTGGAGCCCCCTGTGCTCTACTTTACCACGTATCAGTCTGAGCGACTCGATGACCTGCGACTGGAGTGTCGGAAGAAGGGCTCCGTCCTGTTCCAGATCCCCGTCACTGACATTACGGAGCTGAAGAAAACCGAAGGCCTGGGTTGGAAGGCAAAGATGATTGTTGAGCTTGCCGCTGGAAGTAAGGAGGCGGCAGATGGGTTGGTTATCTCCGGAAAGGAGCCCGAGCAGTCTTATCATGTCACTGGAATGCGAGCGCGGAATCAACTGTTTAATCGGTTGGTGGCCATTGGCTCACAATTTTGGGAAAGCCGCTGAGCTTCGTATCTTCAAACGGGGATGAAGAGGTCATTCGACTATATACCGGTCTCTATACCATGCAGATGTATTGTATGTGAGCTGTCTATCAACATCTATCCTCGAACGTTAGGATGTTTATACCGACCCAATCGCTCCAGCCCATATCAACCAGTCAAACAACAATCAGAACCTTCAGTTCCTAACCTGTAAACCATTCCGTATATCCTCGAGCTTCCTCCGCTGTCTCCCATTGTCGTCAAAATTCCCCGGATCCAGCCAGCCCTCCATCGCAGACTTGATACCTCCATCCCACTCCTTCCGCAGCATGGAAAACCACGCCGTATCCCGATTCCGGCCCTTGACCACCATATGCTGCCGGAACGTGCCCTCATACGTGAACCCATACCGCAGCGCGGCCCGCCTCGAGCCTTCATTCAAAGAATTGCATTTCCACTCCACCCGGCGGTACCCCAGAGTCTCAAAGGCATACCGGAGAAGAAGGTAAAGCGCTTCTGTCGCACAAATGGTCTTTTGTAACACAGGAGAGAACAACACATGTCCGATTTCAACGGATAAATGCTCAGGTGTGATTCTTAGGAGAGAATAATATCCCACTACCTGGTCATACGTGGCGCCTTCGTATCCCTCTGATGGGGGGCGCTTGTCGATGATCGCGAACAAGAATGGGTCTGTCAGAGACGCCAGATGTGCGAACATGGCACGCAATTCGGGGAGAGTTTTGGGGACTTCGTGAGGCATGTAGTCCCATAGTGATGGGTCTGTGACATGCGGGTAGAGATCGTCCGCATGGGATGTCTTCAAGCGGACTATTTCGACTGTCCGGCCATTGAGGGTGATGTCGGTTGGGGGTTGAGCTGGCGGCGCGGTGACTGGTGCACCGAGGGGGCGAGAGGCCATTTTGTGTGGCAATGGCGATTGCAATGGAGAAGTTCGTATTTTCATAGATTCTTGACTGTGGGGAGGACAATATTTATACGAGTCGAATGAGTCATCCGCAATACCATCATCTCACAGTATCACCACGTGATTGCGATGGCAATATTGACAATATCGATTGTAGCAGTCCCAATAGGGACAAGTGTATATCATGTATGAATTTCTCGAAGGGAGGATTACCGTGTGGGCCTGACATTCAAGGATCAAGATTGATATGACTGGCTAAAACATTTGAACGACTGTACATGAATCAAGTTTCTGATGCATGTGCCAGATATATAAACCAAGTATCGCCTCTGCACAACCCACCCCCATTTCGATGCCTCCAGTGCGTCAAACATCTGGCGTCGACCCTCCATAAGAGTGAATCTGTACTCAAGTCAACACACAATCCCCCAATAGCACCAGCGAGATCATGAAAGCGAACATACCGTCTGATCAGCACACCCATCCGGAGTATTATACAGATACGCCCCAGTATTGATAAACAGCTCCTGTTCCTCACACACATACCACGCAGCCGTATTCTGGCGGTTGATATCGGCGACCGACCATGTCAGCGCGTCACCCTGGAACGCAAACGCGCCATAGTCGCTCTTGGTCGTATTGAACCAGGTTTTTAGCACACGCTGAGTCTTGTCTGCGGAGTTCTCCACGTGCATATACAAGGGCGGATCGACGTTGTAAACGAGCTGGCCGTCGACGATGTTGAACTGGCCGGCATTGGCGCCATCATCGAGGTATGCAGGTCCCGGGTTCGCAGTGGGTTTTGCCTGCAGGTACTTGTGGTAATTGGGAGTTTCGACGGCCCGGATCCAGTACCAGCCGGATGCGAGAGTGGGCAGGGCAGTGGTCGTTGCAGTGGGTGTTTGTGCCCAGGCTTGGGCGAGGAGAAGGGCTGAGGTTGCGAGAGGAAAGAGCATCGTGACTGGTGGTTGCGATTTAACCAAGCTTTTCTGTGCAAAAGCCAAGAGGAAGGAGGGGATATGGGGTTTTTATACTGTGAATATGGCTATCGGCAGATCGGAGGCGCAAGCCGTCTGCACGGATGTTTTGGTTTTCCATTCATCCAGTTCCGTGACAAAATCAGTAAAATGGGATATCTGAAACATGCACGCCGGAGTTGAAACGATGATCCATGCAGCCGTTCCGGGATTATTGTGCATAGTATATTGCAGTAGGGGCAAGAAGGATTCATCACAAGTTTAGCCGTATCTGCTATTGTAGGACTCTGTAACCATCTGCCCCCGCTACAACATGATCCCTCCTTGTTCTTATAGTGCCTTTCGCAAACCTTCATACTGGACATCCCAAGTCCCGTCCTTTGGAAATCCCGGAGCATGCACATTCGGACTTCCATTCCACCCGGCCGCCATGTAGGCAACTGAACCGTTCGTTAGAAAAAGCTCGCTTGACATGCAGAGCGCCATATATAACTCACCTGCGTAAAGAAACCCTGCATTTCCGGGCATGAAAGGCGGGGGTGTCCCCCCTATAGATGTTAGTATCATCATCTCCAATGATGAAAGAAAGACTTACCATCACCTCCACGGACCGCGTAACCTAGAAAGCGAGCATGTGGTCAGAAACCGACTTTAAAAATGCTTGGTCCTCCACTCACCTGCATCGTCAAACTTCCAGTAATCATAGGCCGTCATATGATAAATCGCCCGCTCAGGATACCCCATTCGCGCGGCATTAATTGCTAGCACCGGCCTTCCCCATCCCCGAATCTTGTCATCAGTCCACACTTCCCACACCTTTTGAGCCGTTTTCAATGAAACGCTGCTATTGACGGCAGGTGTGTCCGGTAAGATACCCTGCAGCATGATGAGACTACGGGGATCCCCATTGAGCTCTGGGTCCTGCCACCAAGAGCTGTTCAAGCCTTCGTAGACGGCATAGAGGCCGTCGACCTGCGGGGGTGGCGCTAGGCCTTCTGCAACGGTTGTCCATTTTCCTGGAACTCTCTGGCCTAATCGTTTCTTCCATTTACGAGCGACGTCGAGCCCGTACCTCCAGTATGCGATCTAATATATATGCTAATTAGTGTGTTTCCAGACCGATTGGCAAGAGTGAAAACTACCTCGTACGCTAGGTTCAGAGTCTCCGTTGGCGGAGTGTTCTCCGTCACGCCGTATGCCCTGCCAAACGTCAGCCGAGCATGCTAATAAGGGGGGATATCGTACGGTGGACCAAGATCAAAATATCCCGAGCTCTCGTTCTTCCATGCATATGATGCCATGTAATCAGCACTAGCGGTCAGAACACGATCCCAGTTTTCCAGAGTCTGCCGCGTTGGAGATGCTTGATACGCAAGCTCTGCGAGATACATAGGGTGAGGCTGTATAGGACATGTCAGTCGAAATGAGTGTCCGAATTCATTGCAAAAGTATCCTTACCTGCTGCCACATGAGAAGACCGTTGACGCCACCGGGCGAGCTCACTCCAGTTTCGATTTCTGTCATCTTCGGCCATCTATTACAGCGTTAGCATGATGGAAAATGTGTATGGCTTGTCCAGTCATACCTTGCGCCTTCCCATCCCATTGACTTCGCCCTCGCAATGGACGAAGGCAACAGCGTCTCATAAAGTTGAGGGAAGATACCATCAAAATGCTCCTGTCTACCCCACGTGGCCCAGTGGGCGTTATGCCACACCACCATTTCCATATGGAATTTTCCTAGTCAGAGTGAGCGGGACAGAGCGTCCATGATGATACCCAAAAATCTTACCGTACCATCCATTGTTCATGAGGCCGCTTTCTTGGGGAGACTGGCCCTTTGCTGCGCTGTTGACGCGAACATGATATTGGGACAGGATGATACGACGCTGCAGCTCGTTTGCCTTGGGGTTAGCGGATGAAGTGAGGTCGGCAAACCCGCCTTTTTTCCAGTACGTGTTCCAGCCGACGGCATTGCGGCGGGTTACCCTAGATGGTAGATCGGAGTTTTGCTTTTCGGGTGAGAAATTGGCTGTGAAGGTAATAGTCTGTGAGGGCTTGGCTGGATTCAAGATGTACCGATGTGCCTCATTGGCGGTGGCATTCTGTGGCTTGGAGAGGCGAAGTGGACTGTTTGATGGCCACCTGAGATTGACAAAGTAGTCTGTCTCTTGTAGTTGATGGTAGATGTGTGCCCCATTTCTGCCTGGGTTTCCCACGATCGAAGTTGTGTGATTCATGGGAAAGTCGTATACACCCACGAACACCTCGTACTTATACTTCGTCGTGTGTATTGGTGGATAGGGGAAGTCCATTTCCACCGTCAAGTCTCCGGAGTGGATCAGGTCAGACTCGATGTCGAACACGACAGAGTCAGATTCAAAGTCCCCATGCGTCTTCACCTTCACATCCTTACCGTCAACCCTAAATGTGGAAGTTATTACCCCATTCCACAGATCAAGCTCCTGTCGTGGATCAAGTATTTGCGGTGTCGACAGAGTAGCGCCTTTGTATCGAAGACCGATGCGGCCAAGATTAATACGGTTGGGGTTCGATATCAGCCATTGAGATGTTTGAGGAAGCTTGCTGTCCGGGATATCATAGTACACTTCTCTTCCATGTGTTTCCATTGGGACACCGTGATAGTCGCTTATTCTCTCTCTGAAACAAAGTCAGTAAGGCAGCCCGGGTCTTTCGCGAGCGGCATACCCATTGGTTGGCAAACTGTCATTATGCCAGGCCCAGCTAGACAAGGTGTTGAACGGGAGGAATGACTGAAATAGCGTTAATAAAAGTAAGCAATGGTTAGGGATGAGGATTGTAATGCATACCTGCATGCCTGTGTTATCGACACTGTAAGCAAAGTTCCCATTTCCAACCTGAAGAGGCGTTGTAGCATTGTCGATCAAGCTTGTGCGGACCACGTTGTATCTCGAAACTATTCCTTGTCTACGCTATTATCAGACTTGTCCTCGGAACAAGTCTTGGTGGAAACGCAAACCTGTCAATGCTTCCAAGAGCGTACCCGGCGAGAAATAGCACAAAGAGCCTTTTCATGTGTGCCATCTTCCAAAGGTATAGCACACCTTGCACCAGTAAACCTATCCATACTCTCGAACTCATGCAGTACTTGTATTTCCCTCCGGAGTAATTGAGCCCGAGATTGAGCGATGGCTAATCCCATTTGAGGTCGTATACCTCGACCCCTCCTCCCTCGAAGGAAGAAAAACTGCACCAATCCTCTTCATCCATCTTATGCGGGGTGCACTGATGAGTAATTGGGAGCAAAATGTCATAAGGACAGATGTGCTGATGGTGGAAGTTCAATTTCTCATATAATTTCGGGACTGAACTGGAGGCAATAGATCGAGTCTGGAATGTACAAGAGAGTATCAATTGCCGTCAAATATACCAATTGCATCCTCTGGCCACGCTTCCGATTCCCATTTTAATATGACGATTCTACCAAAGAAAACGTGACCATGCTCTATGTTCGTCCACTGGTTGCCTTCTGTGTGGTTGAATTTGCATGCAGCACGGGGTGGTAGTATGTACACCACATTCTACGTCGTTCGATAGCTTATGAGCTGGATCTTCCGACTGAATGTTTGAGATCCCTCGCCCAAGGACCATTTCGCTCTTCTCGATACGCCAACCCTGCTGCCCCGGGTTTCTTGACATGGCATGACAGGCCAAATATGCGAAATTGCCGTCTCCATAAGTGGATCCATCTTGCTATCAAGTGGCCTCCATGTCGTCATTCTATATTCCAGTGACCAGCGCATGCCGCTCATTGCTCGGAGAAATGGCCGACAGGAGCCCCAAAACCAGACCAAGTATTTCCGATTGGACCACAAAGCGACGCCAGTCAGAGCGATCTTGTCTCCAACCTCATTGCGGGCGGTGATTAGATGACAGCTCGAGAAATAGGGCCGTTCCCCCACGCCTATCCTGAATCTGGGGAAGCGTGGGGAAGTTGGGGAAGCCGCTTACGGAAGAGATCCGCTGTCGGCCTTAACTATCGGGACGGGAAGAGATCAATGGATAGTTACAGGTGTTGGCATTACCTCGGGAAAGAGCTTTTTCTATGGTGTGATCGGCTGTAGTCATTGTACATATACTGCATGCGTGTCCGCAAGTGCAATGGGGATCGCCCGGGAATGTTCCGACTATACAATACGCAGCCAATTATCAACATGAGCTTCCTTACAATCCTCTCCAGACAGTTCAAGACAAACAGAAGGGCCATGCTCTACTGCACGGTGTCGTTTATTGGCGCCCTCGTCTTCGGGTACGACAATACCTACTACAATGGCGTCCTGGCCATGCAGGAATTGGCCAATGACTACGGAACACACCATGACTCCGACGGGAAGAAAGCACTCGCGCCCTCATTCCAGAGCCTGACGACAAGCAGTGTGTACATAGGCGACGCCCTGGGGGCAATGACAGCATCCTGGATCAACGACCGCTGGGGCCGCAAAGGGGCGTTCTGGTTCGCCTCGTTCTTTTCCATCGCTGGCGGTATCGTCCAGGTCGCAGATACCCATTACGAGAGTGTTCTTGTAGTCGGTCGAATCTTGATTGGAATTGGCGTGGGCCAGTTCACGGCCACCAGCTTGTTGTACTGTGGAGAAGTGGCGCCGGTGGAGATTCGAGGGCCGGTGCTCAATCTGTACCAGTTCCTGCAGTCTGTTTCTCAGCTGGTGGCTTCTTGCATTACTCAAGGGACGGAGGGGATCCCAACGTCACTCTCGTATAAGCTACCGATGGGTGGGCTGGTGATCCTACCGTTGGTTATGGCCTGCGTGCTGCCCTTTATTCCCGAGAGCCCTCTGTGGTATGTCCTGAAGGATAGGCCGGACGATGCGGTCAGATCACTTTACAAGATCAACAAGAGCATTCCGAACTATGATCCTGCAGCTGATATGGCAGCCCTGGAGGACATCAAGAAGGCGGACGAGTACCAGGCCGAAGCCTCTTCCTGGAGGGCCCTGATCACAGACGCCGTCGAACGGCGCAAAGTCATAGCCTCCGCTGGCGCCCTCTTTTCCCAGCAGATCTGCGGCATTCTCTACTTCTACAGCTACGGTGTGGTGATTGCGCAGTCAATCGGCATGAGCCAGCCGTTCCTGATTCAATTGATCACCAACGTCCTCCAGGTGTTCGCAGTGATGGCCTGCGTGGTGACATCCAACAAGATTCGCAAGAGGACGAATCTGCTGGTGACGACGGCAATCATGTTCTTCGCCTTCATCATCATCGGTGGCTGCGGCACAACTGAGATCACAAACGCAACTCGATATGTGATTGTCGTCATCAGCTATGTTACCGTCGTGGCCTACAATTTCGGGCAGGGCCCGTTGACGTACGGGGTTGCGCGGGAGATGGCTGTCGGCGCCAACCAGAACAAAATTATGTCCGTGTCGGTGGTCGTCTTGTACGTCTCTGCTTGGTTGATCAGTTTCACGGCCCCTTATCTTTATTACACGGCAAATCTGGGGCCAATGCTTGGGTTTGTATACGCCGGTACTACGGTTTCGTCGCTTTTGTGGGTCTGGTATTGTGTTGGAGAGACTACAGGCAGAACGAGTATTGAAATTGGCGTGTTCTTTGAGAAGCGTATTCCCGTGCGGAAGTGGGAGAGCTATGATTTTGCGGATGAAGTCGATGTTGCCGGTGGAAAACGGCTGTCTCCTACTGGAGACGTGGAACACAAGGAAGTACCATCTGTCTGAGATGGGGATAACAGGCTGGTTGGTTGCATATAGCATCACATCGCCGGAGATCAAGGATACGATGTTCTCTGGTAGTATGAAGTGGAAGTCACTGACATGAGCCTACCGTGGATGGTACGAAATGAATGTCCAGTTGATTGCATTATGACTCCACATCACTCCAGTAGGCAGGAGCAGTCCTAATGAGATCACCCATACTAAGTACAGCACATGCACACGATGTTCTTTTATCCTACTTTTCCAGATAGAATGTACCGAAATCCCCCATACACATGGAGGAGAAAATCAGCATAAGAGCGAGGCGTCAACAACTATTTTCATCGACGAATCCATAAATCCATGGCTTGTAGTATAGACCAATGGATATCGGTATGCCAATTACGAGATTGGCTAGTTAGGACTGATAGGAGACGTGTAGTATCTTAGAACACGACATCCTTCATCAGATACGAGAAGCTGTTGTTGGGATCGGTGTTGGAGTTGACCTCCAGCGAGTCATCCGACGTGGGAGACTCCGCAACAGATTCCTGCTCCTGCTCCTGCTCTTGTTCGTGCTCGGGCTGGTTCTCGTGCTGGTTCTCATGCTCGTGTTCAATAGGAGTGACCCACTGCGCCACCTGCAAATCAAGGGTGTGGGCGTGGCGGTCGAATTTGCACGGCTTGGTGCCCTTGCAGCCATCCTTCTGGCACAGATGGCCCAGATAGCATTTCAAGGACCGGCAGCCGCCCGACCTCGGGCACGCATGCTGCCGCATGATATACCTCATCACATGGACAATGCTCGAGTCCACCTGAGAATGGTCATACTCGCAGCTGAGATTGCCGCATTCGCCGCCGAGTTGGTACTTGTTGCAGATCTTGTGGCGGCGGGCCCGGCGGGTATACGCATCCCATGCTTCTGGGGAGGGCATGGGGCAATAGGTATCAAGGCGTTCGTTGTCTTTGTTAATCGCGATAAAGTCCTGCGATTTCGAGTTTATTCTAGGAAGATACTTGGCAAAGTATTCTTGCTCGCGCACTTTGATAAGACTCCAGGGTCTGGTAGGAGTATCGTCTGTCGGCTTGGGCTTAGACAGCTGTTGGCTAGATGGGACGTGGAGCTTGTTGCACTCGTTCCCGAATCGGCAGATACCCTGGGCGTTGGTTAGTCCACAACGTCCGGCGGGATGTATTGGGGCATACCTTTTGGAAATGTTTGCAGACAGGCCGCGACTGGGCAGCTGGCTGAGTCGGGATCGGGGTCGTGGTTGGGGCCATGAGGTTATGGGACGGAAATACCTCTGGGAGCTCCTTGATCGGCAAACCCAATCTTTCGAACTCGGCGTGAAACCCCGCCGCTCTGAGAAGAGTAATACGATCCGACTTGCCACGATAGGGAGTCAGCAAGGACAAATATCCTGTGTCGTGGCAGCCGGCAAAGAATATATGTTTGCACTGGTTATTATCGGCAAACAAGCGGAACATCTCTGTGAAGAGTGAGTTGAGAACCACCATGAGACCAGCTCGAGCTCATACCCCGTATTTTAAAATCGGCACCCTCTTTTTTATCACCAGCATCGATATAGTCGAACAGGTCGCGAGAACGAGTAAAGCTTGCGGCAAACGGGGATAATGAGCGGGCTTCATGGCCGACTAGTCCGGAGCGAGCTAAGGTTTTCGAGAGGCCCAACAGGTTGGAGTAGATGCGGACCATGATACGGCATTGGTCCGCCTGGGTTCCGATTTGGTCGTGAAGGATGTCTTTGATAGAGTCGTTCAGGAGTGCAGCCGCGGTGATACCACCGTCTGCGCCGGCCTTGATGAGTTCCTCTCGGAAAAGATAGCCATCGCCGTCGACCAGAACAAGAACAAAGGGATTCCGGTCCTGCATAGTCAGATAAGCATGATGTAACATAAGTCTAGACGGTATAAGCTGGGAGTCGTACTTGACCTCTCGCTAGCTTCTTGTACTTTTCTCGAGCCTCCTTTTCCTCTTCATAGTCACTTTTGAGGCGATTGTAGCTCTCCAGCAAGAAATGAAACTGCTGGAGCAGATTCTGCAGGTTGTCATGGTGCTGCTGGCTGTCACGGACGATGGCTCCCAGGTTGCCCTCCAGCGCCTGGATCTCACTGTCGCCCAGTATAGCCATTTCCACGGGATTGCGACAGGCGATAAGCAACCATGGATCGGCTGCTCTGGCGGTGGGGACCTATAAGACAGTACATACACACTGGGCCGTCCAGAAAGAAGATGATATGAGCTAATTGAAGTGAGATGGGGACAATCCCCAGGGTAAGATGCTGTATACTGGAAGAAACAAACAGACGGAGGTGCTTCGTGAGAAACTGATTGCCTGATCGGCCGTCTCCGCATCCAGAAGGCGGTGTGTCTCGCCAGTTGTTCGAGGTGGGGTTACGTCACGTGCAACCTGCCGGCCCTAGCCCGTTCAGGATATAAGCCAGGTGCTCATTTCTGCCTGAGGCATATAACCGCTTCACTTCGGCTACTTTGATTGGTCAGTCACATCACTATAGCCGGAGGCATCCAAGGTACCTTTAGGACCTGGTAGTATTCATATCTTATGAACGGTGAATACAGTCTTGATCTTTCATTCCCTGGTAGGCTCACAGCTTTCGTTAATGAATACCACTTTACTTCCTCCGCAAATCCTCCTTCGACTCCAACATGTCTCCCTTATCAAGATCCACTCGCTCTATCTTGCGGCGAAGCATTGGGTCCAAAGCCTGGTCGACGAGATTGTTCGACAGCGGCCCAGAACCTCGAGCTCTACGGGACTGATCTACGTATGAGAACGTATCATTCGTTTGAAAGTCATGCCTCTCAGTTTGCATGACATACACGAGCGATGGATTAACGCCGCTATTGTTGAATAGGGGTTGGGCGGCTTGATATATCGCCAAGAATCCAAGTTGCTTTGGAGTGGTACTGGCACAAGTATGCACGTATCCCTTCGGCCATATTGCTGTGCTAATAGCTTACATTGCCTTAGTTTTCGACCACTTTACGGTGATGTACAAGGGCTCGGCGAAACAGCCAGTGCGCGTGAACACGGATCCATAGCCAAGAATAGTTGTCGAGTCCGGATGGTCTGAGTCCTCCTCGATCAGGCCTGTGCGGCATGTTTATGGAATGGTCGGGGTGTCAGCTGCTCTCTTCAGTTGAGCTGTGAGGCGCATAAGTGTCAGGAGGTCTCCGCCGAGATGGCTGCGTACGTGCTTGCTTCCTTCTTCCGATCTTCCCAGTCCTAGCTAACACGATTCGAACGTTATTAGCCATATGGCCGCAAATGAAGATATGCGTGCCATTGTCGGGCGATCGTGGCCTTCTGAAGCACTTCCTTAAGGCTGCGACTGCTTCGCCTAAGGTTGTGGTCAAAGCGCCCTCTGTTACCTCCAAGGTCTCTCCTTCGAAAGGAAAGGAAGCCGTTCCTCTCTCGCCTTTTGTCGAAACAAAGGCCTATGGATGCTTGTCATCTTGTTGCGTTAGACAGCTGTGTCCAACGGGAGAATCAAAGGTCTTGCTGAAGTCTGGCGCCGAGACAACACCGGAAGACTCAACTCAACCACTATGGTAAGGATCTCTTTATTGCAAACCCACAAGAGATCGCTAATATCAATTAGCCTATCTTCTCAGCGCCCTCACCATTGCCCCCGACCGAAAGGATTGAATTCACCAAGGGAGAGCTGTGCGGCACTGCGATAGTACCGGGAGCAAACCCGAACAATCTGCTTGAATTACGGAGTAGACGTTCAAAGCTAAGGTGATTTGCCGAGGAAGTGGTTGCCAAAATGAGCATTCAACGAGGGCAACATAAGAAGCCCCATGCAGAAACGACGTTACAGATATCAAGCCTGGGAATACAACCATGTATTGCACCTTACATACCACTAAGACTCAAGGCAGAGAGACCACCAAGATGGACAGGTGCTAGGTTCACTGTCAGAAAATAGGCTATAAAATACCCGTCTTTTTCTTTTTTTTCTGCGCTATATCTAAATGAATTCAAGTCTTTACTGCGCCACAACTTAATAATAAACCTCTTATAGAATAAGATAGACCTCTCGCGGTTCCACACAAACGGTGTGCCTTCGTCAACCGTCTTCGCGAAGAACTCCTCAGCCCCCATAACAGGCCGAATTCATCACGACGTGTCAGAAGAAGGAATGCGGGGAGGTCTCGTGGAATTTGATGAGCCAGCTGTTGCTGGGCTGCTTTGTAATGCAGAGTCTTCATACTCTTCGCAAGGTATATATCTCCAGGGCCTCCCCTCCTCAACGCACAGCATCCATTCAAAAACACTGCTACTAACATAAATTATGACAAAAAGAAATCGCCCGCTTCGAGTTGCCAACTGCTCTGGCTATAATGGTACGTCCTCTTAAATCAATAGAGACAGGTCACTGATGTCGTACCAGGCGATCCGGCATATGAGATGTACCGTCAGGCCACCTTGGGTGATGTAGACTTTATCACTGGTGACTACCTCGCCGGTAGGTCATTAGACACTCGAAAATTTGGGCCAAACTGACAGCGGCAGAGGTGAATATGGCAAATAACGCCGAGGCATGGAGGGCAGGCAAACACCCAGGCTACGAAGAGACCGCGTGGGCAGGAATCGAGCAGACCATCGATGTCATTGCACAAAAAGAGATCAGGGTGGTCATTAATGGAGGCGCGCTAGATCCCAAAGCGCTCGCTGAGAAGGTCGATGCCCTGGTATGTCAAGAACCAAAGCTGGCATCCTCTATGCTAATCGAGCTAGGTCACCGAGAAAAACCTCAACGTCCGAGTTGCATATCTCTCTGGAGATGACTTGTACCCTGAACTCGGACCGAACATGCCTACCACCAAAGAGAAACTACGACACCTCGAGTCGGATAACCCCTCTGTCGTGAAGTCTGACTTGACCTTTGCGTTCCTGCATGCCCCTGACAACAGACCCGTTCCAATGGTCTCGGCACACGCGTATCTCGGAGCCCGTGGGATCGTTCGCGGCCTCAAAGAAGGCGCCCAGATTGTTATCTGTGGCCGGGTAGCCGACGCTAGCCCTGTCATCGCTGCTGCCTGGTACTGGTATGACTGGGACGAGATTGATTATCACAAACTCGCTGGAGCTCTCGTGGCGGGCCACCTTATCGAGTGCTCTACATATGTGACTGGTGGGAACTTCTCAGGCTTTGATAAATATCCCCTTGAGGATCTGGTAGCGCCAGGGTTCCCGATTGCGGAGATCGAGGACGATGGTTCTTGCATCATCACGAAACACCCGAATACCCAGGGCATGGTGACCGCGGATACGGTTCGATGCCAGTTCCTGTATGAGCTGCAGGGCAGTATCTACCTCAATAGCGATGTCAGTGCCCGAATTGATAACGTCGTGGTTGAAGAAGTGGGAAAAGATCGGTACGTTCCTCTTGGTGCATAGTCTTTCAACAAGCTAATAAGACAGTGTCCGTGTGTCGGGTATAACAGGGTCACCGCCACCGCCAACCACCAAGCTGGCGGTGTTTTACCAGGGCGGGTACGAAGCGGAATTGCTGCTGAATGCTACGGGGTATGCTACGTCAAAGAAGTGGGACCTGATTGAGAAGCAGTTGCGGCATTTTATTCCCAATGATGTGCTGGATAATTTGGAAACGCTTGAATTCCAGAGGTAGGATATGCACCATAGGTGATATAGGTTTGTAAACTGACAGGTGTCAGAGTCGGCGTCCCAGCCCCAAACCCCAAGTCGCAGCTTGAGAGCACGACATATCTACGCATCTTCATCGCCTCACCTTCAGCACGCTCCGTCGGAGCCGTGTCGATGGCTATGAAAGACATCTCTCTCAAACATTTCTCTGGTACACTCAGCCCTACCGTAGTGATGTGCTCTGATCACTGACCAAACAGGATTCCATTGCACGCTGGACATGCGGACTGCCGTGCCACGCCCATTCCTCGCATATTACCCGGCTCTAGTGGATCAAGAAGACATCAAAGAAACCATCCACCTGATTGATGGTGCAAAGATAACATCTATCGAAGTCCCTCGTCCATCCAAGTACGAAGCACTGGCACCAAGAGAGAGCTATGACCCGACAAACACATCCTGGCTGAACGACGAGCAATTGACCGAAGTACGGCTGGGAGACGTGGCTCTGGCCCGTTCTGGCGACAAAGGCGCGAATCTCAACTTTGGGGTTTTTGTTCCTGATCCGCAGCAATGGGAATGGCTACGGTGCTACATGACCGCGGAGCGGATGCGCCAGCTCACCGGCGAGGACTGGGACGAGTCGTTCTATATCGAGAGAGTGGAGTTTCGACGTATTCACGCAGTGCATTTTGTGATCTATGGAATCCTGGGCCGTGGCGTGAGCAGTTCCAGCCGGTTGGACGGGCTTGGGAAAGGGTTTGCTGATTATATCCGGGATAAGATTGTAGAGATTCCGGCGAGACTACTTTCGTGATTATGGAATGTTTAATGCAAGGTCGTATATATTGGGTGTGAGCTACCACCTAACAGGATCTCATATGTCATCTAATGAAAAATCTACTTCTCTATACATGGCACTCCTCATTAAGCAGTAATTCTAGTAAGCAACATAAACTAGGATCACCATTTTTGCTGTTCAGTCTCATTATCACTTGCTCAGTCACTTCACACCTCGTCACTAGACACGCCAAACACCAACAGTATTAAGACGCCTTCTTCGCCTTAGGAGCCTCCCTCTTCACCCCACCCATCTCATTAAACACCAGCTCATCACGCTCCCACATCAACTCCACCGCGGCGCCGGTAGGACCAGCAAGAACCGTCAACAGCGCAGTCTTAACCACCAGTCCAAAACACCCCACCTTACCATACACAACCCTATGCGCCGCTCTGTACAGACTAACAGCCCAAACCAGCACACCAGCCGACCCAATAATATAATCCCACCGCAAGAACGCATGAACCCCCTCTCCGATATCCCGCACCTGCGGCACAGGTGTCGCCCAAGGCAGAGGCACCTCAAACACCTTGGCCGGATGCAACGGGCCCAAGAACCGCTCGTCGAACATGGCAGGGACCGCCAGCGTAGCCAGCGACACGGTCCAGCTGATCAGATGCGTGAGCGCGGCGTTCGCAAAGGCGAAGGCGTACACGCGGCGCAGGGCGCGGAGCGTTGCGCGGCCGCCTTCTGGGTTGCGGTCATTGCTGACGAAGGGGCTGAAGACGATGTGTGCGATTGTCAGCAGGATGGAGACGTACGCTGGCCACGGCTGCCAGATGGCGATGCAGATCTGCTTCAGGTCGATAGTCATGGTCTCGGAAAGCGGGACGATGAGCAGGTTCGTCGGCACCATGTAGCCGAGGACGAAGACGAAGGGCATTGCGTTGAGGACCGCGCGAGGGACCCGGATGTTGTCTGGGTTGGGTTTGCGCGCTGTCACAGAGGTGTACACCTGGACTGCGGCGTACAGGGGGGTCGCGAAGGCAAATGTCAGGACTTGCGCGGTGAGACCGAAAATCATGGGGCTGGATTGTCAGTTTGAAGTTCTATCTGGGTTATGATGGTAGAGAACGTACAACGCAGCAAGACCCCAGGCATTGCCCCGTCTCCAGGCTTCGAGGCAGACTAGAATCCATGCGGAGCCGAATGTCCCAGAAAAGGCGATAGAGTGTAGCAGCAGCGAGGGATTGCTTCCGTCGGTGGTGGGCCAGAAGAACGTCGTCAGCACGCTTAACAGATGGTCAACTGGCTCGACGCCAGTGTAGACGGTGCGTAGAGGGGCATCGACGCCCGGGAGTGTCTTCGCCGCAACGAGCTTGTCGCCTAGAGCGCGCAGACCAGTGATATCTGCATAGTAGAAGATGCAGTAGAAGACGGATGCGCTTAGCAGCGGGAGGATCAGTTTGGCGGCCATTGTGCAGCTGCGGGTGATAAGGCGTTACATCTGGAGGTGCAAGAGATATTTATTTCCGTTGCTGGGTCATGTCAGCAGTACCGAGTTTCATGCTGATATGCAGGGCACTCCCTCGAAAGAGAAGGCGTTGCGAATATGCGGAGCTGGCGGCGCTGATCCATGAGCTGCATGTGGATTGAGTACCGAGGCAGCGGGGGAAGCGGATTGAATTTGAAATGAATTCCGATCCATTCACATGTCGATCGTCCGGGGTACACCTTAGGGCTGGGACTGCTCGTATACATTCGTCCAATATAGAGTATACAGACTGTATAAGGATCGCTGAAGGTATCAAGTACAGTGAATTGATGCATATAGGCTAATTGCTGATATTTAGCCCGACATCCGCGACAGCATGGCATCCGGATATAAAGTCCGCTGCCCCGCCGTAAGAAAGGCGCCATGAAGCATCGCAATGGACTCCCTTCCAGACCCGAACCCGCCGGGGACTATAACGGCGTGGGATGTTGTGCAGACAGGCATCACCCTGTGTTTCCGACTGCCATGGACGGTCTTTGCAACGCTTGTCCGGCGCTGGTCGCCATGGTCTTCGTATAGACCTCCGCCGCTAAAAGAACACCTCTTCCGCCATGTCATGACCTGGTATACAGTCCTGGTCCGTTCTGTAGAAGCTCCAAACTAACGTAACAAACAATGCAGTCTGGGGAACCATGTCCCCCAGTCAATTTGGAACCGGTCCTTTGGCGATCCCACCGGCGCCAGCCTACTCACCTCAACCCGATACTCGCACCTCAGCAAACAGTTCTTCCGCCTCGTCCGTAAACCCGAATTCTCCGGGTACTGGTTCTGTCGCGGCCTGTCTGTCGACCCAATCGACCCTCGCAAAGCCGATCTCGTCATTCTGCACGCCCACGGCGGCGGTTACGCCCTCGGCCACCCGTCCGCCTCCGCGCCGGAGCATCTCCTCCTCGCGGAAATCCTCCACCGCCACGGCATCACCACAGCCATATTCTCCCTCGACTACACGCTCAGCCCGACGGGCAAATTCCCCAAACAGCGCGACGAGATCCTCGCAGCGTACGACTGGCTGCGCGGCGACATGGGCGTCGACAGCGGTCGCATTGTCGTCATGGGCGACTCAGCCGGCGGACACCTCATCCTGACCCTGTTGGTCGGGCTGCACGAGCGCGAGCTGGCGTCGAATTTGCAGCTGGGCGAAAAGGCGGACAAGCCGGCCGCTGCGGTGTTGGTGAGCCCGTGGGTGAACCTGTACACGTCGCATCCGCGGTTTCTGGAGCTGCATTGGGAAGAGCGGTTGTTCAAGTTGTCGCTGGATACGTGGTGCTCGACGCTGTTCCAGGGGACGCCGGAGAGTATAATGAGGGTGTATGGGAATTTTGCGGTTGCGCAGGCGGAGCGTGGCTCGTGGGTGGATATCCTCCCGCGACGCACGTGGGTGTCTACTGGGTCTGAGGAGTTGGCGTTTCGGTATGATATTGAGGATTTTGTTGATGCTGCGAAGCACGATGGTGCGAGTGTTGTGCTGGAGGTGGAGCAGGGAAAGGATCACTCGTGGCAATGTGCGGAGGCTTTCAGCCAGCATGCGCGGTTACTTGATGTCGCAATGGATGTGGATGATGAGACGGTGATGCCTGGGTTTAGGCGCATCGCAGAACAGATATTACATCTTTACAAAACGGAGATACGTGAGGAATAGATAACATGCAAAGAGTTGATTGAGGCGTCTCCATCTAGACCGCCAACACGTTAAAGCTTCGCCTCGTACTCACCCAGCGCCTTGAAGAACGCCCGCGCGTAGTCATGGGTCCGCTCATTCCCAAGCGTTCCCAACCCCATACGGTTCATGGCATAAGTGAACGTGATCTTCCGGTCTAGGTCCATGATCGCGACCGAGCCGCCCCATCCACCCCAGAAGCAGACCTTGCCCTTGGGCAGCCAGTCGAGATCTGCCGTCGGCAGACCGTATCCCATACCGAAGCGCAGAGGCACGCCGATGACCAGATCGGGGCCGTTGGTCTGCTCCTCGAAGATCTTATCAACGATAGCCTGAGAGAGGAACCGACGCCCATCCACCGAGCACCCACCATGCGTCACGATCGACAGAAGACGGTTGAGTCCCGCCGCATTGGCGAACCCAGCATACGAGCCGACGCCCACATTGCGGAACTCGGGGGTATTGGCGATTTCTGCTGAGTTGGGGGTGCCTCGCAACGCACGCATCATGATGCCCTCCGGATCGATGCCCGGGGGCAGCTTCATCCGCTCGGGGGCGATCATCTCCCCAATGCGCGACCAGTGCTTCTCCGGCACGGGCAGGAAGGTGTCCGCGTTGAGCGGATCGATGAGCTCTTCGTGGAGGAACTGGCCCAGCGATTTCCCCGTGACGCGCCGGACAAGCTCCCCGATGAGGTAGCCCTGCGACTGCAAGTGGTAGCCCGACTGCGTGCCCGGGGTCCACCACGGCTTCTGCTGAATGAGTTTCTGCGTCGTACCCGCAAAATCGAACAGCTCGGAGAGCTGCAAAGGGGGATCCCACGAGGGCAGCCCGGCGCTGTGGCTGAGGAAATGGCGGACTTGGATCTCGTCACGGCCGTCACCGCCAAACTCGGGCCAGTATTTGGTGACCGGGGCGTAGAGATCCAGCTGTCCGCGGTCGGCCAGGAGAAGAACCGCCAGCGCCATCCAGGTCTTGGTCGTCGACCAGACCGGCACGATGGTATCTTCCTTCCATGGTTTCGTCTTCGCGGCGTCGGCATACCCGCCCCAGAGGTTGATGACGGTCTTGGCGCCGATGCTCACGCAGAGAGAGGCGCCGACCTCGTTGCCGGACTTCACGTGCTGCTCGAAGGCATCGCGGACGGCAGCAAATGCAGGATCACAGGTTCCGTGGACTTCGGCCATGATGAGTTTGTTGGTGCTGATCTTACACCCGGCTTGAAGCCGGGTTGAGGCCCCTATTTATACCGCTCACGTTGGGGCCGTTTATCGTGAGGGGTTAGCGCTTATGCTGGAGCCTACACCGATACCGAGGTGGAATCTAACAAAGGACACATTGCCTGGACGACAGTCGGTTTCACTCCATGAGCGAAAGGGCAATCCTGACGACGAAGGCAGCAATCTGTACTTGGAGGGGGCTGGAGATTTTTTGTTTACTGGCGCATGCGATATACATGGTGGTGAGAGATGACGTCAGGCATTTCCGGCATGTCGGGTCCGGCATCAGGAACCATCAGTATTAGAAGAGTATTTATCCGTACGGTGATGGGTTTGCAGTATTCGATGGAGCCGAATAAACAGCCGACTGCTGGCTGTCAAACCCCAACAGCCGTGGAAAAGCCGAGCCGGTGATGTAACCAGATCCATGACACCATCACTCAGCCAGCTCTTCCGGGCGTTCCTGTCCGGTCACTAAATACGCCGAGTCTGCCATATACGACGTGATTCAAGTGTTCAGATTGTCAATATGGCGTCTGCTAGCTCATCTAGCAGCGACTCGCTATCCCATCTTCCTACCGCGCATCCGGAGCGTAACCCGAGCTTCGAGCCCATCCGATCCCCAACCATCACGCGACGGCAAACCAATGTCGACCTTGCGCGGATCGAGTCGCTGCGCCTAACACACCAGTCGACGGTCGGATCGACCACTGGTCCAGAGCCGCGAGAGAAATGGCTTCCCTTTGGGGGAGGGAAAGACTACCCTCCCAAACTCCCTGATCCGGAGAAGTATGTCGTGGAGTTCACGGGGGCAGACGATCCTTTTCATCCGCGAAATTGGCCTTTGGCGCGCAAGTATGTCCTAGTCTCCAACTAGTCCACCCGCAGGACTGACGATAGCAGGATCACGATCTCTTGCCTCTTGGCGTTTGTTACGTTTACTGCATCGTTCGCCAGCGCCATCTTCTCCGCGGCTGTCGGCCAGGCGAGCGAGGATTTCGGCATCAGCAGGGAGGTCGCAACGCTGGGCGTCACGCTTTATGTGTTGGGATTTGCGGCCGGGCCGACCCTCTGGGCCCCGGCATCTGAGCTGATCGGGCGGAAATGGCCCATCATGGTCGGTGTGTTCGGATACTCCATATTCACCATTGCAACGGCAACAGCGAAGGATGTACAGACACTCATGTTGACGCGGTTCTTCGCGGGTATGTTCTCTGCTAGTCCGATCGCCATCGTGCCCGCGGCGTATGCCGATATCTACAATAACAGCACACGTGGTATTGCGATTGCGATGTTCGCGATGGCGGTGTTTGTTGGTCCATTTGCGTCGCCGTTCACGGGTGGCTTTATCACCCAGAGTTATCTCCACTGGCGGTGGACGATGTACATCTCAGCCATCATGGGCTTTCTCGGACTGGTGTTGCTGTTGCTCTTTTACAAGGAGACTTACCCTCCCGTTCTGTTGATCGAGAAGGCGGCCACCCTTCGCCGTCAGACGCGCAACTGGGGTATCCATGCCAAGCAGGATGAAGTCGAGCTGGACCTTCGGGAGTTGATCAATGTCAACTTCAGCCGGCCGTTCCGGATGCTCTTTACGGAGCCGATCGTCTTTTTGGTGACATTGTATGTTGTTGTAGACTGGGGTGTTGGGCATGGCTGACGAGCATAGGTACATGTCGTTCATTTACGGGTTGATGTATGCCCTTCTCGCCGCATACCCCGTCGTGTTCCAAGGTAAACACGGGATGAATTTGGGTGTTGGCAGTCTTCCATTCATTGGGTTGATCGTGGGCGAGTTCTTTGGGGGGATATATATTCTGATCGTGCAACAATCATATATCAAGAAACTAGCCGCCAACAACGACATCCCCGTGCCGGAATGGAGATTACCACCGTGCATTGTCGGCGGCTGTGCCTTTACCATCGGGCTGTTTTGGTATGTCCTCTCAGCACGTGCGACAGACGCATCTAACCGACCCCAGGTATGGATGGACCGGCTGGACGAAGAGCATTCACTGGATGGCACCGACCGCATCCGGAGTCTTCACTGGGTTCGGCATCTATGTGATCTTCCTGCAGTGCTTCAATTACCTGATTGATTCGTATCTCCAATTGTAAGCAGCGGCGCTCCCCTAAGGAAAAAGCAATGCTGACTGATAGGACAGTGCCGCGTCGGTCTTCGCCGCCAACACGATTTTGCGGTCCGCGGTAGGGGCGTGCTTCCCACTCTTCTCCCGTCAAATGTTTGTGAACTTGGGGGTTCAGTGGGCGGGAACACTGCTGGGATGCTTGTCGTTTATCATGATCCCGATCCCGCTGGGTTTCATCTTACTGGGACCGAGGCTGCGGAGGAAGAGCAGATTCGCTCCCTCTCCAGCTTTTTTTGAGGAGAAAGGGCCTAATGTGTGTGATTAAAAGAGGCTTGAATCGGAGATTTCCTATCAAATAGGGACTGCATACCTGTGTATACGACGCCACGTGCTAGGCCGAATCAGGATTGCATGCCTCAGGCAGAATAGAATCCAGAAGAGGCAAAAGATTCGAAGAATTCGAAACTTCCTGGTGATGGCAAAAGGCGAAAGGCAAAAGGCGATTGTGGGATGGTGACGTCGGTGACCAGTCACCGCGCCATTGTCTTCCATCATAATGACAATAGATGCACTAGAATCTATTCAGGAGTATATTGTCACCATCCCCATACTCGGCCCCACGTTGTAGGGACAATCTGCGGGCAATCTGCATGCATCAGATACTACCTCCTGCCAAGAGATAGAGCTGTCTACTCCGGATAGTAAAGAGCTCTGATAGATAAGACCCATGGAGCGACACGAGCCCGTCTGACTGTTCAGCATCGGCGATATCCGCTTTTCTTGGCGGCTTTTCCCACGCGATTCATGGTCGACGGCGCTGATTCGACCCAAGGATAGATCGGCAAATTGACCCAGGGTCTTCCGGCTCCATCATCGCCTTTTCCAGCACGCGGACTGGCCCGTCGGGTGTCTTGCCAAGATGACAGCCTGAGGGGCTTCACTGATAAGAGATTTTTTTTTTACCCTTGCCTGCTCGCGTGGGCGAAATAAAACTCGGCCTGGGCCCAGTTGCTGTGAGAGCCTCTCGTTCTGTGCGTCTTCGGCCTCAGGCGGATTGCCTCACTCTTCAATATATCTTCTTGACCACCGCGTCAAAAGTCACGGCGACTTTCCATCTCACCATGGGTCTGGATTGGATTCATCGCGCCAACCTCTGGGTGGCGCAGAGCCCCGTTGGATGGTGGTTTCGTCTGGAGAATTCCGGTCATGTATGCGATTCTCTTTTGCTACTGTTTTGGCTGCTGTGATCGTGCTCGAGAGGATGATCCTAACAAATCCTAGCCCAAGGAACGAAAGGGAACCTTTTTCTTCACGGAAATCCGGGCCGGTCTCGCCACTTTCTTCGCCATGGCCTATATCATCTCAGTGAATTCAACTATCACATCTGAAAGTGGTGGAACGTGTGTCTGCCCGCCGGAGGACCTGAACAACCACTGCAATACCAATACAGAATATCTGCTATGTGTGCAGGAAATCAAGCGCGATCTGGTCACGGCGACGGCGGCCATCGCGGCCTTTGCTACCTTCTTCCTGGGTTTGCTGGCTAATTTGCCTGTTGCGCTCGCTCCGGGAATGGGCTTGAACGCATACTTCGCCTACACGGTCGTCGGATATCATGGCAGTGGCATGATTCCGTACAGTGTTGCGCTGACGGCGGTGTTTGTGGAGGGATGGGTGTTCCTGGGTCTCACTCTGCTCGGTATCCGACAGTGGCTGGCTCGGGCGTTGCCTGCGTCCATCAAGCTCGCCACCGGTACGGGTATCGGGTTATATTTGACTCTGATCGGTCTGACATACAGCGCCGGTATTGGATTGGTCACCGGCTCGACTGACACTCCCATGGAATTGGCTGGCTGTCACCAGTCGTCGCTCGATGAAACGACTGGTCTGTGTCCGTCTTCGGATAAGATGCGCAATCCTACCATGTGGATTGGTATCTTCTGCGGTGGTGTGCTCACGGCCTTCCTGATGCTGTACCGGGTCAAGGGCGCCGTCATCATCGGCATTCTGCTCGTGTCTATCATCTCGTGGCCGCGTCCTACTCCCGTCACCTACTTCCCTCACACGGAGCTCGGAAACAGCATGTTTGATTTCTTCAAACAGGTGGTGACGTTCCATCCGATCAAACACACGCTGGCGGCGCAGGAGTGGGATATCTCCGGACATGGTGGCCAGTTCGGACTGGCTTTTATCACCTTCCTCGTATGTATCTCTGTGGGACTGAATGCGGGTGCAGCCAGCTAACCAGTCGACAGTATGTGGATATTCTTGACACCACGGGTACGCTGTACTCCATGGCCCGCTTCGCGGGTACCATCGACGAGCGCACGCAAGATTTCGAGGGCAGCGCCATGGCTTATGTATGTACCCACTTGTCCTGTGGCTTTTTGTACCTCCACTAACACGTCGTAGATGGTCGACGCCATCTCGATTTCGATTGGATCCCTGTTCGGCAGTCCCCCGGTGTGTGCCTTCGTCGAGAGTGGTGCCGGTATCTCGGAAGGCGGTAGGACCGGCCTCACTGCCTGCGTAACGGGTCTTTGCTTCTTTATCGCAGTATTCTTCGCCCCGATTTTCGCGTCCATCCCGCCGTGGGCGACCGGTTGCACGCTGGTCATCGTCGGCGCGCTGATGTGCAAGGCCGCGGCGGAGATCAACTGGAAGTACTATGGCGACGCCATCCCCGCGTTCCTGACCATCGCCATCATGCCGTTCACCTACAGTATTGCGTACGGTCTGATTGCCGGTATCATCAGCTACATCGTGCTGAACGGAGGTGTGTGGTTGATCGAGAAGGCGACGCTGGGCCGTTTGGTGCCCCCCAACAAGCACGACGAGAAGGACCCATGGACGTGGAGGATCCCTGGTGGATTTTTCCCTCCCTGGATCAAGCGTCTCGCGAAGGGGAAGAAGGACTTCTGGCGCGAGGACGACAGCGACGTCGACCTGGGCGTTGTGCCGGAGGGATCGCTGTCCAGTCATGAGAATGGCGCAGAGAAGCAACAGGTGCAGGCGCCGGAAAAGCCGACAGCCTGAGGGGTGTCATGTTTTGTATATAGGTAATTAGCACGGTGAGATGGACCTGGTAATGATTGTGTATATGGGACCATTTGGCGTTTGGTAGCAACAATGACTGCATCGCATAAAATCCAACTGATGTCATGGATGAGTAATAATGAACATTATAAAAATAAGGAATTGATTTCCGGTCATGTGACTTAGCGCATACGCATTCATTGGTCGGAAGTCGGTCGCGGAACTATTGAAATCCACAATACGTTTATTACCGCCGGAGCCCTCTCCGATGCCACATTCGGCAGTCTCTCCGGCGTATTACCAAAACGCTCGGCCGAGCGGGGAAGGCTTTAGGTTGTCGATAGCTGAGGTATGCTTTTTTTTTTTAGCGATTCCTATTTTATCCCTTTTGCTCCCTTGCGACGGGTGATTTTTCCCTTCCTCTCACGTTGTCGATCTTTCTTCTTACTTGCCCTCAATCTCCGTCATGGATTGATTGACTTGACATCTTCTATCCTTATGTCTTCCGACTCCAAACGCCCGCTGGCTCCCGCCCCGCCGGGGGTCACCACCGCTAATGATTCCCATCAGCGGAGGAAGAATGTCGGGACCGCATGCCTGGCGTGTAAAGCTCGCAAGCTCAAGGTACCGACCTGATCTCGTGCTCTGCCCTGTTGTTCGGTGATATATGCGTTGCCACTGTCGTAGTCGGAGACTAACGCCTCGCAGTGTACCGGCGTGGTCCCGTGCGGGAACTGCATCAAGAGCCGCATCGAATGCACGCTGGACCATACTGCCGATAAACGGCGCCGCGGCGCCCTCAAGCGGAAGATCGACCAGCTGGAGGAGAAGGAGGATCTCCTGATCCGTCTGGTTGAGGTCCTGCGCGAGAGTGGCAACTCGCGTACCGGGCCCCTGGTCAACCTCATCCGCAGTAACGCCTCCCTGGCGGAGATCCGGTACTACCTGGACCATGAGTTGCCGCAGTCGGAGCTGGCGCAGACTCCGGCCCTCGCTGAGGTGTTTAATGAAGTCGAGCGGGTGCAGCAGTCCGAGTCGCGGTCCATCCGCCGCATTCTCGATGCCAAGCGCTTGTCTGATATCCCGCGGTTTCAGGTCCCCGCGCGCCCGTGGACGACCGTCGTCGAGGATAATGACTTCATCTCGCATTTGGTGTCGCTGTGGTTTACGTGGTGCCATCCGTTTTCGAACTGGATTGATCGGGACCGGTTTGTGAAGGATATGCAGGCGGGGTCGGTGGATGCGCGGTATTGCTCGCCTTTCCTGGTGAATATCATTCTGGCAGAAGCCTGTGTATGTATTTTTCTGGCGATAAGTGTCTGTAGTCATTCTAACAACCACAGTCGTACTCGGATTACCCCGAAGCATATGCTGTTCCCGGCGACGTCTCCTCGAAAGGAACCCACTTCTATAACGAAGCAAAGCGTCTTCTCGACAAGGAAGAAGGCCGCATCACTCTGCCCACGGTGCAAGGGTTGGGAGTCTTATGGGCCTGGTAAGCGCTTCGGTCTCACCGTCATTCCAAGCTAACCTTACAAGTGCCTACATGACGGGACGAGACCGACAGGGATGGATCTATCGCAGTCAGTTAGCGTATGCCGTGCAGGAGCTGTCCCAAAAACACCCTGTCCTTGCATCCAAAGCGGACGAAGATACCCTTCGCATGGTCCGGGTAATCCATGATTCCACTTGGGGGGTTTTCAACATCTCGACGTAGGACCCCCACGGTCACTTCAACCTCGTTGACCTGTCCACGGCAAGGTGAACAGCGAATCGCTAACGCGCCCCAGGATCCAAGCTTTGTCCGAAAAAAAGACCCCGTTAATCAAACCTCCCCAGCGCCAGTCTCTCCCACCAGTCACCCACGAGGCCGGATTCGACGATTGGGTGCCGTATCCCACCCAGGCCGAAAGTCGGAAGGCGCACATTGACTGCGTTTTCAACGCGCTGTGCTCGCTCAACGTTGTCGTCTATGATGTCGCACAATACTTCTTCCAGAGCACCACCGAGCGTCCTCGAGCAGAACTCGAAAAAAGAGCCTCCGAATTCCATAGCCGACTCCGCGAATGGACCGCCCGGCTCCCCTCCTGTCTCAAAGAAGAAGAGGCAAATGTCCCTCATGTTTTATGTCTACAGTACGTGCTCTCCATCGGAGTGGTGGCATCAGCTAACAGCTCCAGTATGTACCACCACACCATCCTAATGACAGTATACGACCCCTTGCGAACTCCCGTCACGAACACCAACACAACAGCAATGGACATCACCCCCTCCCACGCAAAAGATATCTGCTTCTCGTCCGCCCGCGGCATCGCGCGGCTCATTCGCATCCACCAGAAAAACTGGGGCCTCGACCGCATGCCTGTCCGCAACATCCAGTGGGTCACAGCCGCGCTCTTCACGCTCCTTGGAGGCCTTGAGCAGCCCGACAACCGTGAGGCGTTCATTAGCTTGTCGGTTTCGGCTAAGGCGCTCTCGCGTCGGTGGGGTATGTGCAAAAAGCTCATGCGAACCGTGGAAGCCGCCGCCAATGACTCGAAAACCGGCTTGCCGACCGAAACAGACCCGCTCTTTGCCGAGCTCGATACGAGTCAGCGGTCTAGCACTCATGTTCCTGTTGATGAGGCCTTATTGGCGAGTCTGGATGATTCAACTTGAGTGACCTTGCAGCAAGGTTGGATAGATATTGATACTTTGTACAGCCTATGAGCGCTCATGTGTTGGGGCCTGTACTTGTCAATGATGGTAGTAGGAGTAATAGAATTCATATACCCGAAATAGCCGGCGTAGCGCTTGCTGTGCGGGTGTTCCCTACTTGCCCGAAATGAAGCTATCTAGGCACATACAAAGGAGATGCTCTAACAAGAGTACGGCGGTTAGGTCTCCCAGACCTCGTCGCCAGGCCTACCTGTCTGCCACCGACCTGCACATCGGAAAGCTCGCCGTCGCCCCCCGGCTATACGTCAAATGGAGTATAGGTTTTATCGATATGTACCAAGACATTGAATATATACCACGCTGGTAAAGCAGATTCACACGGTCATGCCACTATCAGTCCGACTCCTTTTTGCCATGGGATCTTCCTTTCGTTTCTCCCAGTAGTAATTGATCTGCTTAACCCATTTACGCGGCATGCTATGCCACCACGCCCAGAGGATCAACGTGATCGCCGTCAAAGGAACCGTGACCGCCCAGTAGACCCAGAACTTGTTGGAAGTGGCCCACCTATCGTCGGATGGAGCATTGTAGTCAAAAAAGTTGGTTCCGAAGATGCCCTATGAGGTCAGTCAGGATTGAGAATGCTGACGCCGGGACAGGAGCGACTTATTACGCTGATGAAGGTTCCAGGTAGATACAGCATGGTAACGAAGCCGATGGTCTTCATCACCGCACTTTCAGAAAAGGTAGCCAGATAAAATCCCTGTTGGCATCAATATCCAGGAGCGCCCCATGCGCCGAGTCGGGGCACATACCAGGTTGAGTTCGTTGTTCAAGCGCTCCGTGAGCGACCTCGCCCGCATGCGCTGCGAATGTATCTCCTTCTCCACGAAGAACAGCTTTTGCTGTGTGTTGATGATAACACCCCGTTTGCCTTCGGTGAGATCTTGAAACTCCTCGCGAAACCGCCGGTGTTCGCTCACGAGGTTCTTGAGGGTGTTCTCCGTCACTTCTAGGACCTCGGATAGGTGGAAGATGTGTCGAGCGATATCGTGTTGTCTGGCGAGGTCGCGCGAAGGTTGCGAGGTTACCTCCCTTTTCTATACATGGGTTTAGCAGGACGCTTGCTTTGCTCAGTCTATGGGTTAATTGCCTTCTCAATTGGCCGCACAAGATCCCTTAGAAGCCAGAAGCACATGTCATATAGACCGATGATGGACCCCGCGAGGAGTGCATGCCAGGTGAATGGATGGAACTGTCTCTTTTCCTCGGTGGGCAGCCTTTTCACGATGTGTTTCTTCTGTTTATCTTCTAGGTTGAGGAAGACAACCTCTATCTGGGATGGGATTTTCCATTTGACGAGGACGGTTGTTTGGACCCAGTTATAATCGTGCTCCGACCTAACCAACTTGGCCTTGTAGGTTGCCCAAGACACTTCGAAAATTAGTCAACTCGCGGAGAAGGACTCCGGGACAACTGACCATGGTATGTAGGCGTGTCATCCTCATCGATGGTATAGTCGCTGAAGAAGGAACCATTGAGGTCCTTACCGCGGGCAATCGGCCGAAACTCTTCTGGCGCGTCGTATGTGTCTTTCAGGGCTTCGTCCTCGGCGAAGCTATTCGAAACGTCAGTATATATACCACAGCATCTATGTATGGTGTGTCGGACATCACCCTAACCCGGCTGGACGAGTTCTAGATGATCTATTAGTACAACCATGTCTAGACACCATGAGCCAGGTGGGTTGGTGAGTACATTCAACTCCGTCACCGGTTCGATCCGGGTATTCCACTCATTGCCATCTGTGCCGGCCGTTAGCTCGACTGTCTCTTTTGCCGAAATCCGTGAACAGACGTACCCCAATCTTTGACACAGACCGTGGGGGGTTTTTCGAGCATTGTGATGTCGACCGCAACAATGCCCAACAACCATTTCAGTTTGGCGCCAGGCCGGCCCTTATATAGCGCCGGGCTGGCATTTCTTCTCAACACGGCGGGCGCAGTTAGACGCCGTCAGCGGGCTGATCTACAAGGATGCACGAGGCTACCAATCACATCCTCTTCTCCCATCCCCAGCTCTAACATGGTGAGCTTTTCGGCGCGTGCAAAAATATCAAGCACCCCACTCTGGCAACCATCCGTGTAGTTCATTAAAGCCCAGGTCGGACGCTAGAAAGCCCATTGTCGTCTCCCAATTGAACGCATTCGATGGCTCTTGGATGGGAGGTACATCGGCTGCTAGATACCCTTGATTGGGCTGCGAGCTGACGTGTTGACGAGCCGGCGTGGCAGTGTTGCCCGCGGCTGCAGATGGCGGATCCTGCGGAGTGGACAGGACCCGGGCGCGTGCGACCTGCAAAAATTGCCAGGTGTTCCGGGCAGAGAGGCTGAATGATCCCATTTGTCTGAGGATCTCATCGCATTTTGCCCAGCTTGCGTCGATGGTCGCTGTGTCCACTTCCTCCGAGATGGGGCGACAGGCGTACGACATGATGATCACCATTCCCGCAGTTGATGTGTCTAGTAAATTGTTGGAAAATTAATCATTTTAGTCCCGGCAGGATGCGGGCTGGGCCACATACAAAAACCATTATAAAATCCCAAGTCTGTTTCCGAGCCCTGGTATGTATCATGGACGAGCGAGATAAGGTTAATAGCTGCCTTGGCACAGGCAGCAGCGCATTTTCGGAGTATCGCTCTGTGTATCGTGCTGTGAGCTGTTAAACGGCGTTCGCCTTCGTCGCTGCGGGCAGGGTCGGTGCAGAGTTGCGTAAATATCGGTCGGTACAAAAGTAGATGGATGTAGAGGAATCTGCATCCAATGATTAGAGAATGAATGCTTCGCCTCGACCGGGGTGTTTGCTTACCTTGCATGGAGCACATTCCTCTGGCGTCTCAGAACTAATTGTTTCTGCGCCTCAATGACTGGCACCGATGGTCTCGTCCAACTTAGGAACAAAGGAAGATTGGATTCGTACTGGAAGAGCTTGTCTTCTAAGCCGATGATGACATCGAGTCCGCTAGAACCGCCATTTCTCCTCGTGGAGCCAACAGGGGTCATACTATCTCTACTTCGCCACGTTTCGTACACGTCTGATAGTATACTGTCTAGGACCCGATACAGCTCAATGGTTGCAATGTAGAAAGCCATGATGGATGGGCTGTGTTCATCGCCCGGTCCAGGTACTGGGCATTCCGGCAGAGGAACATTTGACAGATGCGAAGTCATCGTCGGGCGACCATAGGTCATGCTCACAAATGTATCCATCATTACACATCCATGCCACGTTCGACGGTGGATTTCTCGTTCGAGCGGATGTTGACTCTCATCAGGCTGTGCCTCGTGGAGGCCCAGTCCCTGGGCTAGGCGACACGCCACTCCGATTGACTGCCAGCATCGATGGGGATAGGGCGTTGATTGAAGGAAAAGCACGGTGAGGAGAAGTGTTTGAACGGTACCGACGGTGCGAATATCCAGCATGTCAAGCCCAATGAACTTCTTCGCTCGTACGAAAAACGTATGCGCCACGGCCTCTCTCTCGTGGTCCGGTATGTCGGCAAAGTGGCACCCAAGAGCGAATATCATGTTGAGCGCGCAGATGAATATGATTGATCTGGGATCCGAGTGGTTTTTGTTTCCCAGGCCGATGTCCAGATCGGTAAGTGGTTTAGCGGGCTGAGATCGCGAGATCCAGAGCTTATCGTATGCGTCTTGGAAACTTTGTCTATGAAAAAATGGATAGAGGCAGTACACTCGGTCCCAGAAGCAGTCCAGCAAGTGATCTGCTAAGTCTCGGGGTGGAAGTAAAAACTCATCAACCTGGAACCGGCTTAGTGGTGTCGGAACGGCGTGTGTTAAAGCCGACAATTGTTCCATTCGACCGGGCCTTCTCGGTGTCTCTCCAGCAGTGGCATGAGCTTGTACGCTAGGTCGTGGGTTTGCATCCCCAGTCAGTAGTCGCATCAGTGAAACGGTAGACGAGCTGCCGAAGTATTCGTTCGCGGGTCGTCCATCTTCGTCCACAGAGCTGATTGCACCCATCCCAGTGACATTGCTGTCAAGTTCAAAGGGCGTATTGGGGTATACTTCCGTCTCTTTTCTTGGGGAACAATATACGTGCGCTGCGTTATGCATGGGATGCGACCTGCCCGCTTGGCTTATCGGGGATTGTTGTGCTTGCCCATCAAGCATAGTTGATGACATATTCTGATTCACAGTCCCGGGCGAGTCGGCAGGCTGGCCACTATCGGTCATGGAATGGTCTTCCCCGATGTTTTCACCTCCAAATGCAGGCACCGAAACACCTGCCTTGATGCAGGTTGCTTCCAACTCGCGAATCCGACGATGAAGCATCCGGAGGTACCTCAGGTCAATATTAGTGCAAACTTCTATCATCTCATAGTTACATAACTCACTCATCATTACTGGCCAACCTGGCATTGTCTGCAGTCTTGTAAAGGCATTGGTCGATGTTCAGGCCGCGCCTACTGCAGGCACCGCAGATGGGCTTTTGGCCGTCACATCTCGCCTTCCTTGTCCTGCAAGGCTCACATGCCAAAGCCACTTTTCGACGGCGGGGGCCTGCATTCTTCCGGGATATAGACCTGCGAGATTGCATCGGGGTTGTTTGATGACTTTCTGGGGGTCAAGCGGAAGGGGAAGTCCGAATGTTGAAAGAAAGGTCGGGTCCATTCCGGACCGTCCGGGATGTTCCGCCCGCGTATACAAAGCAGCATCGGATGACGTTGAGTCTGGCTCGAATATTGCAGGGAAATAATTTGACAATACGGCTAATATCGTTCCAGTGCAATTAGTTAATACGGCTGGTATCTGACTCTGCTCTTCTATCGAAAAGTACTGGTTTTACCACATCCAACGGCAGCTATATATTCACCCTTAAAGCTGCGCATGGCTCTCAGCTAACCTTGGGAAAATCTTCATCGCATTCCCAAAATTTATATTGTCCCTCAATTCCTGAGCCATCTCGTACGACTCCAAGTCCTGCAGGAAAGCAGGATACGCAGTCACTGGCGCATACGGAAAGTCACTCCCGTACAAAATATGATCATGAGGGACCATCTTCAGCAGAAGGTCCAGCACCTGCGGGGACGCGCTGAGTGCCAAATCATAATGGAAACTGCGGAACGCCTCCATAATCTTGTCGTAGGTTGTTCCCAATTGATGGGCGACTGCAAATTCAGGCGCCTTTCGCATGGGGGTTGCGACGCGGGAGATGAGGTACGGTAACGTTCCTCCAGCATGGGACAAGATGACTTTGCAGTTGGGGTATTTCAATCGCGTACCGTTCGTGATCATGTCCATCGCAGTGCGAGTCGTCTCATGGGGATAGTCGATACTCGGCTGGGGGAGCTTCGAATTGACGGGGTTGGTATCGACTGGGTGGGTTGGATGGACGAACACGACGCAGCCTCGTCTGTCCAATTCAGCCCAGATGGGCTCCACATCGGGATGACCGAGATAGGTGTTGGAGTCGCCATATCTTGTGAATAGAGTGACTCCATCGGCTTTTAGAGTGTCCAATCCGTAGGCTATCTCGGCGAGCGCGTCTTCCGTGTCCAGGATATTGGGTAGGGACACGAAGAAGCCAAACGATTGGGGGTCTTTGTCTCTGAGATCTGCCGCATACTCATTCAGCTGTCTCGCAAGCTTGGCACGCGCTTGACGATCGGGGAGAATGCAGGCACCAGGAGCCGTTACAGACACCACGGCCCTATGCACACCGAGTCGCTCCATCAGAAGCTTGGATGACAACGGGGACCAGTGGGGAGTGGGCCAACCACTAGGATCACCTCCTTGTCCTTCGATTGCTATTCCAAAATTAGTACAGATCATAGTTATTGGTGGAGGTTATGAAACCCTGTGCATAAAACGGCGGCACGAAATGGTGGTGAGTATCGATCTTGTTGACCGGAGGAGTGTGACTCCATCCTGCCTTGTCCCGGATCCAATCCAGCGCGTGTTCGGCCATGGTTTGGATCAGTTTCTTATATAGCGATAGAACAAAAGCAAAAGCGCGAAAGGATGCTCAATCCGAAATGCATCCTTGGTCTCACGCCCCTCTTAAGCTGCGCTCGGGATCGTTCCGATGACGGCCCCCCCGCATGTGGACGCGTCATGTTGCTTCAAAATGCAAATAACGTATGATGAGCCGGACAGGCGCGGCCTGCACATGGCAATACATATCAAGGCTAAACGACCACATGTCAATGCTATAGAGTCGGTGGAACCCATTGGACGTGCGCATCGGAACGCACCCGGCCTCTCAACATACTCTCAACAAGAGCATTTGAACATCTATTACAGGGGTCATGAATTATTGACGACGGTTACTTCACCATAGCGAGATGCCGATTCATCGCTACCTTTCAAACATCCCATTCACCACCCCATCTCTGCTACTCTCACCACCTTGGTGCTCACCTAGGCTTTAGAAGATGCCAAACACCACGTTTGATATTACAAGCAATGGTCATTGATAGTACTTGATTTGAAACCGGATGGGCAAACGACAGAAAGTAGATTATCTCATAAAACTCGAGATGATAAAGCGCGTGATGGTTTTTGTCGTCTCACTTGGAGCTCTGCCGCCTGCAAAATCCACCAGTGGTCCATCGTGAGCTTCGTTGGCCATGTACAAGTCCACATCTCCATTACTATTTCGCAAGAGGACATCGCCTAGCTGTTCAATATGGTCTCTGAATACCTCCTCATAGCCTCCAGTTACAAGGATTCGGTCAACCACATTAAGGTTGTTCCACCATGTCTCTGGGACATCGAGTGCCATCCCCCAGCCCCGGCCAGAGGATATTTCCTGGTGCCAGGACGAGTTTCCCACCAGGTAGTTGCCCCATTTGCTTACCACTGTGCGGCCAAGGACATCGGCGCTGAACCATCGCTGGTAGGAGGGAGTGTTGAAATTGTAGGAGCATAGAGGTGACACCAGGAAGCATCCTCGTACATTGTCGACTAAATCGATTGAAGTTCTGTCTTTGCCGTCCATGCTGTCAAATTGGCGGTGATTGTGGAGATGGGACAGCAGCGACAAAGATAGATGGCCTCCTGCAGAGTCTCCCCCAAAGACGATCTAGATGCGGAATATGAGATTGCTGCTGAACATGACCATTGGGGAGTAACATACATCGGACGGATTATACCCGGAGGACAGGAGGTGTTTAAACGCGATGAGAGCTTGCAGCATCTGCCGAGGATACGGGTGTGTAGGGATCAGGTCTTGCTGGTTAGCGCTAGCCTGTCGACGCATGCATGAGAGTGCTGAACCGACCGTATTCGAGGACACATACGCTAAGTTGGATACCTGCGTCAGAGGCTTCTGTTCGGATATGCTCGAGCCAGTCAAGATGCCCTTTCCACAGCGGCATTACATATCCACCACCTACTAGTGATTAGAGAGCGTATACTGCCAGGGCACAAACGACCTACCGTGGAAGAACAGCAGCACTTTATTGCTTCGTTTAGGTCCTATCCAAAGCAACCTCGTGGAGGTATCCGCGCTCAAGACGTCAGCATCCACTTCTCTACCCTTGGATAACACCCACGTGCTGTACGTGTCAAAGGTCGGCGGTAAGATGGCCTGAAGCTGATCCGGAGGCGTGTTGACCATCAGGCTACCGACAAACCCGTTCCAGATAGCTAGTCTCAGGGGGAGATTACTCAACCATGCCCTGATAATTGCCCGGCTAACCTTGACAGCCGCGAATGGCAGGGTAAATAGCGTGAACTTAAAGAGCAACCGGAGTTGCCCGAAAGGGGTCAGCTTGCGAGCCATTTTCTCAGACAATGTGATGCAGGCCGCTGGAATGAGTGTTACGGAGTAGATATAGAAGACGCCGGGTGCATCCCGACGCGCTGATCGCAGTGGCGGGATCAACCCGGGCCATATGATCCCCAGAACCCCATAGTCACCGTGGGGATTGTGTGGGGTTAGCCCCGACTAGCCCCAGATTCACTAGGTTATCGGATCAAGGCATCGGGATTCGGAGAGGAAATCGGCAGTGATATAAAGAGGGCTAACCGACCATGGCTGAATCGTTCTGCCAAAGAGGTCAGCCACCATGAGTTAACCGGCAGATAACACTCGAATCCCGTCCTACACTTAAATTGCATGTGTTGGCACTGGCCTCTCGGCCATTTCTCTCGGAGCTACACTCAAGAGATGGTACTCTCTCGAGGATATATGCTTCTTCGAGCGAGAGAGAGGCCGGTGGTACATGGAACATCAACCGCTATCCCGGTACCTCCGGAATTGGCCATAAGTGAGCATCGGCCGCTAACCCCGGGATATGTATTGCAATGCGCCACAGTTTGAAAGAGCTTTCTTTTGCCCAGCGCAAATGGTGGTACGGACAAACCCCTCACTGCCATGTGAACTTGAGAATCATTGACCTCGAGAAGATACAGTTGAGTATATTCAGTTATTCAGTTGCCTGTATCTAGTATGACCTAGGGAGACCGAGGACGCGTTCACCGATATAGTTCAAGATCATTTCCGGGCTTACTGGTGCAATCCGAGGAATAAAAACCTCCCTGAGATACCGCTCAACATGAAACTCGGCGCCGTAACCAATTACTCCATGGGAGAGCACAGCACGTTCGCACGCCTCGAAGGCTGCCTCCGCCGCCAGATACTTTGCAGAATTCGAGTAGTCGCCGTCTGTGTAACCCTGATCATACATTCTCGCGGCATGGTATATCATCAACCTTGCGGCCTCCAACTTCATCCAGCTATCAGACAGCGGGTGTTGTATTCCTTGGGTCTTTCCAATCGAGACTTCTCTATCGCGAGCGTAGATGGCGGCTTTACGGAGAGCCGCAAATCCCAAACCGAGGGCTTCTGCGCCGATGAGAATGCGTTCTGCGTTCATCCCATGCATGATCATCTTGAAGCCTTCGCTCTCCTTACCGATCAGATCCGCCGCGGGCACTCTCCAGTTTTCGAAGAATAGTTCGTTCGTGTCAACCGCGTGTCGCCCCATCTTCTTGATCTCCTTGATATGCACATCTTCACGTTTAAGATCGGTGTAAAAAAGCGAAAGGCCCTGGGAAGGCTTCTGCACCTGATCACGGGGAGTAGTCCGCACAAGAATCAAGATCTTCTGAGCATTCTGAGCCGTCGAAATCCAGATCTTCTGCCCGGACAAGGCATAATGATCCCCGTCCCGTTTGGCAAGCGACTGCAGCTTCAATGTATCAAGCCCCGTGTTCGGCTCCGTCACACCAAAGCAGGCCCTTTCCTTTCCTGCAATAAGGGGCAACAGCCATCGCTTCCGCTGCTCCTCTGTTCCAAATTTGACAACCGGTTCAAGCCCGAAGATATTCATATGCACTGAAGAAGCGGCCGTCATTCCACCCCCGGACTCTGATATCGTCTGCATCATAACGGCGGCTTCCGCGATACCCAGCTCCGATCCTCCATCTGCTTGCGGGATGCATATACCGAGCCAACCTTCCCGAGCGAGGGTAGCATGCAGTTCCGTTGGAAAAAGCTTTGTCTGGTCCAATTTCGCCCAGTAGTCGTCGGTGAACTTGGAACAGATCTTCGTAATGGCATCGCGGACGTTTCGCTGCGACTCTGTCCAGTCTGTGTTTTCGTTTTGGAGGTATTGAATGGCCTTTCCGTGAATCCCACGGCACCTCGTTCTGGCAATCACCTTTGCCAATGGCCTCCAGAGTGACTTAGACCGTTAGCCAGGGAGCTGGCATTGTGCTTGGTTATTGCCTACCGTTCTTCTTACACGCAATGACATGTTAGCGCTGTCCTAACCAGATGTGCGGGTCTATTATGCATTCCCACTACTTATATAAGAAAACGGGGGCCGAGGCGTTACAAGCGGGGTATCAGTCTTCCGCACCCCGCGCTTCTAGTTGATCATATCCGCTCCTTCGTACATTGGATTCGGCTATATGGTGGCTAGTAGCCGAGTTATAAATGCTGCCGAACCTATGAGAGGAGGCTTTGAAGTCATATCACCCAATCCCACCATGAAATCGTTCACAAGAGCTTTTCTGAAAGGTCGTTCAACCTCCATTGCATACAAAGATGGGACTATTGCAAGAGTCAGCTCTCAGTCAAAGGTTCAGTATTCAAGTTCTGCAAAAGGGCCTCTAGACGGGGTTAAGATTCTCGATCTGACAAGGGTTCTGGCTGTATGTCATCACCCTAGTGGGCTACTTCTTCACATACCCTAACCAGCATAGGGCCCTTTCTGTACACAAATCCTTGGGGATTTAGGAGCAGAGGTCATCAAGGTCGAGCAACCGAATGGAGGCGACGAAACGCGACTCTGGAAAGAACCGGGGGAAGAGAGGTTATGGAAAGAGGGAACCCAGAACATGTCCCTCTATTTCAACACTGTAAATCGGAATAAGAAGTCAATTTCGGTCAATCTAAAACACCAGCTTGGAAAGAAGGTTATACTTGATCTGATCAAGAGATCAGACGTTGTTGTCGATAACTTTATTCCCGGAAAGCTGGAGAAATTCGGTCTAGGGTACGAGGTGTTCAGGCAAACCAATCCCTCCATAATCCATGCTTCCATATCAGGTGAGAATTCTTCCATTATATAGTAAAGGAGAAGAGAAGCTGATCTTCTCAGGATATGGTGCTACTGGTCCCTTTGCGCAAAGGCCAGGCTACGATGTCATAGCAGCCGGTGAGGCCGGACTGCTTCACATCACTGGCGAGCCAGATGGCCCTCCGACAAAGCTTGGAGTTGGAATCATGGACCTCTGCACCGGCTTGTATCTACATGGCAGTATCTGCGCTGCTCTCGTTGCGCGCGCAAGAACCGGGCAAGGACAGAAGATCGACGCCTCGCTGTTCGAGACAACGATCTCCATCCTGAACAACGTGGGAATGTCGTGGCTCAACCTCGGCAAGGAGGGAAAGCGCTGGGGAACGGCGCATCCCAGCATTGTGCCCTACGATGCATTCAAAACGAAGGACTCGCTCTTGGTGATTGGGGCCGTGAACAGTCGTCAGTTCAAAACGATGTGCAAGTATATCAGCAAGCCAGAGCTAGCTGACGATCCGCGATTTTCGAATAACGATGCCCGTGTAAATCACCGGCTCGAGCTCAAGGAGATTCTGGATAACTTGTTTGCCGCTCATACAACACGTTACTGGTTGGAGGTTTTTGAAAAGAGCGGGCTACCTCACGGACCGGTCAACATGTTAAAGGAGGCTTTTTCACATCCACAAATCGGAGCGAGACACATGGTGCAGTCGGTCGACCACAGTGCAGCTATTGCTGGGAGAATCAATGTTTTGGGTATCCCAGTCAAATTCAGCGGAACACCTGGGTCAATTCGGAGTGCACCCCCTTCCTTAGGGCTAAATACAGATGAAGTATTGAGAGAGCTGTATACAGAGGAAGAGATTGCGCAGATGCGAGCGGATGGTGTGATATAATAAGGTGGGATTCAGTCCAGCCTTCAATAGAAAAGATAATTGTTATTCCCGAGCATTGTATTCTCTGATATGCACCATATTCTCAGGGGATCTTCATGGTTTCCATCACCCAGAAGTCATCCACAGTAAGTCATAGCAAGCACCAGCCCAAGAATGATAATGGTGCATCGCATTGCTTTGTCGTCTGGAAAGTACCGAGGAACAAGCAGTAGATATGGGACACAAACAGGAACGGCTTCCTCATCTACCTACCTTGCAACCACGCAGTTGACTATTGTACAATTCGCAATGCCCGAACGAGGTTTACGCATTTCGTCGCGTTTTGACGTTAGCAACCATGTAGTGCTGGTCACTGGAGGTGTCACAGGCCTAGGAGAGATGGCAGCACAAGTCTTCGTGCAGAACAAAGCTCGTCTTATCATCGCTAGCCGCAAGGAAAGCGTACTGAAGAAGACCACGGACCGTCTGAACAGCCTTGTGCCCGGTACCTGCGAGTATATCGTCGCCCACCTCAAAGATCAGGCTGGATGCGATCACTTTATCAATGAGGCCAAGAAGCGCGCCGACCTCCTGACAGTACTGGCTGACACAGGCGAAACTTGGGGCGCGCCGTATGATAACTTCCCAGAAACCGAATGGGAGAAAGTCATAGCGCTGAATGTCAAGTCTGTCTTCTACATGACGGTGGCCCTCCAGAACCACCAGCCTACTTTCAGAGCCAGGCAGACAAAACTTAAGGAAGCTATCCTTATATAGGCGACCTCCTATCCCAGCGACTCTGTCACTAACAACTACAATCTTCACGCGGAATTCAACCGTCTACGCAATCTTACCTGCACTAAAGCTATAGTAGTGCTACGCCTTTTAGCCCGGAGGCGGATAGTCACCATATCAAGCTGCAAACCTACATTCATCTATCACACTGTGCCGAAGCTTTACTGCATCACAAGCTGTGGAAGACCCCATTAACCACACACAACCGAAGCTCGAAGCACCTGACAGTTTTGACTACTGAACTCGCCACTACATCTTCGTTCTTCCAGCAATGAGCGAAGGCACTGTGTCCTCCATACCTCCACAGTTGCTATCAAAACTATTCACGATCTCCGCTAAACGGCTCTAACGGTCCTTCGAACCGTGCAATATTTCCGACCGGCGCGCATAATGTCAGCGAGGTCTAAAATAGCTACCCAGAAGGTTGATTGCAGGAACAGGCCTTCAATAGCAGGTTACAATGACTCATGCACGCAATCTATCCCGTTTCACTAATATATCTCGTTTTCAGATGTATATAGACAGTCCATTCATTTAATCTAAGTTACTTCAAATCGCACAAGTATTATTTTTCTATTATTTAATCCTAGCAGTTCACAGGCCTGATATTGCTATTAACCGCAGATTATCCAGTAAATTAAACGACAGCTAGCTATAAAGCAGGCTCCCCGGAACAATGGATTCAGTCCAAAACAACTTCCTCCTCACTCTTTGGCCATCTCAAGCTTGGTTTTCAAGCTGGATATCCATATGCATGTCCAAAGCTGGAGTGAGGTTGCTAGCCAGCTGTTCGCACGGAAAGCCAATGTGGAACTGCAGTCCCCGTTGGAGTCAACAAAAGTACCAAACTTTGGTGCTTAACATGACGCACATCTTTTGCGTGGCTGTAATATGGACCCTTCCATTCGAGAGCAGTTCATGTGTGAGGCTAATGATTCTGCTAGGCGCCGTTTTATCGCCGATTAATCCAGATGAAGATTAACCAGCGGAAGCGGAGGCGGGAGCCAAAGAGGGCGGAGAGGGGCTCTCTTTTTTTATGATTATTTTAATTAATACAGAGAGCCCTGGGGGTGGTTTCGTTCATGAGTTCTTAATCCATCTTGGTAATGATGAATAGCGTTCTGTTAATGTAGATTACAACCATATGGGGCCCTATCAATATGTTCACACTTTTGGTGGCCTAGCGGTTATTTTCACGCCTGGCACTTTCTCACCAACACAAGTATAACTTTTCCTGTTTGCTGAGAACATATAGTACTATGCTTACTCTACTGTTTATTGCCGGTATTTCGAAAATACCAGATTGGGGAAGCAGGTACCCATAACGGTCTATTGGTGTGTCTAACCATGTAACTAAACCCCAACATTTATACCAGATCCAAGAAGAACACTAAGGCGACGTCAAAAGCTCCACTGTTGAATCCAGTTGCCCATAAGGCGCTGATCGATTGGCGCGAGATCAGCCATGGTAGCACTTCCTTCCTGCGTCTTCCTGGTATCAACGGTGACAGCCAGCATCCTCTTTCCTGCTGCCAGCCCACGGTAGAAGTCCAGCAACTTCAGCGCGGGCTTCTTCTGAACTTCTTCTTCAGAAGGATTCTCTATGCTGACCAGCTCGCTGATCCATTCTTCTAGCGGCACCGAAGGAATGCCATATGCCTTCTCGACTGCCGGCACAATCGAGGACCAGGCTGTCTTTGACGGATTCATCAGGTGGAAAAATGCACTTAACTCTTCGGAATTGCGTCGGCTGTCGAGGAGTTCGATCATGATCTCTGCAAGGGTATCCTGGTTCCTGTTAAAATGGCATCATCAGGCGTGAAGAGTCCGTACTCACCACAGGGATCCAGTCAACCTCAAAAGCACCCAGAGTTGCGGGAACCTTGCGCAGTGCCTTTGAGGTAGCCACCAAAGTAGGAATCCACTCATTCGTGTTCCATGCACCTTTCTCCGTTGTCGGGCCTGCAATCTGCCCAACACGGAATATGGTTGTCGGGACACCGGCTTTCCGGGAGGCCTCCAGGCACATGCGCTCAGCGACGTGTTTCGATTCGGCATACCCTTGCTCCAGAACTGGGTCCGGAGTCTCGAGTGGAATCTCTGGGACGCTAGGCCCCATTTCTGGTGTCCAGGCACCGATCGTGCCCACCGACGAGACAAACGCGAGATGGGCGTTGTATTTGCTGGAAATGCTGAAGTTTATAAATTCGGAGACACCTCGGACATGCGGTGTAAACGAGTCTAGAGGAATATTGAAGTTAACAGCCCAGGCGTTGTGAAGGATGAGTTGGACTCGGTTCGCCAGCTCTGTATATTTGTCGACGGACAGGCCGAACTGCTTGTCTCCGAACGATACTTGCAGGAATTCCACTCTGCTATTGTCGTTCAAGGGACCAGCGTCAAGGCCCTTTTCCTCAAAGCTGGCGATCTGTCTATCCTTCGCGTCTGACCGATTGAAGCAGTAGATTTTCTCGATGTTGCTGTCATTGAGGAGGGCGCTCAGGAGATAGGTTCCCAATGAGCCGCTGGAACCTGTCAGAATGACGGTCCGGGATCTGGGGGGCGGGAGGGACTGCTCAGAGCGTTGGCGGAGATTGGTTGTGTATTTCGCAATCATATTGTTGATTCGATCGACGCGTGAGAGTGTCGTGACGGTCTGCCCAGTGAGAATGCCATGTATGAATTGGGCGAGGCGGGACACTGTTGAGTTTCTGTAGATTTGCTGCGGGCTGATGGTCTGAGCTTCCGGGTGCTGGAACGAGACTGCAGATTTGAGAATCCTGGCAAGCTCTATTGTTGCAAGCGAGTCAAGTCCTATGCTGTAGAAGTCGTCATCGTCTTGGATATCCTCGCGTCCGATAAGGGTGTAGACTATTTGACGGACATAGGTAGCCAGACTGTCCTGGTCAATAGTTGCGGGCAGTCTCTGGCATTCTTGATTAGCCGCGGAGTAAATTGCTTCAATCTCATCGCTGTAATCTTTGTTCACCGCATGCCGCTGCGTGGTTCCTTTTGGGGTGAGTTTGAATGGCTTGTTGGGATCGGATAGCCGGATCTTGTTCTTCACGATGCGTCCATATTTGGGAACGGCCTCGTTGGCCTTTTCCACCACCGGCCAGATCTCGTCAATGAAGGCCGTCTCGTCGAGCTCTGCGCTGTCTTCTGGCCAGACAGGTTCAACGAGCAACGACGTCTGGAAGCGGTTCTGGCCAATGAGCAGAGCGCGATGGACCTTGGGATGGTCCTCGACTATCTTTTCCAGTGTGACGGGGTTTAGCTTTTCGCCGTTGCTCAAGACGACCACATCGTCGAGGCGGCCATGGAATTTCCAATGCTTCGGGTTCTCCGGGTGTTGCACGAAAAGATCGTTGGAGCGATATTCAGACTTGTCAGGAAATGTGTGGAAGATAGCGTGCATAGCACGAGAATCTTCGCGGCGAGGAATGACCAGCTCATGTAGTCCCTCGCCAAGGTGCTCCATTTTCACCCCGTACTCTTCGTTCCACTCGAAATAATTCCAGTTGCCCTGGCCCTCTGGGATGAGGGAGGGGATGAGGCCCATTTCACTTGACCCGATCACAGAGATGAGTTGCGTGTAATTCGAGAGGCGGGCTCCAGTCTCTGGAGCGAGCGGCGCTCCACCAAAGTAGACGTAGTCGAGGGACTTCAGTGCTTCTATGCCAGTCTCAGTTTGACTCATATCTTCTAGGACTGAGGGCGGGAGAATTGCGGCCTTGGGTTTGGTCTTCTTGATTGCGTCGTTGAGCAGTTCGACGGACAGTGGCTTGTCTGGAAGATAAGTGAAGGGAACGTTATGGAAGATTGACTCAATGAATGCTATGAATCCCATAAGATGGAAAAATGGAGTGGTGGAGAGGACAAGGTCGTCCGCGCCGAGGTGGCTGAAGAAACCAAACTGTCGGCCTTTGGGGATAGGCAGATGCACGACGTTGTCAATCGTAGCGAAGAAGCCATGCGTCAAAGGAACGGGCTTGGGCATGCCTATAGCTGCATCAGGCTTCATCCTGCTGTGTGGGTGGTTTATAACAACGTACCAGTCGTTCCAGAACTATGGATGATCAGAGCCACTTCATTCTCGGCCTGAGTATACGTTTTGGACCACGGGTATGAGATGGAGCCGTGTAGTTTTAGGATGGCTTTGACCTCGGGAACCTCAAAGAAGGCCGTGCCTTCGCGAAACTCTCGAATCTCAGAGACTCGACGTTCCGTTTCCTTGGTGTAGGCGAACTTTTTGCATTCCAAGGCCGTCAAAAGGTGCTCATAGGCAGCATCGGAGAGGCGTGTCGATATAAGGAGGGGCTGTTCGTTCCGGTCTTAGTGTTGTGCAGGCCCAGTCTATACAGCCCGTTACACACCTTGTAGCCCGTCTTATGGCATGCGAGCACGAACACAAGATATCTTATGTCGGTCGCCCCCATGAACGCAATTGTCTCTGGCTGGTCTACCTTGCCAACGTGCTCCTCGATCCACCACGCCATGGCGTTAACGGCATCGGATAGTTCACTTGCGCTGACCGTCTTGAATCCATCATCCATAGGAATGACGCCCAGTTCCTTGGTAGGACTGGAAGTAGCAAGGTTGTCGACGACGGTAGCGAGGAGGCGCTGGCCAGGGGTGATGGCGCTTGACGGGGCCATTATCGCGGGTAACGTGGGAAACTTGTATTTCGATGGTTCTAAGGAGGTAGTTGAAGCGGCATCAGGGACTCATGAGCAGGATAGAGGAGCCTTATATACTCTATGTTTCTGATCATACTACATATACAATATAAGAAATTGCCGTTGCATCATATATTGCCTGTGCCGAAACCCGATAAGCACGCAAGGTGTGCGCTTGTTGCAGATCATCGGAAAGAATCCGGGAGGGCTGATACAGGTATTTCTGTGCATAATGGCAAAATATGCAACAAAGTCAGCACTTATGGGTGCACTACAAGTCACTTGGGTCTTGATAGGCGATAATGTTCTTCTAATGCATGCTTTGCCAGGAACAAGAAGGTAAAACAAGGTTAAATCCCTCAAGATGGATAAGCATCACCATCACCAACGGACGACTGTCTTGGCGGTAGTCAAGTCAGATGGAACCAATCTGCGCAGTGCCCGTCCTAAACGCTAATATATTCTGTGTTTCAACAGCACCCCTATTATAGAACTAATCGCTTTGCTGGTCAAGGCCCGCAGACGGGTGTACGACTAAACTGACAAAACAGCTGACTTGTGGCAGACAATAGCGCTTGCCTTATCTTATGCATGAACGTCTACGAGGATATATATATCTGCGGGAGACATCAGGTGCGAGCGCCTTTCAGATGGTCAACTGCTCCATATCCGAGTCATGTGAAAGAAAACATGGACCTTCGCCCTTGTCGAAGCATCTAGAATGTCAATTTTAAAAAATTTGTCCCTGGATCTCCGTAATTTTGGAACTACCAATCCATTATAGCTGTTAGGCTGCGACCAAACTCGGAGAATCGACGATCTTGCAATTAATTGCCTCAGGATTGGAGATCGAGTGATATAATACCATGGAAAGCCTGCATATATATGGCGTTCGAGTTTGTTCCTTTGTTTGTGCATTAGCATGTTGGAGATGTTGAGTTTTGCGATTCAATATCTTGATAGAACTTATACAGTACTAGCCATGATACCGTACTGCAATATCTAGTATTCTCAAAGACGTATAGGAAGGAAGCAATGGCAGCGTTGTTGTCGTAGGTCCCTCGTAGATTCTGGCCTCCGTCTCACTTATCAGTTTAAATATTTGGATTCAGACAAGATATCCATTTCAAATCTCATTGACGGATGAGTTGAAAGTCTTGCATGGTCAGGAAAATAGCTTGCAGCTCGTCAATCGATGATATATCGCCTTCATCATATATCTAAAAGCATCTCATGATCGGGAAATGAAAGTATGCTTCCAGACATAGCAGGCAAGAAAGGAGAAATGAAACGGTCATCCAAAACACCGGATGCTCTACATTATCACTTCACCATGGCTGTAGAGCAAACCACCCTAGGTCCAGAACGAGTCCCAATAGTCAGATGTAGCTTCACTTTACAAACCACTGGCATCCACCATTGCGCCTGCCGCCGGACAGTACTCCACAGTGTCTTCGGGAGCATTTCATGGACTCCTCAGCTGGTTGCAGATGTGACCAGTTAATGTAGACATAGTTCCAGCGGTTCCATCGGTAGCAAGACACAGCATTATTAAGCTGAAAAGCGCATTCAGAGCGACCTTAGTTTTATAGTGAGACCAAGCCTCTAATATAACCGACCACCACGCTGTAATTATCCACTAAGTTTTCTACCAACTTCCCCGGAAATTACCACGCAAAAAAACACTACATAAAGTTCAATAGCACAAATAGCAGGGCCTTGGATTGCGCCATGACCCCAGCGGCCCTTGTGCCCTCAACTGGACAACTACGTCCAACGCCTGTGAACCGCAGAAGTCGCAACTGGACCGATAGCGCGAAAGCCAAAGTACTTAACTGGCACGCATAGGAAACTGCTACAGTAATGGACCCAGTTCTATAATACTATGCAGGTACAGTATTGCCCTGTTTGACGACGTAGGAACTGGGTAGCTTCGATCCTTCTGGCGCATTTTTATATCCACAAGGCAACAAACCTATCAAGCGTACTAGATGAACAGTCCGGGATCTTCTCACACATCCCTTCTTAATAGTCGGTTCTTCCATGGCTGAAGGAAGTAATCTAGCGCGCGACGCACGCTTCTCTGTCAGTTCTGGAGAATTAGATCGGACGTACCTCAACGCCAACTATAGCTTTTGCGTGAGGTTTTGCGCTCGACAGATATTCCTAGTGCTTGCCATATCGGTGTTTACTAATGGTGATACTGAGTTGGAACAAGCTTCGACGCAGAGAATGAGGCACGGGTGAGTCTGATAGAGGCTGCAGGCCTTTGTAAGTGACCCGGGGCTTAAAGAAGTGTGATCGGTAGAAAATTGACCTGTCGAAGTTTCAAAATCAACCCAGTGCGCGTTTTACTAGTGTGAGACCTCGCCCATATCTGTTTCCGTCTCTGTCCCTCCCTATTATATTCTGTTGCGGCTGGGACCTTGAGTGCGTCCCAGTGGATCTTTCACTAGACCGCCGCATCAGCAGACATAAAGGCCTTTGAAGACTCAGTTTCGCTATTAAGTTTTATTCCTCCCTCTCCTAAATCCTCTCTAACTCCTCTATAACTCGATCATACGTACCCAATTGTCCAACATTAGTATACGCCCCATATAAATAGGATATAGCCTGGCTCCTCTTGCTACTGAGGCAAGACGAGAGCAGACTATCTTCCAGCTCGGCCGATTTTACCATTTCGATATACTCTCCTCGCTCGTGCCAGGTTTCTCGTACTTCCTCATCCAACGGTTGACCATCTTGGCCGTAATTCTGAGGCAGGTCAAAGGAGACGGGCATCGCTGTAAGGAAATCGGGGAACGCGATGAGCTCCCAGGGAACTGTACATGCTCCTTCCCAGTCGATGATTCCAGTTACATCAAAGCTATTCTCATCTACCATGATGTTACTATGAAGGAAGTCATCATGGTCTAGAGGGAATGGCCCTTCGTTGCACAGGGACAGCCGGCTAGCCATCGCTTTGATCTGCGATGGGAAATTGTCGATAATGGCGATCATCCTTTCTGCCGGAATCGGACCTCTCTGCATCATGCGTGTAATTGTTTCTTTATCCCACTTGAACTTGACGCTATCGGCCCACGCCTCGAAGAATGCAGTTGCTGTATTAAACGGACCCCAATTCCTGGTAAGGGACCACACTCGTATCCACCCTTGTCGTTCTTCACAAGGGTTCCAATTTTTGGGGGTCGTAAGGAAGTCAACTGGACCTATATATTAAGGGGGTAAGGTAAGTATCTAAGTACTAGAGCGAGCCTATAGGCCGGAAGAGGAGACGAACATGAGACTTTGCGACGGAGCGGTAGAAGTTTCGTCGGTGCTCTCTGGGTATAACACCTCGATGGGCCTTACGGCCGCCGAGGGCGTCCATAGCGACAATACCGGGGAGTAGCTCAATCAGCATGAACGCGGCGTTCACCGAATTGTTCTCGTCAACTTGATACGTAAAAACCCGAGGCACTGGTAGGTCGGAATGCTCCTTGATGAATTGCATTGTTGCAATCTCGGTTTTGAGCTTGGTTCTGCTGACAAGGGGGGAGTTGCTCCTTCTAATATGAACCCGGGCCACCCAGCGAGTCTGGTCGGAAAATTCAAGCACCCTGACAATATTGTTGAGCCCGCTCGCAACCTGGTCTAAGGCTATGCACTCCAAATGGCCAGCATGACCTGAAGCAATTCGACACAGCTCATCCCATCGAGTTTGATGGAAACAATCGGCGCTTTGGCTGTCACAACCTTGTAGGAAATCCTGGACGGTAGTCCAAGAACTTGACTCGGTAGACATAACGACAGACTAGAGGTAGGTATCAAAATAGACTTGGCCTTGAGTGGAGTGAGAGTTGAATCCTTGAGATATATCACGGAAAAGGAGGGAGACAGGAAGGGGGAATAAAGGTAGCCAGAAAGAGTACTAGCGGTGTGATTTATCGGCAGGCACCCACTTGGTACGTGCATACTTGGATGAATGAGGGCCAGCATGGAAGTGGCCGGATGGATCAATCGAGACAAAAAGAAATAGTGAAAGACCGGGTCGGGATCCAGCCCGCCAAGACAAGGTACAAGAGACAGAGCGATCGCTATAAAAGAGGGGAAACAGTCTATAGGAGATTGAGTGTCGCGATTCGATTTAACAGAAGTCACTACCCTGTTTTCTTTAGGCCGGTATGTTTCCCTTCCTAGCAAGTTCCTTCCCTCACTATACTTAAGTAGTGAACCCCGCCGCTTGAGCATCACCGAACTCGTCAGTTGGTAGAAACGCTTCTTCTTCGCTTCTTGGACCTGGCGATAAAAAGGGGCCTATTAACAACATTAGCATCATGATCCACGGGCAATCCGAATTAAAGGCTCTATTTACGTCTTCGTCCTTCCTGCGGAGAGTCTCCGCGGCGCGCTTGAAGGGGCACGCCGCTTAGACGTGCCCATTGCCACCACAGTAGTGGCATGGCTTGCGGCGGTGAGGGTTCCAGGATTTTGGCTTCAGATGAAGCCCAAGCATAAGCAACCCCCCCATCTATCACACATGGCAACAGGCGATACTTACCATTGTGGAAAGAAGTTTCGAAACGGTTGCGTAGAAGAAAAGGCGCGCGAAGGGGGCGAGAAGACGACATATATTTTGAAAGGTAGGTCCATAATTCAACGCTAGTCAAAGCAAGAAGCATTCCCATGATGTAGATGCGTAGTTCTGTGGAGGGAAAAGAAGTACGTAGTTTCGATTCTGGGGGCTCCTTGTAGCTGTTTGTGGTTCCGCCGCTTTATTCGCGCACACTTGGCTGTTCCCTCCAAACAGTAAATGGAAATTGGGATATCCTTATAGAGTGCATTCATACAATTCTAATTATATCCCTATTGCCATTTTTAATGTGGTTGCGGATTTTCAATCGGCGTTCGGTGTGGTTTGGATTTCCGACATGTTGGATGTTGGATATTGGATATAGTACCTTGCGTCGGCACGTGGGGTTGAGCTCCACCAACACCCCGGAAACGTCTATTGTCAACACCATCTACATGTTCTATCAGTTGCAGTTTAAAGTACAACGGATTTGGATAGCTTTGCCTTTATTAAGACATAATTATCTCACGCCCATACTTTTATACTTTCCATGATATGGGAGCCTGGATTTAAGCTATACCAACAACCCCGGAACTTAGCCCCACTGATCCACGGTAGCGGATCACCAGTCTCCAGGTATTGCAAATCCGGAGCTACTCAGTCTAGTAGTAAGCTAATTACTGTTGAGCATGCGATATTCAATACCAAGAACCATCAGGGACTCTCGTTCTGAGGAGTGATCGACAGCCTGACTGAATGAATGAATACCAACCTAGGTCTGCAATGGTCTTGCCTCTTTCACCGGTGGTATAGTCGTGACTACCCATTCCAGGTAAACCGTAATTGCCTCGGCCTTCACTTTATCCCTCCTACCTTCCTCCTGCAGTGCCTTCACCATATCCAGTGATTACCTAGAGATTGCTCATGAAGGATCTCCCTTTCATTCATTGACAACGACCGCCATCCTTGTATATATAGATGTCTATTCCCCCTCTTTCTCATCCAATCTTCAACTCCTTTCCCATCATCAGCCAAGCCAACAGCCATATCATCCGCAAGGGGCATCTTCATGACAAGCTCGAGGGATGTCATCTATTCAACATGGCCAGAATAACCATTCTGGTAAGATGCGAAGTCTGTTCAGGCATCTATTGCACACTTTGACGAAAAGGCGGTAAGCTCTGGAAACACCTTGGTCTTTAAGACCGACGGCTCAGCCAAGCACACACTCATGCGCGCACGTATCTCTGTCCGTCCCGTTTTATAGTAACCACTAACAGATAAATCTTGAATAGGGCCGTCTGTACGGCGGTATCCCACCCATCCATGAGCACCGTCACCACCACCATCACCAGCACCAGCACCAGGACAACCGTTTGTCCAGGCCGCGTAGAAATGCGAGGGGGACTCCAAGAAACGATCATTCGACTCTGGAGTTCTTTCAACGGGAAGCCCCTCGGGACTCAAGGGCCAGAGAGAGGGTCACACCTTTTCTCAGAGGACTGATGCTCCCCGCATCGAGGACTCAGTTAGATGGAGAGCGGAACTGGCTTCGGGAGGTACGCGGTCTCAAGAACTTCGCCCTCAGACAAGAACGGCCCTCGAGAAAACCTGGCCATTCGGGACTCGGATGGCAATGCGGACGAAGGAAGTGGGGGTCCTCAGCCTCTACTGTTTTGATCCCCCACGGAATCAAACGATAAGGGATTTTATTGATTTCATAACACAGAAAGTGTGTATAGCTGCCCCGGAGGTGGGACAGTATGGCTTTATCAGAGTTGTATCCAAATGTCCTTGAAGCCTTTATTATGGTAAAATCGCCCCATTGTTGTCGAAAATAGCATTGCTGACATGGTTGTTCAAGCCCAAATCAAAGGTTTCTGAGTGCGTTCTGTCTGGCTTCTGTGTCAAGATGGTAAGTTTGCTAAGTACTGCGTCCTCGCCCCCTTCGCGCGCTTTTTTCTCCCTCCCACCACCTTCTTCATGAAAACAAACACCATCTCCTTCATGACCAAAATCACCATCTCCTTCAACTCCATCTTTCTCCACCCCTTGTCTGTGCCCTGACTGCGTCTTATCTGTGTCCTGTCAGCAAAGATATGGTACGTTTGCCCCATCGCTGTTGAAGAAGCTTTGCTAACATGATACTTGAAGCCGAAATCAGCAAAAGGACCAGAGTGTTGGGAGTGCGGGCATCGTCGAGAATTTTGCCCGCTACTCAATGCCGCGAGGACATTGCAAACACCGAACGAGCAAGTAAGTATTTACCTTCTACTTCTATTTCCATAGATGATAAGGCTAATTATTCTGCTAGGCTCCTTTTTATCGCCGATTTGTTCAGAAGAAGATAAACCAGCGGAAGCGGAAGAGGGAGGCGAAGAAGGGGGGGGAGGAGAAGGGCGCTGGGGCATAAACGTGACGATTGCCCCGTTCTGAACGCCGCTTGAACTCTCCAGACTCCTGATACACAAGTAAGTATTTACCGTCTATTTCTATGGATGATGAGGCTAATGGTTTAGGCGCCTTTCTATAGACAGTTTGTGAACGGCAAGATCGCCGAACGAAAGAAACGACAGCTCAAACAGCGGAAGGCAGAGGCTATGAGGGGACAAGGGGCATAAACGCATCGACTGTCCAGTGTTAAACGCCGCGCGTACAATGCAGACTCCTGATACATAAGTAAGTATTTTCCTTCTACTTCTATTTCTATGGATAATAAGGCTAATAATTCTGCTAGGCTCTTTTTTATCGCGAATTTGTTCGTAAGAAGATTGCCTAACGCAAGCGGAAGCGCGAGGCAAAGAAGGGGGAGGGGGAAAGGGCGCCGCGGCCATCGCCGCGAGTTTTGCCCGGTGCTCAATGCGGCGAGGACACTACAGACGGCGGATAAACAAGTAAGTAATTGCCTTCCACTTCTATTTCCACAATGACAAGGCTAATGATTCCGCTAGGCTCCATTCTATCGCCGTTTTGTCCAGACGAAAATCAACCAGCGGAAGAGGAAGCGGGAGGCGAAGAAGGCCGGATGAGGGGAGGGCGCTGGGGCGGCCCCCGACGCTGAGGAGGCCTTTTGGGGGCGGAGACATGGGCGGAGGAAGTTGATCGGATGGCTGAGAACTAGTCTCAGACATAGAAACGACCGCTAGGCCACCAAAAGTGTGAACACCCTAATGGGGGCCCCATATAGTTGTAATATTGATGGACGACTAGTTTCTCCTTTTTTTCCCTTTTCTTTTTCATTTCGAAAACTCCAGCACATTGCCCGGACGCCGGACTCCGGAACGGAACCGCTTCTCCGCTTCTGCTGTCGCAAGAATGGTACCTCATACCGGCATTCCTTGCGACTGGAGATAAGACCACCAGGGGAGCAGACTTCTACCAATTAACCGCATATTAGCCTACAGGTGAAGGAGAAAGAGGACTGCCAAATAAAGCTTCTTCATTATGCGGGGTTCTGAGGGACAAGGGCCTTAATCTAAGACAAGACCCGATCGCTGTTTCACCGGACCAATCATGCATTCCTCCACCCGCCATCGACGGTCGAGTCTGGTTCTTCCCCGAGTCAGACGTTGCGAATGGATGGGACTCGCCCCCTGGTAATGGCACGGAGGTGTGGTACCAGATAGATTTTGGAGAAGCGGTTCAGACCGGTCGTGCGGAGATTGCGTTTTTCGCAAATAGTACGCAGGGATTCGCCGTTCCAAAGCATTATCGCATTGAGACTAATGGGTCTGGATCGTGGGCTGAGGTGTCGACGATGAATGCGCCGCGTGCAGTCTCCAACGGCATTACCCATGTTAGCTGGGATCCAGCAAAGATCAGTCAGATCAGGCTGGTATTTTCTCCATCACAGGGTCAGAAAGTACGGCTGGTAGAGTTCAAGGTGTTTGCGGAGTAATCAAAATTCGGTCAGTATCACCCCAGCCAGAGGTGGATGGACGAACAGGTCTGTCAAACTACGTCTACAGCCATATATTACACTCCCCATACCACCAAGGAACTCTACTTGTCCAAATGCAACGTACTTTAGACCTCACGGACTTGTCAGCGGAAACAAAGAGAATATTAATTGACTAGTCAAACACCAACCCAAGCACAAAATTACAACGCAATCTAAGTCTATCGATAGACAGTCTGACTCACGCCTTTCATACAATCATGTAAAACAGTCACAATTATCCACCGCATAACCTGTTCAGTCATCATAGAAGTGTCGACACTCCTCGACTTCCTCCTCCACAATCTGCCGAAAGGTCTCCATCATGTTCTGAAACTGGGCTCCCTGGGCCGCAAAAGGGCTCATCACCACGTTGCGCAACACAAAGAGGTCTTCGTGGTTCGGCCGAAGCTGAAGCCGCTGCTTGAACTTCAGCGCACAGGTCCCATATCTCTCAACCGAAAACTCAGTGGACGTAAGATACAGTGGGATCTTGGAAGGATCCTGGTTGGGAGAGTTGACGGATAGCCGCTTCACCACGCGTCGCATGAGCCGGTTAGCCAAGTCTGTCTTCTCGTTGATGTCGCCATTGCGATGCTTCCAGTTGATAGCGAAGGTGTTGATGTTCAGGTCGGAGCCTAGTTGGCGGAGGAACGGCATGGTGCGCTTATGCTTGGGCTTCCACGCGTCAGCTGCAGCGATGTCGTCGTAGGTCTTTCCCAGAATCTCCTTGCGGATGCGAAGCTTGTCTTTTTCGAGGTCGTGGGGCATGAAGTTGTCCTTGGTTTCGGAGGGTAGCATCTCGAAAGGAACGAGGATGAAGCTGTCGCTGGGTTTGGAGAACGTCGCCCACACGGCGGATTGCTATTACCGTTAGCTTTGCTTGCAATGTCAGAGAGGGTGAACTTACCATAGCGCGGTTGAACGATACTTGCCTGAGGATCGAGCCGTACCCGTCGTAGTTGAGGCCGATGGCTTCGTGGGCCAGCCAGCATGCCATAGCTGCAGCGCCTGGTTTACTGCGAGATGTCAGTCATCGATCAAAATTGTAAGTAGGGTGAGAGCTAAGTCACGACTTACCTTCCTTCAAGTCCATAGATTCCCATTCCTCCATCAGAACCCTGCGAAAGATAGGGGCTGGTCCAAGAAACCAGGTTCTTCATCCGCCCGTCACGATAAACCAAGCAACCAGCAGGATAGGGAATGTAACCCGATTTGTGGGGATCGACGGTGATGGAGTCGGCATACTTCAGTGCAGCGAGGTCTTCAGCGGTCTCAGGCTTCAGATTGAGTCCATGAGAAGTGCCCTTGTGATAGCCGGACGGAACCATGCATGCGAAGTATCCACCCCAGGCAGCATCGGCGTGGATCAGGAAGGAAAGTCCCTTTGCTTGGAACCGCTTTCGCATAGCAATGATTTCTGCCAGTCTGTCCACGGAGCCTTCTTCAGTTGTTCCAATGATGGGGACCACGGTGTAGACGGGTTGGTGGTTGTCGAGGCAGTCCTGGAGGTGGTTTTCAAGCGCTTCAAGGTCAATGCGCGCCCGAGTGTCGATGTCAATGCCGACGACATGGTTGGAGCCGATGCCGAGGATAGCTAAGGCTTTGTTAGCAAGGATACAATATGGAAATCAACGGGGGGAAACAATGACTTACCTGCTCCCTTCATCCACGAGTAATGGTGAGTCTTGGCCAACACAAACTGCGAGGTCTTGTCGATTCCGAAATAGCGCTCCAACTCTTCCTTGCCTGTACACTGGATGTTGTATTGCCAGAGCACCTCATCCAGAAACTCCTTGGGAAGCTTGTAACCATTCAACAAGACGCAGGGGATGTCTAAGAGAGTCTCAGAGCGTAGATTGAGCAGCTCCCAAACAGACATATCGCTGACACACTTCACAACCCCCTCACAAGTCTCAATGCTGAAGCTGTCCTTGAGGAAGCCGAGCTTTCCCTCGTCGATCGCACGTCTCAAAGCCAAAGGAAAGAACTTCAAGTTCCGCGCAACCCACATGGCCTCGATATTAGCCACGGTGCCACCAGAGGTAATGTGGCCCCAGCCAACAGCCCCGTTCTCGGGGTCGAGGTTGTAACCGAAAAGCTCGCAGAACTGTTCGCCCACTTCGCGTTCGATGCGGGTGGTCCAGGGTGAGACTTCAGTGGTAACGTTGTTTGGGTTCCACATCATGCCCATGAAGTAACCAAGCATGGCCGGCATGGCAAGGTCAGGGCACATGTGAGCGCCATAGCGAGGAGACCAGAACGGAATGGAGTGTCTGCTCAGCATCTGGACGCCATTGCGAATGGCAACAGACAGACGCTCAGTCGTCTCCTGGAAGTCGTGAGAGGACTTGGTCTCGTCGGTGATCATGGCGCTGTCCTTGTGGGTGTGGGCGTATCGGAGTCGTGCTGCCTGCAGCTCATCGAGGATCGAGGTGATTGCTTGTTTGAAGAAGTCCATGTTCTCTGCATGGGGGCCAAGGAAGAAGGCGCTGATGCCTTCTGGAGTGAGGGATGCCATCTTGGTGGTGTGCTGTGATGGTGAGTTGAGGTAGTATGGAAGTACAGATAGATGTAGAAAGCCAATGGGATTGGAGTATGTTGGAGATGGTGGAGATGCAAGATGGTGAGGCAGATCGAGAGGTTTTATACTCGCGTGCGAAGTGAGCTATACGGATGACTCCGATAGATCACAGTTATTCACTTCTCATGGGCATCTGGCACAATAAGATACCTGGCATCCCATTGTTCGTTATCATGGGAAGTTCCGAGATATGCCTCTATTCACGAAGAAAATATCACTCCATTCACGTCTAGATATGACAATGAACCACATATGGAGCCCATTGTCCTAAAGCAGGCAAGTTAAAGCCACTTCGTTCGCTACGCGATGGGATAGGGAACTTCCTTATATTATTACATCCCGGTTGATAAACCATATTCTTTGCCTACTATTACTTACTATACCCGCGGTGTAACACATATAGGGCCACTCCACTAGTTAGGTGGAGCGTTGCCTTTCAGTCCCACTCTTTGTGCTTCTACGCGTGCTATGATAGATTACCGGCGGAATTTGTCCTTGCGCCCCTCGAGTTCATTGTTCGATTTCGTACCACTGGAAAATGTCAATATCGGGATGCTCCTTATGGACATATCCGTTGCTGTAGTTATCAGGTCCTGGCAAACCATACACCGCAGCGATTGGAACTAGATCCCCCGAAGTCAGTGTACCCATATGCGGGTGCCTACGCACGCCGTTCGCGCGATAATAATGCGTTCGTCGAGACACGCTTTCCAAGGACACACTTATGCACCCCTTCGTCGATCCTTAACCTTATTGCGCTACTACACAGATGTCTGAAACGGTTCGCGCGGGTCGGTGGTCAGCAAAGTTCGGACTGTCGTGGGATATGCAGCGCTAGATATGACCGTTCTGCGCGATGTCCAGAGACATCAGCCCTAATTCTCCGTGGTTACTCCGTGCTTCTGGCATTTCTCTGAGCTAAGCGGATATAACTACTGGAAATAGTCTTCCATCGCTAAGACATTTGTAGATCAAGTTGCAGCCATTTCTCCACATGCCACTCTTAGTGCTTTCTTCCATGATCTTGTTGCATGGCCGTGCGTGTCCTGTGCTCTATGATAACATTGCCTCTTATAGGGAGCGACGCTGTGAAGATAAAATATCGGGTCTTTTAATTACACGTGGCACTTGATCTCAATCCAACTTGTCTGATTGTTATCATGGTGGAAATGATATCCGTACCACTGTTGATGGTTAATATATATGAATGACGTCATCTCATATATGGCTACCCAGCACGCTCCCATGCATGCAATCGCGCCACTCACGAGATCAGATCGTGCTCCCCAATATATTGGTTTTACAACATCTGTCTATCAGGCTGCTATTCTTGCAGTCAGAAGGATGGCCGTTAAGCCATCGACGTCATGCCACGTGCTCCGATACAGTTTGCACTCCATACATAAGAGCGTTGCACACGTTCAAAACTGTTCAGTTTATCACACCTATTTCACCTCCTGATTCAATAACTATCATCAAAGCTACGCTACAATGGATTCCGCCAATAAACCTTCTGGGGGATCACTCCCCGATGACCATACCCGGCAGATCTACGAACGCCTTCCCGAAGACCAGAAGCAGAAGCAAACCTACACAGAGTGGCTGAAAGAATTCTACAACGACCAATATCAAAAATGGATGCCCTGGATTGAAGATATGTATCTCAGGTGGTTCGGGAAAGGCGACAACAAAGCGTCCTATGTTACAAAAGGTAGTCTTCTCGGTCATCTCTCTTCTGATCGTCACTAACCTGGCTAGATACGCTGTCGAAGTCGAAAGTCACCGGTGTCAACCAGGTCGATCAACTCCAAGGCGACGTCCATAACCTCGTTGGTAACCAGCTCGGTGAGAGGGGACTTCTCGCCCCCGTTGGAGATGGGCTCTCGAAGCATGGGGTAAATCGGGCTGAGCGTGGAGGGAAGGATGAGGATGGGTCGTATGGAGGGAAGATGGCACCCATCACGGACAAGGGGATTGAGGCTGCGAAGAATGTGGGCAGTTCAGTTGCTGCAGGGGCGAAGACTGTTGGGGGTGCTTTTACGCGTTAGGATGCACTATGTATGATGGCTTCTTCATGTTAAGTGTATTATTTCACAATTTAGCACACGCGGAAACAAGTGGAAGATGGCTCCTCACATCAATCTCACAATTACTTCGATCCAAAAGCCAGGTCTATTATGGGTCTTGGACACTCGTATATGGACCGGTCGCCCGGATCTGTAATATATATCTCTTCTATATCTCAAGCAGAGTGACAACAACCCGGGCAAAGTGTCTGGTTTTAGCTTCCATGATTTGAATTTGACGTACTGTGGAATCCATCTGGCATGGAAGGATATATTTCTCTTTCAGTAAGATAGGTCCATACAGATAAATCTCCCACTACACAACCCCCTTACAGCTCAACCCGCGTGTGCCAGCAACCAGTTCCACCGCTATGAGAATGGGGCTTGGCCGCTCTCCGATGGGCAGCTGCCCGTCGGCTGGCAGATCGCGTCTGAATCGACATTGTGGCGTTTCGTGGAGGAATACTCTCGAGACTGTTGGCATAGGTAGCCACCGCAAATGCCGTAGCCTTGGAGTTGATGAGGAAAGCCTCCTCGGAGAGGTTTGTCATGTTATCTCCGGCCGCATGGTAGTTAGGGTCATAAGCGACGCCCGCTTGGCCGCCGAACATGGCGACCTGCTCCTCGGTCTTGATCTGCTCCGCGCCCGTGAACAGTCCGCCCGCGGGGATGCCGTTGAGAATAAAGGCCTCGTAATCGGACCGGCCGTCGAATGCAGTCGGGATGTACGACAAGCCACGGGACTTATAGTAGTCCTCGAAGAGATGCTCAATCTCGGCGGAGCCAGCGGGTCCAGTCATGTTGAAGGTCGAGCCATCACCGTCGTAGATCATGAGAGCATAGTTCGGCGAGGCGATCATGTCGAAATTCAAGTACAATTTGATCTTATCCTTTTCCGCGGCAGAGAGACTGTTGACATAGAACTCACTGCCCAGAAGGCCGAATTCTTCGGCAGTCCAGAAAGCCCAGGTGACGGAGTTCTTGAGGGAGTATTTCGTGAGTGCTTTGGCGATGACCAGGTTGCTAATGATCCCAGAGCCATCGTCATTGACACCAGGTCCCTGGTTGACAGCATCGCTGTGTCCACCGATGACAATCACGTTGTTGGGATCTCCTCCTTTGGACTTGGCGATCACGTTGTGGGTGGTGCGGTTCTCCATCTGGCTGTTGATGTACAGGTCGACGGTCAAGGGTCCAGCCTGGGCAAGGCTGACGAGGTTCTGTCCGTCCGCAAGACTGATACCCACGATCGGAGCATACGGTCCCAGCTCACTGGTCGCGGCACCGAGGGTACCGCTAAGCGAACCATCCACATTGTTGTAGACGATAGCAGCGGCAGCATTCGCAGCAGCTGCATAGACCGACTTCTCACCGAAGGTACAGCTACCACGTTGGATAAGGGCGATCTTGCCGGCGACATCTGCAGGATAGTCGGCGGCAGTGCAGCCGAGACCCGGGACAACGACGACCTCAGCAGTGGTCTCTTTAAGACTGGGGGAATATGTCATGGTGGTGGCATCGATTGCCTCGCCATCCACAGTGAGGCTCTGCTCAGCATTGCTCCAGAGGTGGACTTGGGGCTGCTTGTACACATCATAGTAGCCGGTTTTCTTGAGCTCGTTGTAAATCCAGTTGACCGTATCCTGGTGAGCTTTTCCGCCGAAGACGCGATTCCTTTCCGGATATGCGTAAGCAAAGTCTTCAAGTTTCTGGGATCCTTTTAAGAGATCCTTGAGCTTGATGTCCTTTGTGAATTTGTTCTTTGAATTCGGATTAGTCGTGTGATACAATGAAGGAGAGTGGGGCGTACAGGATCAAGCTTCCTCCCATGGTTGCCCAGGCCTTCTCCCAGGGCAAGGGTTAGGCATGAGGCTAGAAGGAGAGACCTCATAATCATAACTAAGAATGAGAATGGACGAATAATAGGTATAGATGCTCGTTTGTGAGAGAGAAAAGGGAGAATGACGGTCGAAAGAGGCCTTTCTGAGATCGTCGGTCATCCTAGACTTTATAGAGAAGGAAAGCCAGTACGACGGCTGGCACCCTCGCTACTGCCCTCCAATTCTCCCTTTTCCCCTCAAATGACACCACCAATAATCGGGGCCATCGGAGCAAGAGACCAGGCCTTGCCTTCTGTTCCGCCTGAAGTAACATCGGGAGAACAATGCTAAGAAACTGGCGCCGCTTGGCAAAGATAACAGCCAAGGGAAAGCCGCCGGTAATCATCGGGCATGGGCTGTGGCTGGCGGACGGTTACAGCCAAGAGTCCAGCACGTATTGTTGACATTGCGATATGCAGGGAGGATGGGGTAGTGGCAAACCGCCGATAGTAGGACGGTCAATAGATGATAGAGGGGGTGATTGGGATTTTGACTAGACCTGGTCTGGTTCCTGCATCCAACTCGGTTCTAGACTCTTATCGGTGGAAGATGCCATATCCCGGTTTCCTTTTGCTCGAGATCAACGAGGGTAGACAGATGCCAGTCCAATCGAGTGACCAAAGTGATAGAAACAAAGAGAAAGAACCCTCACTCGCGCTTGATGAGTGACACAAGATCGACCTGCCACCGCCCTTTCTTAACGCGCGGCAATGCACCATCTCTCGTAGGCACCAACCACCGCATAATTTACATTCCGATCAACTTCCATCATCCGTGCAAATCTCTGTCTTGTAGATACTGGGCCAAAGCTATCCGATAGTACATCTTCATGTCCTCGTCAGCCATCCCCGGCGGTGCTCCTCCTCCTCCGCCTCCCCCGCCGATAGCCAAGAACACCGCTAGTTCATCAGCCCCCACACCACCCGATGTCCATCCCAACGGCCCTCAAGGTGGCTTTCTGGTCGAACTGCTCGTCTACAATGGCGCGCCATTCAAAGATCACTGGGCGTACTTCATTCATCCGAGCAAAAGATCCGAACTCGGCGTACTGATGGAAGCTGCCGGTGACGTGAGAAACGGCTTCAAAATTGAAATCGAGCGCAGCCACGATCTCGCAACAAATCCCCCTACTAAACGGATTCCGCTACAGTGGGTCGGTCATGAGTTATTTGGCGGTGATACTCCCGGCCCAAGCTTCGAGACTAGCGCATGTAAGGTGGAAGCTCCGGGGAAGACGCTCAATGCGGTTGATGATATAGTAAGACGGCTGCCTGGTGTCGGGAGAAGTCACTGACTTGAATAGGCTGCTCCTACCGGTCGAAAGGTCAAGCTGAGGAACTGCCAGACGTGGATTGTCGAGTCGGCGGATCAGTTGGTCGAAGATGGGATATTCAGGCCCGAGGTTGCGGGTTACCTGCATGCAATTGAGCAGTTGTAATCGACCCTTTCCTGTGTATTCACTACATCCGACATACCAACTCGCTACGCGTGGAATATCCAGTCCATCAGCTTGATGTTACTCTAGCACGCGTACAGTCCGCGCGTCAAGACTATTTGGCGCTTCGAACACACCTGGAGAACCAACTCCATTGAAATATAGATGATATATCAATTTCCATGCTAACTCTCAACAAACCTCCAGACACCCGTTTAGGTACAACTCCAACCCGTCGTAATCGATCATCTCACATCACAGCACAGGCGGCTAGTCACGGCTTCTCGGCCGCCTTAGGAGGATACTCCTTTCCATCCTTTTCCACCTTGGGCGCACAGGTGCAGCGGTCTCCCTCAGGAATGGCATCCATGACTGTGGGCACGTGGTTGCCGCATCCCCACCAGGTGGCCTTGTCTGCGCGGTGTTAGTAGTGAAACCTATCAACTCGCAGGGTCACATACGGCAGGTCGAGCAGGTGGCCTTCATGCACATGTTGGAGAGTAGTATAGAGGGTAATATGGATTGGGATTGTTGGACTGGACGCGATAAGAGGCAATGATGGCGGGGAGTTCAAGCTCGGGTTAAATAGTGGTGGCGCGTGGGGTCTTAGTCATGATGGGTCATCGCCGAAGTTGATCCCCGAGAGCCCGAATGGTTTTGGCTTCATCTCGAGGTTAACAAAATCGGTCATTGTAGTAGGATGTCTGTCGTTTATACAGTCTGTAGATAGGTCGATTGAGGTCGGTATAGGGTTTTTCTAGAATGTTGCTTGTTTGCAGGGCTAATCCCCAAGGTCCTTTCGATGACGTCTGCGGGGATCGGCATTTGTTTATCGGCGATGTAACTACTTGACTCGAAATACGTTGCTCGAGGTCATCTGAATTAGTCGTTATTGACGTGACTACATACATCTATCGCGGCCGTTTCTCATGCAGCTAGAGCTTCCCCTTCGCTGGCCCACAGCACGCCGCAGGCTCCGGATGCAAGGTTGACTTGTTGAACGACTGAGTCGACTGGGGCACATCAAGCGCCGGGTTCTTGGTGAAGAAGCCATCCGGACGAAGCATGACGCTTACCCGCTCCATAGGCATGACGGGGAAATCCTCAATGCGGGGGTTATGGGTCAGGCCGAAGGCTGTTGATCGCGTTAGCATTCAAGACCGTGGTGGGTACATCGCCGACAACTTACTATGCCACAGGACAACATCCTCATTCTCAACATTGTCATTCCGCTGCACCCACTTCTCAACGCCCTGGCTCTCCTTGCTCTGGTTGGTGAACTCGCCGCCGGCGTAGAGCTCGTCATCCTGGTACTTGGTGACCCAGATCGGCTTAGTTGCGAACATGGCACGCTTCACCCCGAACGAGCGCGGGCTCGCCAGCAGCATCTGACTCGGCGAGGCCATCAGCTTATACGACACCGGCTTGTAGGTGATGGGGTTGATGATGGAGTCGTTGCGGATTTTGAACACGCGGTGCCGCTCGACGCTGGTGTCGGCCGTGCCGCTCTTCCGCAGGACCGTCTCTTCCGTCGTGTAGCCCACCTTCCACGGGTTATTCTCGTCCTCGGGCATGGGGACGCTGTCTTGGTAGAAGACTGTGTTTTTGTGGCCGTCGATCGCGGGGTCCATCCGGAAGGAGAACATGTGCTGGTGGAACGGCGCCATGACGCCGGGCCCGACGTTGGTGCCTCCATGGGAACGGTGGATGCCGAGGAGTCTGGTTGTCGAAAGGGCACCGTCGAGGAGAATGCCGGTCGCGCGGACTTCCAGCTCGATGTTGGCGGCTTGGTCGAAGATGAAGACGAAGACGTATCTGATTCCGTGTTAGTGAATGGTCAACGGGTTGGGACACGTGCTCTTACTCGTAGTTGCTAACAGTGGCGATCATCTGCAGGACGAGTTGGCGGTTGCGGACAACAGTCGCGGCGCCGGTGCGGTAGTTCGTGTGCTTGTGCTGAAGACCATTGTCCTGTTCGTGCATGCAGATGACGTTCTGGAGGTGCACTGGAGTGCCTTTGGAATCGGCCCGATATCCATCGAAATACTTGATATGGCCGAGGCAATCACATCCCAGCGACAGCTGGTTCGCTGTGATGCCGAATCCAACGTCACCAACATCGAAGGCTTGCTTACGATGGTAGGGTGCGCGGGGATCTGAGGACTTATTAGTTCGGTTCTAGCAGTACACTGCAATGGCAACGCGGGCGTAAACAATGACATACCTCCATAAGGCACGGTCATTTCCGACACAGACAGCCGGTAGAACAGGTTGCGGTTGTCATAAGTGACATTGTAAATGACAAGACCCTCACGACTGTTGAAACCGACGTGGAATCTCCACTTCTGCCATGATACAACGTTTCCTTGCAAGTTGAAGGATGGCCCTTCAGGCTGCTGCACGATATAGGGCTTCAGGTCCGTCCGAAGAGGTTCACCCAGGAGGTCGTGGGCATATTGGATGGTCTCGACCGGTTTCCACGGCTGAGTCTCGGTTGTCTGGGCATCCGGGCCACCAGGAAGGTAGTCCATACGGACCAGCTCCCGAGTCAGACCGTCGAAGACTGGCGAGAACTTGCACGGCACGGAATAGTGGTTGTTCTGAGGGTGGTCGGTCGTCACGACGTACATATAGCACTGGAACAACCGCCGCGTCTCCTTGGGGTCATCGGTTCCGTAGATCCACGGGTCGTTGCAGACAGTCACGCCCTTGGGGAGCTGCATCTTGGCGACTTCGGCCTTCACCGCCGGGTGGTTGAGACACAGCTGCTCGATCTCGATGAGCTCATCTGGGTCAACGGGCCCCTGGATCTCCTTGGGGAGCTCCTTTGCATACACAACGGACCGCTTTCCCGCATTCAGCAGCGCCTTGTAGAAGGCACCGGTGTCCATGCGATGGAACAGCACCTGCAGCAGCCGAGTCGGTCTGGGCGGTAAGGGCTTGCCCAGTCTCTCGGCCTCAATGAAAGGAACAACCTCCTTCTTAATGGGCTCCTGCACATCGATCTTCTTGTACCGCAATGGCACCTTGGGGAAGGCGGCCTCCAGAATCCTGGTGGCCAGGTGGATCTCCCCGGGCGTGATGGGATCGAAGGGATGCGGGACTGCTGCCATGATTGTGTCTTTCCTGATTGAGATGATGAGAGGAGAGAGATCCAAGCCAATAAACCCGGAGAACGTCTGACTTATATAGCAAGAGTCCCCTCTTCGTATCTCGTGGGTCTGGGTCTTGAGTGCTGTCGAAGAGGATATCCTCCGATCCTTCAGAGTGGTGATAGGCCTAAACGGGTGAAGTATCGCCAACGGCCACTGCTGATTGGCCGGTGGATACCCGGGCGTATCTCTTCCCGAATCGGGTTAGTTCAGTATGGGGAGAAGTCACGGGACTTTTCTGTTAGTCATAGGAATTAGTCATCATTCCTCTTGCCTTCCTTTTCGGGATAGGGATATCCTCTTCCCCACGCTGGCTCTGCAGACAAGAGCAAGGTACATTGGCGACAGACATGTCGGAGGTAGTACGTTTTGCTGATTATTACAAGAATTGGCAGATTGATGCCCGCACCAACCACCTCACTCATGTCACCATCAAACATGTCCATGCGATGATCATCCCCACAACCCCAACTGTCCCAAATGCCGCTCCGACTCTATCAGCGGTGGTAATGGGCTTGGGCTCAGTAGGATCCTTGTCTGAACCTGATCCAGTCCCAGCAGAGGCATCTCCCTTGCTTGTTCCTCCGGTGCGCGTCGTCATAGGACCATTCACCGTATCCAAAAGATTGCTCTGCACAAACTCCAGTGCTGACATCTGCTCGCCTGCGCCGGTGGTACCATCGTAAGTCCCGGTTGTCCAGCGCATTCCGCAATATGTTCCCGTCTTGCCTCCGACGCATTGTGCGGCCGCCGCCTGCGCAGTAGCCCGGAGACGCTCCAGAATGGTGTCGCGCGTGAATGGAGCCAGCTTGGCTACATCGCCCATCCATCGTGCCAAGTACCCCTTAAAGGAGAACTGATCTGTTCCGCATGTTCCATACGTCTCACACAGTGATTCATATACCACGTTCTTGGACGACGCGTTCTGGGACAAGAACACGCTTTGCGCGTCCAACAGGCCCTCTATCCGCTGCTTCCACTTTTCATCGCCAGTCTAGACCAAGTCAGCGCGATCACACCTGGACGATGGACGCCATACATAATTCCACATATGAGCCGCTCCGTGCAGGAACACCCCGTTGTTATACGTCCATTGGTTGTGGTTCATGTCGGTGCAATTGTTCGTATCGCTCGTTCCATCATACACCTGCATTTTTGGCCCGATGATCCCTACGCCTGACGTCCAATCCCACATCTTCTCCGCCCACTCGGTGTAAGTGTTGTTCCCTGTATATCGGGCCAGTCGAGCGGCGATGTTAAAGAAACACCCGTTCGAGATCGCATTTCGATAGTTGTATCCGTTGTTGAAGGAGTATATCTGCCATTTGAGCCCTCCACCACATTTTTCGGTATTCCACCGTTCAGACTGCTGGTTGAACACCGCCTGTGCCAAAGCCAGCCACGACGGCTGGTCGTCCGGGGGGTTCTCGAAATTCAACTCTGCCGCCCGCAGCGCCGTAAATGCCCAGAAGGCCTGGTCGTCATTTCCTTCAGTCCGCGTTTGGTTGGGAGGCATGAAGTCGGCTGTTGGGGATGCTTGATGGAGAATTGCCTGCATCGTGATGTTGTTGTATGTGGTGTCGCCTGTGTAATACCAGTAGTTCACCAGGGTGCCGAAGAAGGCACCGGCCTCTCACCAGTAGTATGGCTCTGGTAGGTTTCCGGGTGTGTCGCCGGTGTTGTTTCCCGTGTAGAAGCTGACCATGTCCCAGGCCAGCTCACTCGCGACATGTTTGATGTTCGCTGGTGGATAGTTAACATAGTTGACATCGGTGGAGCCCCAGTGTTTGGGACCACGGGTTCGCTAGTATGCATACCGATGTCATCAAGTTTGAGGTCTATGGCATTGGCCAAGGTCCAGGACAGAGGTATGATGCAGAACTGCAGGAACCGCACTTGTCGGCCTTGGTTCCCCATGACTTGCTGGCTTCAAGAGAGCCCTGGAGGATGGAGACAAATACGACAGCCAAGCAGTCCCAAGCAATGCTTCATAAATACCCAGGCCGAGGCAAATCTGAAACATTGTCGGAACAAATTGTCGCCTTCATCTAGAGGAAGTAACATGATTGGCGAGTATCTCAAGGATGCACTTAGTGCCTATCAAACCAGCCCAATCCTTTGGCCCCTGCACTAGCATGGAGTTGGTCTAGATTGCAAGTCTCCATCCGCTTGAGAGACTAAATGAGAATAGATAAGTATAACAGTGGCCTTAGGAAGGTCGGGAGATGATAATTCCACTCGAAAGCCAGGTTTGTATAGCGTACAGTATTGTGCCTCCTGTATGTCTACCAGGTAGTAGTATAATCGGCTTGTTCTAGACCGACAGGATCACACCACAAGACCTGGAACCATCCTGCTGACTGCACACAAAAACAGAAAGGTATGCAGGACTCAAGGATGTTAGAGCGAAGGAGCTTCTCGTTGTAACCCTCCCCTGCCGGAGCAATAACCGATCCTTTGCCAAGCCAGTCCGTTGTGAGTAGTGGGGAGAAGAGTGGCTGAGTGAGCTGGAGCGCATATACCCGACGAACTGAAACATTAGTTGCAAAGATCCCGGGCATGGGATTGTAGGCAGACACGTTGTATGGGGGATTCTGGAAATCAAGGGTTTGCGATCTCATCGTCCGCAATATAGAAAGGCTCCGATACCTTCAGTTTGCAGATATGCATACACGTATCCCGTGGTTGGGAGTTATATATCATGAGACAGCAGATGCATCTAACACAGCAATTGTTGACACTGACAATCAATCACACGTATATGCAACTATATATACCTTATTCCACGACAATTCATCTACAATCACATTTCAGCTCATTTAGCATTGTATATTATCCACTGGATTCCCATCTGGAAATTTCCTAAATAGACACCATTGCGGGGTGGATGAGTCATCCACTGATAACGAGGCAACCCCGCACACTATGAGAAGGCCATATTATCACTCGACTGTGTCATAATATAAAATACAAAATGGACCAGTCACAGCGCCCAAAACGGACGTCAAATGCGTGGGTGCATTGTATGACTGCCAACTGCTCAATTGCTAACAATCAACAGCTGTCAGCGATGCCGCAGCCGCAAGGTGAAATGCACCGGGAACTACCCCTGCGATAAGTGCAAACAGCGTAACCAAGAATGCGTTTTTGAAGAAGATAGAAAGATAGTGGTTTCTGAGGAGTACGTGACGACCAGACCTTTGCAGAGTGTTGCTAACGATGCATTGCGCAGGCTATTCTTATCTCTAAAGCGCAAGGTGGATGAGCTCGAGGGTACGATCCCGCCTGTGAGAACCAAGCGTCCATGCAATGATGGTAATCCTCACTGCTCTATGCATATATATCGATATATTGATGATTAAGTGCAGATCGATCATCGGAGGTCCCAAGGGCCACAACTCCCGAGGCCCCAGAAACGAGTCGCGTGGACGAGCGATTTGCGTTGAACCCTCTGGTATCCCCGTCTACATATCTCAAGAACGATGGTCGGAGACGCACTTGGTGTAGGTCCGCCCCTCTCATAGCGACATAGACGCTAATAAGACCAGTATTCCTCGGCCCAACATCAACATGGTCATACAGCCGCCGCGTGTTGAACATCATCCAGTCCCGCCTGAACCCGAGCAATACGAAACCAATTCCCCTGGCCGTCGACGGCGACGCATATCAGCTCCACTGGCGCCAGGCAAGCTCCGAGGAGCTACCCGATATCAGCGGACTGCCCTCCCTGGAACATGCGCTGTACATGCTGAACACTGTCCAGTTCCACTTTGGCCATCTGTACCGGCTGTTCGACGAAGACGAGTTCCTGCGCAATCTTCACGAGTTCTACGACAATGCTGCGGCCAAGGTGCAGTCAAATCGCCTGTGGTATGTGCAGTTCCTGATGATCCTGGCTTTTGGCGAGGCATTCCTCGCGCCGGTGCGCAAAGCAGCCAATACGTCTAGCTGGACGAAGTACTTTTCGCGCGCCATGTCCCTGCTGCCGGATGTGACGGGGTTGTGGCAGGAGCCGATTCTGTCGATTGAGGTGCTTGCGCTTATTGGGCTTTATTTTCACTCGGTGGATATGCGGGATACGGCATATGTTTATGTAAGTTGTGTACTCCGGAGGAAGGGCGACGGCTAAGTGGGTAATGGACAGATTGGTCATGCGATGCGCATGGCTATTGTGGAAGGGTTTCATCGCGCGCTTCCGGTCGAGCAGCTTGGGCGGAGGTTGGTAGACAGGTGCAGTAATATATGGTGGACAGTCTACATCCTGGATCGGAAGTTTGCGTCGCTGAACGGCTCCCCGAACTCGATCAACGATGATGAGATTACTACCGTCCTGTGGGACCCGCGGACCTCGTCGAAGAAAGAAGCGGCTTTGAGTCTGAATGTGAGGATCTCACAGGTCATTACGCGAGTGCTGAACAGTGAGTTGCTTTGCCGTATCCTTGATTCGACGGTTTTGACCTTGTGTAGCTGTCTACAGCGCGGATGGAACGCTTGGCGGGCTGTTTCTTAGAAAGCTACGATCTGTCCTACAGGAGATGACAGAACTATCGCGAGAGTTGGAGGACGTTTTTGCGCATCGTTTTTCGAACTCGGTTGATGCCCCTTCTGGCATGACTACGCGGCTGACATTGTCCTGTCATTTGGTAAGAAAAGTTGAGAACAAGGAGAGGTGGAGACTGACCTTCATAGTGCATCATAGTTACCACCAGGCCACTCGTTCTGAGTCTTTTATGGGAAAGAATCAGCTGCTTCGAGGAAGGCGACACATTTCGAACGCTGTCCTCCCCTGTTCGCACCATTCTCCAGGCCTCCATCGACTCGTCCATCAAGTCACTCAGGATATTGACTGCGCTGCGGGACCAAAACCTCCTCGGTACGTCCATTCACCGTGTGACAGAATGCGCTGCTAACACCCAACAGAAACATTCCTCCCATTTGACCTGGAGAATCTCTTCTCCTCTTTTTTCAATCTATCCTTGATCTCCGCAACAATCCCCGACGTCGTGATGGACCCCAGCTATCGGGAAATGGGATTCGGCCTGCTGGACGACATGATTGCCAGAGGAAACTGCGTAGCGCAGCTTCGGAAGTCAGAGATGGAGCTGTTGGAGGAGCTTGTTCAACCTCTTGTCCACCCACTGGATATGCAACCAAGGCAGCGTCTGGCGAGCCCACCGGCCGAAGATCATATTACCGATCAAGAACCAAGTGCGACATCACAATTCGGGGTAGACCTCCACGGTGCGACAGGTGCGCCAGATGAGGATCTGGGATTCGACTGGCGTGACCTGGGACTGTCGCTTAATCACATGCTGTCCGTCACGGACCAGTTGAATACGAACAGTTTGGTTCTGAATGCTGAGCGCGAGCAGTTGCAGACGGATCTGTGGTTGTGGTGCGATGAGCAGGCCTAGCGGTGGTAGCTGCTGCTCTAGGAACTGCCGTTCTCTTACCTACACCCTATCCACCCGTGGACTGTATATAGATTTGCAATATGCTCCGCAGTATTGTACCACATACCGCGATTCAAGTCATACAGCCTCGCTTGAATATAAAATGTCACCCCTTTTCTTAATCACTATACGTCATATGCAACATTCGGTTCTTTTCATGGACGATAGCCAGGACATAAATAGCCCTATCCACCCAGCGTCTATCACAGTCCCAAAAAGTCCCTTCTCTCGTATCCACAGATCCAAATAACATCTCCAGTATGAAGTGTGCCATTATATTCACTCTTGCCAAGTAAGACCCCATCCCCTGTTCAGTCTTCCCCTTAACTCACCATTCCAGTCTGGCCGTTTCTACTGTGGCCATCAGTTGTTGGGACCAAAGAAGCCCGGCAAGAGGCGTCAGATGCGTGCCGCGGAATCGTCGGTGCCCCTGGGGGTACCGTCCTGTCTTTTATGATGACCCGTATCCGTGCTGGCGGGGTGCGCGTTGTTGCGTTTAGCTTGGGTTGAGAGACTGCTGTTTTGCCTATACTTTTGGCGGCATGTCTATCACTCATCAATGGGCTTTGGTTTGACTTGATGTGACAGCGGATATCATGAGGATACGACTCTGTACGTAACTGCTTTGGTATCTGCGTCAGATAATGAGAGACAGACCACTATTGCTTATATCCTAGCTGAGGGCTCAGTCCGTACAACCACGGATGGGGCCGGTTGAGCCGTCCTTGGCGGCAGTTAGCGAACCGGCTCTGAAGAACCGCACGAAGACATCCGTCATTTGCTGGTTGACAGAGGCACGGGCGATTCAAGAAACGTGCGGAACCATGGGTCGTGTTGAAAATTCAACCCGGTTCTGTATTCGGCATTGAGGTCGTTCGAAGTATGGCAGACTCCAGATGCTCCAGATGCTTCTTGCTCCAAGACCAGACAAGAAATATCGGTGGAGCATGTTGAAGCTTGGCCAACGTGAGTGGCCTGACGATCCCTCTGTGCCGCGTTGGATGGGGCTGTGTTTGAAGCTATAGAAGTAGTCTGTTATATGTGCAGTCCGGATATGCCGGCACCAGTCGGCACCGCGAATCCGTCAGTGGCCACCAGTCAGATTAGCAGACGATGCGGTACTAAAACAGTTGTCCCCGCATGCGCAAAAGTGCCCTCCGTAGTCGAGATTTACCGTAGTCTCGTCCTCTACCAAGATGGAGCAGCATTGCTGGTGACTTTCCTGTCCTGCAGGACATAAACCCTACGCACAATGCGACGAAAGACCACCAGATCCCTGATCCATCTAGTGGTCTTCGGGTGCATCGTATTCCTCCTGGTCTTCCTCAACCGCCCCCCATCCCCGAACAAGTCCTTCCCCTGGACTCGCGTCCGCTACCAATCCACCAGCAAAGTCCCCGAAACGCGCGGCATCTGTCCCGGCCTCGAAAAAACCACCAAACCCGCCCTGGTCGTCTCCCGCGTCGCCGCCGACGGCGACGCCTCCTGGCTCGACGCCCTCTCGCAGCGCTACCACCTCTGCATCTACACCGTCGATGCGCCCGCCGACCCAACCTCGAAATACCTCCAGGTCCCCGCGAACCGCGGCCACGAGGCAATGGCCTACCTCACCTTCCTGATCGACAACTACGAGCACATCCCCGCGGGCGGGGCGGTGTTCGTGCACGGCTCGCGCTTCGCCTGGCACAACGACCACCCCGAGTACGACAACGCCGCGCTGCTGGCGGCGTTGAACGTGGAGGCTGCGCTGGAACCAGCCGGGTATCATAATATGCGCTGCGACTGGAGCACGAGCATGTGTCTGCCGGCGGCACCGGCGCAGGGCAGTCTGGAGAATAATTTCCAGGCGGTGCTGGAGCCGTGGAGTGCGCGGATTGCGTCGGACAAGGCGCTGCCGCGTGCGCTGGCGACGATATTTGGAGGCGATGAGGAGCACGAGGTTGCGAAGATGGGACGCACGGATACGCTGCGCGCGCAGTGTTGTGCGCAGTTCGTGGTGTCGCGCGAGAGTATCAGGCGGCATGCGCGCGAGGAGTATGTTGCCCTGAGGCAGTGGTTGTTGGATGGGAGGGAGGCGGTTGGGAGGGATAGGATGCTCCGCGATGATCGGGTCGCCGGGCGCATACTGTCGTATATGTGGCATGTCTTGTTTATCAGGCAGCGTGCGGATGATCTCGAGCATCCGTTGACTGGGGATGGGCGCGGTGTGAATCTGGATCGGTTGAATGTGCAGGCTTGTCCGAGGGCCGATGAGTGTTATTGTCGCTTATATGGTCGCTGTGGACTGAGTCAGTGTAGAGGGCCTGGGAGTTGTTTGGGGCAGTATACACTGCCGAATCATCTGAAACTGCCGGATGACTGGGCTGAGACTCATTCGTAGATAGAAAGGCTTCATTTGTATATAGACAGTGTATTGGTTTGGATGACTGATGAGTTACGCTATGTGTTCTGCATTCATGGCCAGAGGGATGTTGTCTCGTGTCTACGGAAATAATGTACGTCTGGGATCCGCCGCAGTATTCATAGGTGCTCTTCTCCATATCTTCCATAGATGGTATTCGTGGTAAACCCCGAGCACTCGGTATTGTCTAGTCCAATGAGACTGGAGTGACAACCACAGTGATATTCTACTATACACCACAAGAAGATTCTACTAACCACACTGCCATTGGAAGAGAGACGAAACTGCTCTGTATACTAGTAACGGTCTGGTGGAGCCCTCGGCTTGAGACACGCCGCCTCGCATGCAATAAGGAGACACCCAAGGCCACCAAGAACATTCCCAACAGGAATTTATATGAACTCGTCACTCAACTAGCGCCAGTCGAAGCCACTCACGCAAGCCATCAATGGCCAACAAACCGGAGAACAAAGTGGCAGCCACGCATACGTAGGCGGGCCCACCGGCCCAGTCGATTTGCCGTCGTCTCTTCTCCGTATACGACGCTTCGGAGATATCCAATTTCCCACCCAACTACAGAGTACCTCCACTGCATTCTTCTTCCAGCGCCAAATGCCCAGAATTCCTTTCCGAATCAAACCATGGAAGCAACATTCCTCACGTGGGGATCGTCGATCGGGACGGAGCGAGAACGCCATGGCGATGGAAGTCTCAGACAACGATCCACACCCCCGACAATACATTAAGCACTTCGGGCGTATCGAAATTCATCTGCCTAAGTGGCCAAGCTTTCGCTAAGCCGTAGTCTTACACGCTAAATGGGTGCCTCCACTTCGTTGCATCCTTTCGGGTATGGGGTGATGGAAGCGGCGTATGGTTTGCCTCGACACATATGCCCTAGACCGTGCACGCCCCTGAATCCACGATCTAGATTCTGTTGGCGCCGAGCATACGTGTGCCACGGCTGTGTCTGTCCTTGGCGGCTATGGGATTGCAGGTGTTCTGGTCGGGTATGGGTATGACCTTGGTAGGGGTGCGGACTATGAAGGGGTGGTTGGTATGCCATGTCTCAATGCAGAAAAATGTACACAACACAACAACAACAATGATGCATCCTATATAGACCTGTACGAGGACCGGGACTTTGCTGTTCTGAAATCTCGGGGTTCTTTCGAGGCGTCCTCCCCTTCTCGTGGACCCATCGACGCAATTTCGACTGGTCGAGGCCGGGAATTCGAAACGAACTATAGTACGACGCCGACGTCTGTCACTATGAAGGCTTGGTGGGCTGCTGACGATTCATTTGTCTGATCTGGTCCCACCCGTCTACTGTGGCTGCTCGTCGGCGCTATATAGTATACATCAGCTGTCTCCTGGGTCACTTGTGATTCTTCCAACAACCAACACACTCTTTTATGCAGTTTTCTTGATATTCTTCTTCATTCTTGCGCAGCATCCACAATGCACTTGCAGTGGAAGTCACTCCTTCTTTTCCTTGCCGCCGCTGACGCCGTCCTGGCTAGAGGCCATGGCCGCCAGCTTCGGCACCATCTGCGCAGACACGCTCCTCCGGGCCCGGTTGCCCAGGAACAACATCTTGACGCGAGAGACGCCGGCGTCGAGGCTAGAAACGTCAGGACAGTTGTAGACTTCGACGTCGTGACCGTCACTACCACGATCTTTCCCAACATCCCTGTCTCTACCGGCACTACTCTAACCACGACCGTTGCTCCCGCACCCGCGCGGACATCCGCCGCCAACGACATCGACATCACCACAGCGGACAGCGACAACCTCGCCGTCAGCGTCGGCTTGGGCCTGGGTGTGACCGCGGGCGTGAGCATCGGCCTGAGCGCGTCTGAACCAACCTCGACTACCAGCACCATCTACACCACCACCAGCAGCACCACCAGCACACCCTCCTCAACAGCCGTCTCATCCAGCTGGACCTCCACCCCCGCCAGCGGCAAATTCTCCACCGCCGGCTTCGGCGGCGTGACCAACTCGTCCGGCAGCGGGATCAGCTACGCCGGCAACGTCGGCAACCCCTGGGGCAGCAACATCATCGAAGTCAGCTCCTCCGCCGCCTCGCAGTACAAATACGTCGCGCAGTTCACAGGCAGCAACACCGAGGACTGGACGGTGGTCTTCTGGAACAAGGTCGGGCCCGACGGCAAGCTGGACGGGTGGTACGGGCACTCCGCGCTGAACTTCACCCTCGCCGCCGGCGAGACGCGGTACGTGGCGTTTGACGTGAACTCGCAGGGCGCGTGGGGCGCCGCCGCCGGCGACTCCTTGCCGACGGATGAGTACGGCGGGTATGCGTGCACCTGGGGCGAGTTCGATTTCGGGAACTCGGAGAACGACGGGTGGTCTGGGTGGGATGTTTCGGCTATCCAGGCGCAGTCGGCCGGGTTGACGGTGCAGGGAATGAAGATTTGTGAGCATACGGGTGAGAACTGCTCGTATATCACGAGTGGGGTGAAGACGGTGGTGAATGCGTACACGGAGGACAAGAAGGCGATCGATGGGATTGGGGGCGCGGTTACGGCGGGCGCTGTTCGGTTGAAGGTGCAGGTGGATTATAGCGGGTAGGGGGTAGACACCCGGGTGTATATAGCTGAGCTATTGGTATATATCTTCCTATATCGTATTGCTTCAATGTCTGTAAGCATGCTCTAACTTACGCGAGGAGGAACATGTTAGACCGGCTGGATCTAGAAATGTCCAAAAGTCCAATGGGGTGACTGGCACTATACAACAGTGATATCAACCATCTCCTCCGTAGACATCTCATCCAAAGACCCCACAGACTGCACATTGTACTTCGGATTCGACGCATCTCGCAGCAAAGCCTCCATATCAGCACTCCCATCCGGGGTACTATTCGCTCCCGACGAGGAGCTCCGCGTTTTCAACAGCTCAATATCCAGAAAATCAAGACTGAACACAGACTCCCCCTTACCCTCCTGCACCACCCCCATGCGAAATCGCGGCTCATCCTGCACAAGCGGCGGTGTGTCGTCTCCCTCCGGGAAGAGCTGCGTGAGCGCACTTTCGAAATCCTCGGGTAGATCTGGTTCGGTGTGTAGGTCTTTCGAGGGTTCTTCGAGTTCGGGGACGACGGAGAGGTTGAAGGCACTTGCGCGCGGGAGGCCTTTAAGGATGGTTTGGGGTGATTCTGTCGGGTGGGCCGAGTGTCGTGCGCTTGTGCTGGTCGTGGGTGTTCCTCGCACCCGTTCGCGAGGCGTGGTAATCCCGGATTCGGGCTTTGTGGATGATAGACACATCTGCATGGTTGCTACGCGCATGCGCTCCAGGGAGTCCTGGCACTCGCGGGCGTGGGGGTAGATATCTGCCATGCCGGCGAGGACGGCAGTGCCTGTGAGAATGGTGCAGTCGATTTCGTCGAGGGTCTGAGGATGTCAGTGGGTATGATTCAAAACGGCGGGCAAGACATACAAGAAGATTGCGGATCAACTGCGAGTTCCATATGGCGAACAGAAATAGAGTTCCTGCAACGGGTTAGCGAGTATGTGTGCATGGGATAAGGGCAGGCATACCAGCAAGGAAAATGTTATGCGTGGCGAGAAACGTGCAGTTCCCCGAATCCAAATGATGCACCAGCCGGTAGCTCTGCAGCACCTTCCGGCTCGCCTCGACGATTTTGAAGTGGGTAAAGTCATCCTTTGACCCTTCTCCCGCCGCCAGATGCGTAGCGTTCATATGCGACGGCGGCAGCATGCGAGCCAGCTCGAACGGTACCTTGACCTCGTGTCGGTACAGTAAGTTGATTGTTTTCCAGTAATCGAGTTCCAGGCGGACGATGGGAACCCACGTTCCGGTTTCTTCGCGGGAGGGGATGCAGCTTTTCCACTCGTCGAGTCGCCGGTTGACGTCCCTTTTCCACGAGCCAAACGACTCGAAATAGTCCAGTGGTGACGAAAGTATAGACGTCGCTGGCGGACCGGTGTTGCTGGAGCTGCTTCGCGAGGATTGTGCGTGGTGGTATTGAAGGACTTCGTGGATTTCCGACTGGAGCAGTCGTAGTTGGAGAAGATGGCTGGTGAGGAAGTTCATGAGTTTGTTGCTGGAGGAGATGCCGTGGCATGGTACGCCCATTTCTTCGGGCATGGATGGGAAGCCGGTGGTGACCAGGTGGTCCGGGATGGCGAACGGACGCCCGGTGTATGGCGAGACGAGACGGTCCAGACTGTATGCACTCCACCAGAGACGTTGGCATTGCTCCGAAAGCTGGTCTTGCTGCTCGCTACCTTCGTTCGATATGGTCGCTTGATACGACCCGGCGATTAGGCTAGGACTGGCCTCGTCGTAGAGCTTCACGTCGACTGCAGCGCGCAGCGCCAGTCCCACGAGGTAGACGGGCCCGGGACGAATAGGATAGAAGAGGGATAGATGAGCAATCAGCACGGCAGCCTCAAGGCCTTCTAGCTTACTGGATGCGTCATCGCAAGAGCTGAACGCCAGGTGTAAGTGGGTAACAGCAGCAGAGTAGTACTCCTCTGCGGGATGTACGTTTGTCAACGTGTTTCGCTTCCTCTTTAGCCCCTGCCCCGGTAGATCCTTGCCCCTGAGGTTTCCCTCGTTATCAAGCATGATGCAGGTGCCAATAGCGAATAGGATGTATAGCAGGAAAAGGCTGTACGGCCGGTGGCTCTCAGCCCCAGCGTAGGTCCGATTGAGCAGCTGTGCTACCTCGCCCTTATGGAGGGCCGGGACTTGCGGGTATGCTTGTTCGAAGTAGAAGTTGACTAACTTTGCGGCGAGATCCCGGTCCGGGAGCACGAATGATGATGTGGGAGATCTGGGTCGAAGGGCGAAAAGGAGCTCATGTGCTGTGCAGCAACCCGGGTCATGCGTACTGTGCAGCGTATCGATTTCCGACTGGGAGGCAACGTCTGTTGCTTCTCTGGGTGACCTGGGAGAGGACGCACTCGGTCGACTCGAATCCGTTCCACTAGTTGAAATGACGCTACCCCTTCGTTTATATGAGGCTTTGGTATCTCGTTCTTCCTCCGTCGACGCCCGGTAATCATGTGGCGCGCTTCGCTCCATGGTCAACGAGGAATCCGGCTCGAAAGAAACCCCATGCTCGCTCAGGAGGTTCTTGAAGTAGTTGACGCGATCCTCCAGGTAGTATAGATAACTCCGAGGCACCTCCCTCTTCATTAGGGGATCGTAGCCGACGCATCGAGCGCCGGCCTTCTCGCAGGCGCCGCACTGCGGCAGCTGCTGGTCACATCGACTTTTCCGCTGGCGACAACGAGTGCACGAGGAGACGTTCCGGAACGACGAGGCCTGGATGGGCCCTGATGTATCGTCTGCATGTACGTCGACCATCGACTGCGGTGTCTGCAGGCCCTTCCCTTTCTTATGCGTGTCTAAACGCGCCGGGGTCGGCATGATGCAGCCAGGGTATGAAGTTAACGGCGCTTTTCTCAACGATATAACTTAGTAAAAGCTGCTATAGAGCAATAAACAAAACCAGAATGCTGGTTGATTAGGACAATAGATGTCCAGGCAAAGACACGTTCATACAGGGTAAATGTCTTGGACTGAGGGGATGTGGGTGGCGTCAGATACCCCGTCGCTGCGACATGAGGGGGCAACATGCGAAATGACTGTGGATCTCTAGAGTGGTATCCAACTCGACATCCATACGCATTGGCCGTGACTGCTACACTCGAACTTCCCCATCGGCTTAGCGTTGGGCCTGCTAGCTTATCCATTACTCGATCAAAATGCCACATATGGCGATCGGCGTTCGGCTATCGGGGAAGTCTCAGCGGGAAAGTCAGCATCCCCACCTGCTCCCCGTGGGGAGCTCCTTAACGGCGGGATTGGGGACAATGTCGAGGGAATTCATGATGTTGGAACGGGAGAAGGGATCAATTCGTGGTGGGGGTGCTGGGATATAAGCATCCATACATTCAAGTCTAAGTTCTGGTTCCACGAGGGTAAGAGCAGTCAAAACGCTCATCATACTGCATTCCGCAGTGGCTCCTCATATAGCCTGCCCATCGGAGGACGCCGATGGCTCATCCATGGCCTACACGTCCTGCTTGACGTCCTCCACCTCCTCCGCCCCAGCAATCTCCTTCCCCTCAGTAGCATGCATCGATCCTCCCGTGTACGGGATTTCGTTCCAGACATCGCTCATCGCTGGGACGGGAAAGGCCCGGCACAAAGCCCAGTACATGGCCCCCGCCACTATAAAGCCGGAGAAGTAGTTGATGTTGTAGATGTATTCTGCGCCCACTGGCACGTTGGCCCCGACAGCCCCGGCAAATCCCACCACATTGATCATAATCCCACAGATATAGGCCGTGTATCCCCGCCAGGAGACACCCCAAATACCATAGTACGGGCTGTCTTTCTCGGCGCTGTACAGAGCCGGCAGATCCAAGTAGCCCTTGCGCACCAGGTAGTAATCACTGACCATGACGCCAGCTATCGCGGACAGGAAGACGGAGTACGATGAAAGGTAGACAGTGAACTTGTTGGACGAGGCGACCAATGTCCACTATAAGCTGTTAGTAATATTCCAATAGAGCCCGGTGGGAGTGGGGGCTTACTGGGCACATGGCAAGACCGATCGCTGCACAGATGTATGCTCCACGCCGAATCGTGCAGAATCGGGGCAGCAGCGCCGTGAGATTAGTCCCCGCTGATACCGAGTTTGCGGCAATATTGGTTCCCAGCTGCGCAAGCGCAAAGCCAGCCGCAATAACGAAGATACCGAATCTCTCAGCAGAGCTGGCACCTTCGAGGAACATGCCCAGCAGGATGAGCGGGTTCCATACTGCTTTGCCAAAAATGACGGTAGACGACGAGGTGACTACGATACCAATAAACGAAGTCACGGCAAATCCGACCGGAATAGTGATGAGCTGCGACCAGACGGCGTCTCTTGGCCGGCGCGCATATCGACTGAAGTCAGGGTTGTTGATGATCAAGGCGGCAAAGTTGGCGATGCAGTTCATGATGCTTTTCACCACCGCCCAGGCGAGGTCGCTCCCATGTGCGGTATTCGGCTGATGGATGATAGGGCCCATGCCCTTTGCGCGCACGATTGCCCATGCAAAGAAAGCGACCGCACAGGCCGGAGAGACGTATGCCTTGACCGTGAAGAGGTGTCGAATCTTGTAGATGGGGAACCAGAGAGCAGGCAGCGATCCCAGCCAGAAGAGAAAGAAACTGGTGAACTCCATGGTCGTCACGCCTGAGCTGACGGGGATATTGTTGGGGATATTCGCGTAGCTGGGCCAAATCGCCTGGATCATGAGAGTAACACATTGGCCTTTCAGTTTTTGGATTAGTATACGAGTGCCTAATCTGGGGAATGATGTGCGTACCACCGAGGTATGTCTATATCAGGCCGTTATTAGGGTTATCTTTACACTTCATGGGGAGTCATACCTGAACGCCATACCAAATCACGGCCATAGCCGCCCGGTTCAAGACGGGCCAAAACGAACCCCATACCCCAAATGACGCTCTGTTAGCCACGGCAAAGGGTATATGGTAGATGGTAGCAACGCGTCCCAGGGCAACCACGAAGACTGCCGCAATCGCGTAGCCAAACCACACACAGAGCCAGGACTGCCACCACGACAGGCCGTCCACTATCATAGCCGAAGAGATCATCCACGTATTCTGTGGAGCAGCAGTTACTATGGAAGACGCCCCAGTGACTGTTGCAGTCGCGATAGCTTGTAGTAACGTACGACGTTCAATGAATCGGCAATCCAGAAAGCCACAAAGTTGAGCCATTTCCATTGCCGCCTGTCTCGTTCCACTAAGGACGTTGTATGATTATGTGGTCCAGGAGTATCGCAGCGAGTACTGGACGAGTATTATCTTACCTGGTTTCAGGTCATCATTCGTCAACATCAACTCTGCTGTTGTTAAACCAGGCTCTGTAGGCACCTGCAGGGCCTTGACAAGCCGCCTAACAAGAGCCATTTTTTTGTGTAATGGAGCCTATCTTTGGAGATCCCAATTAACAAGTTAGTTGAATGATAGCTCGACCTCTCCGTCCTCTCTCTTGCCTTTTATATGCCGAGTTTATATGCTAAAATCAGTTAAACTTCAACCCCGCACAAGCGGTAAACTGATTCCCACATCCTGATGCACATGTGCCAAGCAGATGGACAACGTGTAGGCATCTTGTGTCCCGAGATCGGCAGTTGAGAAGGTTACCCCAACGCAGGATTAAGGCGGATGGTCAGATTCGTGGAGGAGCGCGGGGTGGGGAAGATCAGGCTATTATGACGACTAAGGGTATACCTCGGAGTAGAGAGTTCAATGTTGCTTCCTGGAGTCTTCGATGTATACAAGGTCTGTCACTTTGCCGTGGAAAAGACCACGCTTCCTTTTACATTGATTCCCTAACTAGTCTAGTGACACCCAGAGTCCAGTCTGCGGTGTACCTAGAATGCTTTTGGATGTTGTCGGGGGAGTTCCGATATGAGCCTGAGGGTAGGAGAGGTCTACTCCTGAGCTCATATCAAGCACCGGAGTGCATCCAAGACTCTTCTGATGGATTAAGGGTATCAAATCTCTATTAAACATTGTATCCCAATTATGTTAGAGGAAGATAGGCTCAAACCACTCTCCAGAGATTAGTTCCCCCTGTTCAGATATGACCTGATATATATGTCAACCGAAAACTAGACTAGATCTCAGTCACTGCAGCCATGGTACTTCCATAATAACCCCAGAAACTACTCCGAACCTGCTAATGTTCAAGCTTCTTATTTTTCTAGAAAATGCGTCTTTGTCTGGGTCGAGCCAAACCTGTTCCTACTTTGGTGACATCACCACTCTGACGACACCCTGACTCTCGCCGACGAGGCTAATGGTCTGTCCAAATGGAATCACATATCCTGTACACCACCAATCCTGCGTCAATCTCTCCGCATCTCGACATTTGATATGGCGGGGGGATTCCTTGCATACCACGAGCCTGGCAGTATGTGGGCGTTGGCCTTCCCACCCTTCAACCACACCTCCCGCCGACGGTACTGACAATTTCCAGTTGTGCAAATCCTCATAATTATATCGTTCTTTTTCTTCCTATCTCTGGCGGAATGGGTTTCCGACAAAGTCATCCGAGCCGGGATCATCGGCCAGATCGCCATGGGCATTATCTATGGCATACCCCTGGCCGATATCCTTGAACATACATGGCAGGAGACGTTTCTGGCGCTTGGCTATGTTGGGCTTATCCTCATCATCTTTGAAGGTAGGTGGCGATCGAGATACCAGTTTCGTCAACTTCAGGGCTGATATCAACAGGTGGACTCGGGGTGCGCCTTGATCTTCTCAAGCAGAATTTTATCCCCAGTATTCTTGGGGCAGCAACCGGCGTGTGTTTTCCCATTGGCCTTTCTTATCTTTTACTGTACCTAGGCTATGGATATGGTGAGTCCTTCATATGTACAGATTGACATCTACCTCACAAATCTCTGCAGGCCCGGTCGAAACGTTCATCATCGGAGCTGCTCTGTCCGCCACTTCATTAGGTATTACCACAATTGCTCTTCCGTCATCATGAAGCTAACGAAAGTCAGGGACTACGTTTGCCGTCATTGCCTCGGCATCAAAAACCGTAGATCTCGCTCAAACAAGAGTCGGCTCGATTCTCGTGAGCGCGGCGGTCATTGACGATGTGGTCGGTCTGGTACTATCCAGGTAATTCCATTCCCTTTCACCCTTGTCCCAAGGTCAAAACTCACATCAATCACAGCATCATCAGCGATCTGGGAAAGCTGTCAGAAAGTCACCATGTCAGTCTGGGCTGGATTATCGGACGGCCGATCGTGGCTTCGGTCGCAATGGCCATCGCCACCCCGATCCTGACCAAGTACTTCTTTGCGCCAGTATTCCGGAAATTCATTGAATACCACTTTGCGCAATACGATCATATCTCAAACATTATTCTCATGACGCTGGTCCTCTCCGCGTTTATCAGCATCGCCGCATATGCTGGAACCTCGGTCCTGTTTGGCGCATTTCTGGCCGGCACGTTTCTGACCTATATCCCCAGTAAACGACCCGAGGGTCCGTTTGTCGTGATGAGCCGCGAGCAGGGAGAGCGGGAAGCGGACAAAAGTCCGACTTTTGTTCATACATTCGAGGCGTATCTTATGGGGGTACAGGGCTATCTGATGGAGCCTTTGTTCTTTGCTAGTGTGGGGTTTGCGATTCCCTTTATCCAGCTCTGGACGGGTAAGAGGATCTGGAGAGGCATTCTGTATACCCTTTTGATGGCCTTTGCAAAGGTTAGTTGTATGAGCCCCTGTCAACGATAGCTTTGCTAATGTGTATAGTTTGTTGTCGGAAGTTGGGTCCCTCTGTGGGGGTTGTTGACCGGGCGCAAAAGACGGGAGGCAGGGCATATTGCGAAGGGATCGAGTTCCCACTCAGGTCAGACAAATGAGTCTCAAGCAGGGAGGAAGCCTTCTGCGACCTGGCAATCTGCGCTTCTCCTGGGCTCGGCCATGGTTGCGCGCGGCGAGATTGGGCTTCTTATCATTGAAATTGGGTACAACGAAACATCGTACGTCAGCGAAGAAGGGTTTATCACCGGGGTATGGGCGATTCTTTTGAATACCATTATTGGTCCGGTCACTGTCGGTGTTCTCGTCAGCTTGTACGGAAAACAGATAGGTGAAGGCCATTGGGGTGTACAAGATGCAGCGCCACCCGACCCCGACCCGGAGCATCCCCGTGCTGTATGATATTCTATGTGTCTCCTTTGAGTATATACAATAGGTCTAGTTTGACTAAAGACTTGGAGATATTACGATGTTCAGACTAGTGCCTATCATTCACTCACAATGAAGACATGGAGAGGTGAGTACGGACCGTTGATGGAAAACTATCAACAAACCAACCTGTTTCAGTATGAGCATCGTACTTCATTATGATCAAACACATTGTGGGAATAGCACCAGGCTCCTCGGCGATGGTTACGACGACTACTGAGACAGGAAATGGAGTCTGTTGGGAAAGACACCCCTGTTGTTGGTTATGCACATGATTTATTTGCCACGCACGTGGTGTCCCTTTCGATCGCATCCTTAGAGGACATTGTATATCCAAGTCGCTAACGGCTCACATTATCAGCTGCAAACTGATATGAATGGCAGATCTCTTAGTCTTAGAGTGCTTTGTCTCCCAGTCGCTGCTCGCATTTCTTTACATTTTGAGGAGATTCGAGGGTAATGGATCAGGTATTCATGGGGTTTCCACGTCAATCACCACTTGGTATAAGAAGCTCGTTTCCTCGACCAAGGAGACTAGTCATAGATGGATGGGTTGAAAACATACGCCACATTATCAATAGAGCCAAAGTCCATAATTAATTTTCACTATACATCCAGCCAAAGAATACTATCATTATAATGCGCCACCAGGGCCACACGGGCGTCAATGCATCATCCATTACCATCCACGTCACGGCGCATGAGTGACAATACCAGCTACCTAGGGAACTGGCGAAATCCAAAGTCACGCCTTGATATCAATCTGCAAGGGATGACTTCACCAGACATAAATAAGCCCTCAATCGGAAGCAGTTGAAGATGTGATGTGTTTCAGGGGAGAGTGACATTCCCTAGCGCTAAATTTTACGTGGCATAAACTTTAACTACTGGGGCTGTTAATTAAGCGCGGCCACAAAGAGCCCACATCGGTGAACAAGTTGGATGAGAAGATTTGCTCCTGTTCGTATTCATTTCCGGACAATTGGCTCTGCACCGGTATAAAAAACTCCCCTCTCATCCCTCGTCGTCCCATTGCGTGTCCTGCGACATCCACAAAGTCATGGCAGTCGATTCGCCCTGTGCAGATCATCCCACAATGGGCTATACCGAGTTCGTGCTCGCGTCGTGTCGCAAGTTGCATGAAACCCTGCAGCAATGTCGTACTGTCACTGTCGACGGCGACTCTCTTGATTTAAGTGCCATTGTGGCAGTCGCGAAGCATGGTACCAAGCCCATTATCACTGACGACAAAGAGGTCCTGGGTAAGATGAAGGCGTGCGTCGATCTTTTGAACACCAGGCTGGCCGAAGGATCCATCATTTATGGAGTCAACACGGGCTTTGGTGGAAGTGCTGATGTTCGAACCAACGACTATGAGGCCCTTCAGAAGGCTCTCATCCAGCACCACAACGCGGCGGTCGTCCTCCCATCCGAAAGGGGCCTCCCAAGCACGCGTGTCCTGGATAGTCTGAAAAAGCATTCTATGCCGACTCCCGTTGTCAGAGCCGCCATGCTGACGCGCTGCAATTCCCTCATTCGGGGCCATTCAGCTGTCCGCGAAGAGGTCATCCGCCATATCATTACCCTCATTGCCCACGATCTGACCCCCGTCGTCCCTTTGCGCGGCAGTATTTCTGCCTCGGGAGACCTGACTCCTCTTGCCTACATCGCCGGCGTGCTGGAAGGAAACCCCGACATCGCCGTCGAGTGTGGGAAGACCCATCAGATCATTCCAGCGAACGAGGCTTTGGCGCGTGCGAATCTCCAGCCGCTTGACTTTCAGCCCAAGGAGGGTCTTGGTCTGCTGAATGGCACTGCATTCAGCTGCGGCGCCGGGAGCCTGGTTGTGTTTGAGGCGAACCAGCTCGCTCTCCTGGCTCAGATCACCACCGCGATGTGTACCGAGGCCATGCTGGGCACCCGACGCAACTTCCACCCGTTCATCGCTGATGTGCGGCCCCATCCCGGTCAGACGGAGGCTGCCAGAAACATTTTCGCCTTCCTGGCTGATTCCAAACTCGCCACCAATCTCCCTCCTGAGGAGGTCGGGCTGGCGCAGGACCGGTACGCCATTCGCACGTCCTCGCAGTGGATTGGTCCGCAGCTCGAGAGCCTGAAGCATGCCTCTGAGCAGGTCCAATGCGAATTGAATTCGACCACCGATAACCCGCTCTTCGACGTCGCGAGCAAAGAAGTCCACCATTGCGGGAATTTCCAGGCTTTGTCTGTCACTTCGGCCATGGAAAAGACCATGTCGGCTATGCAGACGCTCGGGAAGATGGTGTTTTCGCAGTGCTCGGAGATCCTCAACCCCATGTTGAACAAGGGGCTGCCCCCCAATCTCTGCGCCGATGATCCGAGCCGCTCGTTTGCGTTCAAGGGCGTCGACATCAACATGGCGTCCTACATCTCGGAACTCTCCTACATCGCGCATCCCGTCAGCAACCATGTTCACTCCGCAGAGATGCATAACCAGGGGATCAACTCGCTCGCGTTTATTGCAGGTCGATACGCAGCCGATTCAGTTGAGATTCTCTCGTTGATGCTCGCCACACATGTCTACGTCCTGTGTCAGGCTCTCGATCTGCGTGTTCTGCAGTTGGAGTTCGAGAAGGAAGCAAAGAAGGAGTTTGCAGAGATTACCGAGCGCACCACGCGTTCCTTGCTCCGTGAAGACGAGTTTCCAATGATCACATCTAATCTTTGGGAGACTGTGATGACCCACTGGGGCAGCCACACGACGTGTAATCTGGCGGATCGCGCGAACATGGCAGCAAACGAGACCCTGGGTGTTTTGTTCCGCCATCTTGGCCAGGTATCTCCTGTCGTCGATGCTACCAAGATCATACAGACTTGGGAAACCGAAGTACGGACGATGTTGATCAAACAATACGACCAGACCAGGGCTGCGTTTTTTGAATCCCAAACAACCCAGAACTATCTTTGTGGTGCGTCGCGGAAGCTGTATAGCTTTGTCAGGGAGGCCCTTGAAGTCCCAATGCACAAAGGACTGGTGGATCATCCTACCTACACCACATCCGATGGACAGCGCGGAGAGAAGGCTATTGGGACTCACATTGGCTCAGTGTATGCGGCACTTCGTCAGGGCGACTTTATGGGCGTACTTGTCAGTTGCTGGGGTCAGGGCATTGTGAATGGTCACAATGGCGCTCGTGGGTAGCTGGAGGGCTGGAGGAAGTCGTATGCGTGTTTGGCACAGCATCATTGATGCCTACTCGGTTTTGACTGTACGTTTTAGCTTAGATGTCTACATAGGTTGCGTTTAGTGGTTGCCTGGACTTTGTTTCTCAATTAACTCGGGTTTTCAACAACTGGGAGCAATTGGCCTGACATGTGTTCAGAAAAGGGGGAAAAGGAACTATGATGGCCCATCTGCGAAGCTCATAATATCCGCAGTGGTCTGACCATGGCTAGCCTGCCGCTGCTGTATTGAGATGAGATCGTCTATCTTCATCAGCTTCGAAATGCTCCGGGATCGGAGATATTCTTCCAACAGGTCAGACCCACGAGGCGAACAGGTGGGCTCACGCGCATAGAGCTTCTCCGAGATTAGATACTCCAGGTTCCAAGGATTCCAGCCCATGAGATCTCTAGTCCCACGCTGGGTGGCAGTCTTTGCGTTTGTCTACAGGACAAGCGCGCATGCCGTTGATTCTCGACTCACTGGCCCGCTCGACCCGCCGTCTAGCAAACTATGACTTATCTGATCGTACTAATCCGCCGATCCCCCTGTCCTGGGTTGTTGGGCATTGCATGTCAGTTGAAGCAGGCAAAGTTGTAAACATCACGACTCGACATTTGTGCGTTCAGCGAGATCTATAAAGATATGACCCTCCACCCCACCACCTTGAAACTTCCATTCCTTCCTAAATGAGGAGAAGATATATCCCCCCGGCCTTAAACAGGTTCTTCCACTGGGCTGAAGAGGCGGGGGTCGCTTTATCGTCGGAGATTCCTAACGGGTTCGGGAAAGCCGCTCGTAGATCCGGTGGAAATTTGAAGAGGCATGCCGAGCCGACGTGATCTTCACAAAGCTGTGCTGAATCCTTGTCGAGCTCAGTGGAGATCGACGAGGTCGGATGGTTGAGTTATGCAGTTATGCTTTTCAGGCTAGTGATGGTAGTTATGCAACGGACGGTTGTTTGTTGGATGCCGTAAATCGACATCAGGGAGACGATTTCTTTCTGCCTGAGGGGATCATTGGTGCCCCAGGCATATTTTGTTCCTGAGGCATCCCTGGCCATAACGGCTCGTCGCCCTTTCTGGCACATTCCGTTTCCCCTCCATCGGTCTCTCTCCACTGACCCTCCGTCTCCAAGGGGGAATAGATTGACGGTTACCGTCTCTCAAACAGACATTACCCAACCTTGATGTCGTGATTCATCGTATATCTTCCTGGATATATACTACAGGGCATTATATCAGCGCAATGGGCCTTCCGCCGTAGGCTGGGAGAACACAACATGTTTGATGATCTCTGACGTCCTTCACGTTCTCCCCTACAACTCATCGGCATCGATCATTGCTTCACTCGGCAATCGCAGCGATGAGAGGTCAAGCTTTCGCCCGAGTCCCACTAACAGTTGTTACGCGACCCTCCCAGGGACCCCTGGGACAGCCATCACGGTACGGAGCACTGCCAGTGCGCTGGCTGTGATCTTCATTGCGTTATAATGCTGTTATGGCCATGGAAAGGGTGACCCGCCTGGCCGTGACGTGAGTCGGAATGCATATCTCCAGCATAATTCTGTCCTATCAATCTCTTCTTGGGGACCCCAGCCACGATATGCCTGTTTCTGGCCCAGTTCGACTGAAGATGCATCATTTTTCGCTCACCCACCTCCCTGGTTGGGTTCAGATTATCACTCTGGCTATCTGGCCCCACCGGATCTGCAGTGGTTTAACGTGGACCCGGCTGGTCCGAGACAACAACGGTGTCAGACATCAAGAACCATCGACCTGGTCAATCACGCAAAAAGACGACCAAACAGTTGCCATGATGGCCGGAGAATTAACACAACAGATAAATGTCGCAGGCGATCCATGTGATTTCACAGGCTGGGAGCGATTACAAGAACAACTATTGCCGCCGTGTCTGTGGACCATCGCCACCGCAGGGCCAAATTGTTGGACAGCCGCCTGATCGTCACTTGTTTTGACCCACCAACCTCTGTCGAACTCAAATCGCAATTGTCTGGACCCTTGAGTCTGCGGTGCGAACCAAAGTTTGGCGTCCATGGACTCGTGGCCATGTGTTGGCTGACTGCCTGGCTAATGCAGGTCCGGAACTGACCTGCCCTGCCAACCCTGGCGGCTCGGCCCCGGTTTCACAGCAATCATACATCTCAGGCTGCTGCCGAAGTCGGCGAATCGCCGGCTCGAGTGGTGATGATTCTCATCTAGAATTACCAGATATGGCAACTAACTCATTGGCATCACAATTTCCAGCGGCTGGGCCAGAGATCGTCGGCATAGCGTCATGAGCCACATGGAGTCCAGCAGATATAAAGTCGGGATATCCCCAGGTGCAGAGAACCTCGTTCTACTTTGAATCAAGACATTCTTTCTCAGTTATCTCTACTTCCGTATAAATCCATATCCACTACCAAGATGAAGTTCACTGGAATTGCCCTCGCCGGCCTTGTCAGCTGCGTCGCTGCCCTGCCTCCCGCCGGTTTCTTCCCTCCTCCTCCCCCGTTCGCGTCGGGCACTCCCTCCTCCAGCGCTCTGCCGTCGTCCTCCATTGCCGCCAGAGACTTCCCCTTCTTTGGCGAGCCACCGGCCACCCCGATCACTCCCTCTGGCTCAGCCAGTGTGACCCCCAGCGCCTTCCCCTGGGGACCTTTCGAGAAGCGCCAGTTCTTCCCTCCGCCGCCTCCGTTCCCGGTCACTCCTTCTGGTGCTCTGCCTACTCCTAGTGGCACTCCCTCCGGCCCCCCCTCGGGTCTTCCTACCGTCACTCCGTTCTAAGGAGATGCGCAACGATGGATGTCGACTTACGCTAAGCGGGCCTCGCGGCTCCAATGACTTTGATCTTGATTGACTCCGAGCTGAGCTCGGGTTCTCGATACTGTCATAGAACCTCACTCTTGGTCGCAATGTATCAATAGGGTATCCTTCAGGAGGGACGGATGGGGGTTAACGGTTATGCTTTATTCTGATTCTTGTTCCAATGTCACTCGTTAACGGGCCTTGATCGGCCCAGTATATAGACATTGCATTATTCTATACACTGATCATAAAACCGTCAGACTTCAATGTAGCCGATCATGTCAAATACCATGTCAAGAGAGAACCGAATTCACCGTTTTCATAAACGCATGGAATTCCCAGATGGCAAACTAGACATTTTCTACGCTCTGTAAACATTCTACATATGCTTGCAAGTACATTCTTCCCGGAAATTGCTCAGGTTATACCTCGCCGTTCGTCCCCTTATCCTTCCTCCCCTCACCGAACCCCTTCCCAAAGCGACGCATCGCCGGACTGATGTCGTGGGGCTTGATACAACACTCTAGAAGTGCAAGCTTTTCGGGTTCCCGTTCTGCACGAGCCAAGGCCATCAACAAATCGGTCGTCGTCTTTATCTGAGCAGAGAACATCCGCGGGTTGGAGCAGCTTTCCACCATCTCATTATCGAAATGCGGGTTGTCCGCAGGAACAGAATGGAACGTATTGCAGAGGCTGTTTGCGAACAATGCATAATTCCAGTTGCTGTAGTAATTGTACGGTCCGTCGTGGATCGCAGTCTGCAATATATTCTGCATCAGATAACCGCATCTATAGAGGCATTGAGGACAACCTTACCTCCACCGCGTACCCCAAGTTGTTAAAGATAAAGATGATAGGATTCGCTCGTAGGCGAATCATGGTGCTCAACTCCTGCCCGGTCATCTGGAAGCTCCCATCTCCAATCATGAGGATGATGCGTTTGTCTGGCCGGCCGACGTGATACCCCAGAGTTGCCGGTAGGCTCCATCCGATGGAACAGTAAACCATTTGCATCTGGAAATCTGCGCCGCGCGGTAGTTTGATCAGCTGCGCATTGAACCAGCTATCGCCTGTATCGGCGATGATTGTAGAGTTCGAGTTTACTTTAGTCTGGATGCCACGGAGGATGATGGGTAGAGAAAGCGGCGAGTTCTCGTCATCTGAGCCGTTCAAAGTCGCCGGCACAGCCGTTATACAGGGTCTAGGGGTATCCTTGCTGGGTATGTCGGACTCCACGAGATCCTCTATCAAGGAATTCAACGGGACGCCCTTAAAACTCCCACCGTTCGGCATTGTAACTACCCCGTCCTGCAGGTCGAGGATACGGTGAGATTCCTTCCGCAGGTCGATAGCCCCAAACGTGTGCAAGTCCGTCCAACGGCCTCCGACCGTAAACCACAGATCTGAGTTCAGCACCGCTTGCTCGCATGCGGGCTCACTCGCTGTGCACCAGAATGTCCCCAAGACTTGCGGGTGGTCTTCAGGGACAAGGGACTTGCCGTCTGGTTGAACGCACGCTGGACAGCCTAGTTTGTCAATGAGAGCCACCAACTTGTCAGGGGCAACGGTTTGGCGGACGTTAGGCCCGAACAGCAAAATCGGCTTTTTTGCTGCTTGCCAGACACCAATGATGGAGTCGATAATGGACGCAGTATGTGGCGTCTTACACAGTGTCGGTGGGTGGAGCGAAAGCGAACTTGGAGCATCACAGGGCAGCTGTGCAAGATCGTCAGGGATCTCAATGTATACTGGACGCGATGTATCCACACAGCGCTCAATGGCATCGTCAAGTGCTTGCGCAGGATTGTGGCCGGTGAGGCGTACAGAAGCAGCCGTGACCTCTTTGAACATCTGCACGGACTGGTCTTTCTCAGCTGTCCCCAGGGTATGATGGATCATTTGATCCGGATCGAGCTTCATCTGCGGTGGGCAACCGGATATTACCACTACCCTCAGGCCTTCTGAGTAGGCACCCGCGATAGCGTTGATCAGCGAGAGCCCTCCCACCATGAACGTCACTACAATGACGGCCACTCTGCCTGGCGAGGATCGAGCGTATCCATCGGCCGCGTAGCCAGCGTTTAGCTCGTTGCAGCACCCTACCATGCGCAGTGATTTGTTTTTGAGCAGTTCATCGAGCAGGCTCAGATTAAAGTCACCTGTGCGGTTGTCAGTGGATCATCTCCAAGATGCCTCAGTCAAACACACCTGGAACTGCAAAGTAGTCCGTGACTCCAAGCTCCTCCAGCCTGTAGGCTAGTCTAGTTCCAAGATTATAGTCATCGGGGCGAAATTGCGGCTGGATTTGCGGACTTGGTATTCCGGATCTAAAAGTGCGAGGCATCTTCTCGCCGTCCCCAATGGATTTATCATCGAAAGAGGAATCCGGGTTCGCAGCGTTAGCACGCACAAGTCCTACCAAACATCAGCTTTGGTTTTCATTGAACAGATGTCCACATACTATCGCCAGGGGGCTTTAGAACAAACACCCTTTGGGCCGATGAGACGTCGCCGGTGGTCAAGCCAGATGGGGACATTGCAGTGTCGGGTTGGGTGTTTCTGTTAGCAGGCTCTCTGTGATGGATGTGTTCCTCTCCTCGTTCGGCTTTCAAGTGACTTTATATCCTTTGCCAGCTGAATAGCCATCTACTCAAACAGGTTCTACTGCAAGGCTGTTATTGCTTGTTCGACGTAAGGCGACTCTCTTCCTTGCTTCTATGCTGACCTTCGTATGATAGTGAACACTGTCGTTATTGATATCGTCGCTAGGTGCGGCATGAACATATCTATGCACCCTACCTTTTCGGGGACGTTGGAAGCATAAAGCAGAAATACATTTCGTAGGTACGATGTCTAGACCTTCGATGAACGAATTAACTACCATTTTTCTAATCGATCTATCCTTGCCACTGCAATTCAGGCATTCAGGTTGATAGGTTCATGATCTACCGCGATATCTGCCTTGAAATGCAAGATCTCCAGATCGGGTTACTTGCATCTTAGTGACAAGTTGTGCGCAAGAGCAATTCTGCACTTGATGTTTTTGGTCTAGTTTTATTCTGTTGTGCTGGGCACCTTATGTCATTTACCACTTTCTTGGTTCTGCTACAGCGAGACCAGAAACCGTGATTCCGCATATATCGGGCTGCATACATTCTGGGACCGCAACCTAGCTGTATACAACGTAACGCTCTGCATCTGTCTCGTTAAAGTAGCGCCATTTATCTGGATTCTCTCATATGTCTTCACGACAGGGACATGTGCCACAGTCACCAGGCTCACTGGATGTAATAGTTCTTCAGAAAACCCCCGTGCTTGTTTCTGCTCACTACATGATGTACAGGGTCACTTCCGAGACTATACAACGAGTTCTCCACCGCATATGATCCATCGTAACCCCGATAGGATTCACTATCCGACCACCCTCAAGCACTATGTCATCAATTCAGTCCTCCAAAATGTTATCACTGCACAGGATATCTTGATCAGCCAAGTGCTACACAACTTCCTCGTTTCGCAGGAACTATACCATCACTTTTCGTACAGAACCCAGACATTCACAAAAACAATCCGCTCTTCTCAAAGTTCCCACAATTAACCCTCGTTCCATCGGGTGCATGCACCACTACCGAGCGATTCCCATAATAAGCCGGCGTCCCCGGCGTGTTCGACAGGAAAAAGTCCGTGAATCGCACGTCGAACGGGTCGCCAGACGCGACAAATGCCGGCGCATGCTTCCCACTGAGATCGCCGACCTCACACGAGGCTGGGTTCTTGATGTCGCAGGGAGGAGTGTCGGTGCGGCCGTACGGATCGAGGTGCTTGCCGGTGGCGTAGCAGCTGCCGTTTTCAGGGACGGGTTTCTCGTGGATATGGTATTCTTTTCACGGTTAGTCACGGGATTCCCATTGTGTTATGCAGGAGAAATGGTGAGAGCGTCTGGTAAGATGCGACATACGCCAGGATTGGTTTGCGGGGAGATTCCACAGGGTGACGTGCACTATGATGCCCACTCCGCTGGGAGAGGCCTGAGTGCTGATCCTTCCACGGATGGTGGTGTTATCCATGTCAAGCAGACGGGCTTCCAGTGGTGTGTAGACATCGTTGTCGTGGACAACGGGGGCTATGTGCGATTGTTCGTTGGCGCAGAGACAAGTCTGCAGCCAGACGCTGAGAAGGAGAAAGCTTAGTAGCATCATTGCCTGGGTATTAGTTGCTTGTCTGTAGTAATAACAAGAGGAGTTGTCAAGACTACAGGATGCGAGGGGAGAAATGAGGACAACTATCCTAAGTAATAAGGGGCCTGGTGGTTTTAAGAGCGCTAGTTTGTGTGCATCTCAGTCTGACAACACGATTCCAGACGAATAAGCAGCCTGCAGTCACATGTTTGCCCTGCTAAGCCCCCTCTTCATTATCACAATTACAACCAGGACTATGCGTTCTCATTGGGAGACTGGGAGGGCAGGCTGGGACATTTTCTCTATGGTTACACAAAGTACTCTTTGTCTGCGGTTTGTGACAAGCCACGGGATATCTTGGTCGCGATGTGGGATGAATCACAAATGCTAGAACCCAATAACCCAAGGCACAATATCTGCAGGGGGAACAAGAGTTGTTACGGGAAAAATGGGGAATACGAAATATATTTTGCACTGCGATATAACTTCCCTCAGTACACTCTAGCATTGCTTAAAGCTAATCGCGAGCTGATCTGTTTGTGAAACTATTTCTGGACGTACAGAGGCCTGGAGATCCTAATTCTAGAGACAAGGACGCAATCTCAATGAATTAATCGTAGGACATCGTGTCCTCGAAGAATCAGGGGAAGAGGAATTCCTTAATATGCTGCAGTCCTTGGAGATCACCCTCAATCGAGTCAGATTTCCCTTTATCCACCCATCCTTCCGTATAACCTCCCCCAAAATCAATCAGATACGCGTTCTCATTGAGATCAATGAGCACATTATCGGCTTTTGCGTCTCCCCAAACGATACCATGAGCATGGAGAACTTCAAGCGTCCGAGAAATCTGGTCGAACCATTTCTGCGGGAGTCCAGAGTATTGAGGATCAGATACATCAATGCAGCTGAGAGCCGATCCACCACTGTCAATGTAGGACAGGAGTAGACCCATGATACTGCCCCTATCATCCTGGACAATCCCGTGCAGTTGGGGTGTGCGAATGGGGTTACCAGCCTCGATAGCACGAATTTTTGAATAAGTCCGAAGCTCTCGGAGCGTTATCCCCACGTCGCCAGCATACACTATTTTGAAGAAGCAAGGTTCTGCTCGCCCTGGCAGAAAGACCTGGCGAGGTACGGCCGTCAATGAAGTTGCTTTTTCGTCGATTGCGACGTGGATGTCGCGCGGCGAATAAAAAGGGAACATTGAGTAGTCGATGTTAGACGGGGGTAGCTGGGCACCGACCAGGTGGTTTTCTTTCCCGTCGGATTCCTCAAGAAAGACTGGCACCAGCTCGTTCTCCTCCGCTTTGACCCTGTAGTGCAGTTCTTCTGCAAACAGACAGTCCTGAAGCGTATACCGCTGGCTCGTGTCCAATGGAGGGAGGCTGCGGAAAATTGGCATAAACGGTCGAAGGATCCAATCGTGCATCTCATCAAGAGTATCCTCGTAGAAGCCATCCTCGTCTGCTTCGGGAATGAAATCTGGTTCCTGGCGACTGACTTGTCTGAGATACTCTTTCAGGATGGCTGGGGAGCTTCTGAGCTCGTCTTCGAAGACATCGATTTTGAAGTGCTTGTCGGAGACATAAACATTCAGCTGAGTGTCCTTGTTCTTGACGCTTGATCGAAATGGGCCGATATCATAGATCGGTCGCTGTTGCTCCATGAATAATGCGATTTCAAGATGGACCAAAGTGGGTTAAGGGTATCGAGTCCAGAAGGTCTGTTACTCAAGCAAGATGAGGACAGGTTCGTTGGAGACTAGGTTTGTTGCGATGAAACTGGCAAGGGGGCTGTGTTGATTATTGCCAGTGCCTCAGGCCCCTAACCTGTCTGCTTAGGCCTGGCGCTTCGACTGCTTCATATCTAGAGGTCTCCCACAACAACCATCAATCTAATCACCTCTTTTTGAGTTTCACTCCTTCCTTCCGTTACGACTGTCATTATAGCAGAGACAATAATGCGGAACTTTCTACCCAAGGTACGCGAGCGATCCTCAATGATAGGCATTACTTCCGGCTCCCTTGAATGCATAGCTGTCACGTGTGAATCGGTTGCTTGTATAAGTGGACTGCATCTGTGCTAGAGCTCGACCATCCACGTCTCAGGATGCATTTACCAGGCGTGGAAAGAAAGTCTGGTTCCTGCGCTAAATGCAACGGCAAAGTTAGACTGAACTTAGATTGTAGTACTATACGGAGTAGAAGGGCGTCGAACATACCATGGTGGCGAACATTTGGCTTATAGTACTGTGCTCCCTCGCTCAGGTGCCATTCTAACTGTCTTTTCCCCATCTTCTCATGCGGTTTTCTGCTTGATGCCTTGCGCCCATACCGGGTCAAGGGGTTCGGCTGGCCCGCATTTCGGGATGAGGCGCAGGGAGTTGGATCAGCTTTATAGTCGCTATAAACAGTCCACTGAAACTCACCCAGTGTGGCTCACTGACATGGTGCGGATTCTTCTACAGCCTACGACTTTTTGGAAAATTTTTGACGTTGTGCATTATCCGTGGGTTGGAGACATTGGCGGAGCAGAATAGTGCCCTTGATAGAGTGTACCAAGGATACTTAAATACATATCTCGGTTTTTAGAATGAAGATTCATAGTAGTTTCCTCGACACTGCAATCAGTGGCAGATCAATTTAGTAGTGGGACGTAGTCACATATATATATCTCCAAGCCTTCCCGTCTGACCACCTCTCCACTCCCCTTCCAAAACAACACTTCTTCACACCATGTCGAACGATGACCGAGGATGTATTCCAAAATGGGGCGAGTTGCCCGTCGAGCAGTACTTAATTGCACGTTCCCTTACAGGTCAATCCTACTGTGCCCAGAAAGGTCATTAACGTTCCGCAGAGATACTGGGACTACACCGCGACAGAGCCCCCCGAACAACAGCGCCTCCGGCTTATCGGGCGATTTGTCGATCTAGACGAGATACCCCGCGAATGGGATCCCGTCAACTACGGCGCCCCATCACGAATACCCACAGCGGAGGAAATCGACATAGTTCTTCGTCCCTGGCGGTCAGACATCCTGCGCCAGAAAGCATGGCAAATACTGGAGTCCGGTAACGACGCGCCGATCTTTCTCCGGACGCACTATGACCCGGAAGATGACAGGACGATGGAGCAATGGGTCAGTGCATCGGAGGAACTTGAGAACCAAGCCTGGTGGGCGTGTCTGAGCGATGCAACATTCTTCAACTTTGGCCCCGACTGGCAGCGCGTCTACGATATCATGCCCGAGGTTGCAGGCCCGGTGAGTGGGTCCGGGTATAAGCGATACCCGTCGCCAGGAATTGTGGAAATATCACGATCACAATTCAAGGGCTCCCTTAGCAAGACCAAGCAGAATGAGCCTAATCGGTGGAGGGAGGATCCGCATCGCTTTATTGAACTCGAGGCGGCTCACCTCCTCCGCACCGTGGCGGCAGCATATATCCTCATTGCGGATCAGGAAGCCTTTGAGACCGGCCGATTGCGTCTAGTTTATGTGGATGGTAAACGGAATGTTATCCAAGAGACACGCATCGAACCCGATGGGCAGACAATCACGGACGTCATCATGGACTGGGATCAGCTGAACCTGCCGCCGGAGTTGTGGGAGGAGGGGACCATCGGTGATAGATACCGCGTTACCGGGGATTTGGGGAGGGAGCTGTATCAATTAAGCGAGGCTGATATGGCGGATCCTGGAGCTTGATAGTGTGGAGATGGTATCTCTAATAGTAGGTATATTGAATGGCTAGAAAGAAGACTTGATATGAGATGAGATTTCGGATCAAGCCGGGGATGCGGTTACTGCCTGGAAACATCCTTTAAGCCGTGTAGACCTAGATATCTTTGACATACTGCTTCTTGACGCTGGAATAGTGATGCTGCTGATCCCGCTCGTACAAATGTCGCTACCCGCTCGGTGCGCGGGCCGCCTGTGGCCGCCAGTACCCTACCCGCCTGACGGTGGCGCGGAGACCGCCTCTGGTCCCCTCGGGAGCATCATTCCGATCAGAAGGTGACGTCGTGTAGAACAGATCAGACGAGTACTACAGTCTTATATAGAATACCTAATACAAAATGGAATCGCCTCTACGGTGGCATCAAACGAACTACTCCTTATCTCAACACAATACAGCATAGATCCGCCGTCCACTGTGTGGGTTGGCTATCTAATAGCGGCTGGTGCAGTATCCGCCCGGAGTATCAACACAAGCGGATATGTTCCAGTCTCGCTATCGGATAAGACGCACGAACACAGAAGGAGGGGAGATATAAAGTCGCGAGAGGATCACCTGTGTTGATGAATCGTAAACAGCTATCACACTCCCTATTCACATACCAGGACTACCACGCCACTTACTTCACGATGCGTCTTCAGAACGGTTGGAGAAGTCTGGATGTTGCCGTCATTGGTGGCGGCATTGGCGGTCTCGCCGCAGCCATTTCTCTCCGGCGAGCGGGACACCATGTGACAGTCTACGAACGAGCCGATTACGCCGGCGAAGTCGGTGCTTCGATCTCCTGCGCAGCAAACGGCACCAGGTGGCTGCATGAGTGGGAAGTAGATGTCGCCACAGGTGATCCTGTCGTCCTCCGGAAGCTCATCAACCGTGACTGGAAGACCGGCGAGCCAGTCAGTGAGTATGATTTGAGCGATTATGAGGAGAAATGGGGATATGTGAGTCTATCAATACATACAGGATCTACAGCAGTGGCTAAGACCGGCCTTGCAGGTGTACTATATGTTCCATCGCCAGTATATGCACAAGATGTTGATGGACACGGCGGTGGGTCAAGGGAAGGGCATTCCTGTCAAGATTGTCGTGAACCACAAGGTACGCAGAGACTGTCTGGCGCTAGGCCGATAGACCTAACACAGTCAACAGTGTAAAGATATCGACGTCGACTCCGGGCTCATCACATTTGAAAATGGTGTCACTGCCCGGCATGAATTGGTGGTTGGAGCGGACGGCATTGGCTCTGCTGTTCGGAGTATCATCGGTATTCACCCCGAGAAGAAGCCAGCCAACTCGAGCTGTCTGCATGCCAATGTCGATACCGCCACCGCTGTGAAGCTCGGTCTTGTGGACTACTCCAAGGATAGTGCCCTCGAATACTGGGGTGGCCACAACAACGTCCATAAGATCGTCCTTTCTCCTTGTAATGGAGGCAGTCTGTTGTCCTACTATTGCTTCTTCCCCCGCGAAAAGGGAGACTACAGTACGCAGAACTGGGCCAGTGAGGGAACTGTCGAGGAGCTGCTCGCCCCGTTCCCCGATCTCGACCCCAAGCTGCTCGAACATTTCAAGATTGGGACTGAAGTCCGTCCGTGGAGGCTGTGGGTGCATCAGCCGTATGATTACTGGCAGAAGGGGGTGGTCTGTATCATGGGCGATGCGGCGCATCCAGTGAGTTCCCACTGACCAGAGACTTTTGATTATGAATCTAATGAGATTGCCAAGATGATGCCTGATCAGAGCCAGGGCGCATGCATGGCGATTGAGGACGCTGCCTGTCTGGGCATCGTATTCAGCCAGAAGCATTTCACAGGTGACATTCGCCAGGCCCTTGAGGTATACCAAGCTGTGAGAAAGCCGCGGGCAACGAAAGTCCAGGCAGCATCCGCTCGGGCGCGTGAGAATATCCACGAACGCATTGGTTAGTTCCTTGCTCAAATGCAGATCTACGCAGCTAACACTGTCTAGGGTTCTCCGATAACACCAATAACCCCTTGTACACGGTCAAGGATGAGAGCAATAAGCTGACTATCAAGGAAATGAACTCGTACGTCTACTCAAAAGGGTCTTCTATCCGCATTACTGATGGTTGTGATAGGTATAATATGCACGACGATGTTGCCTCCAAATTCAGTCAACACCCATCTTCCCGTCTGTGATCCGTATCGACTCAATAGAATGGACAAGCATCTGTACATAACAACTACCAATATGCTATAGCCGTGGTTTATTTGTCAAGCACTTCACTCCTCTGCCTTGATCTTGCCCATAATCTCCATAAACTCGTACAGATCATCCCCATCCCACTCATACTTGCCTTGGAAAAGAAACCTCGGAACCCCCCGAATACCATCCACCTCCCGATACCTCCTCGCCTCTTCATCAACCATGTCGCCGACATCCTCCGTCAGCCACATCTCCACAACCGCATCCTCAATCCCCGCCCCGACCGCTACCTCCTTCAACACCTCAAGCCGCGAAATATCCAGACCTCGCGCATGATACGCCTCGAGAAGCTTCTCGACCAGCTCCCCATGAACCTCGGAACTAATCGACGGATCCTCCCGACTCCGATAAACAAGTCGGTGCGCATCCCGCGTATCCGCCCCAATCATTCCCTCGTAGCTAATACACACCCCCACCGACTGGGCAACTTTATCCAGACGCTTGACCATCGCGGCCCGCTGCTCGGGGGTTTTGTCCTTCAGCCGTTCGTGGAAGAGAACGGACTTGGGCACGCTCTTCCCGTGTCGGTTCGGGTTGAGATAGAATGGACGCCATTTGATAGTGATGGTGTCGTTGCGACCACCTGGGTAGGTTTTGCGGTACAGAGCGATGGCACGGTCAAGGCTGTGTTTGCCGATGTAACACCACTGAGTTCGATTAGCGGGACGTGTTCTGGAGTGGAGGGGAAGGGTGATGCTTACGGCGCAGATGAAGTCAAAGACTACGTCGATCTCAATGACGGTCATTGTGTGGTTTTGCTAGAGAGGATATTGTTGCCGGAGACAGAGTATGATGGTGATGGCGGGGTTTATATCCCTGTCACCATTCAGCCACTTCTTCCAGGCAGACAATTTAATAAATTGATTTGCCTAGTCACGCCCGATAGGCGCCTGCGATGTTAAGATACCGTCAGGCATCGCGATAGTCGAGGTGTCTTTATTGCGGCATGTGTCATCTTCCTATCTCGGTTACATGAAGAAGATGACACCAACTGATCTCAGTCTCATTCATGACGATCGCCGTGAGGGCTGTACATCGTTGGTCGGCGTCTTGTTTACTTCCGAGCAGGAATTCACATCTCCCACCTTGCGGGACAAAGACCATGACCAGTACAATCTCTCGGGATGTTCTATGGCAGGCTACAGCTTACGATCTAAGCTCCAAGTTAACTCACGGATTAAGCAATATCAGCACGATGAAGCTGGAAGATATCTTGTCGTTCTCGCCCGGTGACAGGCTTAAGATATATCGATCCGCAAGCCGCAGCCCACCCCAAAAAAGCACCTCTGAATTGGGGGTTCCCAAACCCTACAGGAAAGCACTCTGAAGATCCGAATATCAGATACACAGAGTCTAAAGTCCAACTTCGGGACGTGCCGCAGGAAAGGAACGACTTAGACAAGAAGCCGTTGGCCATGATGCTATGACCCGCTCACTCCAGGGTACATGGGCGTCCCCGGGTCAACACCGCAAAGTTCCTACAGAAAGGATTACGAGCTCCATCAGGTACGCGTCGCTTAATTCCGACCTGAGTTCTGGATCATAATGGCGTATTTCTCAATACGAATGGGCTGCATTAGTGACAATCACAACCAACGAAGGAGCAGGCAACGCCGGTTCACCTTTCCTTTCGGGGGCATACTATGCAGACCGCAGCTGAGCAGCCCATGCATGTCTCACCATACACCCTCTGATCATTAGGATTATAAGCCCCGTCAGCTCCCCATTTCTTCCGATACACGGCCCTAATAACAAAACAATAGCGAAACACCATAAATTTCAGAACTAAATCAATGTACTCTTCAAAATATTCACCTTCCTACCTATTTACCTACAATGCAGTAGGACTACAGCGCGCAGATATTATATCCTCTAGAGAAGTATCAGAGATTTCAGGAATTAAGAAGCCATAGATTGCCTAGTTATCTGTTTAAAAGGCTATTCTTACCAGCCTTTCTGTAATCTTTTTAAAGTTTTATTTATGGAAAGTGTGATCTGGAAAACTAGCGAATAGATGCTTCGGATTAGACCTTTAGCAAACTCACGTTGAAATTCACGAATAGAATCGTAGGATTAGGATCCTTTAGCGAGATACACACTCCAAAGTCATGAAGAACCGGCGAACCGCAGCGAAATCAGAAGCCATACCCCTGTTTATCTGATACCCGCCTTTTTCAGCTGCCATGGACTCAGCGGAAATTCTATAATCCGAATAATCAGAGGGTGTATATATTGAATGTTAAATTCTGCCTCCATAACCTACCTATGTAGTTGTTAGCACGGTACCGAAGGGGTACACCGGTTTGCTCCAACAAGAGGGGAACAATTTCACCATGACGACTGCGATGAAACCTATGTTGTATGCCCTAGCAGGCGAGGAGGGTATTCGGCAAGCCTTCGTGGTGGAGGTGGTCTTTCTGGCCTGCTTTGTCGGCACTGCTCTACACGTTCCGTGCAAGTCTGTCGTCTTACGCCTCACCAGCAGCATATTATTGGCCTTTTGGTCATACGAATTGCAACACGTCGTTCTACAAGGATGCCGAAACCCCCACTGGCGTGCAACTGCGGCACCCCTGATATGGATCCAGCTCATGAGCGCCACCGAATTAATTCTGGTCTCGAGAGTCGAGGCCGGAGACATCTGCTCCGAAGAGAATCGTTACTACAGGCAGGTTGGCCGAAGCATAGCCTTACTCTGGAACCTCCGGCGCGTTGGAACCAAGTGGAATGTATCACGCCCTGCAGGCGGGCATCGATGCCAAGGAACCTACCACTTTGTTCGCAATCGTCTGCTGACAACATGTTTGGCTTATCTCGTCCTCGATCTCATGGTGTCTGCGCCGCCCCCAGCCTACAACTTGGTCGCCTCGGAGAAACAAGCCCTGTTGCAGGCATCTTCTCTTTCTGTTGAGGATGTTGTCTTTCGTATCATTGGGACCATTTCGTTCTGGACCTGCACTTATCTCATCAATTTGGTCATGACGAATAGCGTTGCCCTAGTGTGCGTTGGAACCGGGTTGAGCCTGCCCACGAGCTGTCCTCCACTCTACGGTCCGATTACTGAGGCATACACCATCCGCCAATTCTGGGGGTAGGAGTGATCCGGTTACTGTCCGATCAAGTAACTACGCTGACGACTCACACATAGGGTATCATGGCATCAATGTTTACGACGCGGTCTCGCGGGCCACGCAGAGCTCATCACGGCCCTTATGCCGCTTATATCTTCAACAAAAATCCTAGCTCGATACACACGCCTATTCGTCGCCTTCTTCATCTCGGCCCTCATCCATCATGCCTCCGATCTCGCCATGGGCATTCCCGCGTCCGAGGCCGGCGCACTTCGTTTTTTTGTTCTACAGCCAATCGGTATCATGTTGGAGGATGCGGCTCAGAGTACCATTGGCATTGGCGTGCACCCATACCTACGTCGGCTATTCGGTTATATGTGGGTTCTTTCGTTTTTAGTATGGACGACGCCAAGCTGGTTCTATCCACAGCAGCGCATGGGCCTAGATGCAGCAAGTCTTCTTCCTTTCCATGTCGTCGCGCCGGCACTGGCGTACTTACGCGGTGGTTGAACTTGAAGCCTTCTTAGGGTGATGATAAATACATGAGATGAAAGAGGTCTTCGAGGTCAAGCGGTGGTCGGAGAATACTACCTTCCTTTTAGGGAAGGCGGTATTCTCCTTCTTGTCTCTACAGTAGTTAAAGCAATCGGCCAGCCCCTTAAACCACGCATCCCCCCAGAAGGTTCCCAGATCTCCCATAATACAACGAATGGTCGAATACGAGTTCGGTGGACCGTAAGCACCTTGCTCCTGCTTCCTTGATTCCTGCTTACGCTCCATAGTCTGGGGGCCGCGGCCATCACCTTTGGCCTGCCCGTGCTGCTCTACGCGTTCGCATTCACTTGCAACGACGTTTCTGGCTGCCCAGTGCCAACTCTTCTTCAACCTCGCGACTTTACCTGGGAGAAGCTGAAAGCTGACGCTGGTCTACTGAATGTCAGTTTGTCAAATTTCCTCTCCTGGGAAGCGACGCTTATCACTGTCGCCTATTATGTTTTCGGTCTATTCCTCTGGAAGATTCTCCCTGCAAAAGAAGTCCATGGAACCAAGTTGGTGCATCATGACCGCCCCCTGCTGTATCGATTCAATGGTATCGACACCTTCCGAACCTCCAGGATCAACGCAGGCTAATGATCACCACAGCGTTCTCGGCGAGTGTGGTTACTCTCTCAATCTGCGCAGCAGGCACGTTCCTCCAGGGGGCCGAGTTCCCCGTCTGGACTTTTATCACCGACAACTACGTGCAGCTTCTGACGGCAAACATCCTCATTTCATACATCCTATCTGTTTTTCTCTACCTCAACAGTTTCACCGTCGACACCAAGTATCCCAACCGCGATCTTCGAGAGCTAGCTGCCGGTGGCACGACGGGCAACCTCATCTATGATTTTTACATCGGCCGTGAGCTCAACCCCCGGGTTACTCTGCCTCTGTTTGGGGAAGTCGACATCAAGACCTGGTGTGAAGTTTGCCCTGGTCTGACTGGGTGGATCCTACTTGACTTGGCATTCATAGCCCAGCAGTACCGCAACTACGGATCCATTTCCGACAGTATTGTCTTCACGACTGCAGTGCAGGCATACTACGTCCTAAGCAGTCAGTATAACGAGTCATCCATATTGACGATGATGGATATCACGACAGACGGCATGGGCTTTATGCTTTCATTCGGCGACCTGGTCTGGGTACCCTTTCTCTACTCTACGCAAGCTCGTTATCTCGCGGCTTTTCCCGTGCATCTCGGCTGGCTAAGAACTCTCGCTGTCGCCGCGGTATTCTTGCTCGGTATTTACATATTCAAAGCGGCGAATAATCAGAAACACCTGTTCCGAACCCAGCCAGATCACCCAGCCGTGCGTGATTTATCTTCCATCAAAACCAAGCGCGGAACCCGTCTCCTCACAGCTGGCTGGTGGGGTCTCTCCCGGCATATCAACTACTTTGGTGACTGGTTGCAGGCTTTGCCCTTTAGCCTTCCCACGGGGGTTGCAGGATACATGATTCTCCCAGCAGGAACCGCATTGGCCTCGGGCGATTTCACCGGATCGCAATCTCGCACTATGCTAGACGGACGAGTGGCGGTCCAAGGACCTGCAGCTGGGTGGGGGATGATCTTCACTTACTTCTATGTGCTGTACTTTGGAATCTTGCTCATCCACCGCGAACGCCGGGATGATGCCATGTGCGCGAAGAAGTATGGCGAAGACTGGAAGACGTACAAGCGGACAGTTAGATGGAGGATCTTGCCATGGATTTATTGAGATCTGCTTACTGACGACCGTACGAAGAGATAGAGAGAGACAGGTTTCAGTGGAAACACCTCGTCTGTTCACAGATGTGCTAGAGGGCCAGGAATATGACTGAAAATCTTCTGTATAAATAGCAAACCATGGTCATTTTGGCCATCCCATTGTCTCAAGGCATTGTGAGCTCTGTCTTACCCACTAGCATGCGAACAAATGATCTTTCAATTAGTTTCAAGGTTGATACGTTGGATAGGAGTCTATTGCCCCTTAGGGAGTGGACGGAATATGCCGCAGACAGGTCCCGAAATGAAACATGCAGGGAAAGATCATCACTTGGCAAGCACCAACAGGGACTACACCATGAGCAAGAAATCTTGGCGTTTGAGAGATATCGCCTCAGACTGGTGGAGTTGAGTGTGTCCGTTTCACCAGATCAGTCTGTGACATCGGCCTATCTCCTGGACACATCCCAGACAAAAACCCCGCTCATCTGCTTGAGGCGTGCAAGACATAAAGAAACGTAAGACGCATACTCTTGCCCCCTCAAGTCACCTAACCTAAATACCCTTCACGAGGTCGTCCTCTCATGATGCGCGTCTCATTACTCACTGCCCTGGCAGCCACCGTCTCGTGCGCCTCAGCGGCCCTGACCTGGTCACTGGAAAAGTCCCCGAACCCAACCGCAGACGAAGCCAGCGCCTATAGCCTGATCGAGGCCGCAATGACAGCAGCTGTCGCCCGCCACGCCCGCCTCGGAGACGCTAGCAAAACCCTCCACGTCTACTACTCCCCCGGCGTCCCCACCGCCGAAGCCAACTACAACGGCGACATTCGATTCGGCAGCGATCGCAGCTACATGAACGAGCGCACGGCGCTCCACGAGATCGCGCACACCCTCGGTGTTGGGCAGACAGCTGCCTTTGACCAGCTTTGCGCGAGCGGCAACTGGCCGACTGCTCTTCCGCTGCTCCGGTCGTGGGACGGGTCGGATGCAGTGATCAACTGCGGTGGGGGGCATTTTTGGCCGTATGGGCTTAACTACGATAACGAATGGAGCGAGACAAATGGCGATCGGAATGTTTTGTTGGTGAATGCTATGGTTGCTGATGGCATGTAGTTGCATTCAAGTACGGAGTATATAGATGTGGACCGTCGAGATTCCTGTGGGACACACCATCTCAACACCCAACCTTTTCTTCCGTTCCTGCTCCGCGATTGGGGCGTTCTCCTCCCACCTCTGCAGTGTATCAGCCTTGGCGTTGAACGGATATAGACATTGGTTCTGCGGCGATTAGTAGTTAGGTAGGTAAACACTAGCGAATCCCGGCTGTTGTATGTCTTTCACGCTTTTTTTTATTCAGTTTATTTCGCGCTGTGGACCCTCTATTCCGCTCCCAGATTTTCCGTATATCGTGCAGTGCTAACGTGGACGGACTCTTCTGACGGGAGTACTCCTCCGTATACTACGGAACGGCGGTGTGACTCGCCGGAGCAGTCGCATACAAAAGGCCTGTGGGATTGGTTAGACCCACATTGTCTTGATATAAGACCTTGAAAGACAAGACCCTGAGATTCCACGCCGATGCTTTTACATCGTTGATGGTTCGTATGAGGTTTCTGATGCAGCACATTTGGTACAACAAATGTTACATAAGGGCAGTTATTACAGCACCATTCCACTGTGCCCTAGCCACGATTCGGCAGAGTATTCGGTCCATATCGATCGTCCAGTAGACCATGCTAGGCACTGGAGGACAGAAAGAGACTGCGAAAGTTTCCACTCCTGGATATCAACGCTGCAGAGACACGAGTCTACCGGCACTGTCCTCCAAGGGCCGTCGTCCTTTCCCATACTGCTTTTATCGTCTGGCGAAGCCTCCAGCGACGAAGACGATAATGAAACCACGCAATATACGGTAGCATGGAAAGCAGACACCTAATCTATCTCTTATTGCTCTGGCATAAACTCTCATTTTTCGGGCTCAGTCTAGATATTATGATGCGACCATCAAACGAGGGGAGTAAATGGATAAATTAGTACATATAAACACTCTCGATATCATACAGGTTCACACTCGTTCAATGGCAGTGAGCAAGATCGGGTTGTCAATGCTCGTCGGCATATTTCACTCAGTTCGTCCCCGGACTAAAGGCAGCGGCAATGCAGATCTGTGCTTGGCCTTGGACTTCTTCTCCTGGAGGGCAGTGGATTGTTGCCTTGATGTTAAGGCCATTCACTTCCAGTTTGATGCTGTAGTGGACTTCATGGTAAACATCGAGATCCTCCGTAATCTTCTCCTCCAGCATGTTGTTCCTCCGAAGCACTTCAAGGGATGCCTCGACAACCCCTGCTTTACGATGACCTGGCAATCAAATTAGCCATAAATTAAGATCCCTGATGCATCATCTTTGGGTTCAACATACCACGATTTTTGGGGTGATCTCTGCGGTAATGTTGGAAGACCCGCTGGTCCGAAAAATAAATGGTCTCACAAGCGGTCATCTCCTGGTCTGGTCGAAATGTACGATGCAGGCATATCTCCGCAGACTTCCCCTCGTTGAGGATCCGGCCCTACCTGGCTTTTAATGACGGAACAGGTGCGGGATGATAGAAGTCGACTGAGCTCCAAGCTTACCTTCCTAATAACCCAGTCCATGCAATCTTCCACATACCTCTTTCCATTTAGAGGATTTTTGACGTAGGGGGCTTGTGAATGCCCCTTAAACCTCTCATCGTATGGTTCACTGAGACATACTCCGAGATTCAACCTGAGCCTCCGGCGTGGACCGCTCTCCTTGTTTAGGGCGCGAAGAACGCCGCCCCGAGATACTGCGGTAGTCGTTATGTCCCTTAAATAACCTGTTAGCTTTTTGGGCGAGATATATTTTAACAGGGAAGGATTACGTGTCTTGATTTAGATAGATCAGCCTCAGCTGATCTGAACCGAAAGCATTGTTAAGACAACGCCTAAGGGCCGGGGACTTGGAAAATCCACCAAGAAGGAGAATGGCCTGTGTTAATTAGCAAAAACTAAGATAATCTAAATAGAATAGCAGTAGATAGCTTTACTTTGACCACTTGGCCATCAAGTTGTTTCAACTGTTCGCGTATCAAGGCCTTGGTTCCTTCAAGGCTTCGCCTGAAGTAGTTATTCATTTGGTCCCTATAATAGCGTCAGATGCCGCATATCTCGTGAGATTGTGGGTTTCTTACTTTGTGATGAACATTATGCCATCCCCAAAATTCCTCGTCGAGTCCTCTTCTAGGCCGAACACGCGCAGATCACGACCGGTTTCCTCCTCCCAGTCAACCGGATTGTAGTTGCGTTTCAAATCATTCTCGAACGGTCGAAATAGGTCATCATGCAGAACGGATTCCTTGCCATAGGTACGATTCCTACCCAACTCAGTGATGTGTGCCAGCCTTTGTCGAGTGTCGTTGATAAAAGCCTGGTTAATATAGCACGAGCCGCAGTCTTTCCCTGTTCCTAGTGTTAATCCATCCCCGCTGTGAAAGTAGTAGAGGTGTTACCTGCTGGGGTGGCTATTTCATCGAATCTGAAGGGATCCTGCTGTCGTACCCTGTAGGTGATCGCGTCCTAGGGAGACGTAAACTTCTGCTCATCTACAGCGGATGGTGAAACATAAGAGCGGGATATTCTTACGACAGTACCACCTCCGGCATCACACACAATGAAGGTGGACACTTCCTGCTGATTATTAGCGTTGCCAACATAGACGCAGTCTCGGCGGCCAGACGTACTTTGATGATTCTTCGAGTATGCTCGTCCGTCAGTGCAAGAGTCACTGCAGCCTCCGGCTCGTCAATGATGAATAGTGAGAACTCTCTGCCTCTCATTTCCGTGCTGTCCACTACCTCAAGTATGATCTCCTGCATTGTGAGGTGTGCATACGTTGACCACTTCGATGGCACGCACAGCGCTAGTTCGACCTGCCAGCTGTCATTGAAGCCTTTCTTTCCAACCAATTGGCGATGGGCATGCTTAAAGGCTTTCATAAGATAGTCTCGAATGGCCTCTGTAGCAGTCCTGCCCACATTGCGGAGGGCCTCCCTCGGCAGTGCTAGCTGGTCCTCGTCCAGGTCCTCCATATCATTATCCAACAATAGTTTGGGAAGCTGAACGATGCCCTTCATCCACTGTGTACGCTCACCCTCTGAGACCTTTCTTAGCGTATTTTGCACTTCATATCCCCACAGGAATCTCCCGTCTCCATACCAGCTTTCGCTGGGTACGAATGGGATATCCGAATGGGAAAATTGGGAGGCCCCCGGCCAGTTTACGATGCATTTGATCGCACTTGGATCGAAGTCCGTGGGAACGTCGTCGGGATCGAGGATGGCATATGACATAGAAGTCAAGCTCGTCCCATAATCCAGGCATAGTAGAAGTTTTTTGGTAGGTAGCTGACTCTGCCCAGATCGTGTTCTGTGTCGCAGCTGGAAATAATCTTCGTCCGATGCTCGGCTCGTGGAAGTGCTGGTCGAGGAAGCCGTAGCAGCAAATTTCTGGCGTACGCGTCTCGGTGGATTCGTCCGTTGGGCCATTGCTAACAGAAGCTGATTCTGTGAATCAATAAGGACTTCTGGCGAAGAAATTTCTCACGAAATCATCGCCAGGATTCGATATTTATGGCGCGGCACAAGGCAGACTACAAGGCTGCAACTCACTGGCAGCAACAGCCCCCTGACAGAAAATTTTTTTGTTTGTCTAGCTATCATTGGTGTGCTGCTGTCGAGACTAGCCAGGGTCTTATCGAAGGCTTGACTTAAAGAGGCAGGCTGGTCACAAAATTCGTACTTTACGCACCTGGGCGCTTCGCTGACTTTCGTTATCTCCGCTCCCCGTCGTCTTCATCATATACTTCTCCCTATTGACGACATAGTCTTTTCTGTAACACAAGAATCTACAGCTTTACCGAAGAAAGCACCGTTTTGCGACCTTCGATTCATTTATGAGCAAAATGGGCAGCCATCAAGAGACCCATGGTGTCCATGATTTCGAGGGTGTTAGCGGCAGCCGATTCTACTACGTGCAAGATCACACCCCATCGCAAAGGATCTCTTTGGGGTTAAGTAACGAACACATCATTTCTGGTGCCAAGCGCAAGAGCAAAGCTCCAGCCCGCTTGATACATGGCGAGCGAGATATCCCGCAAAGAGATGAATGGAAGTTAAGGAAAAAGCGTCGCAAGTCAGATACTACGCGGGACGAGGGAAAGAAGGAAGAAACAGTATGCTGTCACCCCATCAAGCACTTATCAGTGTCTTTGGATAATATATAGCATTGGTACTGACGCTATCACTCCTCGCCAGATTGGCATCATCATCCCGCCTCGCAACCTGTCCTGCGATCCCGATGACTCGCCGTTGACCGAATTGGAGGACCTGCCGGACGAAACAAGTAGCTTGGCTTCTGACTCCTCGACGGATGGTGCTCATGTAGCCTCTCGGGAATCCCGTGAGGATCCCCAGCTACACGGCACAGATGAAGTTGGGGGAAGCCCGCTCGCCCCAGAGGATGGATGTCTTAGATGCAGAGGGAGGATGATAAATCTCAACCACCAGCTGCAACAGGCGCTACTTTGCAGGAGCCGTGAGACGGTCTCGCTGCAAAACGAACTTGAGACTCTTCGTCGACAGAACGACCGTCTCAGGGCGAAACTCGCCAATGTCACTTCAAGCAACGATCCCACCATAACGAGGTTCTCAGCGGATAGATTACTTGATCAGAAGGATGAGGTAGACAGACTTCGTGGCCGCCTTTCGAAAGCCCTTGAGCTTGTTGAGATTGTCCGTTCGCCTCCATCCTACGACGATGCGTTTGCCATGTCGACGGGTTTTGTGAACAAGGAAATGGATGCACTGAGCAACTACGTCTTCTACACAGCGGATTCGCTTCGGAAGATACGAAGGGATTATGTGAGAGATGAGACAATGAGCGAGGGTCTAATTCAACTCATCCAGCAAACTATAACGAGTAAAGAGCTTCTCTCCACAGAGCCTCTTTCGGCTTTTCGCGCCCTTACTTTTGGCTATATTCAGGAACGCATCTTTTGCGGCCAGGGGATATGGAGAGACCTCCATTTCGACGGCCTAATGCTGAGGCAGTACCAAAGCATTCTGGAACAAAGCGGTATGTGAAGGCCTAAATTTAGCCACTCGGCATCTGAAGCAATGACTTGGCTTACCGTTACTTACTTAAATCAATTCGGCTTGCAGTTTCATGTGAGGCACTTGAAAAATACCACCGCGCGGCAGTGCATCTTGCCTTAACAAAGAACTCAGAATTTAAGGAAGCGTTTGTGTCTGGCTACGCTGAACAGATACAATTCGAGTTCCTCAACATGATGGCACCTTTACTCCACCGAGTGGACGTGGACCCCCAGTTTAAGCATCGAATGCGGACGTTATTCCGTCATGCCCTCACCCTACGTGCGAACTGCTACCCCCACATCGGAACGCGCTATCAACTCGTGCAATTCAAGCCAGGTCATTTGTATGATCAGCAAATTATGCGAGCAGAGGATAGGCTTGGGGTAACTGTAAATGTTCCTGAGGACGGACCGCAGCGTCGCATTAAGGTCTGTGTGCATGGGCTGATGAAAGCTCATTCAGTGCAAGAGAACGCGACTGGACTCGGTCTGATTCAAGAGCTCAGTCAGCCGTTTCTTCAGGGAGGAGACAGACATGGCCACATTATCAGTGACAAGGCCGTTGTTATCCTTGAGTCATGATTGCTTAGAATATAGAGCTGCCCACTTTTGCAGGGATACTCGGTGAAGTAACTACTGGATTCTATTGGAGCGGCCAGTTGCCGGTGTCTTTGGTGTTCCTGTCAAAATGTGACGTTGATAGTTCCAATGCAGAATATTGAGGTGACTAATGGCTTCGATGTCTGCAATGCAGATATATCAACCAGTGAGGATGCCTTTTCTAATCCTGCCGTAGCCTGTGTTCTCCTTCTTTTTCAGGACGGGCTCATTATATCTTCTACAACAAGCACCCTATGCCTCCAGATTGCGCTGTGTGGCTATTCTCTCTAGGGCGGCTGCGTCCAAATTGCCGAAGTTCTCCCGAGAGAGGCTGTCAAGGTTTGCGGGGGTGATACAGGGTCTAGAAGGGCTAGTAAACAAACGCAGCGAAAGCCAGACTCGAAACTCGGGCTTCTCAGCGAGCGCCCCAGAAAGATACATAACCTGCTTCGGCCATTTCCCGCTCTGCTCTTGGCATGAGCCGTTAGGGTGGGCAGACACCACTACTAGGTACTTTTTCTTCTCGTCAAACTTGAGCTAAAATGGACGTTGGCAGCGATATCCCACGCAGTATTTTAGGATACTGACGGTAGTCTTGATTCTTTTGGAGTCTCTAAAGGTCGTCTGGTCTGCTTGGTAAGGCTAGGGCAAGACATACGGATATATCGGGCTTTAGAATGGACGATCTGTGGAGTCCCCATGAGTTCGCACAACTTCCGATCCAAAAGTTCAGTCCCACTTGCGCACGACAATCGGTCGAGGTTTGCGGACGCTCGAAACACTGCTCCCTGGTCAAATTATGTGATAGTAGCCTGGCCATGCAGACCCTATCACCTACTAGATACTACGGAGTACACTCGGATTGGATTGACCCTCGGGTGTGCATATGGATAAGTATCGTCCTGGACTATCGGATAACTTCTCCGTACACAAGCTGGCCATCATAGCTCAGGTGGAACCTCGCTTCTTCCTCGTGGGGTGCCTACTCCATCGGTCCCGATCTGAGATCAACATCTGCAATATTAATCTCTCTCCAAGTTCGTAAAAAATTGCCGTGTCCCACTACCGGTGGAGCTCTCACGAATCGTAAGCGATGGCTACTGCAGTTGACCTCAATTGGAACTGTTTAGTTCACAGAAAAGGAACGGCCATTCGTCTCCTAGTCGGGTGAACACATCCACAGAGACGACATAAGTACGGCCAACTTCCTTCGGATTCAGTTGGTTCTAAACCAACGCTCACCGAGAACCTGGAAGGCCTTTCGCTATGTTTTCTTCCTCCCAGTGGCGATGGATTGCCATTGCGCTTCAAGTGATGCCTTTTGGGGCAACATATGCCGAAATCTTCAACCCGACGTGTGCCTCACTTCCGACTCCTGATGTGCCAGGAGCGCAAGTTCTCTCGACTGCGTCAAGGAAGCTTCTTGTGTCCAACGTGACAATCTGTGAAGTCAACGTCACGTTGACTCACCACAGCGAAGAAGACAACGTTCTCATTCAAGTGTGGCTACCGCAAACCGGCTGGAATGGCCGGTTTCAGGCGACTGGGGGTGGAGGATATGCCACCGGGCAAAATCGAACTTACTTAGAGCCTGCCGTGGCCCTCGGCTATGCTGCAGCCCAAACGGATGGGGGACATGTCGAGAATACACGCTCCCCGGCAAGCTGGGCCTTGAATGACCAGGGCCAGGTCGACTCGACACTCCTACTGAACTTTGCTTCGCGCTCGCTACACGACATGGCCGTTGTTGGTAAGGCAGTGACTCGGTCCTTCTACGGGAAGGCGCCGCGGTATTCATATTGGAATGGCTGCTCCACTGGCGGAAGACAGGGATACATCGAGGCGCAGAGATACCCCGAGGACTTTGACGGCATTTTGGCCAACGCTCCGGCGATCAACTGGCCCCGGTTCATTCCTGCAGAGCAATGGGGTCAGTTTGTGATGAATCAGGAAGAGACCTTCCCAACACTCTGTATTTTTGAGGTGTTTGGGAACGCCAGCATTGCTGCTTGTGATGAGCTCGATGGTGTCATGGACGGGATTATCAGCGACCCAGATGCATGCACGTTTGACCCTTACAGTCTTGTTGGTACGGTCGTTACGTGCGACGGTGTCCAAAGCACTATCACGCAAAAGATGGCTCGAGTTGTGCAGAAAATCCATCAGGGGCCTCGCACCACCGACGGTAAATTCCTTTGGTACGGACTTAACTATGGAACTCCTTATTCCGGTCTCGATTCCACGGCCGTGGTGGATGGAACCAGCGTTGGTGTTCCATTTGAGATTTCAGACACGTGGATCCGGTATTTCATTAAACGAAACCCCCAATACGACACTTCAAAAATGTCATATGCGGAATATGAGGCGATATTCTACAAGTCCATTGCGATGTACGAGTTAATTATCGGAACAGACGATCCCGATCTCTCTGCCTTCAGAGATAGAGGAGGAAAACTGCTTACCTGGCACGGACTGGCGGACGAACTGATCTTTCCCAATGGGACAATTCACTACCGGGAACGAGTGGAAGAGGTGATGGGAGGTTCCTCGACAGTCGACGATTTCTACCGTCTGTTCCTTGCCCCCGGAGTTGAACATTGCGGAGGTGGAGTTGGACCCGTTCCTGTCGACCCCTTGGGTGCGCTCGTGGCTTGGGTGGAGGATGGTCAGGCCCCTCGGACGATTTTGGCCCAAAGCATGAGAGACGATGGCACGACCATGTCACGGAATCTCTGTCCTTACCCGCTTGTGTCGAAATACAACGGCCACGGCGACCCGGACCAGGCGGAAAGCTACACCTGCGCCAGCGTCTTTTAGATGTATCTATGCAATGTACAGTGCTTAATATGAGGCTTTGCTACCAGGTGTCGGAATGAGATTAACATACAATCCAAAGTCAAATATACTTCCTATCTCACAGTAGTGGGGCACAGATCGGTATCATCGATCCATCTCGATCCTCGATCTACCGTCCGGCAGGTGGGAGCACAAATGGTCGGGTAGAGTTCGGACTGCTCCGGAGTACGTACCTAGATCGCTTCCGAATTGGGCTTAACGGGGCCGCTGGGTAAGCCGAACGAGCTTTTCTACTGGCCCTCTTTAGGCACCTACAGTAAGCTTACCAAGGGCCCTTCTTTTTTACCTTTTAAGGCCCTTTTATACTCCGTAGGGTCCATGATATCATTGCTGATTCTTAAGAGCCGCTTACGCCCCGCTTGAAGGCTTTTGGTGATCCTCCTGAAAAATACATTCTGCCGCGAAAATGACCAAGGTCTCCGGATACTGTGATCCCAGCCTCGAACCCGTTCTCCAGCTGCTGGAATGGACGTTGGCCGACGGAAAGGCGGTGGGCGCATCTCTATATGTGAACCACGATGGCACAAACATCATTGACCTTTGAGGCGGATATATTGATGAACAAACGTCTACAGAAGGCTTGCTGGACTTGGATGCAAATTTCTCGTTTTACTGGCCGGAGTTGGCCACCAATGGCAGGGCGATCAATCGGGATCGTCGATTTAACTCGCCGCCTGACTATTTCATACGCCATAAATAGGATGGGCACAGGTGTGGCAGGGACAGATCGTACTGAAGCTTATGTTAGGGAGGTTTACTGCGCAATGGCCGGAATGGATGCCAGAGTCTAGTTGAAAACTGCCGTTCTGGGAATGGAGATTCGAAGTAAGTGGATCATGTACTTGCTTGAGGGCTTCATGAGGCCCATCCAGTCAGTGCTTGATTGGCCAGCATATACCCTGAATAAGGGTCTCAATGAAGAACATGTCGAATATACAAAGCATGTTAAGCGAGTTGGACAACTTCCAGACATGTAAGGAGCGGGCGAAATCAGCCGGTAAGCCTGGGGCCGTTGGCTGCAGTTAGCGCCATATTCCATCTTGTTGGTCCGACTTCGACTCTCGATGGACGTCAGGAAGTCAAGCTTGCAAAACCCATGCAGGGCTAGTTATTCAATGCGATACTGCATTGTTCGTAGAGTCGATAATGGTCGATGAGACTGCCGCAGCGGTGCGGGTTGAGTGGCCTGCTGCGGGTTGCGGTAAGGGTTGACCACCCTACTAGGTAGGTACAACCCGGACTATATAATAGGTCTGCAGGCCACCGCACATGTGTTTCTTTTCCGCATAGAATATCATGAAAAATCATAAAAGTGCGTATTTTTCATAATCTTATGGTTCTTGGGTATTTTTCTGATCTTTTATGCATTTTTATGATTTTTATGCAAAAGCTCCCCCGGATGGGGATCTGCAAACCTATGACCTGTACAAAGGTATAGATACCCAATCCGCACCGGACTGTAATGTGGGCCACTCGGATCTGCACCGGACTGTAACGTGGACCACTCGGGTTGTGTGCAGTGAGCATTTGGGTAAATGATTTTGTCGTTGGGATACCTATATAATGAGCTATAAACCCATACAAACAAAATGTCACTCTATGCCTTCAACCCGAAAGATCCCAAAATGTCTCCTACAGGGTTAAGTTTCGAAGGTATACCCCATTCTATTGGACACGCACCTGAATAGGGACCTAACATTTTCTAGAATATCTCGAAGTCAACAAGTTATCGTTTGAGTGGGCAGAGAGCTATGACACCAAAGTATGCACTCATATTCCTAGATTCAGTAAACTTGGAGGCTGACTTGACTAGGACTGGACCCGACTTCATGCTATTTTAGCTCCTGAATTATCTGTAAGCTGTTCAGGCCTAGTTGTTGGGTTTAGCTTCGTTTCATATTAAACAGCGCCTAATCTCCGAGCTTTCCTAGATTGACTACACAGAAGTTATTGGCAAAAAGTGGTCAAAAATGTCTGCTGAAGAGTTCGTGCAAGTGGCAGGAAGTAAACACTTTCTTGGTGACGCAAACATCTACACCCAGCACTTACTAGGGTCAAGTTGTTATGAGAAGCTCTCGGATACAGAGATAAATGGAAAGTACCAGATCCGTGCCGCACATGTGCGATACACAGATCTTGAAACAAAAGAGGTGAAAGCCAAAGGGCATGGGCATGGTGTGGTTCACCATTCTTACAAAAAGATCGATGGCCAGTGGAAACTCTCAGGTGTAAGACCACAAGTGAGATGGACCGAACATAACTTCGCGGAAGTTGTAGGTGATGCTTTTGAATGGTGGCAGGCTCAAGGAGAATGGTGATTATGTGGTTATCCATGGCGGGCTATTAAGTAAGGCAAGTTGCCTCTACTGTACATAGCCAGCTACACGTTTTAGATTCTTCCACATCTGTTCCTGCAGTCCGCGGGAAAAGTCAGTTGATTGGGTTGGTCACGTCGCCTTGGGGCGTCAGTATCTAGAAGATATTCTGGGTCTGCGACCCGGGGATGTTCAGACAGCAAGCCTCAATTCTTCTTGCGCCTATACCTGCTGGAACGAATATCCCCAGGGCATTTGTTCCTAGGAAAGCTTAGAGAATAGTGATTGTTATATTAGTTGGTGTCCTATGGACTGTATTCGATGTCGCCTGCCTGCTAATGAAGTATCCGCTGATCCTTTAAAAACCACCTAGTCAAGGACGATAATCAATCCTAACCAATACCGCAGTCAAGACAAGCTTCATTTTGTGTTTCCATTATTGCTTGATGGCGGCTTGCTCAACACCAACCCTGTAATGTTCAACCCATATTCATCTGACCCTTACTATCCTCATCTGCCAGCTTCTCCAGCATCTCTTCTCTCCATCCCCAACCAAGCGCAAACGCAGCCCCGGGACCAAAAGTGCAGGTCGTTCCAACCAGACCACCAATAGCTTTCCCCCACGAGAAAGAAGCCCCCGCCTTCTTCAGCTCTCCAAACTTCAGCCCAAGCCAAATGAATCCACTGGCCATCGAGATCACCTCGTCATACTGGAGGAACCGCGCGATCCCCCCAGCGAACGATTTGACTGGCTCCAGATGGTCTCTCCAACCAGGCAAGAAGGCTCCGGCAAACGACGCGCCAGCCGGTACGGTGAACCGCGCATGTATAAACGTGAGACCAGAGATCAGAGCAAACGCTCTATATGCGTACCGGACATAGCGCATATCCTTCTTCCGCGTGTCCCGTTGTAATTCCTTTTGTTCGGTTTCAAGAAAGCGCTTAGCCAGGAGACGCAGAGGAGCCTGCAACAGAGGTACGACAGCCGGGAACAATTGCCACACTGCATTGTAGAAGCAACGCGATTCAATGGTCGGAGCTACGAAATTTGCAAATGTCGGCAGGTAGTATCCCGCCAACATGGCTGCCAGGAGGGAAGTTGAAGTCTCAGACCCCACCAGATGCTTCGCTCCAGGTAGAAGTTTGGCAAGAGGTGTGCGGATGTGCTCCAAGGCGTAGTAGATGGGCGCCAGTTTCCCGATTCCTTTCAGCTGAAAGGCGATACCGGCACCAATCGGACTGTTCTCGGTCGTTAGTCCCTCCCATGGAATGTATGGAGCGCAGGGGTAGACTCACAGCAGAAGCTCTGTCCAGGAATGGGCCTGGCGGTAGCTTTCCAACATCCAGATCCCATATATGGGGCCAATGTCGGTCATGAAAGATAGCATTTGGGTGCGGGATTGGGCATCAGACCCGCTGATAGAGGGCAGGAAGCATGTAATCAGAGGCCGGAAGAGTTTGTCCAGAAACGGAACATGATAGATGGGTCTGGTCAGACTAACGACCTCCCCATTGCTTGCGGACCATACACCTTCAGAAAACAGGGGCACCATTAAGGGCCGTACACGAGTAATCAATGTTCCCATTGTCATCGTGGCAGCAGCGTAGCAGCCGAGTAAGGGAGCAGTGGAAAGAACACGCTTCCATTGGTTGTCCATCTTGCTCAAAGCATGGATGTCGCCGTTCAAATACGGCATTGAGCACTCCAATGACCTTCGCGGTAGAGGTGCACAATCAAGTTTGGCTGCTCCGACAATTGTAGCGGACGTTCTATCGACTAGGTATTGGCTGAGATATGGAAGGAGATACAGCCCGATTAGCTTGTGCTTCGGACCTGCCAAAGCCTCCAGCCGAGTTAATTCATGAGCTGACACCCAAATCTTGTTCGCGCGCTCTTGGCGGGGCTTCTGCCATGCTTGCAAGCACTGGTGGATATCTTGGACTCCAATCTTTGCATGATCAGAGGCACGGGCTAACACAGCGAGGCTGTTAGCAAGAGATGCAGCACTCTCGATAGCAGTGTTACCGCCCTGGCCCATGTTGGGTGTCATCTTAATACAGTACGTTAGAGAAATTCCATCTCGTTATGTATAGTGATTGGCAGACGCACCTTATGAGCCGAGTCACCGATACAAACATATCGGTCCACACACCAATGCTTGTAGAATGCCTCCTCCAACGATACAAATGTTCTCACAATCGATCTCTTGACAATCTCGGAGAGAGGCACCTCTGATGTGATGGGCTTGTGCAGATAAGGGGCGATATGGTCGTCGATTTCATTCTGGCTGAACCTGGGGATCTGAGATGCGGAGTACACTCGGTCCATCTTTGTGAAGAAAAACCAGAAGACGCGTCCCTCCTTACCAACAATTGTTAGGATCGAATAGTGCTCTGCGAAGGTTCGATGAATATGTCCCGGAGTTAGCCCCGGGGTGGCCGTGGATATCCCGAACACGCAATTGTACTCGGACGTCATCACTTTGAGCAGCAGAAGCAGATTAGCAGAGTTGGGGCGTGCATTGAAAGGTCTTAAACCTACAGTTCCGTTCCTCGTAGGCCTCCTGTTTCATACCCCGAGACTCCATGTAGTCCCACATCTCTTGTCTTACTGTACTCCGTACACCGTCGGCTCCAACGACCACATCACCTTCATAAACAGACTGATCTTCACAATAAACCGCGACTTTTTCTGGAAGATGCTCCACCCTGGTGACTTTGCTATTCACCAGAACACGGTCTTTGTGGTCGACGAGACCCTCGTACAAGATCCGGAGCAGAATCTGGCGGTCCAAGAATGAGGTGGGATAACCGTGTCTGTTGCGTGTTAAATCAGACTTTCTGGTTCAATAGCACTACACTAGTTACTTACCTCTTGTGAACGAGGGCGGGCGCATTTGACTTTGTTATGCACTTGGCAGAATCCGCCCAGACGAAGGAAGTGCGAAGCGGCTCGATTTCATTCAGGACCTCATCGTAAAGGCCAAGCTGGTCCAGAATCCGCGCGCCGTTTGGGAGAATACCGATAGAAGCACCAACCTGGGGCGCAATATCGGCATGGGACTCCAACACGACAAAGTCAATGTTGTTTCTCAATAGACAGTGTGCAAGGGTGAGTCCGGCGATTGAACCGCCCACAATGACCACACGGAATCTCGGTTCATCTTCTGCCATTGTGCGTAATTTTCTAGTAAAACTGAGAGAGAATCATGGACAGTATAAGTTTGTTTGACCATTGCGAGAACAACAACGGTGGGACATGGGCAAGAATTTATATCCTGCGATATGTACGGGATAGGACGAAGGCCTCACGATTATGTTGCATAATTCTCACCTGGTTCCACCTCAACTTGTCCTTTTCTTCGGAAAAATGAAGAATTACATGGCTAAGCGTCGGCAAGCCATGAATGTAGTTAGGATGAAAGAGCCGTCTGAGCCGTTTAACAGCCATATTAATAGTGGGTCCGAAAGGGGAACAGACCGAGAAATCCGAGTAATCCGGTTACCTACTTACAAGGAAGCCGAGAATCTCGAGTCTACTTCACACACACTTCGCTGCTGCACACGATACAGTATTTTGTCGCATCAATGGGGCCCCCTCGGAGTATACCATCTTCAAGAACCGATCGGAAGCGGCGGGAACAGAAACCCCGAGTTTTGCTGTCGTGTACGTGGTGCAGAGAAAAGAAGTAGGCCCCCCCGTATTCGGCCCGTTTTGGTTGCCTGTTTCCCTTTCTCCGCGCATAGGATATGGATACCAACAGTATTGCAGGCTCAAGTGCAATCGCAGACGCCCTTGCGCCAACTGTCTCAAACGAGGCCAGGACACAGCTTGTCAATACATCACCGAAGGTTCGCAGCGTCTAGTATCTGCTGGACAAGAATCCCACGAGGTATATCATCGATTGCAGTACCTTGAACAAAAGTTACTTCGTTTAGAGAAAAGAGCCATACGGAATTATTCTTCAACACCAGAACATGTCGACTTGAATGGCAGTGAAACACGTGATGCTGATGCTACTGATGCTACTGATGACAGATTTCAAGCAGAACTCCAGTCAGCAGCATCCGCAGGGCCGGATTCTGTATCCGGATGCCTGCTGTCCGAGAGGAGTGGGCCTAGATTCGTCAATCCGACACACTGGCAGGCGATGATGAATAATGCAGTGAGTGAAGCTATTTTCCGCTCTTGGGCAGTAGGTCCATGGTCAGGGTATGATCTAACATGATCCGCAGACCAAGCAGCTCAATAGAGGGGATTGCAACGTCAATTATGGCCAGGGAGCTGATGAGATCGAATCATGCCCTGACGGTCCGGCCCTACTCCTGGGCATTTCGCACCAAATGGACGTGGCAGAGCTTCTCACAGCACTACCACCTCGGGAGATTGCGGATATGCTTGTTCGCCGCTGTCTAGAATCCCAAGAGCCATCACTTAGTATGAATCTACATGCCTTCATTTAAGTGGTTCCAACGCCTAACAATCTCTACTAGTAATTATTCACGTTCCGACATTCAAGAGCGAGGTAACATTTCCAAAATCCCTGTATCTCAAAGATAGTCTAACATCAAGCCTTTAATAGTACCTCGACTTCTGGAAAGATCCTTCAGGAGTGTGCCTTGCATGGCTCGCACTTTTTTATTCAATATTGTCATGTGCGATCTACATCGAACATACTACAAATCTCGAAGACACCAATCCAGAATTACCGGGCATGTTTCATGTATACCGAAAAAACTGCGCAATTGCCCTGGCAAAAGCCAACTTCGTCAGTCCTGGACGATACAAGGTCGAAGCTGCCATTATGTACTTGGGCATCGAGTATCTCTGCAGCAACAACCTCAAGACAGGGGTCTCCATGCTGCTGGGTGTCGTTTCACGACTAGCAATCATGATGGGGTATCATCGAGAGCCTCGACTATACCATCCCCAAATATGTTGCTTCGAAGCGGAGATGCGTCGGAGAGCATGGCTTCTACTGCTCTCCATTGACTCCATAGTCGCGTGGCAGACGGGCCTTCCCCGGGTTATCCCACGAAAGCTGGGCGATGTCACTCTCCCCAGAAATCTCCTAGATAGCGATTTTGGGCCTGACACAACGGTCCTTCCGCCTTCACGTCCCGCCAATCAGGACGTCAGCAACATCATGTACATATCTGCCATGGAGCAGATGTTATTCGTTGTGGATGAGGTCAAAGACATGGTCTCTGGATGTGCCGTGGTCCCTGAAACGACCCAAGAACTTAGTCTGCGGTTGGAAAGAATCAAGAGCTCGTTGCCCAGCATATTTCAGCTGCGACCTCGAGAGGCGCGGGAGCCCAATGATGGAAGAATCATCGAACGATACTGCTCTGAGATAACTTACCAACATGCACGTTGCATCCTACATCGCCAATATCTGACAACGGCTGGCTCAGAACCACACGGGAAGTTCAGGTCGATATGTGTGGACGCAGCGCGGCAGATCCTCGCGCTTCAATCCGAGCTTTTGCAGAGAGTGCTGGCCGAGTCGCACAGTCGTCATCGGGCATGGTTTGGGTTGTCTCGCTCAATATCCACATGCCTCACAGCTACTATGGTCATATGCCTGGAGGTGATAAACCAGTCGAGGGATGGCAGTTCTTCGAACGATCATGTCCGGAGTGAGCTAATTGAGCTATTGAAGTCTTCCCACATGTCCTGGAAACTTTCGCCACGACCATCTTTAGAGACAATGAAGGCTGCTGAGATAATCGGTACGATGTTAGGCCTGTTAGGGGCGAGTATCATGGACATCCTGCCGCCCCTACCTGGTGACGAAGAAGGGCAAGGAAGTTCTACAGAGCTTACAGAAAACACGTCTCCCAATCTTATCCATGACATGTTGATTGGTGATTCCGCCTTGGAGCTGTTTGATTGGGTTAGTAACACTATGAGTGGTCCTCTATCGGTCTTGTTGCGCTAACTACGAGACTACCAGGCTCTCTGGGATCGTGAGATGCAACAGTTACAACAGGCTGATGGAGTCATTCTGCAATCCACTCAATTACATAGGTATCATGTCATGGGGTGAAGCGGAAGAAATGCATTCTTCTATAAATTCGGGACTTCTGCTAGTATATACAACTGCAAGTGGTTAATTGTTAAGTCTTACTACAATGCTTGGTATGACTTCAACTTCAGCTCGATAGACGTTGGGAAAGATACTCAAATTATTTGAACTCAGAGCCGCTACAATGATTCTTAACCCTTCTCAGTTACATAAACACTAGTGATAACTTTTGGTACACTGTAAGCTCTTGGTAATGGCTAAGCAAATTCTCCCTTCTCAGTTGTTTGCATCACAGTCCTTGATTAATAACAATGACTTAGGAGGAGTTTCGGTGTGTGCTTCTTTCCATCCAAGAGATGTTCCGGGAAATTTATAGAATGCTTTCACATTCTCCACGTCAGAAGGTTGTATCTGAGGCGGGAACTCATACCCCATCACCGAGAGCGGGTTGCGTGGACCAATTTGCACGGTGTAGTTGTCACCTGTATCCTCCAGTTCCGGTGCAAACTCATGACGGAGGCCCAAGACGTGGCCAAGCTCGTGCAAAAAAATATTTTTCAGGTACTGCACAGTTCCTGGTTGGAATGCTGCATTGTATACGTTAAGCACGTTCAGGTCCGCCTCATTCAGGAAAAATGCCTCGGCGAGGACTCCATCTTGATCGCCCGCGAAGGAAAGGACAAATGCAGCATCTTCGATTTTAGCTACCCATTTGAGTTGCACGCCTAGTTCAAGTGTGTTCCATTCGTCAGCTGCTTGCTTTAACGCTTGAGCAGCGAGAAGTGCCAACTCTGGCTTCGGGTACCCGTTTGCAAAGGCCGCAAAATTGACGGATTTATCGGGGCCAGTCTTCCAGCGTGGAATGATCTTCCCAAGCCCAACCTGAAGTGCCGCTGTGTGGGCACTCTCTTGGAAAGGTGTCGGTATGGGTTTTTGCGTCGAACATGTGTATTTCGCGGGCACTGTGGTAGAAGTGCCGGGTGCTGGCTTCAAATTTTCAAGCTGAGAAGCATCAACGGTCAAGGGGTCAAGGGTCTGTAGTGCCTCGGCGCCGACAGTTGCTGTTAGTTCCTTGTAGAAATCGACCCTGGTAGGGTCAATAGTAGTTTGTTGCTAGGGCATAATGAATGGTTTAGGTGGGCCAACTGCCGTTCCGCACCAGTGTTTCTCGACGTATTCCAGTTTGATAAGCTAATATTCAGTCAACTTTAGATCAAAGACTGTTGCATTGAATTGGACCCTGAATTTATACGGAACAACGCACCAACTCGTCACCTGCGACAAAGATGTTCCCGTCATGGTGATGCCCCCAGAGGCTCACTATACATTCCAGCCCAATGCTGAGAAATCCACGCAACGAGTTGTCAGCTGAATGTGGAGGATGACTTCGCAGCGAGGAGAAACCACGGATGACTGAACAACAGATGAACCTGGGTACCGGGTTGCAGTCGGATGATCGACGTGCGTCATGTGGCGTACCAGATCTGGATTGACGGCGGTCGCCCACTTCGGGCGCTAATTTTAAATCAAGGTGACGGGAAGAGGCTGAATGTTAAGAGATTCGTAGTTTTAGGTGCCCACCGCAACTGAATACCTAGGGTCTTGTGGCTGCTGTTTGAGGATTCATAAGGAGCCTAGAGGTATTTCTATTGTCAAAGTGCGCATCGTATGCCATCTTATTTGCGGACTACTCACAGACTAATAGTGAACTACCGAATCGCCGTTACGGGCCGTTATATGGTGCCACTGTCATCCCTAACCTAGTTTCTGTTCTACTGTCCGTGGTCGTTGTGGGGAAGCACATACGGCTCATTCAGTAGATTAACATGGCCGCATGCGGCATGATCGGACACCCAGACAATGCTTTAATTGGTGGTATGTTACATCATTGTTGTTAGGTCTAGTTCATCTAAACCATAATCCTCCTGTTACAGTATATCTCAAGATTGATCACGGGGCTACATTGCCAGCGCCAAATTGTTTTTGCGAATAGGAGGTAAGCTAGTCCCAGCAATGTCCTATACGGGAACCATTCGACCTGGAGCACTTACAAAGTATGGCTAGTATGTTCGACCTGCACTTGTATTTCCATGGACAGCCTAAGTACTAGTAGGTAGCATCCCTGTACGAACGCATTCTAGCCCGTTCCACATACGCCGGCGTAGAGCGTACAATACCCATTGAACTGTCCAGAGGATATTCATACACTTAGGGAAAAAGCAGGCAAAACATAATTTAGTTTCAGAAGCCAGAAATCCAAGCTAGCCCATTTCAGAACGACAGGACGACCTGCTCGCCATCGCTGCCAGAAACGCCATATCAACAGCTACGTAACAGCGAATATTCTCCAGTCCATAGATCCAGAATTCTGAGAGAAGCGGTGACTTAGCTGCTACGGATGTTGCATTGCTGGCCAAGGAATGTGGGACGCTCTAGATGGAATCTAGAACTGTCTAGCCAGAAGATGGCTATACATTCTAACAACACTTATGCTGGTCATTTTACATACAATGACTCAACAATGACGCAGAAGTAGGTAGGTCGGGTGGACATGTTACAGTGAAGTCCACATAAAAATCATCCTACATAAGGAGACGACCTTCTGGAGCGATGGCCTTTGGACGGCTGCTGTAAAATCATGCTGAGAGAGGATTGGTTACTCAAACCTTACCGTCCAGCTTCTCTATTCCTCATCGCTTCAAAGCAAGCTAAGGTATCGACTAATACTCTTGTCAGAACGTAAACATGGCTCATTTATGTGCTTTTGTACCACAATATGTCCTAGAAGGCATTGTCGAAAAGGGTTTGGCCCCAGAACACATTATCAATCGGTGCCAATCCACTATTGACAAAACTACACAACTTCGGGATACCCGTGGACGGCATGTGCAGAGCATCGCAGCTGCTCAGCAGCAGCGAATCTCCCAAGGTATTATTCCACCCTATATCCTTGAGTCAATAGCTCGGAACCCGGCGACAGAACAGCAGCGCGAGGCAGCGCGCCACACACTCGCACTCAGCACTAAACATCGAACAGCAGCAGCACGTGTACGTGAAATTACACCGTACGGTCTATGACGCGCAGAATTCCCGTAAGCCTCGTCCTCCGCGCAAGAAGATTTTAATCCAAGAGGGAGGTAAACTTCTCTCCGAGGCGGAGGACCCCACCAACAACGCAAACGAGTGTTATAATGGCCTTGGGAAATCTTATGACTTCTACTTCAATTTCTTCCAACGAAACTCAGTTGACGATAACGGCTTTGAACTTGATGGGTTCGTCCATGCTGGAGACCTCTATAACGCCTACTGGGACGGCTATGAGCTTGTCTTCGGGGATGGAGACGGCGTGATCTTCGATGGATTCACAGACGAACTTGACGTTATCGGCCATGAGTTTAGCCATGGCGTTGTGGAGCATACAAGTCCACTCCCTTACGCCTTCCAGAGCGGTGCTCTCAATGAATCATTGGCAGACGCTTTTGGTGTTATGATCAAACAATGGGGTGAAGGCACCCCCAAGACTGTTGACCAAGCCGACTGGCTTGTTGGGGAGGGGATCTGGGCTGAAGGTGTGAATGGCAGGGCTCTCCGGGATATGGCAAACCCTGGAACGGCTTATGATGATCCTCGAGTGGGGAAGGATCCTCAACCTGCACACTGGAAGGATTTCAAGAAACTCTCCGCCAGCGACGACGAGGGCGGTGTTCACATCAACTCTGGCATCCCTAATCGCGCCTTCTATCTTGCCGCAACTAAGATTGGAGGGTATGCTTGGGAAGGCGCCGGCGCTATTTGGTACCGCGCTTTGGCCAGTGGTAAGCTCCGCAAGGACGGTAAAGCTAAGTTTAAGGACTTCGCGGATCTTACGATTGAGAATGCTGGGGAACATGTGGATAAGGTTAGGGAAGCTTGGACACTTGTTGGATATCCATTCGCAGAGGAGAGGCATGAGCTGTAACGAGTCGTCGTTCTGAAGGATGCGGATTGCCCTGTCCGGCAGTCAGAGTCCTACTTACAAAAGTGTGTAGTTTCATGATCATTATCACTGATTGACGCCCCTATATTGCGTTACTGAATGACCGTTGATTCATATACATTTCCCTTCCAGGCATATCTCCTTCTACCTTAAAATGCATACATGGTCTATCGTGGTGGGAGCTCTATTGACTGTCGTCTGATGCGTTAAGGGCTCTGGCACTGAGTGATAGTGAGAGGCAAATTGGCCCATACGACCTGTTACAAGGTACGCAAGTGCTGTGCCAGATCAATTGATCCAACCGTGCTGCCTGCTGGTTAGAGTTTATCCTCCTACACGATAGCGGCCCTCCTGGTTTGATTTGAAAAAAAGTCAGCCCACTTGGCAGACTAATGGCTTACCAGTTTGCATGGACTATGAACAGTTTTCGAGCCTGCGTATGGATGGGGTTATCATCCACTATCACCATCTGCTCGAATTGGTCTCAAAGCATTCAGAATTCACATCGTTCACACACAATTTGCTTTCCCAGTCAACTACCTGAAGCCACTCTCCTTCTCCAACCAAGTCCCATAATCCTTCGTCTCTGGGTTTATCTTCCTTAAACTCTGAATATTAGCCTTGTATCCCTCCTCCCGGAACCACTTGAACATGCGCCTCACGTCCTTCATCGCCGCCATGATGAAGAAGCACACAGGCCGAAAAGTCGTGGACAATGGCTGTCCTGTTTTCTGTTCAAAAATTGATTTTATCTCGTTCATCACAGGCAAGAGAAATCGCCCTTCTCTTCACTGCTCCGGGTGGGTGAACGCTTCAGCGCCGAAAAATCAATGTCACTAGTAGCGACCAGCTGCAGCGGCTTCCCAGTCAAAGCCATCTCACAGCACGTCGCAAAAACCCTGCCGAGGAAGCCTGGGGTAAGGTTCTCGAAGAAGGCTGTCAGACGGAGGATCACCCAGTCAATGTTGCCATCCTTGGTGTGATCCACAAGATGATGCTCGATGTTATGCTCTCTCATGAAAAGCAGAATGTTTGTCGGGTTATTGAACGAGCGATCTTCGCCGCCCCAGTCAACAGAACTGTAGACGAAGAACTTGACTTTCTGTTTGATCCACTCGTCTATCAGGGCTTTGCCTTGGGATTCTTCGGCCTTGTTCTTGAGTGCGACCTATGGCGAGGTCAATGATTTGCGAAGGACGATAGGATTTGCTTCCCTGCACGCTGTAGACGCCCCAAATAGGGGCTTTTGTCGGGCGTCTCGCATTATGGAAGATGACGCCCGGGCTGTCCAGATCACCCTTGACTAGCTTGATGTTCGTGGATAGCTTGGCCAGCTTCTGGGCCGAGGAGGATGATGGATCCCTGGTGACGGCAGGAATCTCGAAATGGGCCTTGCAAAGGATGAGGTTTCTGATAATAGCACCCCCTTGTCTGCCTGTTGCGCCAGTGATGAGGACGGCAGTCATCGTGACAGACAATCCTGGAGGAATGTGGCGGAACGCATAGACCACGATCCAAGGGCCCTTTTAAATATAGTTGCACACACTGTCCGAGCCGGAGAAGCAGAATATAACCTGTTGGTTTTTGTGGTTATTACTAGGGGCTTCATGTAATGTAGTGTAGGTCACATTTCAGACTACCAACACTTGGGCAATATCCGTTCCAGCCAAGGGGGGTTAAGAAATTCCGCAAACAAGTGCACGCCGTATGGTGGTGGACAGTTTCCTCAGCGGCAGGTCTCAGTGCGGCGTGCCGGACGACATATAGTGACTACTCAGTATCCTGATGTGGCAGGCTGATTATGTCGAAGACCGGATGTTCAATAGCTCTCCTAATAATCCACAATGCTGCCACCTTTTCCTTCTCGATTCGATTTCTGATCATCAACAAGGAGCAATAAATGGCGTTTCTTCTTATTCCGGGTTCATTGACCTGTTGAGGGTGCAGACTATATGGTTGGTTCCTTTGCAAAATATATATATCACAGTAATGGTGATAGATGGAAACATTGATAAGACTGCAGAATAAAAAACTGGCTTATATACGCAGCAAACTCGTTTTATTTGCTATAAAGATGCTGCAAGATACCTCCAGAGTCCTTTGCAACTAAAAAGAAGTAACAAACCGTAACAAACTGGGGAAGGTCATGTAGAAATCGGGCTGTTAGGCCTGGCTCTTAGAGAATAAAAAAGAACGGAAAACATAACAAGCATCATTGGTCTAGTGGTAGAATTCATCGTTGCCATCGATGAGGCCCGTGTTCGATTCACGGATGATGCATTCTTTTTTTTTTTTCTCCCTCGTTTTTTACCTTCCCGCCACACACATGATTTCCTGTCAGTAATTCGCATAAATTCACTTTCTTTCGAACCTATTCCTGCGTTTTCTTACTTAAAAGTACTCCCTAGGGAGGACGGCCTGTAGCAAGGGACTCCCCCGACCGGTCGCACCAAGTACTCCTAACTTCTTTCTCCCTCTGGACACATCACAGCCTTTGCAATCTCAACGTCATCTCCACCCGATGTTCCTTCTGGCTTCTATGGAGTACAAAGTGGATAGGAAGATAGAGGAGACGGACCCACAGCCACGCGGGATTCCCAACTAACGAAGCTGGACCCAGCTCTTGATAGCAACAGAGCATTGCTTATCGATAACACCCCACAACAACAACATCCACACTCTATATGTACATATTATGGAGGAATAATTATCCATCGCTATGAGGTACTTCTGATCGGTCATGTATGATGACGTCCCATGGTAATCAACCAGTCTAGGCACCTACGGAGCATAACCCCTCCCAGTCAAGCCAGCAGACAGAGAGCTCCTCGCATCTGGGCTATTCTAGTCGCGGGAATCCCGGCATCTAGGCCGACAGACGAATGTGCGGGGGTGCCAAGGATCCGGGGTAGTCTGTATTTAACAGAGCTTGATTGGGCTGTGGCAGGCGGGGTTGGAAGTCTATCAAACGCCACTGAGACATCCTGCGTTCCCCGGCCAATGACACCAGGCTGAATGCGTATTCGGATGATCGCAGCGGTGGAGAGGAGACACACAGCTCTGGTGGATCTGGAATTGACCCGCTGGGGTTTTTAGGTAGTATCTTTATTCATGTTAGTAGTAGAAGTGTCAGGAAAGCTCCAGGAGTGATCAGATCATAAGGTAGTCGTAGATATCAGGGAGAATAAAGGGGCACTGGAGGGAGTACCCAGAAAAGTTACTTACCTAGGCATCTGTCGAGGTGGCCTGATGGTGTGCGGGAAGGTTGTCTGATTCGTACATGTTACATCTGCCTAAACTGCATCCCTGCTCTTTGTTGCAGGATCCTTGACCGATACGTATCATCCATTCACCAGATGCTTTGAGTTGGATAGTCGTCTGGACCAGCCTCCCCCTGACCCCTCCTTAAGTAGATGTGGCTTCATAATGTCCATTCATGTTGGTCCTAATAATAATAATAACCATAGTGAGAATATGATCAACCCAAACGCCACCCTGCCAGCTGGGGCATATGTCCATCCGTGTCAAACGTATGATAAGAAATGTAGTAAATGAAAGAATCACAACACCCGTCTAGGGTACGCCTCTAGGGTCTAGCCCTTTCCACTTCACCACTGCACTCCCATCACAGTCGACGTAAGTATCGTAGGGTAAGAAACACAGCGGCCGCGGTGGTGTACGCGCCACCGCCGGCGGCAATCCAGACAGGCCGGTGCACGCTGAAGGATGTCTGAACGATCTGTGCCCGTCTCCGAGACTTGTCTATCATCAAGACAAGTTAGTTCAGTGTTAGTTTATGAAAGAAAAGAAGTAGACTGACCTGTGGTGAGGAGCCGGTTCCTCCAGGTATTGGCCTGCTGGCGAGAGTACTGTCCAACGGTCGAGCCCAGCTGCGACAGGCTCTGGAGGATCTGAGGGGCGGACATCTTGAAGGTCTGAGTGGTTTGGTTTGAGTGGTGCAGGGATCAGATGGTGTTGGGATGCGAGTCAAGTCACGAATGAATCTGCAATGATACTCGAGGAGATACTTCCTCTGACCCCTTGGGGGTGCTGGGTAGGACAGGCGTAATATACCTTTCTCGACCCCCGGATGCGGGGTAGTCACGAGACAACGCTGTGCAAGTACCAACTGAATACAATCCAGGCGCAGCAGGTACTTCATTTCCTGATCGGTGCAGGAGGGCCATTGGGTTGCTGAGCCGATGGCGTCCTGGGGGTTGGTGATTGGGCGGGTGCTGCTCCTATCAAGTTTATTGCAGAGTTACCCCCCGGAACGTTGCCAGCGTAATCATGGTCCGTCAGAAGTGGTGATACCAATCGAGAGTCTCGCTGGCGCCTATCATTACATGATAGGTGCAGACGATCGTGGCGTCACTTGTTTCATCTCTTCCCTGGTGGACGGTTGTCAGGCCACTCGCCAGCGGTTCCAGGTCGCTACGGAGTACTCCGTCTATTCTTGCCACTGGGTTTAGGGTAGAGTCAACTGAGGATGTTTCCTGTGCGGTTAGTGTAGTGGGTAGAAGATCTGCCTGTGGCATGTGTCTGGCACGTTGGCGCCGTGAGGTGTGGTGGGCAAGGTTTGCACGGGAATTCAAGAGATGATGGACATTAATAATAGTTACTCCGCAGTATGGTCTTCATACTTGTAGCTTTCCATGACCGATGTGAAGTTGTATGATGTGCACATATGTGGTAGCTGATACCTAAGTACCCTGACACTTGTAGCCAGGTAGCGGGGTTGAGATATATGACGCTCATAACCATACTCTACCTAGCCCCAAAATTGCCACTGGCGCATGCGGGAGTAAAGTCTTATTCATAGAGGAATGCTTCCCGGCCATCGTACACAGAGTAGCTCAATGAGAAATCAAGTCAAGGGGTGGTTGAGCACATGATGCGAGCTGTCCCTTGTCTATGAGATCTCCGACCAATTTCATATGGAGCAGAATTTGCTCTTTCAGCCACAGATTGAGAAGGGATGGCAATTAATAAGAAAAATAGCGATAGTTTCTGTCCGTAAATGCATAGAGTTCATTAAAATCTGATGGTTATTTCCCACTATGCCCGTCCATCCGCTTGGAGACCATCTATTGCATTGACACAATAGGATACATACACTAAAGATGAGGCCCAGTGCATAATTGATATAACTTCTAATTTGTTCAAGGTTCAAGGTGTTCCTGACCGACTACGCACTTCGCATAAATTCAGTGTAGCGTAGCCGTGATTCTATCAAGACTCATACATATTTGCTATGAAAGCTCCTTGGTTTAGGATCATTCGAGAAAAAAACATAAAGCCTACCTCAATAACCTCTCAATACGTAAAACTCATTTTGCTCATGAGAATACCACTGAGATAGCCTATATAGTTGGTTTCCGAAAAGGGATGGATCCCACGTGACCTCTTCTATCTTATCTCCGCCTGCATTTTCTCTTCTCGTTGCACTCGACTGCGCATCATGTCCACGCACCCGACCGGGCGAACATACCGGAAAACTGCAGGCACCCCGGACTACGATGACCCCGTCTTCTGGGACAAGAAGTTTGCCACCGGCCAGGATGTCGGCGAGTGGTTGAACCCAGGCGACGCTCTCATCGAAGCGGTCATATCCGACCTCCAGAGCAGGCCCCTGAGGGAAGCAAAAAGACCGAAGGTGCTACATCTAGGCCCGGGCATTTCCAAACTGGGTGCAAAAGTCCGCGACTCGTTTGTGGCACAGGGTTGGGCGGGTAATGGCATTGTGGTATGTAGACCCTGAATTCGCTGTGTATCTGTACTCTGTACTCATCGGTCAATTCTGGTAGAATGCCGACTTTTCCGCCGAAGCGGTCCGACTGGGGCTAGAAGCTGAGAAGGAGAAAGACCCGTCCGAAGCGATGCACTGGGTTCAGGTCGATCTTCGGTCCTGGGATGATGTGGCCAAGCTCTTGTCATTCGCGCCCTTCGATATCATCTTGGACAAAAGCACGAGCGACGCGATCGCAACCTCTGCCCCCGCGATATTCGCGTTCCCCGACATCGCATCCAACATCTGCCCGATCGTCCGCGAGATTGTCGAGACAAGTGGCGATATTACCCTGTCCCCTGTCGAGTTGCTGGGCTTACACCTCGCGTCCTTGACGGAGGGAGGCACGATATGGGTCAGTCTTTCGTACTCGACTATTCGATTCGATAATCTATCCCACCTGGCGGCTCACTGGACTATCGTGTCCCGGACACCGTTGAAAGCGCCCCAAGGCGAGGCGTCTTCGTTTGCATACACACCGGAGGTATTCCATTGGATCTACGTCCTTCGCCGCAAGTAGCCCCTTCAATGTCAATCGACTTTAATTCTAGCAGATATTCGCAGCTGTCAGAACTATATTTCTGGCGGCACTGCCCAAGGTAATCATGAAGATGGACGTCCATTAACAAAGTAGTGCGGAACCGTCGACTGTACACCAGGATGCCAGCGACTTATTTCTTTCTATATTTGGCCAACTCTTCAATCTCATCAGCCCCCAATATACCCAGCTTCTCTCTCCGAGTGGGCGCATTCGGATCGAAGAAGGGCTTCTCAGCAAGAGCTGTGACTCTGGTTCCATGTCGCGGCTCTGACCCCTCGTAGTCCCAGCTTGCATTATGAATCGTGATCCTACACTTCGTTAGTTTCGGGATCAATAACGTCAATAGACTCATATACATACCGGTTATCCCACAGGGCACTTGACCTAGGAGACCACTTGAAGCGAACCTGAATATCGGGATTCTTCTCATAGACATCACACAGTAGTCCTAGGATCACGTCGCTTTCTGCCTTGTCCAGGCCGACAATCCGCACCGTCATGGCCCGATTCACCCACAGCGCCTTCCATCCCGTGGCGGGATGCACGCGCACAAGAGGATGTTCCCGCTCTACGTACTTCAGCCCGTCCTCGGGTCGGTTGCGGTCCAGGTACGGGTGACGCGAGCGATAGATGGCGGTCTTGCCGTCAATGAACTCACGCAGCATGGGAGACAGCTTCTCATACGCCGCGTAGCCACTCGCCCACAGCGTGTCCCCGCCAACAGTAGGCACCGTGTCGTTGTGTAGATGCGTCACTCCAGCCGGCTGGCGCTCATGCACCAGGTCCGTGTGCCAGTGCGATGCCCCCCCAGGTTTGCGGAACCCAGCCGCTGTCTCCGTTGCTTGGAGAGCAGGCCACATGACAGTGACCCCTGGGACGCCCGGCACCTGCGGGACTTGCGGCTAGATAGGCGTTAGTGACTGCGGATTGCACCGGGGACTCTTCCTTGGTCGTATACGTACATGGACCTCGATCTCGCCATACCACTCGCCCAGCTCTTTCTGCTGCTGAGGCGAGATGTCCTGGTCGCGGAAGAAGACAACGCTTCGCTCTGCGATGAGCAGGCCTAGCTCGTCCCTTTGTTGGGCCGTGAGATCCTTCAGTTGGATACCTACTAGCTCTGTTCCGATGTGCCGCGTAAGATGGATGACCTTCGTTGCGGCTGAGAGGAGGGCTTTCTTCTCTGGGTCTGCGCGCGTGCCCGGGTCGATGTGCGGCCGGTCGTAGTCGCGGATCTTGTACACGTCGTCGAGATAGAGGGGCCGAGAGGGCCGGTAGGGATAGCCCTGGGAGAGATCGATACCGGCTTTCTCGAGCCGCTCGCGAGCGCCTGGAGGAAGGTCGAGAGTGTCCTTCCGCGGTTCCGCGACGTCTACGATTTGGGGGTCGATTGGGGCGGGGGCCATGTTGAGATTGATGATGTATGAGTTGATTTCACAGAAGATGGTGGTGTGGCTCATTACATATAAGTAGGCAGTTATCGCGGGGGATACTATGCTCTCTGTCCTTGAGAGCCCGCGTGTCTATATCCGGGATTCGATCACATCATCAACCTGTTCCATGGCGACTGCACCATCCAGCCCACCATATATGGAGGAGATGCTGTGGCTCTCCGCTTCGAGACTACAACCCCTCATCTTTCAAGGCTTCTTTCTCCCTCTTTGACAGACGATATACGTATGGAGTGGGGATGGCCAGCCTTGCCGGTCGACGCGTATATCACCATGTCATCGTGCTATTGCGTTTGACATACACGATTCATAATCAGAAACAGGATGGATGGTATGAATTGAGGGGTAGTGGACCTCATGATAAGGACAACAACAGAGTCATTGGCTTTGTGATGTGATCCAGTATCAGGCAGTTGGATGGCACCAGAATGACACCACAGTCGTCAAGCATAACGCCATACGCACGCCCATAAAACAACCAACCTCATCCTACCAAGACACCTTCCCGGGAACATACAGACCGGACATTAAACCCATGACCCGCAAACAAATCTGCAGAGTAGCCGTAATTGGCGCCGGAATCAGCGGTGTCGTCTCTGCCGCACACCTGCTACAGAACGGCATCGAAGTAGTCGTGTTCGAGAGGAATCCAGCCGCAGGCGGAGTCTGGTATGCATCACGGACCCTCCCATTACTCAAGCTCATCCAGTGCCAGGCTTCACGACGACCGACAACCGCTGGAACCACCATATCCCTCCATCAAACCATCCACCGCCGACCAGCCAGACATAACACCTGGATCACCCAACGAGCATGTCACCCTCAAACACGCGCCGCCTGGGTAAGTTCCCAAGTCCGTTGCTGCCAGACCAAGACAACATCTCATGTGCATAGTCCGGCCTACGACAGCCTGAAGAATAACGTGTCGACGCCGTTGATGCGGGTGAAGCTCGGTCCGTGGCCCGAAGGCACACCAGACTATGTCAGTCATACTGTTATGAAGGAGTATATACAGACTATTTCTCAAAGAATGGGCGTCGAAGACGCGACTATCTACGGGGCTCGAGTGACGGATGTCTATAAAAAGGGGGATGCGTGGAGGGTACATTGGACGGTATTACGAGACCGCGCCGGAGTTGTGGAGAGGTACCAGGATGAGTCGGTGAGTGATTCCATATGGGATTGGGATGTGGCAGATGCAATCTCATACAGTCTCAGGTCTTTGATGCGGTCGTAGTCGCCTCTGGGCATTATCATGCGCCACGCGTCCCTGATATCCCTGGGTTGTCGGATGCGAAGGCTCGGTGGCCTGCGCGGATCGTTCACTCGAAGGCGTATAGAAAGCCGGATATTTACAGAGATAAGGTGTGTGCTGACGTCTAGAATGATACTGTCCACTATGCTGATGACCAAAGACGGTTCTGTTAATCGGAGGCGGCGTCTCGTCTACCGACATCGCTCGAGATATTGGACCATACGTCAAAACAGTCTATCAAAGCACTAGAAACGGTGACTTTGACATCCCAGCTACAATGCTGCCAGAGAACGGCGTGAGAGTCGGCGAAATATCGAGTCTCGAGGCACAAGACAACACAGACTCGCCGCCCTTTACAGTCCACCTCAAAACAGGCCAGACGCTCCACGGAATCGACAACATCATCATCTGCACTGGATACCACATAACCCTACCATTCCTACAGCCCTATCACGACGACGACACCGCCCCAGAGGACGCAGACGAAACTATCCTAGTCACCGACGGAACACAGGTCCACAATCTGCACAAGGATATCTTTTACATCCCCGATCCCTCGCTTGCCTTCGTTGGGATTCCGTACTATACCGCGACGTTCACGTTGTTCGAGTTCCAGGCCATTGCGGTTGCGGCTGTGTTTGCGGGAGTAGCTACCTTGCCGGATGACATGCGAGTCGAGTATGAGGAAAAGAAGAGACAGCTCGGGAGCGGGAGAAAGTTTCATTCTTTGAGGGATAGGGAAGAGGAATATGTTCGTGAGCTGGTGGAGTGGGTGAATGATGGTAGGGTGAAGCGCGGTCTCCCGGAAATTGAGGGACATACACGTTCCTGGCGCGAGGCCAAGGCAGCGCAGAGTGAAAGACTGAGGATGATTTTTGGGTCTGACTCGGGGAAGGGAAAAAGATAGATGGCAAGTCTATAAGAGCAGTTGTAGGTAATGATTTATACGCCTCTTCTCACTGCATGGGCCTTAGTGGTAATCTCTAAACGCCAAATTCAATTCCTATCATTGTTCCTAGCTACGCCGCGAATGATCTATATTCTGTCTGCCTTCCCTGTCATGTAGCCTACTCCAGTTCAATAGTACCAGGGGGCTTGGAGGTCCTATCGACGATGTCAGTTTGATTCGAGACCAAAGAGCGGAGACACTTACAGGTCATAGACAACGCGGGATACACCCTCGACCTGGTTGCAAATAGTGCGCGAGACATTCTGGGTAGGCAGGTTAGTAAGTAGAGATTTTGGAGAGCCGAAGATAACCAAGATCGACTCACCTGGAGGAAAGCATTGTCAAAGTTGAAGATCTCAGCGCTCATGAAGTCCTTGGTGCGAACGGCACGGAGGATAATGATGTATCCCCAAACGCGCTGATCACCAAAGACACCAACACTGCGGTTGGTATCGAGGCCAGCAAAGGCTTGAGAGATCTGGGAGAACAGTTAGCTTGCACCTGTCTTCGCATGTGACCTGACTCACCTGGTCGTAGAGGCCGGCCTCCTTGATCATGCTGATGAAGATGTGGTCGGCCTGGCGGGCAATCTCCACACGCTCCTTGGTGACATCGCCGAGGATGCGGATGGCAATGCCCGGACCGGGGAAGGGGTGGCGGTTAACTAGCGATTCGTGGATGCCGAGCTGGCGACCAATTGCCTGTACTGTTCAGCATGATGAGGATATAGTTTAGTGTATCGGGTTTCCTTACCCGGACTTCATCCTTGAAGAGGAGTCTGAGCGGCTCAATAAGCTATAACAGAATTAGCTTTGCGTTGATGAAGAGACGGGAAATAAACTTACACGCAAGCCTTGCTAAACGAGCATGTTGGTTAGTACGTCAGTCATCATGCTGGGCTAGTTCAACTTACGCCATTCATCATCCGCTACATGTTGGTTAGCCAAGATACTTCGTAATGGGGGCGATGTATTGCTTACCTCAGGAAGACCGCCAACGTTGTGGTGAGCTATCTATATGTCAGTTTCGACTGCTCCTGTTGCACGACCCGCGGTTTAGGCTTCGTTGACTCGCTTACTCTTGATAGTGGCCGAAGGGCCGCGGAAGCTCAGAGATTCAATACTAAAATGCGATTAGTTTGGACTCAGCAACGGGCTGAGAATGACTTACACATCAGGGTAGAGCGTTCCCTGCAAGAACCACTCCACCTTCCCGGAGTTGGGGGTGTTCTCAGCCTCCTTCTCAATCTTGCGAGTCCTGTTAGAAATGCATATAGCCCGCGAGAGAAGATCATGCTTACCCGAATAGCCTCTTGCTCGAACAGATCGATGACTGCGATATCGTCAGACTCCATCAATAACACATGCAAACAGCCGAATACGCACAAGTCGATCCAATGATCTTCCGCTTCTTTTCGGGGTCAGAAACACCCGCAAGACGACCCAAGAATAGGTCGCCAGCGTCGACAACAGTGAGGTTAATGCCAAGATGCTCTCCGAGCGTCTGCTTGACCTGCTCGCACTCATTCAGACGCATGCATCCGTTGTCGATGAGGATGGCCTTGAAGCGGTCTCCGATGGCGGCTTTCATGAGGGCCGCGCCGACAGTGCTGTCTACACCACCGCTCACAGCACCAAGGACGAGTGCCCGCTCACCGACAAGCTCACGGATGCGAGTGATCTCGAGCTGGACGAAGTCGCCCATTTTCCAGTTCGGCTGAGCTCCGCAGATGTCGACGCTGAAGTTGCGGAGGATCTCGCTTCCGCGGGGTGTCTAGATCCGAATGTCAGAGAAAGTTCTAGTGTATGCGTTGGGGTGACAAACGTGTTCGAGCTCAGGGTGGAACTGGACGCCTAGACACGGTTAGTTAGCGTGTTCTTTTACTCTGCAGAAGGGCAGGTAGGGGAAGACATACCAAAGATGGGCTTCTCCTGGTGGGCGATACCAGCGTACTCTGAGTTCTTGGTGGTGGCAACGACCACGAAGTCCTATTAGGGTTAATAGACGTGCTCCGCAGATACGAACTCATTTTGCTCACCGTAGGCAGGCTAACGAGCTTGTCGAAGTGGGACATGAACACAGGGATTTCATCCCCGAGGCCAGCGAAGAGCCGGTCGACGTGACTGTTGACCTTGGAGATTTTGAGGTCGGCGTGACCATACTCTACGAGAACGTCAGAAATGGTTCTGGATGGTGTTCCAAAGGTTGCAAACCTCGTGCCGCTCCGCGGGCAACGTTCTTCGAGTCGATCCGCCACGCGATCTCCTGGCAACCGTAGCTGGGTGAATAGTATCAGTGTCCGATCTGTGTCGACGCGGAAGTGAGTCATACCAAATACCCCTATGCGTGTGTGTTAGTCCAATGTTAGAAGCTCGGGAAATGGCAGAAAACACTCACAAGATAGGGACGTTCAGCTCAAAGACAGCGGGGTCAACATCTACACATATGAGTACAAGCAACAGGATGTCCGGAGACGCAAAACCTACGGGGCGCGCCATCATCATAGACAGAAGAAGGACCTAGTACCTCAGTCAGACCTGGACGCAAATAATGTCGTAAGACGTTGTATACCTCCAGAGAACACAATTCCCTTGGGCTTCCATGTCAAATCGGCGATCTTGGTGGTACAAGGAAGCAGCTCAGCAAAGACACCGAGAGCGCGAAGCCGACGGAGGATAAGGTGACTCGTTTGAGACTTGAACGGGAGTCAGTATTGCCATTGAGAGGTCTCGGATTCAGGCCACAATGAAGCTCCGTCATCAGAACCGGCCGATAAGAGGGAAAGGGACTCGCGGGATTCACATACGCCGAAATCGAGAACGAGGATGGTCTAGAGATTCAATTGTCAGCCAATCCATTCTTTTACAGTCTATGAGCCAATTGCGCCTGTACACCCCGTCTGGGGTGATCGAGGGCAAGTTGCGGGGAGCGAGGACAAGGGAGTTCAGGGTCGGCATTGCAGCCGGGGGAAGAAACTGATGATACGTACATCAAAGTTGTTGTGAGGCGCTTCGCCCTCAAGGTTGGAAACCATTGTGATCGTGGACTCGGCGGCGTATCGAGAGAATTGACGGTGTCCGCGGAGTCAGAGGAGGTTGAGGGTACATACTGAAGTGAAAAAAATTATGTTGGTAGAGGGGTACCGCCTCTGCGGCCGCCTCCTAAAGCGGATACCGCCTTTGAAATGCGCTATTCGTGACTCATGCAACGGAGTCACGCCAGGTGATTTGGCGGGGGGAAAGCGGCAGAATAAGCGGCAGAAAACTCCCCCGGAACCCCGCCACATCACATGACAGGCAGTCTCTCTTTCTCACCGCTCACTTCGGAACTATACACGCAAGAAAACATCTACAGTTGCAAAGCCCCTCCTATTATTGCACTCCAGTAGACCGACTCTCATTCAATACACAGGTTCCAATTTCCTTCCATCGAAGTCCTACTAAGCAGCTGAATCTGTCTTATGAACGACATCCCGTTTCTTCTCAGCGATGGCCTCCACATCTCCTTGCTCCAATGCCCGCACAGCATGAGTCTGCTTGCGGGTTTTCCAGGCAGGCGTTCCAATGTACGGAATTCCATCGGGGTCCTCAAACATCTGCTCGGTCTCTTCTAACGTTTTGCCCGCCGTCTCGGGGAACATGAAGAAGACATGGATGAACATGGCGGTACAAAACACCCCGAAGATAATGTACGTTTGCCATTTTATGTTAGCAAACGCCGGGGGCACGAAAAGACCTAGCGCCGTGTTGAAGGCCCAGTTTGCCGACGTTGCGAGCGCGACGGCCTTTCCGCGCACTCGCAGCGGGTAGAGCTCGGGGGGATAGATCCACGATACGGGACCCCAGGTCGGTGCGTACGAGGCGACGAATAGATATGTGCATGCGATCACGCCGTGTGCGGCCCGTCCAGTCAGCCGCATAGATTGCTGAGGCACGCCATCGATGCCGCCAGGCACCACTTCGCCATGTGTCGCCATGATGCCGGCGTTGGCATACATCCAAGTCATCATGAGGGCGGCTCCAATCAGCAGAGTCGGACGCCGACCCCAGCGATCCACCCAGATCAGAGCTGGGATGGTCAGAACGACGTTGATGATATACTGGATGGAGGACGCGATCAGGTTGGCGTCACCAGAATAGCCGGCCATCTGGAACACATAGGTAATATAATACACTTATGCCGTTAGTGACGCGGTCCGAAGGCAGAGAGAGAGAGACTTACTCATGATGTTCATGCCGGTGAGTTGGGACCAAATCTGGGTGAACATGCCGATAATAGTGCGGTTGATCATCTTGGGCTTCAACAGCTCCAGGTAGGTCACGTCCTTGTTCTGTCTCTCAAACTCGCACATTTCTCGGATCTCGGCTATCTCCATCTGGACCAAGGGACTATTTGCGTCTCCTTTGCTGTGCACGAGGGCCAGCACCGCCTGGGCTTCTTCCCAACGGTCCTTCCGAGCAAGCCAGCGAGGGGATTCTGGCAAGAATATCATCCCAAAAAATAGCAGAACCCCAGGAAACATCTGGAGGCCCCAAGGGACGCGCCACGAGGCGGGGTTATACGTATAAGCATCCTTGCCGCCAATATAGGAGCATCCGAATGAGATGCTAGGATAGGTTAGTATTAGTCGGTCGAGCCAGGAATACTCGTCGGGGGAATGTTGAGAGTGAAACGTACTAGTACATGATCAAGATGCCCCAAGTAATGGCCCACTGCTGTGACCCAACTAGACGACCACGCTTCGAAGGGGGAGCAATCTCGGCAATGTAGACTGGAACCTGAGCAGACTCAATACCAACGGCAAGGCCGTTGATAACACGAGAAACCACCAACATGGCGATGTTTTGACTGGCACACATGATCACGCAGCCGATGACCCTGGATACAATCAGTAGGCGCATAGGGGACATGGGAAATATAAGCTGAACACATACCAGATCACACATCCTGTCATGATGGCATACTTTCGACCCATGATATCAGAGATGAAACCGGACACCAAGGCTCCTAGCCAGGAACCACCGGACATAGCTGCGGTGACACCGCCTTGGTTCAGGGCGCTCAGACCTGTGCAGCGTGGATTGTCATTGAAAGGAGGACCCTCGGGGCCTTGATTGAAGTAACATCGGTAGGACTGTGTGCCCAAAATGGCCGACATGGAGGAAATGTCAAAGCCAAAGAGGGCACCGCCAATGACGGACACGGCCGCAATCACATAGATATTCCCCACCGCCATAGTACTCAGGGCCAAAGGGTGAAAATGACAGTGAAATGAACTTGGGAATCAAACGCAGACCCAAAAGGGAGACCAGTAGGCGATCAGACCGTGACAAGTGGAGGGGGTGACCTTTTTTAAGTCCAACTGGACCATTAAATCGTCGTGAAATTACTCCGGAGTACCACCGAAGGCCCTAGAAGCAAAAGTCTTCTTCTTTGTCTTGCTATTATCCGTTTCGGGGCTGTTTCATCCGACACAGACGGTGGTTAAGTGGGATAGTCATGGACGGAGCCTTGGCTTGCGTGAGGCCGGAAGCATAACTAATGGATATACTCCGTAGGTAGCTAGTGGGCGATAAAATCCGGAATACCGAACGCCATCTAGTCTGTGGCGCGTCCCAGCAGCACTTGGCGTGACGGGAATGGCGTCCGCTAACCTATAGATGCGGTGCCTTGATCCTGGGTATCGTGCAAATTAGGATCTGGGCTACCTGGACCCCTTTCTGAACCGCTCGACTTCCAAGCAGAAACGAGACAGGCCAAGATGCTCAGACACGGGCAAGACTGGTTCCTAAGCTCGCTACGGCGGCCATTTGTCGGCCATCTCCATCATTGGAGGTTCAGCTCTTGGCCTGAGATTTCCCCAGGAGAAAAGTGTTCAAGTGTCCCGGGCCAAGACTCGACTCCGTACGGGAGAGAAGAGGCATTACGTCTGCCAACCCCACGGGGAACGTTCGCGATGGGAAAGACGCGGAGACGAATCAATCAGATCAACCCAACCCGCAAACACCAAGACCGTAGTGCGTTTAGGCCGAGCACCAAGAACGACGGACTAAGGGATGGAATGTGCCTGCCTGTGAGCCGGAAATCAGCCCACATGCAGTAATTAATGGAACTGCTTATTTCAGATATCCCGTTCAGGTTACCTACAATGGCCGAATGAAACGGACAAAATAATGGCAGCTTTTCATTAACTTTGCGATTGACGGAAGAACCCCCAAAATGTAAAGAAAAAGGCTTCTAGATGTTTCCAATCCAATCTTCCGGGCCGTCTGCTACCTCGGGTCCCTACCTACTAATTCATGTAGCGACCGAAAATGGCTTGTTGTCTAGCTCACCTCCAGCGTCCTAAATGGTTGGGAGACGGCGTTTGAAAAGCATCTAGAACGCGATATGGGTGGGAATGTGTGATAAGTTTTACCGACATGAAAAAATCTACCATGCTAATGACTATAGTGTTTGGAGACGGGCTTTCAAAGGCCTATACCATAATTCCCTGAGCCGTAGTGCTCGGTGCGGATAGTACAGACCCGGACGATGCAGATCAAGATATAGGGCGAATCAGCCGGGAAAGAGACTTTCTGACAATCTTGACTGGTATACTTTAGCGGCCTAGTTTCTGAATTCGAAATAACAAAATTTATCATAATCTCTTTGCCGGATATAGATCTCCTGCAGCAATCCCGGGGCTCATAAGTAGACCACGGACAAGAAACAGATCAACAGAGAGGAAAATACTAGGCAAGCGGAACCAGATCCGCTAGCTGATAAGCGGAAGGCTAGGCCTTTTCAAGGTCTAGACCTTCTCTTTTGTCAGAGACTTGGTAGATACTTCTGAAATGTATATTCATGATAATAGTTATATGTAGCGTGGGCGGCTGGGCTAGGGATCTAGAGAACACGCGCAGGCGTGAAGTAGAAGAACAAAAATATCAAGCTGTATGCTGGAGATAAAATATATACAGTGTTGGTCAGGCAGTGCGGTAGGATCCGGAGTCCTAACCGCCGTGCTTTTGTGTTGATATTTGTTTTGTATATGCCTGGCTGACTTCACTTCAACTAAGCAGGAAACACTAGGTAAAAATAGGCCAAATTGCTTTCAACGCACTCACTCACTTAAACTTGATCAGCGTCTGGTCCAACGTAGATAATCCATCTAGCATAAAGGAGTAGTTGGCCAGGAAGAACGCCGGTACTATCCATGTCTACAAAAACTTCTGTTAATGTGCACTCACTCGTCACTCACCCTTAGTCACTCGCACTAAGTCTGTGATTTAGCGGCCATCATGCATAAAGCGCCAAACAGTCAAGAGCTCAGGTACTGTTTGGCCACGCTCATAATGCTGGCTTGAAAATGGCTCAGCGGACCGAAAGCCTGTTTTCTACACCTCATGGTCGTATATTTTAGACAGTTGATTTAGATTTCTCAAGATGCTTGGGTGAATTTGGCTAGAAGAACTGGCTGGGCTCTGAATCGATAGCAAGGTCCGAGCTGGCGCACATCATCCGTGGTGTGGATGACGAGCTTTGCAAGCAACCCCTCTGACCTGACGCCACATCCTTGAAAAGACTGACTTCCGTGAGGAGATACAAGCTCAGTATAATATCCACCATAGATAGTGCTTATGCAACAGGCACTTCCCTCATGGAACATGTCCGAAGATGTGAACATGCACCAATGACGCGAACACCACTATTATGAGCAATGGGTTTGGTGACATCCCCGCCAGATGTTGCCATCGCCAGAGCCATGTAGTGCCACTTTATTGGATAGCTTATCTCCAGTAGAAAGAGCTTATATTTTACTCCTTTTCTCATGAAGTCGCTTTTGATCGAGCCCAACAAGCCTTCACATGCATCATGGCTCCTACACCAGCTACCATCGAAGAAAGGCCTGTTGACTTCTCGACTGAAATTATTCAAAAGAACCCCAAGAAAAGATGGGTCAGCTACATATGGGACACGTTCGACAAGTCGCCCGAGGAGAGAAGACTACTGTTTAAACTAGATGCGGCTATTCTGACATTTGCATCACTTGGTGAGTTAATATGGATCGCAGATTGGATCGGCGGCATATCTAATGATAATCAAGGATATTTCATCAAGTATCTCGACCAGGTCAACATCAATAACGCTTTTGTCTCCGGAATGTGTGTACTGCCGGAGCTGGCGGCTGAGAGGAGAGTTGCTGACTGAGAGTAGGAAGGAAGATGTGGGCTTATACAAGAACCAGCTGAATATCATGCAGGCCTGCTGGACTGTAGGATATGTCGTGGGAGAGATCCCGAGTAATATACTCCTGACGCGCATTCGTCCTCGATACTGGCTTCCGACAATGGAGGTATGACTTGTCGAGCTTGAAATATTGAACGATACTCACTGGATACGCCTAGTTACTATGGACTGTTCTCACATTTTCGTTGTCGCGGTGTAACACCGCCAAGCAATTCTATGTATTGCGTTTTTTCATCGGTTCGTTGATGGTCTCAAACAATACGCAGACATACTGACTCGAGAAGGGTTGGCAGAGAGTACATTCTACCCCGGAATGCAATACCTTATTGGGTCCTGGTATAGAAAAGATGAGCTCGCAAAGAGATCCTGCATTTTTCACACGAGCAGTGGAATTGCGAGCATGTTCTCGGGGTATCTGATGGCTGCGGTGTACAAACTAGAAGGACGAGGAGGATTCCGAGGATGGCAATGGCTGTTTGTGGTAGATGGCATCATCTCCTTGCCCATCGCACTGAGCGGCTATTTTCTTCTGCCGGATGTGCCGGAAATATCAAGCCCTTGGTACTTGAGCAAACAGGTATGTATATCGTCTTGGGGTATGAGGAATGACTAACACATGGATAGGAGATCGCCCTGGCCCAAAAGCGCATGGAATTAGAAGGGAGGAAGAAGAGAGGGCCTTACAGCAAAGCCAAACTGAAGAAGATTTTCTCGTCTTGGCATATCTACTTGCTCACCATACTCTACATGTACGGATCTTCCTGATCGTTCTCAACGCCGCACTAACATACTTCTAGCACGTTTAATAACGGAGCGACTGGAGGCCAGCCGGTCTTCCAACAGTTCCTGAAGGCGTCGAAGAATCCGAAGTATTCGGTGACACAGATCAATGCATACCCCACAACGACAAGTGCCGTGCAGGTGGTAACCACTCTGATATATGCGTGTAAGTTATTCGATCCCTGACCCATATCATGTCTAATTATTCAGGGACCTCGGATTCAATTTTGCGAGGACGGCGTTGGCCTCCTATTATCTTTGGTGCAGTAAGTCTCAAAACGCATAGAGTAGAAACGTGCTAATACGAGACAGTGCGTAAACATTATAAGCTACGTATCCCTGGCTGTGTGGGACATACCAATGGGATGGAAGTGGACATGCTATATTATCTGCGGCGCGGGCTATGGACTAAGTGGACTCTGCATGGCGTACGTTCTCGCAATTCTGTGGTCCGCATTTACTTACAGATCATACATCCAGGTGGGCTCACGAAATCTGCTCCAGCGACAATGAAGAGCGGGCTCTAGTCGTCGGGTCGATGAACGAAATGGCATACGTGTTTCAGGCCTGGTTGCCTATGGTCGTATGGCAACAAGTTGATGCTCCGGAGTACCGCAAGGGCTTCATCACTGTCACCGTCATGTCGGTTATACTCATAGCGACGACCCTGACGATCAGGGTGCTGGAGAACCGGGAGGATACTAAGAGGTTCGCCCTTCGTGACCTGGTTACCTGAACAGCCTAACATGATATTAGTGACACATGGGATGGAGAAGGGGATCTTTCCTCGGAGTCTTCCAATGTCAGAGAGGAGGAAACAGCTCCAAAGCTGTAGTTACTGGCATTATGGAAGCGGGCATCAGGATGCAGAAAGCTTTTACGAAGAATGCTTTGGGGTATCGATCAGGAAAAAAATCGCAATATATATGTCCTTGGTCAACATATTTTAGCACAGTGTATCTATTCGCTTCCCCGATGTCCTGTATATGATCTAGAGCACCATCTGCCACTTAACCTTCTTTCCCTTGACCATGTTCAGCACGCCCACTGGCAAGAACTTCTTGTCCACGAGATCAAACCCCCCAAAATTTGCCAGCAACTCATCTGCATACAAGTTCAGAAGCCATTTTGTCTCCAAATCCAGGTGGCCTAGCCGGGAACGCCCCGTGCGGTGAAGTTCATCCCTGACTATTTGAGTACTGAACAGGCTCATCCTTTCGGGAACACGCATCAACTCTTCGTAGCAAGACCGAAGCCTGGTACTCTTTGACTCTCTGAAACGAGTATACTCTTCAAAGGACATGAAATGATTCATTTCAGAGGTCTTGATAATCTGTCCTAGCCTCGAGTCGGCTTCCCGGTTGATATAATCGAGTCGTCGCAAGCGGGCACGTTCATGGAGATCCTCGAATGCCTTCTTTGCTGCCACGTAGTCTTCTATCTCTTCCTTCTTGAACTTATCGCAAAGATCAATCGGAGAATTCTCTATATTCCCACGCACCAGCATGATCGGCACGAAGGGGTTCCGCAGTCCAAGACCTCCTAGTTCCTCTGGAAGAAAGAAGAACGAATCTGGGATGTCAAACTCGCCGTAATGCGACTTGATTCTTTGCCGCAGAAACTCGGTCACTCGCAGTGCTCCACATTGCCTTTGATCATCGAACAGCGTATTCTGGAGTTTCGCATACGTAGCGAGAATTGCGTCCACATGGGGCCGGCCAAAACAGAACGCAGGCTCACCGAACGTGCTTCTAAAAAACCGACCAATGCAGCTGTTCCACGTTCTTATCCATGAGATAATGCTGTCGCAGTGGTCGAGCTGCTTCTTCAATTGCTGGATGTGTGCTTCCACCTGGCTGTGGTCAATCACCCAGCTGCCGGACTTTGGATCAAGTATCAGGAATCCAAACTTGACGGGCCCCTGGGGCAATTTGGAGACGACAGCTTCATCGACAATGTCGGCCAAGTATACTGACCCAGTCTTGCTGTAATTGAAATCGAGACCAGTGATCCTTGCGTATTTTTGAAGCACTTCCCACGTCTTCACGCACTGCTCGGGCTCGCCACAAAACCACAGGTCGTCGTGCATCCGATACAGAAGCATGCCGGTCTTACGATTGACGGTCACATCCATGAAAAAGAGCACGAGCTCACCGAGAAATTTCTCCGATGCATGGGACATGGGGACGCCCCTATGACGAATGCGTGGGCCGCTTTGGCTGTCTTCGAACGATCGGATCAGATTCAGCGGTGTTTTCAGGTACTTCTCGAAGAACCGTATCCATTTCTCTGGGAAGCCAAGGTACTTGACAACTGCGAATATCGTGCTGTGCGGGAGGGCAGTCGCATACCACTGTAGGTCGGACTGCACCACCGCAGCTCGCCCGTTTACTTGCCGCTGTATGAGCGTCTCCGTGGCAATTTTGCGTAGGAGCTGTTGTTTGATATTCTTTGGGACTTCCGATGGTGCCGCATAGGAGCCTTCATCGCCGTCATCGTCGTCGTATGCTCCACCGCGCTCCTGCAGCGTCGTTTGTGTACTGGGGATCTGGTACAGAAAATGTCTTTCGAGGAATTCCTGCTTGCGCACAGCGTCCACGCCGAACGAGGCGGGCGAAGACAGGTTGAAATAGTACTTCCATCGCAGCTTATCCCGCTCTGTCATCTCCCTCGACCGCCCCCAGTCCCATACCCTCCCGTCTCCGATGAAGTCCGTTAGGGTCTCCTTGACCATGTTGCATAGCCGGATGAAGATATATTGGGTGAATACAGCCTGGAGCACATCCTCATCCATCCAGATGCGATACTTCCCGTTCACCTGCTGGCGAGGCAGAACGGGAATGCCGTCCTTTCCTGCACGCCAGTCCCAATTGCCCAGGTCGGCATAGCGCATATTCAAGACGTCTGAAATCTCCCTCAGCGCTACTTTGTTCTCGAGTATGTACTTCAGGGTGTCCTGCTTTTCCTCGCTGAGGAGGTCTTCAGTCAGGAGGCCTCGGATGCACATCGCCAACGCATCAGGATTGAATGGCTCCTCCTCTTCCCAGAAAGTTATGCATTGCAGATGAATTCTCGCCCGGAGCTCTTCTAGGGCCTTAGCACTCTCCTCCGTAGCAAAGAGGCCGTCCAGAAATCCCCGAATTTCGTCTGCATTCGTCTCTCGTGGTTCGAATACCACCGACTCGAACTGATCGCAGAGTTCCTTCAGTTTCTGCTTTTGTTTTCCTTCCACTAGCAAGAAGTCGTCCTCGATCGTGGCCACTTCCTTGCCCTTCTCTGGATCAGTCGGTGGCTGCATCCACTCCGTCAGGAGACGGCAGTAGAGGTCGGCGAGTCCCAGCCTGCGGCTCTTGGTTTCCAGCCGGGCCCTCAGCTGAGATTCGAACTTTTGCAGAGTCTCTGGTGGGATTGATGAATCATATCGTGCTTGGTCTAATAGTTGTTCGATATTGCGGACCTCCGGGTCGTGGTATTCGTTCGGGTAGTAGCGTTTGATGCCAACGAGTATGCGAGCGACCCGCTCTTGATGGTTGGTGACCTGATCAGCCTCATGAAGGATACTGGTCTTCTGAGACTCATAAAGTCCACGTAATTTTTCCACTTCCTGGATTTTACTGTCGGTGAGGGATTGGAGAGTTTGCGATAGGGCTCCAGTTGGGGGCAACATCGTGAGAAGGTCTAGGGATGGAAATATATATTCAATGGAGACAGGAGATAATATGAACAATGGTATAATTCACGACTGACAGCCATTCAGATTTTCCTTCCCCTTATATGTTCTTTCTTACCTGTCTACATCTAGTGTTGTGAGGTTCCTAACCACCTAGGCAGCGGCTGGTGCCTGGCGCTCGTAGGGTCAGGATCAACACCCCTCTTCAAGCCGCATTCCTTCAACTGCCGTTAGGTGATGATTGGCATGCTGTGCTGACTGGCATCATACCAATACAAATCATGAGCTGAACAGTCAACTCGTGGGGAGCAAGCCAGGCTGCACCGCTTGGAATGGGATTTTTGGACCCCATGTAGATTTGGATCTATCTCAAAGTCCACCAACGGGCTCATCATCAGCTATCGCGCAATGTTGGATACTATCACACCCAGCATTTTTAGCGACGCCCTATGGGTACAATACAGGCTTCTGATTATCTTTTCTACTCAAAACCCAGGACTGTAAGAAAGGTCACGGCGCCGAATAAGGACAATCCCACTTTGCTGGAGAGGATGCAAGATTTCTATTACTAAATTCAAAATATTTCAATTTCTAGACCAGATTCCAACTAGGAGCGGCTGGCGAGCCGATGCTAGTCATTTCTCGTCCAGTACTTGTAGTACGCTTCGAAGAGTTCGGGCATAGGTTTCATCCGAAGAACATTGGGCTTGTCAGCGAGGGCTCGCTGTAAATTTTCCGTGCTATACGTGGTAGCGTAGTTCCAATTGTCCCAGTAAAGGGCACGCTGGGATAGCTGCGGCGTCACTATCTGCGCCTTGACTTTCACCTGGAGATCCTTCACCTCGGAGTACTTTTCGATCCAGTCAGCGCTAGAGACGCAGCGCATGGGGACGGGGGTGAGTCGATTCAGAATCTGGAACAGGTCTTCAAGTCTGGGGACTTCACTCTGGTCGGGCTGGATCACATTGAACGCATGGCCGATACTGTCAGGGCGCATAGATACGGCCAATATCGTCGAGCAAACAAAGTCAATAGGCACAATATGTGCAGGATGGTTCGGTGGCTGTGGATAGGCTCCCGCGCGGACGCAGTTGGAGAACAGACGGTTGATCATGTCTTCTTCCTTACATACTCCTGTCACAGAGTGCCCGGTGATGACCGACGGCCGGTAGATGCTGATCGGGAATCCGTTGTCTATAGCGTTCCACATGATATTCTCCCCGACGAACTTGCTCCTGGTATACCCGATGCTTTCTTTGAACTCATGATGCTCCAGTAGAGGTCTCTCGTCTTCCACTAGCACAGTCGATGGATCTTTGGGAAGCCCACAGGCGGAAATACTCGAACAGTAATGGAGTGCCTTGAGCCGCTGATTGTTAGCAAACCGGAGCACTTCAAGAAGGCCCAGCACATTAGCCTGTCTATGCATCGAATATGGAAGCAGGTAATTCGAGTAAGCAGCGAAGTGGAATATAACGCTGGACCATTCTGCCATGTAATCAAACGTTTCTTGTGAGAGACCAAGGCCTTCTTTTGTAAAATCGCCTGGGATAACGGTGATCTTGGACTGATATCCAGGATACATCGAGAGACCAAATGTCTGGAATGTCTTCTTTATGCGAGCCATTCCTGTTTCTGGATCATTCGTACGAACCAGACAGGCGATGGCCTTGACCTGCGGTACCCGCATCAATTGCTCCAAGAAAAAGGCACCGACGAAGCCTGTTGCACCGGTGAGGAACACTCGCCCTTCAGATTCAGACAACCAGTCTGGAGCAGAACCCGAGATTGGTTGTATCGCTCGTCCCAGCGTAATATCCTCCCGATAAGTGTCCTCGGGATCCTCTGTCTCCTGTGGGGCCTCTTCCTCGCCTTCAGCCTGAGCCTTCGGCGAACGGTATTTTTCACGGAGCTTTTTGATGGCGACCTTTGCGAGTCCACCGACAGTCCCTGCGTTGGAGACCTCCCCGAGAGAGATCTCGATATTGGCATGCCCACGGAACCATGTCCGAATCTCAAATGTCATCAAGGAGTCTATGACGATGTTCGCATAGTCCTCCTGTGTCATCTCATCCGAATTAGAAGTATAGGATGCGATGAGCTTACCTAGCTCTGTCACAATCTTGGCTTCTGTTTCGGGGTCATCTAATAACTCCGGGTTCTCTTTCACGGTTTCCAAATAGGCCCGCAATTGATCACCCTTGGGGTTGGCTGGCGCTTGATCCATACTAGAGAGGATGTTTTTCCAGATGGTGAACCGTCGGTCCTTTGTCAGTTTTCCAATGTTGTCGGACTTTGGCGACAGATTTGTAGTTCCCAATCCCACCGCTATCTGGCTGGGAGAGTTGAATTTGTCGGCGAAGATTGCTGCCTCCAGGCCTTGGAGAAACTGCCTTTCTTCCAAAGTCTGCAAAGAATTCGAGCGCGCCAAATCGAAAGTCTCTGTGCGTGCAGCTTCCGAAACATATCCGATATCAGCCATGAGACCGAGGTCAATGACACTTGCCACCATTCCCAGCGATTGGCGGTATTTGACAAAGGCGTCGAGGAATGTGTTCGCTGCGCCGTAATTTGCTTGTCCGGGCCAGCCGTAAAGCCCAGTGATGGAACTTATAAGGACGAAGAATTCCAGGGGCACATCCTTAAGGACATTGTGCAGGTTCCATGTTCCCTTGACCTTTGGAGTAAGGGCCGTAGTCCACTCCTCGTAGCTCATCTTCAGCAATCCTTGGTCCTATTTTCATCGATTAGCTCGGATCATTCTGCCAGTACTGCATCGATGTAACATACCCTTAGAACCATTGACAACTGTATAACGCCTGCAAGGGGCTTCATTGCGCTCGAGACGGCTCTCTTGACATCGTCAATGTTGGCGACGCTGCCCATGACAACCACGACATGGCAACCCTGACTTTCCAGGTTCTTCACGAATGCCTCACGCTCGGCTGTGTGTGCACCTGATGGGGAGAGAAAGATAATGTGTTTTGCCCCTTTCTCAGCCATCCAGGTGGCGACAGCACGACCCAGTCCTCCAAGGCCACCAACTAACAGATAGGATACATCTGGCGAAAAGTAGCGTGCCGTCTCATGCATTCGGGACATGGGGAGCTCCGATGGATGGTCTGGCATTTTGATGACAATCTTCCCCATGTGTTGCCCGCCTTGCATATACCTGAAAGCTTTTTCTGCGTTGATCGCATCGTAGACATGCACAGGTCGAATCGGCCCTAACTTCTTTTGCTTGAAATAGCTCATGATGTCCTCACTCATCTCGCGGAAAATATCGGGCTGGTGCTTCATGATTCCAAGCAGATCGATCCCCATGAAAGACCGATTCTCAGCAAACACGTCCATGTCCAACTTTCCATGTCCGAGGAAGTCTCTCTTGCCCAGTTCCAACATCTTCCCTAGCGGAGCGACGCACTTCCATGATGCGTGCAGAAGCTCACCTGACAATGAATTGAGAACGATATCGACCCCCTTTCCATCGGTAGCATGGAGGACCCCATCGAGGAACGACGAGCTTCGCGAATCGAAGATGTGATCGCGGTGTATTCCAAAATTCTCCATTAGATACTGCACCTTTTCTTCGTTTCCCACTGTTGCATATATTTCGGCCTCCTTCATCCCACAGATCTGGATAGCTGATAAGCCTACTCCGCCGCACGCAGAGTGAATCAGAACCGATTGACCTTTCTTCAGGTTCGCGACATTCAGAAGTGAGTAGATCACGGTTGCGAAGACACAGACTACAGTCGCAGCATCTTCAAGTGACAGCTCACTTGGGATAGGCAGACAGCATCTGGAGGGGACGATCTTCCTGGTGCTTGCCAACCCTATCCCGGCGACCATAACTCTGTCGCCGACGGCAAGATCTTTGACTGCAGGTCCTATTCGACGAACCACGCCACTGGCTTCTATTCCTAGCTCAGCCGTGGATGACATGAAGCCCATGAGAATCATCATATCCTATTCGCTTAGTGTGGGCTAGGTGCTTCTGTGGGATTGCAACTTACTCTGAAATTGAGCCCGACATACTTGATGTCAACCTCCACTTCATCCTCGCCGAGACTCTCCTCTTTCAACGCAGAGCACGTCCAAACCAATGTGTCTAGCATTGCATACAGGTCGATATCCAGACACCTTGCACCTTCAAGCCCGCGAGAACTCTTCATCTGATCGTTAAATGACGACCAATGGAACCGAGGCACTTGAAGGACACCGTCCTTGAAGCAGAATTCGTATTCCGGAGCATCACCACTGCCCTCTTTGAACGAAAGAAGCTTGTCATATACATCAATAGCAGGTCGTAAGCTAGAATTGTCGATAGTGTCCAGCTCAAGTATTGCAACATGAGGTGTGACCTCGCATCTTATGTTTCGAATGAGGCCTGGCAAAAGACCGAACCTTGGATCGACACATGTCGCTTGAACAGACCGTGTGATCCATAATACACGACTGCTTTCGATGCTTGCGATGAAGGACTTGAGTTTGTTGAAATCGTCCTCGCTGATATCGTGAAGAAATGGGCCTTCCAAGTCGATCACCGAGATGATATTGGAACCAGAGGGAGGCGGCTGGTCCAAGCTATACCAGCTAACAGAACGACCCGATGACTGAAATTCGTCTACCAGACTCCGTGCCCAGGGGGTGATACTCGATCTATAAAGCACACAGACTTCTCGTTTCTCCGTGATTTGCGGGGGAGGGAGTCTTGACAAGATATGCGCATTTATGTGGTATGGCTCCGGGTTGTCGTACTGGAACACATCGACTCCTGTGAACCCGGCGGCGAGTAGCTCCTTGTGCCATCGTTCTAACTCGATGTATGGCCTATCTGCTCTCCCATCGGCTTCTCCAAGCCACCAGCCTGGCAAGATCCCCATGATATATTCGATGAACGGCGATGCGCACGCCAGTTCGATCATGAATAAGCGCCCTCTCGGAGAAAGTAGCCGCTTAATGTTTGCCAGCGTTTCAGAAATCTTCGGAGTCGCATGGATGACGTTGGAAGCAATCACCAAGTCATAACTACCTTCTTCAAACCCTTGCTCGACGGGATCTCGGCTAATGTCGAGTGTCTTGTACTCCATATTGCCATAGGATTTGAACCGTTCCTTGGCCTCGCCGAGGAAACCGGGAGAGATATCAGTGAAGGTGTACTTCGAATACAGCCAATTTTCGTTATCCGGTGTAAGGCCGTTCAGGGCGACAGCGGTGTCACCTCCTGTACCTCCACCAACTTCTAGTACTCGAATGCTGGGGTTGGAGTGTCCCAGTAGTGAAAGATATCTACCCCAACGTATCTCGCCTGATTGTACGTCGTAGAATGCCTTGAGCCCGCCATCTTCCATCAGTAGATCAATGGGCTCTACTCGCTCTTCTAAGAGATCGTCGACGGAGTCCAGGATACTCTTGTATAGGTGGTACGCTGGATACGATCCGGCCTCTTTGCAAATAGTCTCCAGCTCTTCAATTTTGGCTCGTCGCTCGTTGTCAGTAAGAACAAACGCGTCTCTTGCTTCTGGGAGCAGATGATTCTCGTTCTTTGATATGGAATCGTATTCCTTCTTGAGCCTGGATATCCATTTCTGCAGATGCTCGGCTTTGGGAGTGGACGATTTAGTCCGAAGATAAGTCTCAATTATGAAGACATTCGTCATCAAGCTCAAAACCTTGCCGTCCTCGGTATATACGGTGTAGTTTGGCAACAAACTCTCGGGAGGCAGGAAGTCAACGTCAGGCGTCCAGTGTAGCGCTGCTGAAGTTGGGAGTTTATTTCTACCCGTATCCGGGTCCTGAATGCCGAAGAAAATCCCCTTCTGGAGGTCAAGAACAACGTGGTCATCGGAAGTAAGCGTTGCGCTGCCACTCAGGTTACTACCATCGGGATCACACGAAACACCCAGCGAAAAGGTTCCCCGACCAGTGCCAACGTAGAGTGCTTCAAGGGCCAAAGGAATGCACAACCTCGTCATTCGACGAGGGATTCCGTGCGTGGCCGCCACACTGAGCAATTGCAAGCAGACATCTATTAGAACGGGGTGAAGAGCATAGTGGCTGGCGTAGAAGCTCTCCTCGTCTTGAACTTTGGCGGCAGCGTCATGAGTGGACGGACTAGCGGAGATATTCTCAAGTCGACGGAATTGAATTCCATACTCAAGACCGCGTTTCTCCAAGGCATCATACCACTTCTTGGACTGGATGGGCCTGGGATATGTCTTCGTGGTTACCGGACTGTAGTCCTTATCGGAAGCCGGCCTGACCTGACCTGTGCAATGCTTCTTCCACGTGTCCTCATGGAACGCAGTAATCGTGAAGTCATACCAGACAGAGTCGACATTATCAGACAGCTTGGTTGGCCGAAGGTGGGTGATTATCTCCGTTGTCCCAGAGGGGTCGAGGACTAACGCAGTCCGCATGAACAAGTTCTTCACGGAATATGCCTCCGATCCAGTTGCCTGCCGAATTGCCTCTCCTACCATTGCAACGTAGCCTGCACATGGAAAGATTATGTCGCCGCCGATTCGGTGATCTCCAAGCCATGGGACATCCACTAGTTGGAGCATGTTTCTCCATGACGGCTCCAAATCACTCGACTCCAACGTCCGACTTCCCAAGAGTTCATGGTGAGGCTCGCCGCGCAACCGCCAGTCACGCACCATCCGCGTCTCGCTCCAAAATTTGTCTTCGTGCTGCCAAGGGTAGGGAGGTAAGTCAGTTATCACCTTGCCGTGGGGGATGAACAGAGAAAGCTGAAGCGGGACACCATGCGTGTACAGATGGCCAGCAGTCTGCAGGAGACTGACACACTCATCTGTTTCTCTACGCAAAGTATGGAGGTAGGTTGCCGTTGATTTTGATTCTGCATCCGAATGCCCATGAATTATCTGCCTTATGGGACCAGATAAAGCTGAGTGCGGTCCTACCTCGAGGAATATCCTTGATTTACTCTCGCTGTTCAAGATCTTTTGGAATGTACCATTGAACAGAACAGGACGTTGCAGATTCTGGACCCAATAATCTGCGTTCAGCTCCGAAGGCTCGGACATAGTGGTTGATGTGACCGTCGAATACAATGGAATCATGGAACTGTTGTACGTCATGTATGGCGATATCAATGCTTCATAGGTCTGGCCGGCTTCCTTCATATGAAGTGAATGGTATGCAACATTAACTGCAAGCTTGCGGCAGAATATGTTCTTGTCTTCTGATTGTATGTCGGAGATTATCGTGTCTAACGTCTCTGCATCACCGGAGATCGTAACACTCTGCGGGCTGTTTTCACAGGCGATGCTTACGCCATCCTTCAAGAAGGATCGTACTTCATCTGGTGCCAGAGCAACCGCAGCCATGGCACCGGAACGAGTCTCCGACACGGCTTTTGCTGCTTGACCACGGAAATAGGACAGGATGATTGCGAGGCGCACAGAAATCGCCCCAGAGGCGTAGGCGGCAGCAATCTCTCCGCTTGAATGCCCGATAACAGACTCTGGAGTCACTCCCCATGCTCGCAGAATGTTTACGAGGCCGATTTGGACAGCTGTACAGAGGGGCTGCGCAAACTCAGCATCATTTACCCGGCTGTCTTCCTGAGATTTGCAAAGCTCCTCTAAACCCGGGTCAACATGTGAGACATATACTGCTAGGTAAATGGTAGCAACGTACCTTCAATGCTCCACGCTGGAGGAACTTTCAGGCTTCTCAAGACACTATCCATGTTTCTGATGTCATGACGAAATTGTGGATATTGGGCTATGAGTTGCTTGCCCATGGTGGGCCATTGAGCTCCTTGACCTGTGAACACCAAGACCATGGACGACTGCTTTGCTTCGGCTTTTTCAAAGGCAGAGATTTGCCCGCCACTCTCCGATATGGCGAACGCTCTATGATTGAGATGATTTCGTCTTTGACCAAGAGTATATGCCAGATCATCCAACGATGAAGGATTATGCTCAATGTACTTTGACATCACTTCAATCTGCCCAGTCAATGATTGCTTACTCTTTGCTGAAACTAACAATAGGAGGGGCTGGTCTTTTTTCGTGACTCGCCTCGGCACGTTATTCTGCTTCCAGTCCACGGCGGATTCCAAGATGACCTAGCAGAGTCAATACCCAACGTCAAAGCAGGAACCTACATCAACAAATAAAATCTTATATTTGATTGAGCTTACATGAGCGTTTGTCCCGCCAATGCCAAAAGAGTTGACACTCACTCGCTTGCTGCGAGTTGCTGGCCACGGAGTTGGCTCAACGGGGACCTGTAGCTTAGCACTTTCGAAGGGGACTAAGATAGAGATGTTGATCAGTGATGCATCCATGGTTTACTTATTGTGGCTGAACCTACTCTTTGGACTTGGATCACGGAAATGGACGTTTGGAGGAATAGTCTCATTTTCCAACGCGAGAACGCACTTGATGACACTCGTGATCCCAGAGGCGCCTTCTGAATGACCGACGTTTGGTTTTACCTATTCAAGTCAGATTAGAATCGGTATTCTTAATTGTAGTTCAAAACACTCACTGCACCCATGTATATGCCGTCTTTGCCGAAGATATTGGCGACTACAGAAGTCTCGGCAGTATCTCCCACAATGGTTCCGGTACCATGGCATTCAAAGAATGCTGTTTGTCCGATGTGATCATCGTCAATGCCCGCGCGTCTGTATGCCCTTCGAATGAGTCTCTCCTGGGCTTCGGACCCGGGAGTGGTGATACTGGGGGTTCGGCCGTCGCAATTGACAGTAGTCGATCGAATGATTGCTCGGATGGGATCGCCGTTTTCTAGCGCATCGTTCAGTGGCTTTATGTAAATCACATTTATCGCCTCGCCTCGTCCATAGCCATCCGCAGCAGCGTCGAACGTTCGGCACATGCCGCTCGGAGAGATGACCATGTTATCGGACATGGTCGTTGACATGGTAGGGCTCATGATTAGACTCGTCCCTGCTACAATGGCTGAGGAGCATTCGCCCGAGTACAAGGCTTGACAGGCCTCATGCAATCCTACCATGGACGAGGAGCAGCCGGTTCGAACCGTGATGCTTGGTCCCTGCAGGTCGTATTCAAAGGAAACTCGGTTTGACAGCGCAAAATCCCCAGAGCTCATTACCCGATACCTGTCATGCAACTGCGTGTCTTTTGCTTGTAGGTCGAGCCAGTCCTCCCCGAAGACGCCGACGTAGCAGCCGATGTTCTTTCCTCGCCAATCGGTCTGGCCAGCATTTTCCATGCATTCCCATACAACCTCAAGCAGAAGACGCTGCTGCGGGTCCAGCTTGCCCGCTTCTACTTTGCTCATGCCAAAGAAGCCAGTGTCGAGCTGGGTGATGTCATGTTGCAGGAAGTAGGCATACTTCGTTCGTATACTCCCTTCCCGGTTCTCGTCGTAGAACCCTTCGATGTTGTAGCGTGACTCGGGTACTGGACAATGCCCATCTCGCTTGTCGATGAGAAAGTCCCAAAACTCCTTTCCGCTGCTGACTCCCCCAGGCAGTCTCATTCCCATGCCCACGATGGCAATGGGGAAGGGGACGGGGGTGTCGGTGGTCTTTTCAGAGACATCGTTGACTGTAGTCTTCCCCTTGAGGAGCCTAAGAAGTTGCTCTGCTTTTGAGGAGGGCTCTCCGTTGATACCACCCGTAGGACCGGCGAACTTGGACCAGGCTTCTTCCATGGTTCTGATGGACCGGAAGCCAACGAACGCTTTCTACTAAATTGCAAGAGAAAGCTGCGAATTGTCGAGCCACGACAGGAACATATGTCTAGAAGATTCTATGATCACTAGGGCCACCGTAGCTTTTGGAAAGAATGATGAATAGTACAAGAAAAATACTATTTATTCAGGATAGGGATTGTAGGCACTTGATCCTATCCGTCTATTTATTACCTCGTTGCACACCGTATTGTACGCGATGTACTGCCGAGGTTAGGACATCGTTTCTTACATCTCAACATCACTTATCACCAGAAGGCTGTTATCAGATACCTTTGTAAAGGATGGTCCTATAACCTGGTCACTCGTGCACCCCAATGCGACTGGCCAGGCCTTCCGGTTGTGCGACTGGCTGCGGTTGTTACACTTAAGGGTCGATTATGAGCCAGTTGTATATTCTATAGACGAGGATTGGTCTCTCGCAGTCAAGGATCTCACTTCAATGGGTGAGAGATTGACTTCTTCCGGTATCCGTGAGCCTGCAGGGCGGGATACAGACATCGGAACGACACAGCTTCACCTGGTTGGGTCTTAGTACCACATGTGTCTCTTCTATCATGTCCGACATTGCACTACCAGCATGCATCTCATTCAATCAATGGTCGTAGTCGAAGCACAATCTCCAGCCGACTCACCATGGGTGGATGAGTCGACTGGATCTATATTAGAGGTCACTGTAACTCATTGCACGGGGCAATGGACCTCATGATGACCGGAACGGCGTCCAAATCCTCTTTCAGGCCCCCAAAACAGGATGCCTACCCTCGGTGTTCGTGGTTGCATTTGCGGGAGCTTGCCTGCTTATCACGGCAGTTTGTGTTCATTGTAGTGATACTGGCATCCGAACGGTAATACCACCATCGCTTGTGCACCACCGGTGTGATAGAGTGAGGGCCCTCAATGTGCTTTAGATATGCTCTGAAGAGCAGTCATACTGCGTTGGCATTCATTCTGGTGACATTAGATAGGAACTGAAGTGCTACAGATTGGTCCATGACCGCCCAGAGCTCGCTCCACTCATTCCACTGTAGCCGTAGCATCACCGGGCTGGACAGACGGTTCGGCGCCGATTTCCGTGGCCATGATACTCTCTGCACGGCTCATGTCGTCCTCTGAGGGCATATTGACGATAATCATATACAACACTTTCTACAAGCAAGGTGCCAATTAGTACCACTTAATCGTGACATGGCTACGCGACAGGAGGAACTTACATCGGCGATCTTGCGCTGTCGCCGACCTCCCTCTCTGTCCCGGAGGTCCTTACGCCAGGTCGTGTTGTAGGGAACGGCACCCCCCGTAGCCAGCGATATCGGGGACTTGTTGGTGTCGTGGTTTGGATCGGCAAACTTGGACGTAAACGCCCGCTTGGGCTGCATTGCAAGGGGACTCTCCGGGTTCCTCGCCGCCTAGACCGATCGATGTTCATCAGGACTCGATTCCTTCTACCCATATCCTTGAAGGAGGGCAACTCACGTATTCTGCCTGCGCCCGTCGGTCGTAGTAATCCGCGACAAACTTCCGGAACTTGGTGTACCTACCCAGCTTCTCTGTCTGCGTGGCGTCGACGTTGTTTTCCATCCAGTCCAGCATGGGGAAGACCAGTGGAGCGGACTCTGGGAACTGGGCTGGGCCGGTGGTACCGCTGTGGGTGCGCAGCTTGTCGGTGTATTTGCGCAGGCCCGTTTTCGGATCGGTGCTCGTGGCAATGGCTGTGGCCAGCGACTCGTCGGTCATGGCCTCCTCGTAGGTGTTGTCAAAGGAGAGGACCAGGCAGTACAGCCCGCGCGGCTGGAAGAAGCCTTGATTGAGCTTCTGGAGGAAGGAGTTGGCCCTGTTGCCGGTCAGTCGTCCTTCTCTTTGCTCGGATATTCTGGATCGCGCACTGCACACGCCCCTTCATTTCCATGGCGATCGCGTTCACCACCTGGATGGCGAAACCCACCCCCGCGCCCATAGCGTGTCCCGGCAGGGCAAAGGCCGCAGCAGCTGTCAGATTGGTCGCTGCCATCCACTGTGGCGGCCGGCTGGCACGCGTGAACGTCACCAAGAAGTCCATAAAGGTCTCCTGGTCGATGCCACACGCCTGGAGGTCTGGAGCATAGGCTCTCACGAAGCCCCGGTTACGCACCCCAGGTCGACGCTGGGGGATGATGACGGGCAAGGGGAGTCGCCCTTGGGGTGCGCTCTCCGGGGACGGAGGCGGGTATCGCTGAAGGAAATCATCTGCTAGACGGGCAGGATTGCGAATTTTCTTTTTGATCGGCTGGTCCTCGCTCTCGCTGTCAGAGGAAGAATCCTGACGCAGCTCGTCCTGGATCTCATCCAGCGCCCACTGTTCGTCAGTTGGGGATGAACGCGGGGCCTCATCTTGTCAATCATTAGTCGCCCATCAGTGGCATAAAAATGCGACGAGGGATAAGTCACGTACTCTCTGTAGCTGCTGCTTGTGTCTTGTGCCGGTGAATGGCCTCGGACACCAGACCAATGCTGGCGGCGATGGCCATATTCATGCGCTCCAGCACGATCACCATTCTGGAGCTGGTTGCTGTTTTCTTTCTGATGATGCATACAGATTCTAAGAGAGGAGAAGAGGGATGCAAAGAATCAGTTTCTGCCTGGACAGTTGTGACCCAGACTGCAGCACGCTAAGAAACGCACTATCACGTCGTCTTGGCCCAGAAGGAACCCAATGCTTGTTTGCAATAAAACTGTCTAGGCACCAGCCAAACTGATTGCCCAGGCCGGAAGTGAATCGGAGTGAATCCATTGTTGGCGCCACCGGATGATCCTTTCTTTGTCTCCAGTTGAATGCTGACACCCGTCAGCATGCTGCTTTGGGAATATGACCGGGATGATCATAGAGTGCAGTCTGACCTATCTTATCACGATAAGCCCGTGGCTGGCTTGGCCTCAACGGGCACATCTGATGCCCAAGTATAACTCCCATCTCCAACAGCCCCGCTACGGCCGACTCCTGAGCATCGATGTAACTGTATCGCCATTGACTCCATGGAGGTCGAAAGACTCGACTACGCAGACTTTCTGGACGAGGCGCCTGAGCGCCAGGACGCTTTTTGCCAACATCTGTACGCGGCCCTGTCTCGTCTGGGGTTTGCAAAGATCACCAACCATCCCATCCCCAAGGATGTCATTCTGGAATTGTATTCATGGGTATGGATGCAACACCCTGTTTTCCTTTGATCTCGTCCTAATGCAATTGCTCTCGCAACAGACCAACCGTTTCTTTTCGTTGCCCCTCGAGCACAAGCAAAAGGCGGCGCATCCTCCGGAGCCCAATCCCCATCGCGGATGGAGCTGCCTGGGCCAGGAGAAACTATCGGTCATCGCGCAGGGCAAGGCAGTCCTGGACCTGAAGGTAAGCAGATTGCTCATTCTGAGACCTGGCACTGACACGGCAGTAGGAATCCTTCGACATGGGGCCCAACGGGGACGAGTTGTATCCCAACATATGGACCGACGAGCACGATCTGCCCGGGTTTCGCGCCTTCATGGAGGATTTCTATGAGCGGTGCCAGGCGCTGCATCTGCAGCTGCTGTCGGCGATCGCGCGATCGATGCAGCTGCCAGACTCGTACCTGGCCGCGCTGTGCGCCCCGAACAGCAGCGAGCTGCGATTGAATTACTATCCGGCCGTGCCGCGGAGTGCCCTCGTCTCCGGCAATATGCGCATCTCGAGCCATACCGATTTCGGCACCATCACGCTGCTGTTCCAGGATTGTGTCGGGGGCCTCGAGGTCGAGGACCAGTCCCGCCCGGGCCACTACCTGCCCGTCACGCCCGACGACTGCACCGATATCATCATCAATGTGGGGGATTGTTTGCAGCGCTGGAGCAATGACCGCCTGCGCTCGGCCAACCACCTGGTCACTGTCCCGCGGGGGCTGAGCGACGACACGGTGGATGACCGCTACTCGATTGCTTACTTTGGAAAGCCGAGTCGCGATGCCTCGGTGCGCACGTTGCCCGCCCTTCTGCGCCGAGACGAAGAGGCCAAATACGGCGAGGAGATGACGGCCTGGCAGTACAACCAGTCGCGCCTGCTGCAGACATATTAGACCGTTATCTGAGGGCTATCTGGGCAGAGCGGAGGATCTCCGGAGTATCTAACGTCTTCAGCCCAATGCATACCATTATATGATACCGCTTGCAATGCGCCTGCTCTAGTTTGATCAGTAAAGCAGTCGAAAAGTCCACGACTCGTTATCAACCCTCTCTTAGAACCATAAGGATGGACCCATATACTGATTCCAGACGGTAGACTCTACCATGACAGCTAGCGTGTCCACTTAGTTCCGAATATCCCGTCTCCACCGACACCTCAGAGACACCTTATCCAACAACACCACCACTACGACTACCATACACATACACATACTATACACATACACTCTGTAGACAACATGACCCTCCCCCATCTCACCTCGCCCACCCCCTTCCTCACCGAATGCGGCATGGAAACAACCCTCTTCTACAAACACCACATCCCCCTCCCCTGCTTCTCCTCCACACCCCTCGTGGACACGCCCCACGGCCGCGCCCTCATCACCTCCTTCTACACCTCCTACGCCCGCATCGCCGCCGCCCACAACACAGGGATCATCCTCGACACGCGCACCTGGCGCGCCTCCACCCCCTGGGCGGCGCCGCTCAAGCTCACCGAGACGAAACTCCTCGAGCTGAACCGGTCCGCCGTGCGCCTCCTGCAAGACTTCCGCCCGCATTGCCCCGCCCCGCTCGTCATCAGCGGAACCCTAGGCCCGCAGCACGACGCCTACGCCGACTCCTCGGACACCATCTCGCTGGAGACCGCGCGCGACGGCTACGCCGCGCAGATCCGCGTCCTCGCCGCCGAGGGCGTCGACATGCTCACCCTGGCTACGGTCACGAACCTCAACGAGGCGGTGGCCTTTCTGCAGCTGGCGCGCGAGGTCGACCTCCCCGCGGTGGTGTCGTTTAGTCTCGAGAGTGATGGGGCGTTGCTGGGCGGGCGGACGCTGGAGAGCGCGGTGAGGTGCGTGGACGAGGCGACGGATGGGTATGCGGTGTATTTTGGGGTGAATTGTGTGCATCCGTGCCGGATTGCGGAGGCGCTGAGGGGTGTGTCTGCGGAGGTGCGCGCGCGCATTGGCATGGTCCGGGGGAATGCGAGTCTCAAGACGCATGCGGAGCTGGATGGGACGGACGAGTTGGATCGCGGGGATGTCTCTGTGTTTGTGGAGGGGTTTGCGGAGGTGATGAGAGCGGTGCCTGGGGTTAGGGCTGTTGGGGGGTGTTGTGGGACGGATGAGGAGCATCTACAGGCCATTGCTGGGCGGTTTATTCCGGGTACTGAGTAGATTATGCCTGCCTATACTAGGTATGTATATGTGTATACCATCCAGCTAGTTGAGATACTCTCCCTTAGTCTCGGCGTGGATCATATCAAACAGCGGCTTCGCGCTAAAGTATCCAGCGGCAGGCGTGCCCACCGACTTGTACGTAAACGCCGCGTCCGCTTCGTCGATCTTGACGGTCTGGCCGCCGCGACCAGCAGCCGCAGCGTCCGCCAGCAGCTGCGCGTAGCAGCATTTCTCCAGACTCACGAACCAGAACACGCACTCCTCGATGCTCTTGCCGACCGTCAGCAGGCCGTGGTTCTGCAGCAGCGCCGCCTTCTTCTCGCCCAGCGCCTGCGCGATGTTCTTGCCCTCCTCCTCGGCGAGGACGATCCCGTTGAACTGCTTGTAGACGACGTGGTCCTGTGGGATGAGCTTCGCTCGCGGATATAAGATTCTGGGCCCGGTAGACATACATTGTAGAACGCGCACGAGTCCTGCGTGATGATATCCAGCGGCCGGCCCAGCGTGCAGAACGCACGCCCGTGGATGCTGTGGCTGTGGGCGGCGCACAGCACGTCCGGGCGTGCCGCGTGAATGGCCGAGTGGATCATGAACGCCGCCGCGTTGAGCAGCCGGCAGGGTCCGCCATCGATCACTTCCCCGGAGTGGCTGACCTGGATCAGATCGGAGGCTTTGATCTGCGAAAAGGCGACGCCAAACGGGTTCACCCAGAAGGTGGTCGGGTCGACGGGGTCGCGCAGGGTGATGTGTCCGGCGACGCCTGAGGAGTTAGCCTAGGAGCACCACTGGGTAGGTATATGATAGCAGTAGGGAGTATACCCTCATCGTAGCCGTTCTTCCCAAAGATGCGAAAAGCCGCCGCCAGCCGGCCCTTGAGATACTCGCGCTCCTTGTATTTGTCGTCGAAGACGGGCGGCTTGGGGAAGCCGGTCATCTTCACCTTGGCCTTTTGCACGCCGGCCTCCTGCGTCGACTGGCGACTCTGCAGGGTGACGGAGGCTTGTGCTGTTTCTGTTGCTGTGGGGGGCGCCATGGTGAGCAGGATGTCTGGTATGTACGGAGTAGGAGGAAGAAGATGGATGATGTCGGATATCTGGCGAGAGATAAATGCGGTTCCGCGCGGGGTAATTGGAGTTGCCGATAAGATGGAGACCGAGGTTGTATTCTCGTTGGCTCGATGTCCGCATTATTGTATATTATATGTATTATTATTATAGATGATTGTCAATCAGGCTTGTTCATTGGCATGGTGGGTACGTGTCTAGGGGCACGCCCTGTGAGTGACATCCTTGCCCAAGGCATCTATGAGCTATCGCTATCTGTCTACTTGCTGAGGACTAGGACATCCCTCGGTCCAACCGCTGGACAGCCTCCTCCTTCATGCCGTCCACCCATGCGTCCTTGCTACTGCAGAAGATCTCCAAGCCCAGCTCGCACTTCGCCCGGTGCTCGTCGTCCAGCGTGCCCGATTTCATGATGATGATCTCCGGCTTATCGCCCATCTGCGACGACAGCGGCGTGCCACAGTCCCCGCAGAACTCGCGGCGCACCTTCGGTCCTCGATCACTTGCGTCCAGGTATAGTTTCGGGGTGCCGGTCGTGTAGGTCAGCGCAGCGGATGGCACGGCGATGTTGGCGGAGAAGCCGGAGCCGGTGTAGCGTTTGCAGCTGGTGCAGTGGCAGAGGATGACCTACATCCTAGTGTCAGCTTATATATTCCCTGTTGATATCGATAGGCGACTCGTACCTTGGGGGTTGGCTCCGATGCAGGCAGATTAATGCGGTAGGTAATGTTCCGGCACAGACAGGCGCCGGTTAGGGTTTGGTCGGCCATTTTGTATATGAAGTTGTATACCACAAGTCGGTGATAAAGAAAAGGAGAAGAATCATGATCTTCTGCTTTCTTCGTATTTCTAGTGAGACATTGGCTTACTAAGACTGCCCCGCTATAGATATGAATTCATAGCATTACGTGTATAGATGGTGTATAGATGAAGTATAGAAGATGAAGTTAACGCTCGATATAAACAACGCTAGTATACCATCAATGCATTGTCAGTCATATCATCATAAAGCAAAAGGTCGTAGCACTGCTCGACGGACTTCCTCCAACGAGTCCAGTCTGTCAGGTGCCCCGAGGAACGGTTTCAAGTCGCCATCGCACAGCGTCCGCGGGGGAGGCAGCTCCCCGGTCTGGAAGTACTTTCGAATGGCAGCAGTGGTGCATATAGATGGAGCAGCCAGAGTCGAATGCTACGATCGTCAGTATGAAATCTCTATAAAACGGCCAGTACATACCCCCTCAGAGTCCTGTCGGAGTACAACAGACCCAGGAAACCGCTCAGACATAATCTCTGCACTGTTCCACTTAGCACGGCCAGAACCATAAGATGGACGGCACATACCTTTTCAACGGCGTCACCGGGTCCAGGACATTATTCACAAACAGTATCGGATGCGACGTATTCCCCGAAACGGGCCCTGAACAGTCAGAATGGCACGCTCAACTCAACAGACACCACGTACCATTAACAGCCCACTTCGGCGTCACATTCCACCGCACACAGTCCAGCTCCATCTGCGCCCAGTAATCCCCAATCGCCGCACTGGTATCGCGCAGACCCTGCCACCGCTCCCCAAACGCCCTCTCACTCAGCCCCTGCAGATACGTCGCATCACTGCACAACACCGCCATCCCGGACGCCTCGTCCTCGCCCGGCGCCTGACACTCCGCCGTCCACGGCCCCGCCTGCAGACACTCCGCCGACGGACACGACGGCGACCGCAGCCCGCTCTTCAGATCCGCCAGCGCGCCGCCGTCCCCGCGCGCCAGCTCGCTCGCATACTGCGCCAGCAGCGGAAACACCGCCAGCGGCTGGTACACCGCCACGCGCTGCAGCGTCTTCAGGTCCGTCCAGGTCACCAGCTCGGGGCCGCGGACAGCCGTCGCCGGCACGGGGACAGCCGTGTTGCGCAGCCGGTCTTCCAGCGCATCGTACGCAGCCCTGATGGCGACCGGCCCGCCCGCGACATGGAACGGACACGCCGTCGCGCCCGCCGCATCGCAGTACGCCGCGAAGCGGTCGAAGATGGCGTCCGCGTCGACGATGGGCACGCCGCCCTGCCCCGTGTAGTAGCGCTGCGCGTCGACGACGGCGTCGAGGACCGCGCGCTCGACGCGATCGGGGTATAGCGTCGCAAAGGTCGCGCCCAGGACGGTGCCGTACGACCGACCCCAGTAGAGGAGCTTTTCGCGTCCTTTCTTCCACTGTGTGCGGCGCGCGATCGCCTGCGCCGCGTCGCGGCCGTGCACACGGTCGCGTTTGCGCTGCGCCTCCTGCCCGCGCTTTCCGCGCCATTCCCCGTGTCGCTCGACGAGCTCGAGCATGTCGCGCGCGACCGGCGCCGTGTTCATGTGCTCGCCGAGTGCGTCGTGGCGCTCGCTGGCGGGTGTGGACAGTGTCCGGGCGCAGCCGGTGTTGCGCGCGACCGTGCGCGCCCAGTTGCGTGTGAACGCCTGCGCGGAGCTGCCCAGCATCCCGTCGGCCTCGCGCTGCAGATCCCAGGCCGTCTGCGAGAAGCGATCCGGGAAGCAGCTGACGCCTGGGGTGGTGTTGTTCACGCCGCGCGGGTCGAAGCCGATGATGTCAAAGTATCGGGCGGAGGGGTCGGCTGTCGGAGGAAGGGCGTTGGCGTCGGCGACGGTCTGGATGTCGCGGCCGTAGCGGAGGACTTGGGCGACGCCTGAGCCGCCGGGGCCGCCTGCGGTTGACGTTGTTAGTATAGGACGGACGGCCGTTGGAAAGGGAGAGGTACCCGGGTTGATGATGATGGCGCCGCCGTAGCGAGGGTCGGAGATGGGCACTTTGGCCGGCAGACGAGTGATGGCGATGGCAACTCGACTGCCCTGGCCGTCGGTGCGGTAGTAGTCCATCGGGACGTCCAGCCGGGCGCATTGGAAGCCATCGAAGCAGGGGCGGTATTCCAGTGAGGACGAGGGCGTAATCTGTCGATTAGTCGCTGCATTATGCTGTTCGAGGGAGATGTACCTGGCTCCAGCTGAAGGGTGTATTCTGCGCAGGATGGACCTCGAGCGAGCGAGGGGCATGGCGCAGGAAGAACCACCATAGTGCGACCAGCAGCGCCGTTCCCACCGAAGGCCGGGCTAGGCGCCCTAACAGCGGCCGCGATGGGCCTGGGGTGGCAGAGACATGGGCGGCATTGGGGACGCCGGGCTTGAGGGAGTCCATCGACCCAAGATATGGGCCAGACTCCACCGTCAGTCAAGTTCAAGGGTTGAAGGGACAATCAATACCGAGGGAAGAATGAAAGGGATGGAAGCCAATTATGAGGAGGACAATGCTGCTGATAAGGCGCTGCACTGACTAAGACGATCGACAGCAAAAGCAATAATGCTCAATGCTCGCATATGAGGGGTTTGCTGTGCATGGAGATAGACTCCTTCAGAGGGGGAGTATACTTGTTGAGCATGAGAAGTATACCAGTCTGAGGAATATATCTACATCGGGTGCGAAACTGCTCTGGATGAGAGAAGACTAGTACAAGTATGCTACGGTCGCATAAGAAATGTCTGAATTTCTGGATCTAAATCTCTGCTGAACTATGGAAGCGCCACTGATGGATGTATCTTGGGAATGCAACCATGGTGTCTGTCTGTCATGAATCACCGCATCATACATGAAGAGATTTACTATACTCCTAGAGTATACCAGGTACGCTCGAGTATAGAAGCGATAATCGGTATGAAGCATCTTCGGCTCACTTGCTCTTTACAGTAGAATCCAGAGATCGGCTGTCTTCAAGTACCGCTAACTACATACATACTTCATTCAATACTCCATTTCTCCATCTCTCCATCTCTCCATCTCTCCTCTACCTAACATGCACCATCACGAGCACCCTGCATCCATCCTGCAGCTACTCGGCATCGCCTGATCCATGGCGGCGTCGATCCCTGCTGGCTGCCCCTCACTGGGACGTGTCTAGTCGCAAGTCCTACCGGTTAGTGTCTAGCTGCTAGTCTGCTTCTGCTAGTAATCGGCAGAGTGTCGATCCTGCAACTGCACTCTTCACCATCCTTCATCTTCCATCTCCCATCCATTCCACTGTCCACTGTCCACAGGCTACACTCAGGCGGTGGCTGTCCTCGACTGGCTTCTGCATCGATAGATCACGACAGAGCATGCCCACTGGTCCTTCATTGTACGATACTCACCATGACGGTCTGGAGCTTTCTCCACTCGCAGACCAGCCACGATGGCCGATCCACCTCCTCCACCGACTACGAGAAACATCCCGAGATCGAAATCTCCGTGCAAGAGGATCGTGCGCCAGAGCAATCCGCCGGCGTCGTCAAGATCGAGGCCGTCGAGGCCGTCGGAGGGCGCAAAGGACGCTACTTTCTATATGCCGGGTGCGTTTCTATACTCGGTAGATTGGTTGATACTGACGATGCAGACTGGCCATGATCATGATCATCTAGTAAGTATACACCCATCCACTGCTGCACACAGCTAATATCTAGTCTATAGCGAACTGGATAACTCCACCGTGGGCACGTATCGCAACTTTGCTACCTCCGACTTTGACCAGCTCCCCATGCTGGCCACCCTCAATACCGCCGCCAGCATCATCACTGCCGTCTGCAAACCGCCCATTGCCAAAATCTCCGACGTCCTGGGCCGCGGCGAGGCCTACCTGCTCACCCTCATCCTCTACATCCTCTCCTACATCCTCTGCGCCTCGTCGCGCAGCTTCAGCACCTACGCCGGCGGCTACGTCCTCTACGCCGTCGGCACCGCCGGCACCGCCATCCTCAACTCCACCGTCGTCTCCGACCTCTCCTCCATGCGCTGGCGCGGCTTCGTCTACAACATCCTCTACCTCCCCTTCCTGATCACCCCGTGGATCTCCGCCTTCATCGTCCAGAGCGTCGTCCACGGCATCGGCTGGCGCTGGGGCATCGGCATGTTCGCCATCCTCATGCCCGTCGGCGCCGCCCCCATCATCACCACCCTGCTCGTCTTCCAGCGCCGCGCCCGCGCCGCCGGCCTCATCCTCACCGAGCGCCTCAGCCCCCGCGCCTTCGCCTCCCGCATCGACCTCGGCGGCATCGCCCTGCTCTGCGCCGGCTTCGCCCTCCTCCTCATCCCCATCACCGTCGCCGCCATCACCCCCGCCCGCTGGCGCACCCCCTGGGTCGACCTGCTCATCGCCCTCGGCGCCGCCACCCTGCTCGCCCTCTACCCCTACGAGAAATACGCCGCCCGCCACCCCGTCCTCCCCGTCCGCTACTTCCGCACCCTCTCCGTCGTCGTCGCCGTCGCCCTCGCCGCCATCGACAACATCGGCTTCGGCGCCACCCACACCTACCTCTACGTCTGGTCCATCGTCGCCCACGACTTCTCCCCCCGCGACGCCCAGTTCCTCAACTACGCCAACGGCGTCATGCAGGCCCTCGTCGGCATGGCTACCGGCCTGCTGATGTACCGCACGCGCCGGTACAAGTGGATCGGCGTGGCGGGGGCGGTTATCCGGCTGGTCGGGTATGGGGTGATGGTGCGTCTGCGCACGAACGAGAGCTCCGTCGCCGAGCTGTTCATCGTCCAGCTGGTGCAGGGCGTCGGCAGCGGGGTTATCGAGACGATTGTCATTGTTGCGGCGCAGATCGCTGTCAGCCATGCCGAGCTGGCGCAGGTTACGTCGCTGATAATGTTGGGGTCGTTTTTGGGGAATGGTATTGGGTCTGCGATTGCGGGGGGGATCTATACGGGGGAGCTGCGGGGACGGCTGCGGTTGCATATGGGCGCGCATACGGATCAGGCGTTGGTCGAGCGGTTGTTTAATTCGATTACGGATACGCTGCCGGCGTGGGGGACGCCGGAGCGCACGGCGGTTAGCCAGGCTGTAAGTGTCTGTCCTCTTGTGTGGGAGTTGCGCTGACGATGCAGTATTCGGATGTGATGGGGTGTGTTCAAAGGACCCGGTCGCTACCTAGGTACCTATATGATGTGCTAACTGGTGCAGGTATATTACTATCGCTGCGCTGGCATTCTCTGTGCCGGTGGTCCTGCTTGCGCTCATCCTGCCTGACAAGCGTCTTGGGTATGTCAACACAATTAGAGCGTACGACAGTACTGATGTATACAGGGACGGGCACAACCTGGTGCAAGAACCAGACGCAAAACCCGACGACCAGACATGAGCTAGATACATTATGATTATGATGTGATATATGACAGTAGATACAATCAACGCTGATCCCATGCTATTTCCCCGGCGACCCCAACACACACACAAACTTCCTCTCCGGCGTCCCATCCAGCGCATTCTTAACCAAATTCCACAAATTCAGATCATACGCCAGCCCAATATGCCCGACAGGATCCAGCGGACACACATCCTGCACCCAGACATTGCGCACGCCGTCCTCATGCACAAACGCCGTCTCGACGGGCGTCACCATCTCATCAAACCGCGACGCAATCACCGTAACCTCGTTCCCCTCCTGCGCAATCGGCTCCCCATCATTCAACCGCGCAATCGCCTCCCCACCAATCCCCAGCTCATCGCACGCCGCACACCCCACCGTATCCAGCACCGTGCCGACCAGCTCGCGCGACGTATTCCCCAGCAGATACGCCAGCTTGTACAGCCCGCCAAACGTGGTCCCGTGCGTCGGCGGCGCCACGGCCACGATCTTGTCCACGAGCGCCGCCACGCCGTCCTCGAACTTCGGCGTGTACAGCGCCTGGAATGCGCCCTCCGAGTGGCCGACCAGGTCGACCTTGCTCGCGCCGGTCTTGGCGGCGACTTTGCGGATGTAGGCGGCGACTTGCGCGGAGGATTCGGCGATCGGTTTGAGGCCGCCGACCAGTGGGAAGGCTGGGTATTCGCCGTAGGTCTGGGCGAAGGTGCAGTAGCCCTGGCTTTGTAGCCAGCCTTGCAGGACGTTGAGGTCTTCGTACCAGGTTGCGCCGAGGCCGTGGTGCAGGATTACCGGGTTGGGGTGCTTGGTGCTGCGGCAGGAGAAGTCGTTGATGCTGGTGGAGAGGGCCCCCGTGAGGAGCAGGGTGCTCGTGAGGAGGGAGAGGTGCATTTTGGCGGAGGGCCCTGAGGGGGATTGTGAGGGTCTGAGGGATGGGGATGGGATGGAAACGGGGGCAGACTGCTAGGGCTGGTATTTATTCTTAGGGGTTGTGCTCGGGTGCTCCCCGAAAGGGGCTGAGCTGAGTTGGTTGTGCAGGTCCAGCAGATTCAGTGGAAAATTGCGGAGATCCCTGTGATAGATCGTGATGGCCCTGCTGATGGATCGAGACGGATCGCGTCGGCACCAGCAGATTGGATCGTGGAGTGGAGAGGATCCTCTGGTGTTGACTAGTGCCGCCACTATTGAACCATTGTCTTACAAAAAGCAATCCGGTGGATCGGAACTATACTGTATACCCCGTAGTGGACAGCCGATCGTAATGTATTGAAGTGGCTTCTGGAATGTTGGCTGCCATGAGCATGCCGTAGGGAAAATGCTCCATTCCTGTCATAGTATAAACCCTGAAATGCCAACAAGTGGCTCATACATTAGTAGATAGTTGCAGCCATAGCCGCTGCAGTCATAAGCTTTATCGTCACTCATAATCGTGAATCCTTCCCAACGCGTTTACGCTGATCCTGGCGACCCAGCGCGAGGAGACAGCTCCGACATCCCACTCCCCCAAAGTCCTAATGCATGTCGTCTCTCCACCAGTTTTAACACTTCGTACAAGAATTGTCGCTCCGGCCCGCCGTCGGGAAACACCTCCCAGGCCACGCGCACCGGAAACGCCAGGCGGTTGATCATGTTCCCCGGCGCCGTCAATATATACCACTCCAGCGTTCGGCAGATCCCGCAGCCGAGCGCGTACTGCTCCGGCGGACCGACCCTCCCTTCCGGACGGGTGTCCACCGACGACAGGATTAGCCGCGTGGTAAAGTACAGGCACATGGTCTGCGCCAGGCGGAGGTCCGGGTAAACGAATTTCGTGGGGGTGATGATGGCTCCCGTGCGGAGATCCCGACACTGGAACACGGGGAACTGCCCCGTCGGCGTCGCCTCGACTTCTCGAGGAGGTCCGTCGGGATACCCATCCACCCACGTCGTCTTCCATTGCAGCAGCCGGCCTGTCAGATCGGCCACCCCGTTCCACAGCGCCGTCTGTTTCACCGTCTTCTCGTGCGCGCCCATCACAGGCTCCACGGCGGCCTGGAGCTCGTCGTGTTGCGCCAACAGAGCCGGCACCTCGACCGTCAGATCGAGCAGATGGTGCAGGATGTCTTTTTGCGTGGTTCCGGCCGACCACGGCACCGTCTTCCATTCTTCGCTGGCAAAGAATGACGGTTGACGGCTTGCAAGAGCGGCGCCCACCTACACTCGTTAGTATGCATACTGACAGTGAGCAGAGCACATACCCAATAGGGACGCAGCTCGGTAAAGAGTAAATGCTCCACGCCATATACATGAGCTTCCGGGCCTCGATGTTCGATTAGACGCACAGCGCCATGGACGTGGGCTATAAGCGACGCTTGTGTAGTTCGCTCGACGCTCTAAACCGCATTAGTTACCGTCGACCATCGAGAACGGCGGTGGCTCACCTCAAACGCCATCAGCAGAATGACGGTCGCCAAGGTCGACTCGGCGCGACTCCGCTCAGGATCCTGCAGCGCCTGTTGTAGTTTTCGCAGCACCCGCGGGTACAGATGGTGCCCCGACATCTCGATCCGCTTGTCCTGGATGCACCGCCCAAAAAACGCGACCGAGACCGCCTCAAACGCATCCTGCAGAATGGGCGAGAACATGCGGATTTCCGCGGCCCGTCGCAGGGCCCCCGCCTGGCCCGCTTTCACATCGACCTCCGGGCTAAAGGCATCCACGAACCGCTCGACAAACACGTCGATCATGGTTTTCGGCGAGTACAAGCCCGGGAGGGAGATGCCGGAATCATTGCTGTCCTCCGACGGGCTGCGGTTGAAATCGAACCCTTCGGACTGGTAGTAGTTGGGAAAGCCCAACGCCGTGCGTCCATCGTCCTCACTGTCAGACGAGGCATACCGCGTGACGGCATAGTCTTCGTACGCTATTGATCCACATCCACGTCAACCATGGGCCTCCGGCGCCGGAAAGGCAGCACGCACCTTCTATCCCCTCCCACGGCCCCACCGATATCAGCTCCCGGTTCAACTCCCCCCGGGACGCGCGAATGTCCGCGACAATCCGATCGACCACGTCCAACGGTGCCGAGCGGATCGACTCGACCAGGGACTGCAGCTTCGCTAGCTGCCATTGGTGTCGGTTGCGGTTCCGGTGTTCTGAGACGGAAGGGCCCGATCAGCCGACAATCCTTACTCTTATGAAGGCGGGTGGAACGGCTTACCGCGGTCGTTGAGACGCGCCGTGAGGTCCTGGATTTCCGCCCGGAGATTACGTATTTCCTCGGCCTGGCTGACGGGCTGGAGATCCTCGTCGGGACTGAAGTCGTATACGCATTTGGACGGGTACCCGTGGGCACAGCATGCATGACAGGGTTTTACGCGATCACACTATAGCGAGGGTCATTAAGATGTTTGGAATGTACTCCGTAAAGTGCGGAAATTGTTTCCACCCAACGGAGACGTTCTAGATCCAGGTATATCCAAGTATAGTAGTACTTGGTGGTACGCACCTTCACCTTGCGGAGTCGACAGACCTTGCAGGATCGGACCTGACGGGAGGTTTGATTAGGCTTGACAGCTGTCTTGTCGACCCGCCGTCGGTCGGATTCCAGCGCAGGCTGCGAATCGGTGACAACCATCAGCGGCGGCGGTGGAGAGTCGGCAGCAGGCATCCAAGGGTCCTGATGGGAAGCAAAAGGGGATGGGCCAACAGCACGGCGAGATCGCAGCAAGCGAGATCAGGACGAGCATGTCCGAGATTGCTCGCCCTTCGCTTACGGCGCAGAGGCCCACTGGCGTCGCTTGCGCCGAGGAGCGTCCAATAATCGGGGGGATGGGTGAGACGGTGTCACACTAGGTGGGACACGAACGCGCCAAGAGGTGAGGACTGGAAGTGAGATTGGGGGGGTACAGAGTATTGGGATGGTAAGGAGGTACGGACAAGTACTTGCAAGATGTTAGGGTCATGAAGACGGTCTCCTGCGTGCCATGATTGCATTCAGCTGAGCTGACTGAGAAAGAGGAAGAAGAAGCAAATAGAAAGAAGAAAAGAAGAGCTTCAAATCCCGAGTTGATCATTTGCCTAATGGGGTATAGTGTAGAATATCGATTGGGACTAGCTCGGGTCAGAGAGGATGACGTACTGGGTGTATAATGTGTCATAACTGCATAACATTATGCATATTGTACACCTGATTGTGTACATATGTAGTAATAGTTGGAGAGATGGTATATACGTAGGTAGTATCATGAGAGTATTCCAGGATACTGCGAATGATCGACTCTAGGATGCACCCCTTGCTGATCACCCGTGGTCTACCTAGTAGTAGCATCAGAACCATATCTTCTTAATCTGCAAGTATCCTCCAACTCCCTCTATTGTACTACATATATATATCAATCTCCATATAGACTAGGGAGCTACATACAGCACGGAACAACCCAACAAGACGCAGTAGAGATCTCTCATTTCCCACAGGCCATCAACCTCTCCATAGGGATACAGGGAACATATCGTATCTTTTGCCCTTGGAATTCCTCCGATCCCTCCCGCCCTCTTGGTACTACATCCTTCTCCTCATCAACACCGAACGATATCCGACATCCCCGCCCCCAGACAGCAAGACAGCGCAGCCAATGACACTCAGAATCTACCAGAGTCATCAACATCTGTACGAGCTAGCTCAATCCATGGTCCGCCGCCATGATACCAACCCGATGGTGGTGTTCTTGGACCGGCGCAACTCCGCTGGCGCCATCCAGCCCTCTGAGCGACACGTGCGTATCTGGGTGGAAGGCTCGCGCGGTGTCCGAGTTGGGGCCGACAGCCGCGCGACAACGCCATGGGAACGGTGCCAAGGAGGAAGAGCGGTGGGCGTGTAGGAGAAAGTCCGGAGTGTCCTGACAGCGCGGGATCCCGAGGACTTGGCATGGGATGGGCTCAGGGGAGTACATGCATATACTGTCCTGTGTTGGTCTACTAGAAGGGGTCGGGCGGTAGCAAGGCTTGGTTTGGGGTATATGCAGGGGGACTATCAGTGAGTATAACTAGAATAGATGACCGACAGGTTGAGGTACAATAGCGTAGGTAGCTTAACACCTCCTGTACCTAGTAACTAAGGTACCTAGGTCCCTAGCTAAGTTAGTAGGGTAGGTCTGCAAGCCGATCTTGGTAGCCGAACGGAGATGCTGCGAGCCAAGCATGGGTAGCCTCGGATATGACCACTGGTCCAAGCTTGTCGCAGGCCAGACTGATCAAGATTCTGAGTCGTGTCTTAGCCTGAATCAGAGGGTGAATTACCCATCCAATAAAGCAACCCTGCAGGACTTCCCTATCCAGCCAGCGGTCCGATAATGCAGCCGTCATACGGTCTCTGTACTGACTGTCTTCCCCGCTGACCCGTCTCCAACCAGCACATGGTAGCTCTAACTAGTGTTCGGGTGAGAAGTGGAACGGATGGACCCTCTCAAGAAAAGACCATTGGATTGGATAGCATGCCCGGACATAGTCCGACTGAGCGACTGAGCGATGGATGAAGAAGAATAGAGTGTTGTCTGGCACAGACCCTGGCCAGCCGCGTGGGGGTCTGCACTACTCCGGAGTACCTCCACTCTCCCACCCTCGACGGGCTCTCCCCGGCTTTTCTCCGCATTTTCTTCCCCAGGATGATATCACCCCACCCAATTACACTTTGTCCCCCCCACGCTTACCGTTGCTAGAACACACCCTAGGGCCGTCTACACGAGGTTCCTAGTCGATTCGTCTGTGATTGCCAGTAGGATAGGCATAACAGTACCTGGTAGTCCTAGTCCGGATAGTCCTGGGCCGGGTGTGACATTCCCTGTGCGCCGTGGTCCTATATAATCCCCTGTCCCAGTCTCCGTCGGTCCTCTGTTCCCTCCCACGTCCAAATCTACAAGAACTCATCCATACTATCCACCATGACGGAGGTGGTCACCGACAAGGAGCTCATGGCCGAAAAGGGCGACATCGCCCACGAGGAGGTCTTTCATCTCTCCCAGCTCACCGAGGAGGAGAAGCAGATCGAGCGCAAGCTGCGCATTCGCATTGACTCGCTGATCATGCCCATGGTCATTCTCGTCTATCTCATGAACTATATCGACCGGTGAGTCTTCCTCCTTCATACTGCAGGGGCAGCGAAACTGACTGATTAGAAACAACTATGCCGCCGCCAAACTCCAAGGCCTCACCGAAGACCTCAAACTCACCGACGCCCAGTACCAGACCGGCCTGTCCATCCTCTTCGTCGCCTACATCCTCATGCAGGTCCCCTCCAACCTGCTGCTCAACTACATGGGCAAGCCATCGCTCTATCTCGGCTTCTTCACCGTCATGTGGGGCCTGGTCTCACTGGTGACCAGCCAGTGCCACAACTACGCCGGCATCGTCGCCTGTCGCTTCTTCCTCGGCTTCGTCGAGGCCCCCTTCTTCGCCGGCGTGCTTTTCTACCTGTCCAAGTGGTACACCAAGAAGGAGCTGGCCTTTCGCATGAGTATCTTCTACTCGGGATCCCTGCTGAGCGGCGCGTTCGGCAACCTCATCGCTGCCGGCATCCTCAACGGTCTGGCCGGCCACCGCGGCCTCTCCGCCTGGAAATGGCTGTACATCATCGAAGGCGCCATTACCATGTTCATCGGCATCCTCGTCGCCCTCGTGCTGCCCGACTTCCCCGACACCTGGCGGCTCCTCTCGCCCGAGATGAAGCGCGTCGCCAACCGCCGCCTGGCCATCGAGGCCGCCGAGGCCGACGTCGACGAGGCCGGCAAGATGAGCCAGCTCAAGGGCCTCAAGCTCGCCTTCACCGACGTCAAGACCTACGCCCTCGCCATCGCCTACATGTCCATCACCGGCGCCAGCGGCTTCCAGAACTTCTTCCCCACCCTGACCGAGACTCTCGGCTACAGCAAGATCATCTCGCTGCTGCTCGTCGCCCCGCCCTACATCTTCATGGTCATCTACAGTCTGTCCCACTCCTACCTGTCCGACCACTACGGCAAGCGCTTCTGGTTCTTCGTCTATCCCATTCCCATCACCATCGTCGGCTTCATCATCTTCATGACCACCACCGGCTTCGGGCCCCGCTACTTCTCCTTCTTCCTGATGGTGTTTGTCTTTGCTCAGAACGGCACCGTCTACTCGTGGATCGCCAATGCCATCCCCCGCCCCCCGGCCAAGCGCGCCGCCGCCTACGCCTTTATCAACTCCGTCGGCAACTCCGCCAGCATCTGGACCCCCTACACGTACCGCCACGGGGATGCGCCGTTCTACCGGCCGGCGATGGGGGTGTGTATCGCGCTGCAGGCGCTGGGCGCCCTGATGGCCGTCTTCATGTACTTCCACCTGCGGTCGCTGAACAAGCGCCAGGAGCGGCTGGAGAACGAGGACGTGGTGCTGACGGATAAGGAGCTGCGACGACTGCAGCACACGGCGGAGGTGGAGAATATCACGGTCGCAGAGGCGCGGCTATTGCAGAAGGGATTCCGGTATGTGGTGTGATGGATGGGTGGGATGGAAGTATCCGTATTATGATGACGATGTACATAAGTTCAGTTCGTTTGGGGACTGCAGGTTAATGAAACAATGCGTGAAACATTGCCATGACATCATCAAGGGAGCTAGGGGTGAAGAATGACTTTCGGCATTCGACTGATGCTTTCGGAAGGTATGGACGGACCGATCGATACGGAGTAGAGTCTCTGCCGTCATCCCAGAGACCCGTTCCTATTCGTTCCGATCCCCTGAGGATCCTCGCTCTGTCCTTGAGAAGGGATTGTAGCGTAGTTTGTGTAGATTGACAGGGCTGCAATGCACGCATTGCACTGACACTAACACTAACACTAACAGACCAGCTACCAGCTCTCACTGACGATAGCCATTTGCACATGTACGTCTCAATCAGGCGAGTCGTCATGACTTCGTCCCCAGACCACATGGTTGTCAACTCCCGGTCCCACGGGCTCCAGTTGCGACCGTGGTGCTGTCAGAGAGTCGCCTAGGTACGTCCTGCATCAGAGTTCGTCTTCGCTGTTAGGGAAGGTCTCGGAAAGCCCGCAGACTCCTTCATTGGCCGTCCGGAATCTCGGCTGCATTTCATTCTCGGCTCGCCTTCTGTATCGGTGGCGGTGGCACTCGCCGGCATGTCGACTGGCAACCAATATGCTTCAACACTGCAGACGTCGAACTGAGGAATCGACACGGCGAAAGCTTCATTTCCATATTTCTGACGACCGCAAAAACTCGATGATGACGAGCGATCGGGATGACACGACCGATTTGGCACCCAAAGGTCTGGTTACGCGACGAGAATGCCGCTGCAGCGATCCTACCGGGGATCAACAGCGGAGAAGCGGTAAATAGTTAGGTCCAAAGCGACAAGCGACGGGGGGGAGATGATATCATCCCACATGGCGGAGAAACGACACCCAGCGGCTCCCTTGCGTGAGTCCCCCTGTATGGTCGACCGTGGCGGAGGACAATCGTCCGTCATGGAGGGCCGTTCTGCATCATCAGTCGCCGGATCGGGGGGTGACCGGTCACGTGAGTCGCCCTGCCTGGCAACCGCCCAAGTATATAGACTCCAAGGGCCCAGTGATTCTGTCTTCCCTTGTTAGATAACATACATCAGTCAGTCAGTCAGTCAATCATCAGCCTCTGGAGAAGTACCTCCTTCGTTGCAACTTATCATCAGTTGTCCTGTCAGCCACTCCACTTCTCCAGATCGTCACCCCGCATTTATCCACACCATGTTCATCGAAGCCTCTCGTCCTCTCGTTCGTGCCAGTGGCAACGCCCGTCGGTCGCGTTCCTTTTCGATCGCGGTGCCTGCCCGGAAAGAAGGTGATATGTGGTCCCCCAAGCCTCGTGGCTTTCTCGCCGAGTATGTTCTCTCCTGGGTGTTCGCCGGCCCCTGATGACATCATCGGGCATGCCGGTGTCTGGCAGCGCTGACCGATCATGTAGGAAAAACACCCCCACGACTCGTGAACCCCGTCGGGAGTCCCTCTCGTCAGAGAACTATCTCCTCAAAGCCCAACAGGCGGAACAGCTCCGCACTCTGCGATACAAAATGCATCAACACCGTCAGCATCTCGATGAGCTCGACCGGTTTATGTAAGTTCCTTGCCTTCACCCGAGATTTCTCTCACTCCCTCGAAAGAGATCAGCCTGACGCGTATGGCCAGAACTTCGCCCGAATCCTTGAAATATAGCGCATACAGTGCCATGCATCAGGGTAGCCAGGGTCCCAGCTACACCTTCCGCGAGTTTTGAATATTTGGTTTGATTCTTGTGCTGCATTACATACCCAGATCTCTCGAGATCAACTGTCACATAGAGCACGCGCTGGAGGATCATTGATTGATCCGCTGCAACGCTGCTAGCCCCACGATTGTCATGCTGGATATGGCTGGGGGTTGCACGGATGACTGTAGATACCATTGCATGTGTTATGTCTCGTTAGTGTTCTCTAATGGAAGGTTCCATTGGTTTCCAGGTTGTTTTGCTGCCATGTTGCCGGTAATTGGGCCGGTTCAGGCCGGATGCAACTTGGAGATGAGTAGCATGTCGGATATCCGGAGTAGTCGGAGGGACTGAGCGATAGTTCGTTGATGTGAGATGTTTCGGCTGTCAGATAGATAAGATCGGCGACTGGCGTCATCTCGGCTCGGAAGCATCAAGGCAATGTATCCGCTGACACCGATTATGACTCTGGTCGTTTGTGACAGGCCGGATCTATCACACTATGTGAGATGTCCATCTTATCCCACCAGACGCGTAAGTACTGCACCGGAGGATGCATTGATGCAGTGGTTCGTCTTGCTTGAGGGAAGAGCTACAATGCCCTCGCGCCATGTGGCGTCTAACTTGATAGTTTTAACTATTAGGGAATGAGGATTCCCAGGGATCTTCGATCTTGTAGTTTAGTTTTTCAGAGGCTCAACAAGTAGGGTAGTATATGGTACATAGTGTAGACAGATATATATCTCGAACTAGTTAGACACAGGATTATCTCCATAGAACGAGTATAACTCGGTGATAGTAGCTGCCACTTCCGACCAACAATGGAACCTTGATCGTCTTATCTCCGAGAATCGATCTGAATAGAATCTTCTTTTCTTTAAATGGATCGTACTATGGACCAGGAATTCGGAGGACAGAGTTGTCCGCTGACTCAGCGGCAGTAACCCAACAAGTCATCATGCTTGGCCTCTGATTGGCCGTTGATCTGACTCAGCGGAATTGCACGACACGACGGAACCTCCGAGCGCCGATCGTCCGAGCCATCGACCTCCACCAGGACAATAATATTGATGATACTAATCGTCGCAAACTCTGACATGTGTTCTTTTACGCCCCTATCCTGGCCCAATTCCACGGCTTCTGTCGGGCTTTGTGTCCTCTCGGCCTCGGACATGCGAGATAACCTCCCGGTCCGCAGGCTACAATAACTGCTCTGTATGCTCCGTACCCACCCACATGGCTCACGGAGCATCAATCCGGCCGACTTTTCTCTCTCTAGAACACCGTTCCGTGATAATCTAGACACTGACATCCACCAATTGGATGGTTTCTCAATCGGCGGTGGATCTTTCATCATGGAAGCTCCTACTCCGTCGCCGAGGGCTCTCCCTCGACCCACTCTAGGGACAATGGTTCTTATATAGCACTTATCCTCGGCTGATCCTGTTCACGCCGCTTTTTTCTCTCTCTTAGTTCACATTATTGATCAGGAAGAATCGTTCCTGAGACCTCGCTGTCCCTTCCCCATGGAGGAACATGGTCAAACTCCCCATCCTCGGCCGTACGACACCGACAGTACAGCCACCGTCATGGCAGACGAGGCCCCCTCGGCTTCTCATACCCCCAACACGAGCCGCGCTGACAACTGGGCTCTGATGCCCCAGGTTAAGGAGCAGAACCAACGCGATGTCGACTCGGGCTTCCATCGCCGCGAACTCGGCGTCACCTGGAAGAATCTCAGCGTCGAAGTCGTCAGCGCCGAGTCCGCCGTGAACGAGAACTTCTTCTCCCAGTTCAACATTCCCCAGCTTATCAGGGAGTCCCGCAACAAACCCCCGCTGCGCACGATCCTCGACAACAGCCATGGGTGCGTCAAGCCCGGCGAGATGTTGCTGGTGCTGGGTCGTCCCGGCTCCGGTTGCACCACCCTCCTCAAAATGCTGGCGAACCGACGCCTGGGTTACCGTGCAGTGGAAGGTGACGTCCGGTATGGCTCGCTGACGGCAGACGAGGCCGCCCACTATCGTGGCCAGATCGTCATGAATACCGAGGAGGAGCTGTTCTTCCCCACGCTGACTGTCGGTCAAACTATGGATTTCGCAACCCGCCTGAAGATCCCCTTCCACCGTCCGAAGGGGGTCGAGTCGGCCAAGGCGTATCAGCAGGAGACGAAGAAGTTCCTCCTAGAGTCGATGGGTATCTCGCACACCCACGATACCAAGGTCGGCAACGAGTACGTCCGCGGCGTGTCGGGTGGTGAGCGAAAGCGTGTCTCCATTATTGAATGTATGGCGACTCGGGGTTCCGTCTTCTGCTGGGATAACAGTACCCGTGGGTTGGATGCCAGCACGGCCCTCGAGTGGACCAAGGCCGTTCGCGCCATGACCGATGTGCTGGGTTTGTCTAGTATCGTCACCCTGTACCAAGCCGGGAATGGTATTTACGACCTCTTCGATAAGGTCCTGGTGCTGGACGAGGGAAAACAGATCTATTATGGCCCTATGACGCAGGCCCGTCCTTTCATGGAGAACCTGGGCTTCGTCTGCCGCGAGGGCTCCAACGTGGCTGATTTCCTGACCGGTGTGACCGTCCCCACCGAACGCAAGATCAGACCCGGCTACGAGAGCCGCTTCCCCCGGAACGCCGAGGCAATCAAGGTTGAATACGAAAAGTCGTCCATTTACTCCGAGATGGTGGCCGAATACGACTATCCAGACAGCGACCAGGCGCGTCGCTGCACCGACGAGTTCAAGCTCTCCGTGAGGGAGGAGAAGAACAAGAAATTGCCGGACAGCAGTCCATTCACGGTCGATTTCGTCGACCAAGTGAAGACCTGTATTATTCGGCAGTATCAGATCCTCTGGGGTGACAAGGCCACCTTTCTCATTAAGCAAGTGTCGACGCTCATCCAGGCTTTGATCGCTGGTTCGCTTTTCTACAACGCGCCTAATAACTCCGGCGGTCTGTTTGTCAAATCCGGTGCCCTCTTCTTCTCGTTGCTCTTCAACAGTCTGCTTTCCATGTCGGAGGTGACCGATTCTTTTAGCGGCCGGCCTGTCCTGATCAAACACAAAAGTTTTGCTTTTTTCCATCCGGCTGCCTTCTGCATTGCGCAGATCACGGCGGATATCCCAGTTTTGCTGTTCCAGATCTCCATCTTCTCGCTGGTGGTTTACTTCATGGTGGGCCTCACCACGTCGGCATCCGCCTTTTTCACCTACTGGATTCTGGTCTTCGCCACGACCATGGTTATGACTGCGCTGTTCCGCGCGATCGGAGCTTTGTTCACCACGTTTGACGGTGCCTCCAAAGTGTCGGGTTTCTTCATCTCCGCCCTAATCATGTATACCGGTTACATGATTCAAAAGCCGCAGATGCACCCGTGGTTTGGCTGGATCTACTGGATCAACCCTCTCGCCTACGGATTCGACGCCCTGTTGTCCAACGAGTTCCACAACAAGATCATCCCGTGTGTCGGCACCAACCTCGTGCCCACTGGTCCTGGATATGAAAACGCCGTCGGCCATCAGTCCTGTGCGGGCGTGGGAGGCGCCATCCAGGGCAACAACTATGTCACAGGAGATCAGTACCTGGCCTCCCTGTCGTATAGCCACAAGCACGTGTGGCGCAACTTTGGTATCCTCTGGGCGTGGTGGGCGCTGTTTGTGGCGATCACCATCATTGCTACTACTCGCTGGAAGGCCGCCTCGGAGAGCGGAAGCTCGCTCCTGATCCCGCGTGAGAGACTGGAAAAACACCGCCAGGTCGTCCGTCCCGACGAGGAATCTCAGTTCGACGAAAAGTCCAAGACCCCCCAGGATAGCCGCTCGCAGGATGACGATATTGACAAGCAGCTCGTCCGCAACACCTCCGTCTTTACCTGGAAGGACCTGACCTATACGGTGAAGACGCCCTCGGGCGATCGCATGCTTCTGGACCACGTGTACGGCTGGGTGAAGCCCGGTATGCTGGGCGCCCTGATGGGCTCGTCTGGCGCGGGAAAGACAACCCTGTTGGACGTGTTGGCGCAGCGCAAGACGGAGGGCACTATTCATGGTTCGATCATGGTGGACGGCCGTCCCCTGCCGGTATCTTTCCAGCGTTCGGCGGGCTATTGTGAGCAGCTCGATGTGCACGAGCCTTTCGCTACCGTGCGTGAGGCGTTGGAGTTCAGCGCTTTGCTCCGTCAGCCCCGGGATGTCCCTGATGCCGAGAAATTGAAGTATGTGGATACGATTATCGACCTGTTGGAACTGCACGATATCGCCGACACGTTGATTGGCCGCGTGGGTGCTGGATTGAGCGTTGAACAGCGGAAGCGTGTCACTATTGGCGTGGAGTTGGTCTCGAAGCCCAGCATTTTGATCTTTTTGGACGAACCGACCTCCGGTCTGGATGGCCAATCGGCCTACAACACGGTCCGATTCCTGCGAAAGTTGGCGGACGTTGGTCAGGCTGTGTTGGTGACGATCCACCAGCCGTCTGCTCAGCTCTTTGCCGAATTTGACACCCTGCTTCTGCTGGCTAAGGGCGGTAAGATGGTCTATTTCGGTGACATTGGTGACAATGGCCAAACTGTCAAGGACTATTTCGCTCGCTACAATGCCCCGTGCCCTCCGAATGTGAACCCGGCCGAACATATGATCGACGTCGTGTCTGGCGCTCTCTCCCAGGGTCGCGATTGGAACCAGGTGTGGAGCGAATCGCCGGAAAACCAGAAGGCCATGGCGGAGCTCGACCGGATCATCCAGGACGCGGCCTCGAAGCCTCCTGGTACGACCGATGATGGGCACGAGTTTGCCACGAGTCTCTGGTACCAGACCAAGGTTGTCAGCAAGCGCATGTGCGTCGCTATCTTCCGCAACACCGACTATATCAACAACAAACTGGCTCTTCATGTTTCGTCTGCCCTGTTCAACGGCTTCTCGTTCTGGATGATCAGCGATACCGTGCACTCCATGCAGCTCCGTCTCTTCACCATCTTCAACTTCATTTTCGTCGCCCCGGGTGTCATCAACCAGCTGCAGCCGCTTTTCCTCGAACGCCGCGACATCTACGATGCGCGCGAGAAGAAGTCCAAGATGTACTCGTGGGTGGCTTTCGTCACGGCGCTGATCGTTTCCGAAATCCCCTACCTCTGCCTGTGCGCCGTGCTCTACTTCGCCTGCTGGTACTACACGGTCGGCTTCCCGACGGACTCGAACAAATCCGGCGCGGTGTTCTTCGTGATGCTGATGTACGAATTCGTCTACACCGGCATCGGCCAGTTCATCTCCGCCTACGCGCCCAACGCGATCTTCGCGTCGCTGACCAACCCCCTGATCCTCGGTACCCTGGTCTCCTTCTGCGGTGTATTGGTGCCATACCAGCAGATCCAGGCCTTCTGGCGCTACTGGATCTACTGGATGAACCCCTTCAACTACCTGATGGGCAGCATGTTGACGTTTACGGTGTTCGACGTGGAGGTCCGGTGCAAGGAGTCGGAGTTTGCCCTGTTCGACCCGCCCAACGGGACCACCTGCGCCAGCTATCTGTCGAGCTACATGCATACGACCGGGGCGCGCATGAACCTCACCAACCCCGACGCCACCGAGGGCTGTCGCGTCTGCGAGTATACGCGCGGTAGTGATTATCTGGTGACCATCAACCTGATGGACTACTACTACGGGTGGCGGGATGCGGCTATCGTGGTGTTGTTTGCGCTGAGCTCGTATGCGCTTGTGTATGTGCTGATGAAGTTGCGGACCAAGGCGTCGAAGAAGGCGGAGTAATCGAAGTTGGAACCTTGGAAGATTGGGGAAGATACTTGCGTTACTGTCTTTTTGTTGCATTGCAGGGCCATGTTAATATACCTGATAGACTTGAACTTGTTAATTAATAGATTTAGCAATAGACTGACACTTGTTCTTTGTGCAACCGCCTTCTTAGCCAGACTATCACGCTGTTCAATCATTCCTAGCATATATGTCCATCTGTAGACAGCCACAGGTCGTAACTGCTCTACCACTAAAGTCAGGGTGAACATAGATTTCTTGTATCTGAAGTAGAAAATTCGTAGGTATGCTTCGCTCAAACCGTAATCGTATCTAGATCTATGCTATGCCCGCATATGCAATGACCATGCGCCCATCGCTCGAATACAATCTCATGCAATCTAAAAACTGAACAACCCACTGCGCCGCTTGCCGTACGGATACACAACCAGCGCCGCAATAAACAACCCAACCGTAATCCCAATCGCAACCTGAATCATTCCAAAACCCAAACTCGCAATCGACGTGTCCTGGCTGGTGGCCGAGACATTCGCGCTGCCGTTCTTGCTGATGCTCTCGCGCACCTGGTCGGCGTACTCCAGCCCCGAGATCAGAGAGCCGCTCGACGCCAGCCCCGACGGCACCAGCACGAAGATGGCGGGCAGGATGGCCGTCGCGGCGTGGCCGTGCCACAGGCGGCTGTACAGGTTGCCCAGCAGGCCGATGGTGAAGGCGCCGACGGTGTTGGCGACCTCGGAGTTGGAGCCGAGTTTCTTCGTGCTGAAGTAGTTGGTGATGTAGCCGCACACCGCGATGAAGATCATCATCGGCAGCTGCTTCCACTTGGTCTGGTTGATGATCGCGATAAACACCACAAACACCGGCACGAACACAAAGTGCTGGATGTACTCGCTGCCGTACACGTCCAGCCGCTTGCACGACCGCTCCGACGTCGCGCCCCCGTCCAGCAGCCCGTAGATGGTCGTGCCGACTGTGATGCCGTACCCCAGGAACAGCGAGTAGATGATCGCAAACACCATGCGGATCGACCCCGCGATCATCTGGTGCGACTGCAGTTCCAGACTGCTGCACAGCACCATGAACCCCGGCAGAATCAGCGCGATCGACGACTGCGCCAGCGCCGAGAAGCAGAACAGGTACTCCTCGCCCGCGCGCGGCGACCGGATCGACCCGAACGCCCGCGCCAGGAACGACGTCAGCACCGCCGCGCTGACCTCGAACACGTTCGAGTACAGCACCGACGTCGGCGCCAGCACGTGCTGCATGAAGCCCACCAGCGAGCCCAGCAGAAAGCAGATGGGCATGTCGATCGGGCGCGCGTCGAACGCGAACGGCCCGACCGCCGCGCTGGCCATGCCGTACGCCGGGATCAGCAGCCACTTGTTGAACCGCGGCGCGCGCTTCATAATCCCGTCCAGCTCCTGGCTCGCCTCCTCCACGCCGATCAGATCGTGCACCACGTTCTTGTAGATGTTGTGCGTCTCCGCCAGCCGCCCCAGGTCGACGCCCTGCATCGTCCGCACCAGCTTGACCTCCGCCGTGCGCGTCGTCGGGTCGTCAAACGACATGATCATGCACCCAGGCAGGTACAGGAACTGCGCCTCGACCGACAGCACCCGCGCCGTCATCTGCATGTACTCCTCGAGCCGGTGGGTCGGCGCCCCGTAGCGCATCAGCGCGCGGCACAGCTGCATGATGTACCGCTGGCGCGCGAGGATCTCGGCAATATGCACCGTCACGCGGATCTCGTCCTCGAGCCGGGTCTTGCGATGCGTCTTCTTCTTGTGGCGGCGCGGCTTGGGCGTGAGCGACGCCGTGTCGGCGGTGGCGGGGAGACTCGCCCGACTCAGGTTCATCGACGCCTCGACCAGCGACGCTGTCGAGTGGTGGTTCGGCTTCTTGTACCACTTGATCTTCTCCTTCTTGGGCGTCGCGGCCCCGGACTTGGGCGTCGCCGCCCCCGACGACACCTGCGTCTCGCTGTCCGAGTCCGTCGTCGCCCCGCTCAGACTCTCCTTGCTGGCGCCCGTCGACCCCTGCAGCTTCAGCAGCTGCGCGAGGATGCCGCCGCCGCTGAACGACCGCGGCCGATGGTCGTACCACGAGGTCGGCCGACTGGGCGGGCCGGAGTCGGGCGTGCTCTGGCCGGAGCGCACGTTCGCCGGCTGCGGCCGGCGGCGGCGGTGCGATGCGTCGTGCTGCGTCATGCGCCGGACGAGCCGGTGCGCCTCGGCGCTGGGCGCGGCGTCTGCGTCGCGCTCGTCCTCGGACGGATGCTCCTGCAGCGCCTTCAGCCGCTCGGAGATCTGCCGCATCGGCAGCCCGCCCTCCAGGTCCTCGGGGAGCAGCGACGCGCCCAGCGCCTCGCCGTCGTCGAGCGGGCGGCCCAGCCGCTCGCCCAGTCGTGTGGTCTTCTGCCGCAGCAGCGCGCCCGCCGCGCGGAGCCGGTCGCGGGCGGACCGGCTGCGGTTGGGCACGCGGCGCTCGGACTCGGTGCTGTCGGCGGTCGACGAGCGCTGCGTGTGAGGGTGGGCGTCTCCGCCGGGCGGGCGGCCGGCGGCGGCGTCCTTTTCGGCGTCGGCGTGGAGGGTGTCGGTGAGGTCGACCCAGCGCGCGGAGGTGGGCTGCACGGACTGCACGGAGCGGACGGACTGCACGGACTGGTCGGAGTCGTAGCGCGGCATGGGCGGGCGCGTCGGGGCTGGCGGGGTGGGCTCATCGTCGTTGTGGGAGAAGGATTGGAAGCGCACGCGGTGGGGGCGCGGGTGGTCGTTCAGGCCATCGTATTGCTGGTGTTCGAGGTGATCTTGCGGGAAGAAGTCATCGTCGTCGTGGTCGCTGTGCGGTGCGGATTCGGGGTCATGGGTGTGGTGGGGGTCGAGGAGGCGCCAGGAACCGCTGTCTCTGCGCGAGTCTGACATGGCAGACCCTGGGATGGAGGGGGATTATATGGAGTTGATGAACGGTGAAGATAGATTAGGATGGACGGAGTAAGGATAGGAACAAACACGAGTGTAAAGGGAAGGAGAAAAGAAGATAGGAACAGGCGATGAGCAGATTAACAAGGGATTCAATGGCAAAGACAATGGCAAAGGACAAAAATAGTCGGTCTAGACCAGCAAGCAAGCAGAAACAATGGGATGACTGAGGAGACGGAGAGGAAACATGGAAGACAACGCCATGATCTCATCCGAAGCGTCCAGAATGCAGGATGGCGTCGGTGGATGCGAGGACGAATGCGCGGCGAGTGGAGCTGATGGGTCAGGGTGTGCATGGATTGTCCAGCATGGAGGATCAATGTGATATGGATGTGATGCTGTTGTAGTGGTGATGCCTGTATAGATACCTCGTAGAGAGTTGATTGAATCTGCTGTATACAGTCGTACGCCACACCCTCTCCTGACCAGATCCGAGACTCCGAAGACACGAACCAAGCCGATGCCATTGATAAGACGATCAGAAGCACAATCATGAGAAGAACAAGAATAGCAACGATCCTGGTGGAGCTCGCGTGGAGCCGGTGGCAAAGAACATCTTCTAGACTGTCGCACTGGCCAGACTTCCCGTGCCGAGAGACGGAGACAAGACAGACAAGACGGACAAGACAGAAAGGAGAAGACCCTCGTTATCGAGTAGACTAGGGCCATGGACTTATCCGGAGCTGCCGCGTACCTGGCGCTTTGACCGCGCTGCAGGGCATTTTCTGCTGATTCGCACGGATTTCGTCTGGTTCGTGCGTGGCGTAATACCAGGCGCTTGGCTCGCTTGAGGGTACCGTGTCTCGAGGTGGGCCATCCTCTGACATTCTAGAATCGCTTATCAGTATCCATGGAATTGAATGTGATCGGTTGGATGTGAGGGAAGAATGGCAGGGGAAGTATGTTGTATAGGAAAGTTTGTATAGCATATCTGGCGACATCTAGATCTGGCTGCATCCCCAATGGACGCGTAATAAGTCAAACTGTATCATCACGGCGACTTCCTTGCATCCAGCAGCTCGTATTGTACCGACCAAAGCCAAATGTCCCGCAGTAACACGGTGATTTAGGAATCTGCCGCTCCAGTCATCCAGACACAGCATCCAGACACAGCATCCTGACATCGTATCTATAAAACAAACTACCAGCAGAATGACTACCAGGAACAATACTCCAACCACGGCTACTTCCTCAACTGATCCAGCATGCCCCTCAAACTCCTCTGTCTCCATGGCTGGGGCACCAACGTCAAGGTGCGTACCTCATCCTGGACGGTGTCTGGTCTTGATAAGCTTCGGTGCTTCTGTCTGACGCGCGTAGATCCTCAAATCCCAGATGAGTATGTGTGACCCAACCCTCCCCCCCAATCACGCATCCACCTGGCTAACCCTCTGGAGACGGTCTGATGGCGGAGCTGCGTCGCGACAACACGGCAACATTCCATTTCCTCGAAGGCGACGTCGACTCCGACCCAGGGCCGGGCATTGCCGGCTTCTACGACGGCCCCTACTACAGCTACTACCACTTCCCCCGGCCTTTTTCCGTCCCAGACCTCGATGACTCCCTGTCCGACGCCTACGACCGTCTCTACGACACCATCGACGAGGAGGGCCCGTTCGATGGCGTCTTGGGATTCTCGCACGGGGGCACCCTCGCCGCAGGCTTCCTCATCCACCATGCCAAGTTGTACCCGCAGGCGCCGCCCCTCTTTCGCTGTGCCATCTTTATCAACTCCCTGCCCCCCTTCCGCATGGACCCCGGCCAGGACCCGGTGGTCGATGACGGTCTGGACGGATACATCGCCATCCCGACCGTCAGTATCGGCGGCGCGCAGGATCCCCTGTTCGAGTACTCCCATGCGCTGTACCGCCTGTGTGATCCGGCCGCCTCGACCTGGGTGGTGCACTCCAAAGGACATGGGATCCCCGGGGACAGCAAGAACGTGGCCATCATGGCGGCGGCTATTAGAAAGCTAGTGTTTCAGACTTTGACATGGTGATAGAATGGCTGCCGAAGATTATGTGCCGAAATTCATGTAGCCCTGAGCAGACAGGTAGACAAAGCAGATGCTTCTGATCGTAGTCCGGCTCATTGTGGTGTATCACGTAGTGTCGGGGAATAAATCACATTACGTATACTCGTGCTCTCTGCCCGAGTCTTACAAATGGATGCATCTGCCTGGAAGGTAGACAGATGATACACGCCGACCATGGATTCCACTGACCAGAAACACTCGGCTGCATGTCTAGAGCAAGATGAACCACGTCCCCCCATCCCAATTGCGATTGTCGGGATGGGTTTCCGCGGACCCGGAGATGCGAGCAATGTGGAAAAACTGTGGGACATGATCCTCGAAGGACGAGAGGCCTGGAGTCGGATCCCAGTGTCAAAATGGAATCATTCAGCTTTCTACCATCCCGACTATGCACGGCATGGAACGGTAATACACCTCATCAAAATAGGGGCATGCGCTGACTAGTGCAGACGAACGTCCAAGGCGGGCATTTCCTAGCAGAAGATATCTCTCTATTCGATGCTCCATTCTTCAACATGACCAGCGACGAAGCAGCCGTGCGTATCCCCAGCTAGAACTTCAAAGCAGCAATTCTGATACAACTAGGCTATGGATCCCCAACAGCGCCTGCTCCTCGAAGTCACATACGAAGGATTCGAAAATGGTACGTCTCCATCAGTCCCCAGTGGCAACGACTCACACATGCAGCCGGAATCCCCCTCCACAAAGTCACAGGAAGCCAGACGGCCTGTTTCGTGGGCTGCTTCAACGCAGATTATACCGATCTCCTGCTGCGCGACCCCGAGCGCATCCCCATCTACCAATGCACCAACGCCGGCCAGTCCCGCGCCATGACCGCCAACCGCATATCCTACTTCTTCGATATGAAGGGGCCCAGTGTTACTATCGACACGGCCTGTTCGGGCAGCCTCGTCGCCCTGCATCTGGCATGCAGTAGTCTGCAAAACGGCGATGCGTCGATGGCCGTTGCGGCGGGGGTCAATGTGATTCTGAGCCATGAATTCATGTCCACCCTGTCAATGATGAAGTATGGAGTCCCGCGTTGGTCGTCTGCAGGGAGGTATACTAAGCGTCGATGTGTAGATTCCTCTCCCCCGACGGATGATGCCACACGTTCGACGAAAAGGCAAATGGATACGCGCGGGGCGAGGGAATCGGCTGCGTCATTCTCAAACCGCTCAGCCATGCATTGCAGGACAATGATCCCATCCGCGCCATCATCCGCGCCTCGGGATCGAATCAAGACGGCCGGACACCAGGCATCACGTTGCCTAGTGGCGCGGCCCAGGAAGCCCTCATCCGTAGTGTGTACAAGCGCGCTGGGTTGAACCCGTTAGACACGGAGTTTGTCGAGACACACGGCACAGGAACACAGGCCGGAGACCCGATTGAGACCGGCGCGCTTGGAAGGGTGTTTGCGGAGAATAGAGATCCGAACAAGCCCTTGCGGATTGGGTCGATCAAGACGAACATTGGCCATCTCGAGGGTACAAGTGGTATTGCAGCCGTGGTGAAGGCAACTTTAATGCTAGAGAATCGTGTCTTTCTTCCGAATCGGAATTTCGAAACGCTGAACAGGCGGATCTTGCTGGATGACTGGAAACTCAAGGTAAATCTCTGATTGCAAATGCTACCAGTTTCTGACAACGCCAGGTGCAACTATGTCCAGAATCATGGGAAAGCCCTGGGCCACGTCGGGTATCAGTGAATAGCTTCGGGTACGGTGGGAGCAACGCGCACATCATCATGGAAGAGGCATCGAGCTGCTCCAGGCGACGAGTGTCTGATGATAAAGGCAAGTCTTGCAATACGCCACGGGACCGGATCTACATGCTTTCTGGCTTCGACGAGGTCTCAGTCGCCGACCAGATCAGCAACCTACAAGAATATCTCGCGAAAAAGTCATCATCAATCGATGATGAATATCTAAACGACCTTGCGTTCACGCTTAATGAACGCCGTACACACCACCGCTACCGTACAGCTGTGATAGGAAACTCTGCTGAGGCATTGGTAGCAGCATTGAAGAACCACCCGAAGCTGCAGACGGCCTCTCGCCGACCCCGAATTGGCTTCGTGTTTACCGGACAAGGTGCACAGTGGTGTGGGATGGGCAAGGAGCTCCTTGACGTATATCCTGTGTTTCGACAGTCGATCGATCGAATAGACAGATACCTTCAAACTTTAGGCGCGCCGTTTTGTACACTCGGTATGTTGAAAGCTGCATTCATTATCTTCAGAAACTACACCATGACATCAAGTAACATCAACAGATGAGTTGAAAACAGGCTCAGATCCCGCGGTGCTGAACCACCCCCTCCTCAGCCAGCCCATCTGCTCAGCTGTGCAGATTGCCCTGGTAGACCTTCTCGTTTCCTGGGGTATACGCCCAGACTCGGTGATCGGGCACTCAAGCGGCGAGATCGCTGCTGCATATGCATTTGGCGCTTTGAGCATGGAGGACGCCATGGCAGTCGCATATTATCGCGGCGTCGTGGCCAGCAAGCTAGCTTCAGACGATACATCTTGTCCAGGGGCCATGCTTGCTGTGGGAATGTCTCCCGATGAAACCCAGCAGCACATCAACCAGCTAAAAACCGGAAAAGCGGTGATCGCTTGCCTAAACTCCCCATCCAGCGTCACTGTCTCGGGCGACGCAGCAGCCATCGACGAACTGCAGGATATACTCCACGACCGCGTTTTCACACGCCGGCTGGCCGTTAAGGTCGCCTATCACTCCCACCACATGGAGCCAGTGGCCGATGAATATACGAAGCTTATTGCACATATCAAGCATGGACATAATAATGTAATGATTAATGATAATCCCCAGGGCCATGTCTCGTTCTTCTCCTCGGTGACTGGCGCCGAAGTCGAAGCCTCCGATCTAGGGCCACAGTACTGGGTCCGAAATCTTGTCTCCCCGGTGCGATTCACGGATGCCTTGCGCGCTTTGTGCTTTGACACGGGCTCAAAAGGGGGTATGAACGATGGCAAACGTGCAAGACGCAGCGGTACCGCGCGCAAGGCCAGAATCGACATGCTCGTCGAGATCGGACCTCATGCGGCCTTGTCAGGGCCTATCAAGCAAACAATTGAGCATGACGCGCGACTGAAAGCTGCAGAAATCCTATACACAAGTGTCTTGATACGGAAGAGTCATGCAGTAACGACGGCGCTTAATATTGCTGCTACTCTGGCTTGCGCCGGCCACTCGGTCACTTTCCAGGCTATCAACAACCCTTCGCCCTCGAGGCCCGTACGTGTTCTCGTCGATCTCCCTCCCTACGCTTGGAACCATACCAGATCATATTGGGCAGAGCCACGGCTCAGCAAAGCATTCCGGAAGCGAAAGTACCCTCGGACGGATCTTTTAGGGGCCCCAGACACAAGTTCCTGCCCTTTCGAGCCGCGCTGGAGGAATATAGTCCGGCTCTCTGAGTTGCCTTGGCTGCAAGACCATAGGATTCAATCCAGCATTGTGTATCCCGCGGCTGCGTATATTGCCATGGTAATTGAGGCAATGTTACAGGTTACTTCAGAGGCAGCAGAGTCAGAGTCGAGAGGCTTCGTCCTTCTGGAAGATGTTTCGATAAAATCGGCCCTCATCATCCCGGAACATTCAGCAGTGGAGATGCTGACTTCGTTCAGACCCTGGGATAGCAACCCGCAATCAGAGCCGAAATATGAGTTCCACATATACTCTGCCACGGATGACAACAAATGGACTGAGCATTGCACTGGGCTGGTGGGTTTCCGACACGTCGCAGACGAGATGGACACGTCTCTGGCAGGAGCTGGTCTTGAATTGTCGGCGTTGAACGTCAAACAGTTTTATGAGAGGCTGTCCAGTATCGGCCTCGAATACGGCCCATACTTCTCCAATATCTCGAGCGCCCAGTTCGCCAACAATATGTGCACGGCGAAGGTCTCAATCCCTGACACTGCGTCTGTTATGCCGATGGGATTCGAGTATCCGTGTATCATACACCCATGCACGTTGGACAGTATCATCCAAACTGTATTCGCTGGAATGAATTTGATATCCAGCCCTGCTGTCCCTGTCCATATTGATCAGATATCCGTATCACGTTCGATCACGTCTACTGCCGGCAGCGAATTAGATATCCACACTCTCATCCATCGACGGCGAAAGGACGCCATAACGGCCTCGATTTCCGCAACGGAGCTAGACGGCAGTGCTGGTATTGCCATCAAAAATCTAAGGTGCAAGAGGCTGGATGTTGATCGACCGGCAGGTAGTATCAAGGCCCAGAATCGTATTGCATATGACCTGGAGTGGAAGATAGACCCTGACTTCCTCCTTCATGACGGACTGTCAAAACTTTTCAAAAGGAAAAGTGCTCCAGCCGGGCGCAGCGAGTCAGATGGGCTGTTAGATGCATGCGCTTTGCATTACATCCGGAGATGTGTCGACGAGGTCAACCAACTCCACGGGAATGTGAATCTTCACAGAGCACAACTGAAATATTTCCGGCAAGTGGTGCAGAATCACCGACAGACTGATATTACAGAAGCGGATTTTACTGCGGCGCGAAACTCTGGACCCCAGGGAGCTTTACTAGCCGTGATGGGCGAAGGCCTTCTGAATACATTGAACCGAGATACCAGCCCAGAGCACGTAGAAGCCAGCACCGCTTGGGAAGATTACTGGAAATTCGTTCACGAAGACCCAATCAACGACGACCTCATGGAGTACCTGGATCTGGTGTGTCACAAGAACCCCATGATCACGATACTGGAGCTCGAAGCGGGTGCAGGAGGTGCTTTTAAACGGTTCCTCAAGCGCTACCCAGAAGGCAGTCTGCCGTGCAGCAGGTACGTGGCTACCCATCCTTCATCTAGTTTCGTCGAAAGGTGGGCCCCGACATATTCGAAGCTGGGGCCAGTTCTCGAATTCAAACAACTCGACATCGAAGAGGATTCAGATATTAGCAAGCAGCGATTTGATGTAGTGATTGGTCTGAGCGGTCTCTACACGGTCAACTCAAAGCACGTTGCGCTCAGAAACATCCATACTCTGCTGAAGGAGGACGGAAAGCTCCTGATGATCGACCCTGTCTCCAACTCTACACCGACAAACGTGGTCATATTTTCAAACTATCCTGGACAATGGAGCAAGGGTCACTTTGGCCATCTGGAATCGGACTGGAAAGCTGCGCTAGTTCGGGCCCAGTTTCCCCCACGCAGAATCCATCTGAATCGTTCGGGCGATAGTTTGATGCTCGTGGCGCAGAAACAGACAGAGACAGCTACCGGAAGTGCAGACATTCTGATTATAGCGGATGGCCACTCTGCCGTCTGTCTGGTCCGCCTGCAAGAGCTGTTCCTCTCGTCGTCATCAACGGTGGAGGTGACGGATCTTCGACAGGCTGAGCCAGCTGGTAAACTCACCATTGTCTTGAGTGATCTGACACATTCTGTACTCGCACAGCCAGATGAGAAGACATGGAACATCACGAAAGACATATTTTTGAAATCACATGGATCGCTCTGGGTCACTCGAGGGGGCGCACCCTCTCCTACCAACCCAGACACTGGGCTCGTCACCGGGTTTGCAAGAACCGCTCGCTCTGAATCGGGTGTACAGACCATTGTGACTCTTGATCTTGATGGACGGAAGCCTCTGTGTGAGGAGATGGCAGCTCAGGTGATCTACGACCTTGTTCAACATCGATTCCTGAGGAAGTCCAGTAACGTTGATACTGAGTATTCCGAGAGGAACGGCCTGCTCTTGATACCCAGAGTCGTTGAGAATACTGATTTGAATGACGCACTTGGATTTCGTAATTCCCAAGCTTCGCACATTGAGCCATTCCATCAGCCGGGCCGACCACGTCGAGCGGTTCTGGACAATCATGACACACTAAGGGTTCTTTTCGAGGAGATTTCCCAGACCACACCACTCGCCGATTGTGATGTTCGAATTGAAGTCCACGCTGCTAGCGTTAGCAAAAGCAGTTTGGATATGGTCGATGGTTCGGCTAAGAATGAGCTGCTCTTGATCGATGCATGTAGTGGCCTCGTGGTGGCCACTGGGATGGGCGTGCATGGTCTGAGTCCTGGAGATCGAGTTCTGTGTCTTGCATCAGGGCCACTGGAAAGTGTGTACCAGGACAAGATGACTGCATTTCACAAGATCCCATCGGAGATTGGTATGGAAGCTGCTGTGGCGCTACCAACGGCGTATTGTGCTGCATTACACGTTGTGCACAACATTGCCCATATAAGGCCGGGTCAGAAAGTCCTCATTTACTCTACGGCTACTGCATTTGCACAGGCAGTTATACATATATGCCGTCGGTTAAAAGCTCAGGTATTCGCGATTGTGAATACAGCCGCAGAAAAGAGCATTCTACTATCAGCCTCGCTCATCCAGAATGAGGAATGTATACTTGATGACCGTGACTTCACTCCCAGAGACGTCTCAGCGTTTACCAAAGGTGAAGTTGACGTGGTCATTGATTTCGCAAATTCTAGGGACCAGCATTTGACTGATCTTGTGCGTCCATATGGCCATTTTATCCAAGTCCAGAATCAAACTCTCGAAGGGAGAAGTAGACGGCAGATGCCCCGTCTCCGAGAGGACATCAGCTTTACTAAATTTGACTTCGATCACTTCAGAAGGAGACGACCGGAGATGATAGAGGACATATTCACGCAGTTCGGAAATTTGCTACAGGATGGCTCTCTTCATGTACCACCTCTACCGGCGTACCCAATCTCAAAGGCGTCGGAAGCTCTTCAAAAGCTCGAGTCCGACTCCGGGAGCGAGTCCATCATAATCACAGCAACATCCAACGACACCGTACAGGTCATGCACAAAAGCGATTCCAGGCTTCTTCGACCAGACGCATCGTATATGCTAGTGGGAGGACTCGGTGGTATCGGACGAGCAATAGCACTCTGGATGGCAGACCACGGGGCAAAGACACTTGTACTCGTAAGCCGAAGCGGCTTATTGGACAAGAATGCAATGTCTACGGTTGAGATGCTCGAGAGAAAAGGAGTTGAAGTGATTGTCCGTGCCTGTGATGTATCGAACAGCGATCAGGTATCTTCCATGATATCCGAGCTCAGCAGAAGCAGCCCTCCAATACGCGGAGTAGTCCAAGCTGCAATGGTTCTCAAGGTCTGTTTAATCGAAGCTAATAAGAAGAAAGGACTGCTGACCATTACAGGACACTCATATCGAGAAGATGACTCTCGAGAACTACGAATCCGTCCTCAGACCGAAGTACAACGGCACTTGGAACCTGCACCGCTATTTGCCATCCGACTTGGACTGGTTCATCATGTTGTCTTCCATCAGCGGAATAATCGGCAATGCTACCCAGGCTGCCTACGCCGCGGGCTCAACCTTCATGGATACATTCGCCGCCTACCGACGGTCCCTCGGCCTACCCGCTGTGTCCCTGGATCTGGGGGTGATCACCGACTCCGGGTACCTATCTGAAAATACGGATCTAGCGTCTAAGATGGCACGACATGGTTTCCAAGGGACAGACACCAGAACGTTAATGTCGCTGATAGAGGCGACCATTACGCACCAGGACAGTGATACGGTCAAACCGCAGATAATCACTGGCCTAGGTGAATGGAAAGAGGGCCAGTCACTAGCAAACTTTGATGCGCCTCTGTTTTCACATTTCCGGCGGAGGTTTGTAGATGACAACACTACGCTTCAGACCGGTTCATCTTTTGCCTCGATTCGGTCAGAGCTCCAAGCGGCCAAGACATTCGACGAAGCTACAGGTATAGTGTACGCTGCTTTGCGTAAGAAGGTGGCCGCGAACATGTCCACATCTGTTGACAGTATCAGCCAGTCGAACCCGATCTCGGAGTATGGGATTGATTCGCATTTTGCCGTGGAGTTGAGAAACTGGATTGCGAAGAATATGGACAGCACTGTGCCCATTCTTGAGATCCTCGCTAGTACATCGTTGATGGATTTGGCTGAGAAGATTGTAGGAAAGTCGGATGTAGTTCATGTGGAGTAGTGCACAATACTATCTTTTAGCTTGCCTTGTGAATATCTGCTACACCGTACTTACTGTCCACTGATAAAGACAAATATGACAAATTTGGCATCAGCCATAGGTCTCGCTGAGCGCAGGGAGTGGCTAGGTGGGAGGCATATAAGCTATCCGTGGGATATGGAGGATTCCTGCAGAGGAAAGACGAGATCGTTGAAACCGATAAGCTCAAGATGAGAATAGTCCTTTGACACTGGTTTGATATTCGTCTATATCGAATATACATATTCTATCATTATTCCTATTGAAATTGTCCTGTATCTACCAACGTTCGATTCCTTCAATACTGCAGCGTCTGCTTGATAGCATCGTAGATTCCTGTCCAGGTTAGCATCGCCCATACTCCATTGAGAAAGAACTTACTCGTCACATCCGGCATAATAAACTTCTCATATGCCAAACCCGTATGCGTCGTCCAGCCAGCTACTCTCCGCACCGGGGCTTCCAATCGCAAGAACGCCTGGTCCTGGATCGTCGCGGCGACCTCCGCACCAACGCCATAGTTGATCATACTCTCATGCACGACAATAGCCCGACCAGTCTTCTTCACGCTATCCAACACCGTCTGTCGATCCCAAGGATATATCGTGCGCAGATCGATGAGCTCTACGCTTGCGCCAAAGTCTTTCTCCGCGGCGGCAATAGCCGACGAGCAGAGATACAACGGTTGACCGTAGGAGATGATTGTCACATCATTCCCTGGCTTCAGGACTTCGGCCTTACTCAGGGGGATAGTGTAATACTCGTTGGGGACGTGCTCGACAGCCGCACGGTACAGGATCTTAGGCTCCATGAAGATCACCGGATCATTGTGTTCGAAAATAGACGCCAGTAGCAAGCCTTTTGCCTGTGCCGGGGATCGTGGCATGACAACGCGGACACCGGGAACATGGGCGAATAAGGCTTCGGGAGATTGTGTATGGTACCTGGATGAGGCAAGCGGTTAGCTCACAGAAGACCAAGAAAACCCCCGATGCAATACTTACAACGCTCCGTGTCCTACTGCGCCGCAAGGCATTCGTATCACTAGTCCGCCCGCATTGGCACCGGTCGTTCCCTCGCGATACCGGAACTTTGTTGCTTCGTTCACAATCTGGTCGAATGCGGGGAAGACGTAATCGGCGAATTGGATCTCGGCGACGGGCTTCATTCCCTCTGCGGCAGCACCAATGGCAAACCCAACAATGCCTTGCTCTGTCAGAGGGGTATTAAACACACGTTCGGATCCGAACTCGGTCTGAAGGTCCATAGAGCAGCGAAAGACACCACCGAAGGCGACATCCTCGCCGAAGAGCATGACCTTGTTGGATTTCGCGAGAGCGGTGCGGAGAGCCGAATTGATCGCCTGATAGAGGTTCATAGACTTGGAGGTGGTGGATTCTGGAAGATCAAGGGAGTCAGCGAGCGAGGAGGGTGTGTGATGCAGCAGCGGCGTGGATTTGTAGTCGATGGGGAGGTTGAGACGGGAGGAGGCGGATGCAACGGAGGAATAACAGCGAGAGGGCCTCACTGGCAAGGCCTTTGCCGGCCTCATCAGACGGAGCGGCGTCATGGTCTATGGGAGAGGGTAGGATGATGAAGGAAGAAGCAATCTGGGGAAGAAAGGGAGAGGCCGTCCAGGTACTTCGGGGAGTTTCTTATACTGACCGTCATATGCGGGGGATGCCTCCGCGGATAACCGAGACGTGCCTGAGGCATGTATAAGGCATCACTTTCCAGGGTTCAGGCAGCAACATCCGCTTTCCTAATTCGGTCATCCATCAACATCATGAATTCATGGCTGCCTACAGAGTACAATTCTACCACAACGAACTCGCCGGCTTCATCTTCTCCAACATGCTCCTCCTCCCCCGTTCTACCTCTTCCTGCACATCCACATCCCAAAGCCATCGTAATCGCTCGTGGAAAGTCGTCCTCAACTTCTCCTCGTCGTCTCCTACCCCATCCAGACACAGACAGAGCAGATGCGCCTGCTCCTTGCTGCTACTAACAACTCGCTGACTGCGCGGTCGTCGCACCTCATCATATGCCTGGAATGCAGCCATGGCATGCTTTCCATCCACCACCCGAGGATCCCCCAATAACTCCGCCAGGACATGGGCGTCTTCGATTGCCTGTCCGGCACCCGCTCCCATATGGGGCGTGGAGGCATGCGCCGCATCGCCCAGGATGGCCACCCGTGATCGTGCATAGGTCGAGATAGGCGAGTGTTCGAAGATTGCCCATTGCGAGGGATCGGGCATGTGTTCGACCAGTCCATTGACATACTTCCCCATATGCCCCAAGTCTCTCCGCATGTCGTCTTTGCTAGCCGGACGCACCCATTCATGATGATCCCACCGATCCCGCAGCACATAGATGCCCACATTGACCTTCTGTGCGCGCATAATTGGATACGAAATGCCGTAGCCACCGTCGCCCACATACATGGTCGAGACGCGCGCCCGATGTTCGCCGACGGCCTCGATCATCGTGTCCATGTCCAGCACTGCGCGGTATCCGTACATCCCACTGTACTGAGGCAGAGTCCGGGTGTATTCCTCGGCAGGCAGAATGGACTCCTTTACCTTGGATTTGATCCCGTCGCAGCCGACCACCACGTCCGCTGTGGCTGTCGTTCCATCTTCAAACGTCATATCCACTCCCGTCGACGTCTCGACTAATCGCTCTAGCCGTTTGCCGAAATGCGCCACTCCGGGGGGAATAAGGGTAACAAGCGCATCGAGAAAATCCGCCCGTCGTACAGTTGTCTGGCCTGACGGCCGTGCCTGCAGGTCCATCAACACCTCGCCAGACGAGGCGCCCGTCGCCCACACCACCTCGAACCAGGTCTGCCGGAATCGTTCGTACCCGGGACTGTCGGCATGGGTGGTGATGAGAGAGTCGTAGATCTGTCGGACTTGCGGATCGATCAGGGGCATGGCGCGGTGCGCTGCTGGACCTATCGTCAGTCCCAGACCGACTTCCTTGAAGGCCGCGGCCGCCTCATAGATCTGCACACGGACATTGCGACGGAGCAGTCCAGCGGCGAGGGTGAGGCCGCCAATGCCACCGCCAACAATACCCACGGTGAAGGTTTTCGCGGTCATGATGCGGATGGTTCCAGGTACCAGATTGTTCGTGAGGGATTATGAGGGGTAAATCTCACCCCAGGCCACCGTCGCATGGATTAATATGATAGCAGACCGTGGAGTGGAGACGCAGACGATCCTGGCGGGGATTCCCGCGGACAGATACGAGGCGCAGTGACAAATAATGCAGCATATCTATGACAGGGACTATGTACAGTTTAACTCAACCGGCAGTTGGCATCGGTCAAGATCAAGCATCATATATACAGAGAACGGAAAAGATAAGCACCGGAAGATATCACACCGGCGACGACGCCCGATCCTCCTCGCTCAGCGGAACCAATTGATACGCGTTGGAGCGAGAGCGACACCGACGGAAACACCGACAGCAGTGGCAGCACCGATACAGTCCGGCGATGAGGCCACCACCGGCCATGACGAAGGCGATGGCGAGGATCCAATTGTGCAGATTCAGCAGCTCGGTGGAATCCATCTCCGCTTCGCGCTGCAACACATCCGTCACGCCAAGGGACTCCCCATCCCCATCGAGGGCCGCGATGCGGAACAGCGGACTGTCGAGATCCTCGGGTATCTCGATCTCCGTCTCAAACCCGGTCTTTGCGAACTGCGCCACCACCTCGAACGCCGTCTCGTTGTCGAAATCTTCCGAGTCCCACACCTCCAGACGCCAGGCGACAACCTCCGTCGCGCCGTTCCAGCTTACATAGACTCGGTCGCCCACGACCGCCGCGTCGGGCGGATTTTGCGGGTAGCCCACCCAGCTATCCTTGAACGTACGGTACGATACCACGCGCCCGAAGGTGAAGAAGGCCGATGCCCCGAAATGCACGTCGCACAGCAGCTGTCCGTCCGCCGTGTACTCGGTATAAGCGGCACTATGGCCCCAGCCGACCAGCGCGCGACCTCCATCCGGCGCCAGGAGCTGCACGTTACCCTGAGAAACAGACTTCATCTGCTGCGGGTGGTAGTAGGCCGCGCGTAGCGTTGCCTGTCGCCCGGGAACATCCAGATCGATGACGACGCCGCGGCTCTCGCCGACGTCCTCATTAGAGTGCGCCGCGTTGTCGAACAAGGTCAGCGTGCTGTTCGCGTACCAGCGCGCGTCATGCTGCCAGGCGAAATTGGTCGCCGCACCGTCCGACTGGTCCTTGAACTCGTTCAGTTTCCCGCCTAGTGTCCACAGCACGGCCCCCGTGTTGCGATCAATACAGCTCACGGCGTGGGCGTGTCGCCCCGACACGATATAGTTGCCATCATGGTCTTTGTCCACGCTGTTGATGTGGTAGTAGTCAAAGGCCGATTCGCGCGTGCGACCCGTGCGACCGAGAGGCTCGTACGTGCTGTTGACCGGGTAGTGTTTGGACGCACGCCATTCGAAGAGAAGCTCGCCCGTCGCGATGTCGATTTCCTGGAAGACACCGTCGAAGATCCAGCCCAGGGCGGGCCCTCCCACGGGGGTCAGATCGGCCGGAGTTGGGTCGTAGACGGACACCAGAGCGGTGCCGTCGGGGGTGATGTGAAATTCGTGAAGATCGCCGCCATAATTGCCGACCGGCACGATCTCATAGCGCTGGGTATAGGTGGAATCGAGCTGCAGAAATGGGTCACCCCGATTAATACGTGTTCGGCTGGCCACTTGGGAAACAAAGGACACCCACCATATACCACGCACCATACCCTCGGCTGCCGACTTCGCTACCTTCCCAGTAGGTGAGGTAGTCCTGGCCCTGATAACGCTGGACCTTGAAATCCTGGGTGGTCTCCCAGTTATGTTTCATCCAAACGAGGTTCCCGTCGGCGTCGAGGATCATGGGCCCCGGCTGGGCGACGGAGTCGCCTCGCGGGGCCAGAAAAGTGTATCGGGGATCGCAACCGGCGTCCCATTGGGAGATTTGCACTCGAGGCGAGTCGAAGCCAAAGGAGACATAGCTCTGGGATGGGCCGAATCCGTACAGACCGAGATCGTACCAGCTCAGGCCGAGGCGGAAGCGAAACCGGAACAGCTGGGGCACGACGAAGAGGTAGAAAAGGTAGAGGAGACTGAGAACCGCGCCGACGGTGGCCAGGGGAAAGGCCGAACGGCTCAACCGCGTCCGACGAGCGCTGGAGAGAGACCAAGTCCACGAGGACATTGGGACATGGCGACCGCAGGGGGGAGGAGAAGGATGGAATAAGGGTCGATCACCAACGAAAGAGGGAGATTCGGCTTTATCATAATTTCCTCTCCCCGAAGCCGCTGGATGCGAAGCGAGCCCCATCCATGAATCCATGGCGGGTGGAGAGTGTCTAGTGTCTATGGGCTCTACGAATCACCTCGGACTCTTGGACCGATTCTCCAGATTTGCCAAGCCAGCCACCGTGGATCCGGTGGGAAATGGGGGCGTTACTGACGCCAGCCGGTCGCCCATTAATTGTCTCCACTATGGCGAAAAGAGAAGCAGAGAAGGGAGAGAAAGGGGAGGGCTGCGTCGGTGGCGCTGGATAAGGTACGGAGTAGGTTATTCATACTGTACAATGCACAATGGTTCTACGGAGTACACGGCTGACAACGTCCTGCATAGATGCTTTTTCTTGTACAACATTCATGCAAGTGAAACGATCCAGAGATCTATGTCTGTACTACGATGTATACTTGGGTGTATACCTAGGGACAGACACTTGGGAAGATACTGAGAGACTCTGGAATAAGAGTTCTGTTCCGTCCACGCTGAGTTTCAACCAGACAATGACCGCGTAGTCGGCACAGCCTCGGATAAAAACGGTTCCAGCGGACTGTGCACGCCAAGAATGCCTGACTCGGACTCGTATGCAGTCTTGCGCAGTGCCCTCAGGGGTAAGACTTTCCAATCAATAACCGACTGGGTGTGATAACTACTGAACTGGTTGTTGGCCCAGACTAGTTACTACCCCATACAAGTATATGTGGAATATGGTTGGATCCAATCTCCTGATTAGACCGCCATCCAGACGCCACGGTGGCTCGGCTCCTGTCGTCGTCTTGAGCTGACGTATGCCTTCTTAGGCCAAGGACAGAAATATATCACGGCACGGAGGATTGTTCCGTTCCTTGGATTCGGTCAATAATACGGAATGCGAGGACAGAGCAATCCTTTCCCAATCCGACTCCGCGTTTGAGCAGATCCTACTCAATATGAGAAATAAGGCCGAATTGAGACAGAATAAAGCCGGCATATCATCTCGGCCCAGAGTCCGCTTATCGGTCATCGACAAGGATGTCATCGACGAATCGTCGGTCGACTATCTATCTAGCGGTCGGAGATATCCCAACGTCCCTGTACATTCCATAAGTACATACATTCCAACAGCTGGTCGGGCATGTTCCTGAGAATGGCCACCAGCAAGAATCTTCAGAATAAAGATTGACCAACATGATTTAGCACGCATAATGGACTATGTCATCTTAGACACGATAGCTACCCTCAATCGAAGGCGCGAAGCGCCCCATAATCAACCATAGCATGCTCCCGAAACGCTGGCCTCTCCTGGAGCGTCTTATAATACCTCTGCAGACTCGGCCTCTCCTTCCTCTCAATGTCAATATCAAAGTACCGAAACAGCAGATGCCCGAACTGCACATCCGCCAGGGTAAACGCCTCCCCTGCCAGAAACTTATGCCGCGCCAGCTGCGCCTCCGCGATATCCAGAATGGGATCGAGCCGGGCGACCGCCTCGCGGATCGCGACCGGATCCCGCTTTGACGGGGGCGTCCGCACAAGTTGCCAGAAGATGGGCAGCGAGAACGCCGGGGTGAAGGTCACCTTGGCCCATTCGGCCCATTTGTCGACCTGCGCGCGCGCCCGTGGGTCCTTGGGCCAGAACTCGTCGGACCCGTAGGCGGACGCTAGGTACCGGTTGATGGCTCCGCTTTCCCATAAGGGCTCGCTGTCACCGTCGCGCAGGACGGGGATCCGGCCGTTCGGGTTCATGGCGAGGAACTCGGGCGTGTCGTTGCCGCCGAAGCGGTGGCCGACGTCGTGGCGTTTGTAGGGGAGGTTAAGCTCGGCAATGCACCACATCACGGCCTGGACATTGGAGGAGTCTCGGCGACCCCAGACTTCGAGCATGGTGATAATGTTGTTGATAGTAATGGTAGTGATGGTGATGATGATGGTGGATAGTAAGACGAGGAGGAGGGGCTTACTCGGATTCCATGATCTGACATATATACCCCGCCTGCGGAATTCCGGCACGCTGACTGTGACTCAGATTGCGCTAACTCAAGCCGTGTCTACAGCTTCAGATACAATGAAACAGCCATCCTATGTATACAACCAAGCTGTATGAACAAGCACCTTTTCTTGCGCGTTCAGGCGTATTGCCATCGTGCATCAGACGCATACCATGGGGAAGACCAAGCCCTACTTGCCTTATCAGATCGGCAGCCTCATTCGCATCAACCCCAGTCGTTTCGCCGCCGTGCATACGGACCTCTTTGAACGGTATGCCTACCGGATATGAGCCTATCGCTGAAGTTGAACTTCCCGTAGGAAGTAATTATTCATCAGTTTACAACGTCTCCTGCCTTTCATGGGATCATCATTTTTCCCGGCCCTGAACCCTAATCAATATGACTACTTCATTATGTAGGGATGATTCGGGAGGAAGGGAAGGTGACAATGACTTTCTATGGCATTCACCTTTTCATCTTCATTATATCCGCTACGTATTCTCTTCTGTCTAAGAATGGAGGACGGTATGTGAATATTGCCTTGCAAACATAAATATGCTCGCAGTCTCTTCGCTTTTCTCCATCTCTTCCTTCCCTTCCCTTCCCGTACATCGTTCCTTCCGTTCATACCTCCCTGAGCTTCATGCTTGTCTCTTATCCTACAGACTCCTCTCGATCCACCTCCCCTGTTGCTCCTTGGTTACCCCACGGACCCTTTCTGATCTGCCCCCTAAACCCGGGTCCATCCCGCCACAATGGCGACGTACCGTACTGATGCATCACTAGACCGAGCTACAGCTCGCACTCATCAGCGTGCCCAGAGCGAGCCGTTATACCCGGTCATCAGTGATAGGTACGACATCATGGCCGACTTGCCACAGGGCTACCAGCTCCGTTCGTTCCGATCATGCTCAACGCCAAACCAATTGCAGAACGCCGTGAGGGCCATTTATGAGCAGTTGGAGCACGACAATGGGGAAGGCAACCAATGGTTGGTCATCAGAGGCCTGTCCCAAGCGGCCATTGAAAGGCTAAGCAACCGCACCGGCTGCCTGGCGGGTATTCCTTTTCGGTTCATGTGGGTTGGGACCACTGGCCTGATCAAAGTCGTCCCGACTGGTGCACATGACATAACCACGTCGGAGCTGAGGTCCTACATTGAAGACCAGCGCCGGCAGATGGGAATGCCACGCCTTGACATTCTCTGGGGATCCACAGTCACTACGCCCGGCACCGTGACTACCCACGGCAAAGAGGCAGACGAGTGCATCTACCCACGTGGCCGGGAGCCTCTTGGTAGCCAATTTCGTGGCTGGCCAACTCTCGTCGTAGAAACGGGCGTTTCGGAGTCTTTGGCAAAGCTCCGGAGAGACGCCACTTGGTGGTTTCAAAATTCTTCCGGGGACACCAGAATCGTTCTTCTTATCTCGATCAAGAGATCCACGAAGCAAATTACGATCGAAAAATGGCAGCTCGCCCCTCCGAATCTTCCAAGACCATTGACGAGGCAAGCAATCGCTCAGCTGCGCCAGCAGCCTAACCAGATGCCCCCGCTTGTCCAACAACAGGCAGGCAGCCAAGTTGCTTTCTCCATTCAGGAAATCGTCATAACGCCTGCAGCGATTACTGGAGGGCCTCTTGTCATTCCCTTCCAGGCACTGGCTGATCGCCAGCCTACTGGAGCTGAAGGGGATATAGTCATCAACAACCAGGGCTGGCGTGAAATTACACGTTGTGTTTAAAGCTTGGGTTTCTGCTCTTTGGCGACCGGATCGTGTAGGCGCAGCGCTAGGTCTATGGTAGTAGCAGCGAATTGGATGGTTATCCTCAAATGTAGGTATACTGACAGCGTTGACAGCGTAAGCATAAGCCATCTATTGCCAGTGTTTATCTTGAAAGACATGTCTTGCTTCATATTATTCGGCTATCCGACCGGTCAAGTTCAAGTAAAGTAGTACTGCGCAACATGTCAAATCCAGTCGAATCACTCTATCAATACTCTTTTAGTGCATCGTGCCTAGACCAGCCTTGGGCAGTCATCCCCACCATAAATTGGGGAAATCCCCTGCGGGGTACATTACTCTAATAGGAAAATATAACCACCCCAGAAAGCGCAGGTGTAGCCACCAATTACCGTATAAAAACTCTACAATGCCCGCATACATCGGCATATACCGAGGTGAATTGCTGCCAGAATCCGTCCTGTCGAACTACTTGCAGAGTCTTGCCGCCAATCTTTCTCATTGTGTTCTATCCGGGCATCACATCATCTCTCATTATATGCTGGCATCCACATCGTCCACGACGGTAACCTTGATACTCCTCTGGGACGGGTCCGCACAAAGATGCAGCGCGTCCATGGCCTTTTCCAGCGGAAAAGTGTGCGAGACCAGCTTCTTCAGATCCAGAATGCCTCCGCTGAGGCACGCAATCGCTGGGGGCCAGGTGTCGCGGTAGCGGTTGATGAACCGTAGGTCGATCTATACAATTAGTATCTACCAACACCGCACCATGGAGGAATAGCTCACCTCTGCCATCGAAATATGCATAAAAGGCAAGTTGTTCATAACCGCCTTGCCAACCCCAATCACGACGACATTTCCACCCCGCCGCGCTGTAAAGCACGCCGTCACCACGCTGCTCTCCACCCCCGTGCACTCCAGCACCGTCTCCGGCTGCACGTACTCCTCCGTCCCGAACAGCGCGCGAATGGCCCGCGCGTTCCCCTCCGCATCCCGCGTCCGGTCAACCTGGTATGTGATGCAGCTGGGGACGAACTCCTTGGCAAAGGCCAGCCGCCCGGGGTCGAGATCCGTCACCACGATGGGATGCGCACCGGACGCGCGCGCCGCCGCCAGAGCGATCAATCCAATAGGACCAGCGCCGCAGATTACCGCGCCGCGGCCGAGTTGCAGCTGGGCGACTTGCATGCCGCGCATGACGACGGACAGCGGCTCGAGCAGGGCGCCTTCGACGAAGCTGATATTGTCGGGGAGTCTGCACCTGTCAGCATCCTTTGGCGCATTCATCCACCCTTCGTAAGGACATACTTGTGGAGCCACTTGGCCGGATGCACCTTGTAGCGCTGCATGGTGCCCGCGTACGGATACACCCCGGCGAATTGCACGTCTTCGCAGAGGTTGTAGCGTCCGTCGTCACAGAGGAAGCAGTTCTCGCACGGCACGCCCGGCTCCACGGCTACCCGGTCCCCGGGCTTTAGATGCGATACCCCGTCGCCGACCTGGAGCACTACACCCGCTGCCTCATGGCCGATGATGCAGTCGTCCTCGAACACGAGCTCGCCGATGCGCCCGGTCTTCCAGAAGTGCAGGTCCGACCCGCAGATGCCTGTGGCTTTGATGTGTAGTAGTACCTCACCGTGTTTGGGGGCGTATACTGGAGCGTCGACGGCTTTTAGCTTGTGGTCGGCGGTGACTTGTAGAGAGGGATTGGGGAGGGGCGTTTTGATGAGAGAGCCGGTTGCTTTGGAGGGTAGCGCCGGTACAGGCTGTTCCAGCACGGAGGGGGCCATGAGGAGGGTGATGTAGGAATTAAGAAGGATCGGAAAGAAGTCGTGGTATGATGCAGAGATGGCAGTGTCGGGACTCCATCGCGGCGATTATTTATATCCTTTACAGTAAGAGATGCATGGGGCGACGATGGCGGGGAAGCCGCCATTAAAAAGGGAACTGGAGCCACGTACGGCGGAGTCGCGGCTGGAGTTGCTGTTCTTCTTATTCTTTTTATGGATCCATCGTGGTCGGTACAGTGGAAGGACTTCCTGTTGTGGTGGAGAGTGCCTCGCCCTGCCTGATCGGGTAATCCCCATGCCCTCATGGCATCGCGATGCATATAAGAAAGAACCGCATCACTCTTCCTCCTCCCCCGCTCGGAAGTCCTCTTCTCCTGTCTCTTCCTACACTACAACTTCATCATGGCTCAGGGTGCGGTAAACGGTGTCAACGGGGTCAAGTCTGCCCTGCCGCTGGTGCAGCAACTCTCCAAAGACCATGATCTGGTGCTGCGGACCTTTCGCATGCTCATAGCCGATCTGTGCCAGCAGTTTGGCGGTGGTCACCCTGGGTAAGTCTCTATCGCTCATCGACTGAATCATCGCTAACTCGTCTAGCGGTGCCATCGGCATGGCCGCCATTGGCGTCGCGCTCTGGCGCTATGTGATGCGCTATGCGCCTCACACCCCCGACTACTTCAATCGCGACCGCTTCGTCCTCTCCAACGGCCATACCTGTCTGTTCCAGTACACATTCCTGCATCTGACCGGCTACAAGGCCATGACCTTCGACCAGCTGAAGTCCTACCACTCCGACCGCGTCGACGCCCTCTGTCCCGGCCACCCGGAGATCGAGCATGAGGGCATCGAAGTCACCACCGGCCCTCTCGGCCAGGGCATCGCCAACGCCGTCGGACTCGCCATGGCGACCAAGAACCTGCAGGCCAAGTTCAATCAGCCCGGCTACGACGTCGTCTCCAATCATACGTGGTGCATGATCGGAGACGCGTGTCTGCAGGAGGGTGTGGGCTTGGAAGCTATCTCGTTCGCCGGGCATCTCAAGCTGAACAACCTGACGGTCATCTACGACAACAACCAGATCACCTGCGACGGCTCGGTTGACCTGACCAACACCGAGGACATCAACGCGAAAATGCGCGCCTGCGGCTGGGACGTCATCGACGTCGAGAACGGCTGCTACGACGTCGAGGGACTCGTCAAGGCCCTCGAGACGGCCCGCGCCGCCACCGACAAGCCCACCTTTATCAACGTCCGCACCGTCATCGGTCTGGGAAGCAACGTGGCCGGCCAGGCCGCCGCCCACGGAGCGGCGTTTGGCGCCGCCAACGTCGCGCAGATGAAGAAGGAGAACGGGTTCAACCCGGACGAGCATTTCGTCATCGGCGACACCGTGCGCCAGTTCTTTGCGGACCTTCCCGCGCGCGGAGAGGCTCTCGTGCGAGAGTGGAACGAACTCGTCAAGAACTACACCGTGAAGTACCCCGAGCTGGGCGCGCAGTTCCAGCAGCGCGTGCGCGGTGAACTGCCGTCCAACTGGAAGGACCTCATTCCAACCAGCTTTCCCGATAAGCCCACTGCGTCTCGCGCGTCGTCTGGGCTCGTCTTCAACCCGCTGGCCAAGGACATTGACTCGTTCATGGTCGGCACCGCCGACCTGTCGCCGTCGGTCAACATGATCTGGCCGGGCAAGGTTGACTTCCAGCATGTGCGTTCCTCCCCCTTCCTCCACATAGACCACCCCAGGCACTAACAGACTTACAGCCGGATCTCCGCACCACCTGCGGCATCAACGGCAACTACGCCGGCCGCTACATCCACTTCGGCGTCCGCGAACACGCCATGGCCGCCATCTCGAACGGCCTCGCCGCCTACGCCCCTAACACCTTCATCCCCGTCACCTCCTCCTTCTTCATGTTCTACCTGTACGCCGCGCCGGCCGTGCGCATGGGCGCGCTCCAGCACCTGCAGGTCATCCACGCGGCGACGCACGATTCGATCGGCATGGGCGAGGACGGCCCGACGCACCAGCCCATCGAGCTGGCGGCGCTGTACCGCGCCATGCCTAACTTGCTGTACATCCGGCCGGGCGACAGCGAAGAGACGGCGGGCGCGTGGATCGCCGCACTGGAGGCGAAGCGCTCGTCGAGCATCATCTCGACGTCGCGGCATGCGCTGCCGCAGCTGAAGCAGACGCGGCGGGAAGGTGTCGCCCGGGGTGCGTATGTGCTTGAAGAGGCAGAGAATGCGGCCGTCACGCTGATCGGTGTTGGGGCGGAGCTGTCGTTTGCGCTGGAGGTTGCGGCGCGGCTTAAGGAGCAGGGGGTTGTGGCGCGGGTGGTCAGCTTCCCCTGTCAGCGGTTGTTTGAGCAGCAGTCGCTCGAGTATAAGCGTGGGGTGTTGCAGCGGAACCGGGGGATCCCTGCCGTCGTGATTGAGCCGTATGCGCCGAATGGATGGGAGCGGTACGCCGATGCGGGCATCAATGTCCGGCGGTTCGGACACTCGTTGCCAGGCAAGGCGGCGTACAAGTTCTTTGGGTATGAGATTGGGACGATGGCGGACAAGGTGGCGCGGTATCTGCAGCGTCTGGGAGAGGATGAGGTGTTGCGGGGGGAGTTTGTGGACCTGCAGTGATGGTTTATGATGATATAGACGGATGCATGCATAGATGGCTGGTGTATATATTGTTTTCCGAATGGGGTAATTGTAGGCGCTAGCATTACGTCAAGGATGGTTGAGGTACAAATAATGCAGACTTATGCAATGTAATTACCAGCATAATGGAGTAACTGCGAGAATAATATTAATGCAGTCGACTTGTAGAGAAGCGAGAGTTAGTAAAATAGAAATTTGACTTTTGAACACTCGGATGCAAGGGAGACTCTTTACTTGAATCATGTTCTGTATAGTCCAGGATGATACATACTCAAGCCTTCACATAATTATCTCCCTAGAAAGGAGGGTGACAGCTCATCTGTAAGTGAAGCAGAAGTAGAGTAGCATCATCTAGACAATGAACTAGAGAGTGTTGGCTGACTGAAGAATTCTGCCATTGCACATACCCTACACTACATAGGGTGTATCAAAATCAATATCATGCAGTTCCAGATGGTGCAGAAAGCATGCGATCCAGTTTCCTACTTAGTATAAGCAACCAAGAGCCCATAAATTCCATCATTCCTTCGGACAGTCTTCCTCACCCGCATATCACCAAAATGAAGATCATGTTCTTAAACCCCGTTGGGGACACCATATACAACCAACCCTTTGCCGACATGGCCCGACGCTACAAAGACCCCAACACGCAGGTAACGATAGCATCGCTGCACCATTCAGCGGGACCAATGGCCGCAAAAGCCTACGGACCGACACAAACCCTCGTGGCAGCCCAGATCATCCAGGCCGCGCACCAAGCCCGAAGGGAGAACTACGACGCATTCGTGATCAACTGCTTTGGCGAATATGCCCTTAACGAGTCGAGACAGATTGGCGGCGACATGCTGGTAATTGGACCGGCCCAGTGCTCAATCGAGACCGCGCTGCGACTCGGCCGAAGATACACGATGATCTTGAACGACGAGGCCCAGCGCGAACACAATGAGGAGGCCTTGCGGGACTATGGGACCAAATACCGTCCCGTGTCCTACCGGTCCATTGGAATGGGATATGATGAGGACCCAGCCGAAGTGGAGGCCAAGTTGGTTGAACAGGGGAAATTGGCGGTTGAGCGTGATGGGGCAGAGGTTTTGCTACTGGCCTGTACGCTGGCACTGGGCTGGCATGAGAAACTTCAGGAGGCGATTGGGGTTCCGGTGGTTGATCCTGCGGTGGCGGCACTGAAGACTGCAGAATTAGCAGTCCAAATGAAGAGGAGTTGCGGTTGGGGGAGTTCTAATGTGGGAGCGTTGAAGTCGCCCACAGAGATGGAGCTGCAAGGGTTTCGGATGCTCCAGGAACCGTATGTTCTTGGGGAGAGAATTGAGGTTGAGTGATGGAATCAGTATCTTTCCACACGCGTGGTTTATGATGAATTTCCACCAGGATCCTTGGTACTGGAGAGTAGAAGATAAAGAAGCTGTAGAAGTACTACTCCATAAAGAAGTAGAGACAGAGCACGTGGTGTTGTTGATATTTTTATTTCATTTATGAGCCGAATGTAACGGATGATCTTGATTCCGCTGCAGCCAATGAAAGATTGACGTTGCTGCATGCCGGCGTTGGATGGACAGCCTGATTGGACGACAAGAGCAAACCTCGTCGTGCGGGGTCCAATTAGCGGGACTGCTCGCAAGGCTTATGCACGGTATCCACCAATCGGAACGTCCTGTATAATCAGAGTGGACACAAATCCCACCGCGCTAGACTGTTCCTGACGGACTCCTCCTCGTCTCATCGTCAACATCTCCAACAAGCGTCAACGGGCATCGACATCCCCTCTTTGTCCCCTCTTGATCGAGTGCGACCACGGCAGACAATGGTCGATCGCCATGCAATGGAACATCACGGCCCCAGCACGTGCGGTGGGCGACAAATGCCCCGATGAGGAGTCCCCCGACTTAAATACAGCCCCCGCGTCGCAGTCATGGCCCTGGTGGCAGGTCGTCCTCATCCTTCTGCTGCTCACCATCATGAGCCTCCTCTCGCTGGTCACCGTCCTGTCTCTGGGGTTGGGCATCTCTGCCGTGCCCCATGGCCCTTCCCACGCGAAAAGCCCCATCAAGAATGTTGTCGTGCTGGTGCAGGAGAATCTGTCGTTTGACAACTTCGCCGGCGGCTTGACCTACAACCCCACCATCGACAACCTGGTCAACCGCAAGTACTGCAACCCGTCCAACGTCTCTGATCCGCACTCACCCCTGGTCTGCGCTCGTCCGATCGCTAAGAATGTCGCTCCGGACGACCCAGACCACTCCATCAGCGGTGGAAACCAGCAGGTCTACAGCACCTACCACCCGGATCTGTCGGACGAACCCTCCATGCAGGGCTTCGTGACCGAGCAGATCGCCTCCTACAGCATCGGTCAGAACCTGTCGCGTGCCGCCGAGGTCATCAACTACTACTCACCGGACCACATCCCCGTCTTCAACGCCATGGCCGAGAACTTTGTCCTCTTCGACCGCTGGTTCGCCGCCGTCCCCGGCCCAACCAACCCCAACCGCGCCTATCTGACGTCGGGCACCTCGCACGGCCACGGCATGAACGACGACGACTTCCTCACCTCGGCTCTGCCGCAGGTCTCCATCTTCGAGCAGCTGTCCGCCGCCAACATCAGCTGGATCAACTACTCCAACACCACCGACTTCCTGCCCGACGCTCTCTTCTACGAGTGGACCGCTACCTCCGGCAAGGGCGACACCAACGTCAAGCGCATCGACCACTTCTTCGCCGACGCCAAGGCCGGTACCCTGCCCCAGTTCTCCTGGATCAACCCCGAGTGCTGCGACTACATGTCCTTCCACCCGCCCTCGCCCATCCACCTCGGCGAGGGCTGGATCAAGAGCGTCTACGAGGCCCTGCGCGGCTCCCCGCAGTGGAACGAGACTCTGTTTATCCTGACCTTTGACGAGCACGGCGGGTTCGCCGACCACGTCTCGCCGCCGGAAGATGTGCCCCCGGGTGATGACCTCGCCTACACCGAGACGGCTCCCGACGGCAAGAACACAACTTTCCACTTCGACCGCTTGGGTATCCGCGTGCCCACTGTGCTGATGTCTCCGTGGGTGGGGAAGGGCGTCGTCCAGAACCGCCCCCATGACCAGCCGGGCGAGTTCACCCACACCTCCATCCTGAAGTATCTCGCCGAGCTCTGGAACCTGGACATCCTGACGCCTCGCGTGCAGTGGTCCCCTAGCTTCGGCCATCTCATCACGGACACCTTCCGTGATACCCCGGAGAAGCTGCCCGAGCCGGCGGAGTTCTAGACCGTTCAAAACTACTGCAAGGATCGATGCATCATGCATGGGTATCACATTACTATCCACTAGCTAGCTGCACATAGACGCATTAGAAGAACAAGAACCGCTTCTTACCCCGCGTGGACCGCGACCGCTGCGTAATTGCCGAGTTTTTCGTATTCACCCGGTCGATATCATATGGGTTTTCCTGGTAGATGGCATCCTCGTCATCGCTCGACACCGTGTCAATCGACTCGGCCCGTTCGAGATCCGCCTCCGTCGCGCCCTCTGCACTCGCCTCCACCACCTCATCCCGCTTCTCGTCTGCCTCCTCCGTGTTGAGCGCCTTGTGCGCCAGCTTACGCATAAAGTCGTCCGCCTCGGCGGCATACTTGCACTTCCGGCGCACCGCCGCGCCGTACTTGTAGAAAAAGAACGGGAACGGCAGACACGCCAACGCCAGGAAAGCCGGGATGCACGATGCCCAGTGAATACCCAGGTTATGGTACATGTATGTCGTGAAGAGCGGGAAGCCGGCGCCAAAGCACGAGCGAATAATACTATTCGCGGCCAGCACGCTCGCCGCGTAGATCGTATACGCATCGATGAGATACGTCATGATGTTGAGGAAGACAAGCACCATGCCGAAACCAAACGGTGCTGCGGCGATAATGCTCACGATCCAGTGCACGTTCGGCCCGTTCGTCCAGGCGAACCAGAACAGACCGACGGGGATGGCGACGGCGCCGACCATGGTCGGGGGCAGGCGGGCCTCGGGCGGCGCGAAGCCGCGGTGTTTCTCGTGGATGCGCACGTAGCGTTTGTTGTCGTACATGTTGCAGCCGACGGCGAGCATCATGCCGGTCATCACGCCGAGGAACGGCAGGCTGCCGATGCCTTCGCTCCAGCCGCGGATCTCCTGGAAGACGATCGGGAAGGCGTCGAAAAGCATGTACAGCGTGCCGTAGATGATGGCCATGTACAGCGAGAGAAGGAGCACGATCGGCTCGGCGAAGAGGAGAATCCACGGCCGCAGCAGCGCCGCGCCGAACGCGTTGGCGACGGATACGCGGCCGCGCTCGATGTCCAACTTGCTGCGGTAGACTTTGCCGGTGAGTTTGCTCAGTCGGTCTGCGCGTTTACGCAGAAGCAGCGGGGCGTAGGTCTCGGGGACGAGGAGCGACTCCACGATCCAGATCAGGCCGGTGAAGGTGGCGAGGAAGCCTTGCACCCAGACCCAGCCTGCGCTTTCGCCTAGGAAGCCTCCGATCACGGGGCCGAGGGTAGGACCTGGATGGATGAGTATGTTGATATGGTGTTGTGGGAATGTCGCGGGATACGTACCTAGGAACGGTGCTCCAGCAAACAGACTTGTGGCCAGTCCACGTTCTTCCGCCTGTCAGACGTTAGCTATCAGATGCTTATAGCCACGGGTATATCAACTCACCGGGAAGATGTCCGCGATAACTCCACCCGCATTCGTCAAAGGCGAGCTTCCAAACGATCCAGCAAAGAACCGCAGGATAATCAGCGTCCACGGATTCTGCGATCCAGCTGCACCAGCACAAAACGCCGCCAAACCAAAATACGAGATGAAGAACACCAGCTGACGACCGATCAGTTCACTCAGCGGCGCCCACAACAACGGCCCGACTGCAAACCCCAACACGAACAGCGACACGCCCAGGGTTGCGACCTCCTCGCTGATATGGAACGACTTGACGATCTCTGCAATGCCTCCTGCGTAGGCAGACGAGGCCATGGAGACGCCAAAGGTCGCAAAGGCGACGGTGACTGTGAAGGCCCACTTCAGGCTCTTGGGCAGGTTCATGGGATTGCGAGGGTCGTTGGGGATCCATTCGACGATGTAGGGGTTTTCTTCGGTGCCTGCGCCAGCGTACGCATGTTCGACGACCTCCGGCGTGACGGCGCCTTGATCGATCAGGAGACGCCAGTAGGGGATGCGCTGTGGCCGGGGAGCTTCGATAGGATCCTCCTTGTACGTCATGTTGATATCAGGCGATCAAAGTCGCATGTCTGGGAAGAAAAGAAAGGATATAACGATAAAGAAAAGTGGGAATCGACTGCAGGTATACGATTTTGTGTGCAGTGGCCACGCTAGGCCTGTTCCTCGCCATCGCCGTTTTTTCCGACTTTTTTTTCTTATCCTCAAGTCATCTTTTCGATAAGAATGATGCCACCGTCCCTGATCCAGCTCATAGATCGCTCTATACCAGCAGATTGGCCAGAAACGTGGACCCATGGACTTGACTACTTCACCGCGTGGAGCCTGGCGCCATCCGATTATCCGCCGCCCCACGCCCGGTTTTGGTTCGGCTGTTGCGTCGGCAAGCCGAGTCGCTGTTCAGACCGAGGCTGGCATCGTAGCTGTATCGTGGTATGGAGATGTATAAATTTCTAGCCTTTAGAGTCGGTATGTGCTCTGTAGAAATGTACTTAAGTTTCTAGAGCTACCATCGTTTGCTTTGGTGAGGGCAGTGTCTTCAGACCGCCATTATCGCCACCCTTCCACCGCGTCCGCATGCTGGTATTCAATGGGTGATCTTTGAGTGCCTCTAGTTGTCTAGTGCAGACTAGAGACTCCTATCCAGCTTTTACATAATTAAACGCCTACGATCCCGCTTATATAGCTTGGGACAGTGCCAAGAGGATTTGCTCTCCAACTTCTTGCTTGAGACTCTCGATGATATGCTGCTAGACACTGTTCGAGCATGGGGGCATGTAGAATGGAGGAAGCACAAGACTGTCAATGATCAAGAATGCATATCCAACCCCCGAGGCTAGCCAATATCCCCACACCAAACCAGCTGAGCCTTAGTATCTACTTCTTCCCCTCCTCGTAGTCGATCTTGCGGGTGTCGCCTTCGGAAGTATACCAGGCTTCTCCCTTGCCATTATTGTAGTAGGTGCTGCCGTTGGAGTTGGAATAGTAGTAGGAGCCGTTCCTGGCCACAGTCAGCACCAGACTCTGAGAAAGGGTCCCAACATACAGGTTAGAGCAATGGTAGGCATCGCCACGACCAGCGCCGTTGGAGTCGGATCCAGTTCCATAGTCGCGAGAGCACCAATGGTTGCCCTGTGTGTTTGATTAGCCGGTCGATCTATGCCACTGAAACGAATGCTAGAGGTCTTGCGATCAGGCCATTTACCTGGCTGTTCGTGCCGGAGTCAGTGTAGTGGTAGCCCTTCTCGGAATCACTCATGGCTAGTTTGGGTTGGTTTAGGGTAGAAAGGGTAGTGCGAATGAAGGCGTTGTTGGGAGTGGTTAGAGGTCAACCTTGCCGATGGGAGGAAGAATACCTAGGTGTTTATGACGACAAGTTCCTGTGCATACGGAACTTCTTTCCAATTTGCTCATTTGGATGTCAGTATAGTCACTGAAGGAAACTACTTGTCAAACACTATCGCTTTAACTAAGCTACACATAGTAACTTTAACGGTTGCTCGGATTCTTCTTCCAGCATACCCATAAACTTATCATGGCACAGTTGCAGGGGATTTATATGTTTCACACCCGATTCTCGCAGCTTACCCAAATTTATATCTGAGTCGAAATATTGCTGTCGCACGACTGTCATAAAGATCTAAATACTAGTAACTTGATTTCGTTCCAAAACTGGCATCCGAATGGTATATTCCTCAATTGATATGTGACGTGCTGGTAGAAGACTTGCATGAGCTGACCGACTTTTCAAAACCCTTACATTAGCTTCATCTTGTGCTACATTGTGCTCTGGTCCGAGGCTAGTATTTCATCAATTGAGTGTGAGAATCACGCTTCATGATGGCCGATATACGAAGATAATCCACCACTATAGAGGCCGACAGCACCCCCAGCATCCCTATCATAGATGCCTTAGCATCTAGCGAATCCTCGAAAATGTCTGGGACTTACGGGTACACCGGTTGGAGCCTGTTGAGCAACATTAGTGACCGTTTGCTTTTCCGCCATTGCAATGCAGCAAACCTACCTCCCCTTCACGACAGCTGGGTTCTTTTGGTTGGCACTGCTCCATGCAGATTTCCTGCGCCCTACCGACATTTGCTAGCAGAGCCATGGCCAGGAGGAGGTACGAGAAATTGGGAATTGCTCTCATCGCTGGTATTTTATGGACAATCTGCAATATATCCTGGAAGACCCCTCGGTGTTTCCATTGAAGACGTGGGCGGGAAGAGGACTTGCGTCAGCTTATATGATTTGGCCTCGGCCTGCTCGGCGCGAGGGGTGAGCTGAGACGACCATCACCCCTAGCATGATATATCGGCAAGTCAGACTGTCGGAAGCATGGGAAGGATAGACCGAGTTTGTCCCACGGTCACGTATCTGCTGTTCTAATCCATGCTGAGGATATTTATCTGCGTTGCGTCTCAGGCGTCGCATAACCCAAAGCCGTAGACATGTTGATCTGCTAGGTTTACGCAAAGCAATATCCCTTCATTATAATGTGTATATCTCTGAAATCCATAAGATATGAGCCTTCACCTGGTGCGGGCGTCATCTGGTTGACAGTGTAAGGGATATGTCTTAGCGTTACTCATATATATGAGATTCTGCACGACGTAGTCACCGGACAAATAATATCACACAGTAAAATATAAGTCCTTCGCGTTTTTGGTGGCGGCAATGTGATCGACGCGAGGTTCACATTCCGTTTCCCCAATCCGGTTATGCTAAGGTTGATGCTTCACAAGAATTCTCCGCAGAATTCCTGCCCAAGGCCGCCGTGAAACTATTACCAAATGTCAGATCATTCGTCGGCACGAGGAAGGGCAGGATTCGGAGAATTCCTCCGTATGAAGGTCTTCACAGGATGAATCTTCGTATGACGGCATCCCCTGGGAGCTTCTATCGCTGGACGCTTACTTCCTCGTGTCTCCTTCCCTGCCCTCTCCTGGGCTAGGATTACGGAGCAATACGCTTTATTCTCATAATAACGTGAGGAAGTCCTTCACTTGACCCACCTGATATCCACGTTCTGCATTTTTGCAGAAACCTTCGCAAGTTTCCGCTCCGCACGAGCTCTTCGGGTCGTCTCCGCGTCGTCATATGGCCACTGTTAATCTGGAGAGAACGCCCTAGATCTGGAATTGTGATAATGTCTCCTATTTATATGACACACAAACTTTCGAAGCATCCTGGCCAAGGTAGTGTGGCGTATATGGAAGATGACGTTCGGTTATCTGCTTACTGTCGGGTTCTCAATCCTGATAGTCAAGAACACCAGTCAAATCGACCATAATGATAGTGTAGATTGCCGAAACATAGAGTCGAGCTATGTTCTAGTGACATGGAACACTGCTTCTCTGGACCATGCCTAGCTATATGTTCCAGCCTGACAGAGGTGGGAATCTCCTTCCAAGGCAAGTGATCACCTGCCGAAGCAATGAAGGGGCAGGTAAAGGAACAAGCATTTCCTCCACTACCCATGACTCTGAGGATACGGAACAGCCTGCAGCAGACGATGGGAAAATAGAAGCGGATCCCCAAATAATCCTCGTTCCTGCAGAACTGGCCGTTGCATCTTCATGACTATCCAGAACACTCGTTGGCCAGAGATAACGCCTATATATAGGCTAGGGCTTTGGGATTCCAGATGCGCATACCACATGACGACGCGGAGCAAGGAGAATTAGCAGTTCCAGGTCCAGGGAAAGTGCTGACAACGGCTTCTAAGCAATGTTTATCTGGATGTATGGGCTCTATGCCCGGTGATATTGTTCTTCGATTCCAGATCGGATACAAATATAGGCATTGCATGTTGAGTCTGACTCGAGTCTTTGCCTTTCCGCAAGCCATGGACATGGACAAGACTAGAAAGTATCCGTCTAAGGGCCAATGCGCATATCCGGTTCCACTACAGGGCATGTAGCATTCCAACGCTCCCCAGTCCCTCCGCCTAGCCCCGTACGTTTGTGCATCTCGCATACCAGCAGCGAACAAGACTTGTCTATCTACAAGGGATGGATCCTCTATTCGATCAACATGCAGTAATGATCCCGTCGGATCTTCGGGAGGGATTATCAGAATCATGGAAGTGCCCAACACTTGCCAGATGAGATCTGTCCGCAGCGTTCATTATTAAAAAGGCTGCTCCCAATGACGACCTCTCCGACCTCGACCGCCACCACCCGCGACGAGATGGAGGTCGAGAAGAAACCCGGTACAGTCATTACATGTACGCCGGACGACTACTCGCCGTGCACGTCTGTCCAAACCGAAGACAAATTCTACGAAGAACGGCCGCTGCCGCCGGTTGACAGGGGCAAGGAAGCATGGCTGCTGCTGGCGGCCTGCTTTGTGCTCGAAGCAGTCGGATGGGGTGAGTTCGCAGCGCTGAGACTGGGTATAGAGGACGACTGTTGACTTTATCGTGTCAGGCTTCCCGACAACATTCGGCGTCTTCCAGAACCACTACCGCAATGACCCGGCGTTTGAAGGCTCTCATGACATTGCTGTGATTGGAACCTGTTCAACTGTGAGAAAGCCTGACAATACACACATCTCCCTTCTCTAACGTTGCGTCTATCCGCACAGGGTATATCATACTTGACCTGCCCCTTCGTGATGATAGGCATGCTTCTCTTCCCACGCGCACAACGTTGGATATCGACGGCAGGCGTCTTGATCATGTCCGTGGCTCTGGCTCTCGGCTCCTTCTCTACATCCATCACTCACTTGATCCTATCGCAAGGGGTGGCATATGGTGTCGGATGTGCGGTCGCCAATGCGCCATCCGTCTTCTTTGTGCCGGACTGGTTTGTTAAGAGAAAGGGGCTTGCATATGGGATCATATGGGTACGTTATCACTGCCTACGCTCTATACATTAATCATTAACCCAAGCAGAGCGGCTCTGCCTTGACAGGCGCCACACTTCCAATCTGTTTCGAGACCCTCATCGCCCACTATGGCTGGCAGACGAGCCTCCGCGTCGCGTCAGTAGCCATCTTCCTCGTTTCCATCGTCCTCCTGCCCTACCACAAGCCCCGAACGCCCTCGACGAAGGCCACCCTCAGTCAAATCGACCTCAGTTTCCAACTCAACCACATCTACATCATCCACCAGCTGGGCAACACCATCCAGGCGCTGGGGTTCTTCCTCCCGAGCATCTTCCTGACATCGCACGCCAGCGCCATCGGCGCAAACGGAATACTAGCATCGTTGGCCCTGACTCTCTTCAACGTGGCAAGCATCTTCGGATGCATCATGCAGGGCTACCTCGTGGATCACTACCCCGTGTCGAACTGCATCCTCGGTGTGTCCGCCGGGGCGACCCTGTCGGTCTTTTTGATATGGGGTTTCTCCACCAGTCTGGCTCCTCTGTACATATTCGCTATCCTGTACGGCGCCACGGCTGGCGGCTTCTCGGCCACCTGGTCGTCTGTGACCAATGAGATTGTGGACAGCCACAAAACGGCGGATATCAGGCTGGTCTTTGGGCTGATGGAGGCGGGACGGGGCGTGGGAAATGTCGCCAGTGGACCGCTGAGTGAGACGTTGCTTCGTGCGGGGCGCGCACTCGAAGGACAGGCACACGGTGCATATGGCAGTCAATTCGGGTATCTCGTCGTCTTCACGGGGTTGACGGCGATGTATGGGGGGATCGGCTTCTTCGTGAGGCTGTTAAAATGAGCGTGCATGTACTATTATTGGCCGGCAATAGAGCAACGGCCGACGAACATAATTAGAACTTCGACATGTATAATGGACGACTGTTGGCGGTAGCTCAGATCTGCTCGCGGATTCTTTCCGACCACGTCTTTGGCGTAGATGTTTCCCAGGAGTAGTTCTGCAGACGTCCAGTGTCTAGGTCGGCCTCCAGCGGGTGGACAAATGACGTGCGGTAGAAGACTTTGTGTCCGATATAAAGGACGACAAAGACAATGGGGCAGATGTACGCAACGAAGAAGTCGGACACGTTGAAGGTAGGGATGAAGGCAGTGAAGCCCTGCGTGAAGATAATCAAGATGTTGAAGAACAGGCCATAGTATGCGATATAGGGTTGACCAATAGCTTTGTATGGCAGTGTGTCTCGGGATTTGTCGCGGGCCTTCAGCGCTCGCATGAACGCAAGGTGGCTGGCATTGATCGATGCCCAGCAGATGAAGCCGGCCACTCCGGAGATGTTGACGAGCCAGTTGAATACCTGTCCGCTGGAATTTGACACATTCATGAAACCGAGGAGTCCAAACAACGCAGTGAAGATGACACTGACATAGGGCACGCCGTGCTTAGACACCCAGCCGAAGAAGCGAGGGGCAAAGCCCTGTTCAGCCAGGCCCAGTAGCACTCTGCTTCCGCTGTACACATTGGAGTTGGCGGCCGAGATGACGACCGTCAGGAGGACTGCGTTGATCAACGATGGCAGAACCTTTACACCGGCCAGGTTCGCCGCAATAACCATCGGGGAAGCCGATGCGTCGGACGCATCCGTGGCTAGTCTGGGATCATCGTACGGAACGAGCAAGCCGATGAAGAAAATCGTCAAGACAAAGAAGACAAGAATGCGGATGAAGGTCTTGCGGACTGCGGAGGGGACGGTCTTCTCCGGGTTCTCGGTCTCTCCAGCGGCAACTCCCACCAGCTCTGTTCCCTGGTAGCTGAAGCCCGCGGTGAGGAGCGTGGAGTAGAAGCCGACAAATTTGGCTGTGGACTCGGACGAAGTGATCAGGTAGGGCGCAAATGCCCCTGGGTGCTTCCAGGTGTCGAAACCTAGGTATCCTTGTTTTCCGGCGCCGGCATCGATGCAAATGGCGAATATCATGAAGCCCAAGACTGTGAGCACTTTGATCATGGACAGCCAGAACTCCATCTCTCCATAGAACCCAACCGGGAGCAAGTTGAGCAGCGTGATCACAACCCAGAAGACACCGATGAAAATTGCAATCGACAAATCGCTGTCCCAGTATTGGATGATCAAGCCGGTTGCTGTGAGTTCGACAGCGTAGGTTGACGCCCAATTGAACCAGTATATCCACCCCATGGCAAATCCCAAGCTCGGATCGATCAGTCTCGCGGACATGGACGCAAAGGAGCCTGCAATCGGAATATAGGTTCCCACTTCACACATGGAAATCATGACCGAGTAGACGATTGAACCGACAAAGGCGAACGCAATTAGAGAACCCGCAGGCCCTGCATGGGCCAGGGCTGTGCCGCTACCGATGAAAAGACCTGTTCCGATTGTCCCTCCTGTTGCATATTAGAATCCATTCTGACAATCCGGAACCAACCAATCTCACCGATAGCGATCATCTGAAGGTGTCGGCTCTTCAGGTTACGCTTCAGCTCCTTGGGGGGTTCCTCTCCCCCGTCCTTCTCGATGGCATCCTCGTTGATGCATGGTGGGTTGCCGTCCTTCTTCGATTCGGGAGGTGCAGTCTTGTCCTTCTTGACATTGGGCTTTTCTGACACAGCGGACTCGGCTGTCTGGGCCACGGGAGTGACCTCGTCGTGGGTCATGTTGGCCAGTATGCGCAAGTCCTACTGAGGTCTTTGGGAGTGATGATGTTATGCTGAAGCCAAGAGAGTAAACAAAAGGTTTTTCATTTTTTTTTTCTTAAATTTTTTACGCTATCTTTTTTGGAGGAAATCTGGACCGTGAGTCAAACATCCATGACAAACCACCAGGCCACCAGAAAGTGGGCTGGAAACCATTAGGTAAAGGGAACCGGTGGCGGACAAGAAAAGGAAAGACGACACGACAGGAGGGGCTCCAGTAGACATGGTTTTAGCTCCAGCATGTTGAAAACAGCTCTACTGTAATGTCGTCAAAGGAAGACTCTGCTACTTGATCCTTCTTGGACGTCTATCGCGATCATCTTGAAGGATTGTACAGAGGCTTGGCACGTCAAGCCTCGCCAAGATCTGGCTCTGGAGTTTTGTGAAGAATTCGGTACATACGAGTCTCAATGGCCAGTATTCCGTACTTACTCCGAGTAGAACTGTTCGCCACATGTGCATTCTGATTCTGAGTGGACGGAATGAACTGCCAGGATTTTCTTCAACGGCGCCATCAAAATCTTCTCATGCTTTCTTTTTTAGCCTTATTTTCTTCTCGGGTAATCTCCGGGTCTATTCCTGATTCGGTATAGTCTCTGGGCAACCCGATTAGGAAGTTGTGTTCCGCCAATTTACTTGTACACATCGACAAACTCCATAACATCATCCAAACACGCTAGTAAGAACTGCCGGATGGCCAAAGCTTTTGAGCTCTTAAGTCGTCTTTCCAGCTTCAGGACCAGACGCTTCCAATAAACCTCGTCGACAGCAATCTCCTCCGATTCGTAGAATAGTCGAGTAGACAGCCTAGAGTGCCAAACCAGATTACCGAGCTTGAAGCACAATCCTTTTTCCAGGTCCGCAAGTGTTTGAGATGGAAGATATTCGACAATCATATAAAGGATTTCCATCGGAAGAACGCAGGGCCTGGGACGTCGTGTCGTCCGGGTGACTGACCGGCCCTTTCGTTTCATCTTCAATTGCCTTCGCTCTTCTTGCTCCAATGCAAGACCGATGGGTTTTGACACACATTTTGTACGAACAGGATCTGGGGGAGGCCGAGATGTCAGTGTCACTAAATATCAGATATGAGTTGAAGACTGGGCTCCTAACCTTTCCGACGCACCATGTCATCCCAGACCATAGCCCTACGTCGGTAGCCAATTCGCTTATATCTATCTCGGAGGGCACTTAGAACTATGCCCAGATCCTTCTCCGCAATAACCCCCAGGTCGTGATAAGTCAGTAGCTCCCAGCAACGAGAGTGAACAAGGTAAGCCACCCACTCAACGCCAGGCGCCGGCTCCTGGGTTGGGCATATGACTGAGAATTTCTATTGAATTCGATATAAGAGGGAAGCAGCATTCAAGTATGCCTCGTATTCTACTTCGTCACCTCCGTCATTGATATCATGGTGGTAGTGTCCTCCTTGCCGATGCCCTTCAATCTCGAAACAGTGCGTGTGTTCCATCCGTAATCCCAAGCCCTCCGGGTCGGCGCTGTGCAGGACTGTCAAGCAGACAATTGGAGCCTTGAAGACGTGATAAGTGATCCATCTCTGCTCCATATACTCGCGGTCTGGGAACGGCAATTGATCCTCCGGAGGGAAATCCGGCATTATGTGAAATTTGGCCTTGCCCGATTTTAGCAGAAACACCCCTCCGAGACTGACGGGTCTGGTATCCCCATATGCTGCATATAGGCCATGACGGATGCAATTGGTGAAGTTATCCTTCCCTCTGCGAGACCGCGCAGTCACTTTCAACACGGGCCCAGCCTCACCGTGGCAGCCAAACAGATTCATCATCAAAGCACAGTTTGTACTTGTTGTAGTTTTGCACGTACTGGTACTGTCTTGACTTATTCTGACAACGTGGGTTTTATTTTCCACGACCAGTGACGATGGTTCATTAAATTCAGCCCCGTCACTGCGTCCCTGCCAGGAGAGATTCACAGCCAGTTCGGCGTTCTGGCCGATGTCCTGGAAGGGAGCAGCTCCAGCGCCAATCAGGAATCCTTTCTCGGTCGACATTTTCATATCCTCTGCCAGAGAGAGGAGGGAGTACTTCGCGTTAAGATTGGGACGGGGAAACAGATTTCCTCTGGCCCCGACGTCGCCAATGCATGCCTCCCCGCATAATCCGGGCGCTGCGAGTTTGAACGGCGGCTGTCGCAGATCCGGACATTGCACAACACTGGCCGAGGCAGTCTCGAAATTTGACTGTAGCGACTGTTGAATGATGGCTGCCAGTTCTTCTAGCGCAGGGGGCTGTCGAACATGCTGGGTCACCCGCATGGTGAATGGTGGGAATGATGGAGAAGGGAGGGAGATCAATGGATCCCGTCGCGAGGGATCATCCGAGAGGGGCCGGGATTTTCTGCGCAATCTGGGGATTCTTGCCTGACCCGGGAGATCATCAGAATTACAGCCAACAAGTTGAATCGATATACATTGGAATTCCATTCGGGGTGTATAACTGTTCCAAAAGGAAGTCTCATTCAGAAATACATACTTACCTACCTATTGTTTGAATCAAAGAAATACAATTAAAATACAAGGGATATAAATAACACCAACCGGCCGGGTGAACGACGCCATCACCGACGAGCGTCCATATCGTGGCTCCGCACCTCATACATCGTGGTGACCTGAATCGCATCTTTCCGTCGTCCGAGCTCTTCTTCGGAAGCACTCTCCCCTCCGCGGACGTCATGAGCATATGCACTGTCGTGGAGCGCATATTCATCGCTGTCCCGGTGTCGAATGTTCGTCGTTTCACTCGCCAATTGACTCGGCTTGGACTTTCCAAAGACCGATAGGCTGTAGCTGCCCAGGCGGCCACCCTTATTAGAGGTCTCCCGTGATGAACCCAGCCACACAGTGCTACTGAAGAGGGGCTTGATACAGGGAGCGTTGACGGAAAGAATAGCGACGAACTATAGCGTGTGAGTGGTGACTGCGATGTACCAGACCTTGGAGGTGAATCTTACCGTCTCTCGGATGGCCCAAATAGTACTGGTGTTGATACTGTCAATGCTCTGCAGCGACAGAATACATCGCAGCAGGGTCGCGACCATGACGAACACACCTCCACAGAGAAGGATTCCAATGACCAGTTTTCTGTTGCGATCTTCTCAGCACCGTTCAACCGCGCAGAGGGAGTGTAGTACATACCGACGCAAGGGAATCCGAACTTTGGCAAGGATGGGGAGCGGAATCGTTAAGAGGATAGCGTCGGTACTGGAATCGTCAGGATATGCATATCAGAGCGCGAGGCGAGGAACACGTACGTGACGTTGGTGACTGCAATGACGATATAATTGACATAGTCGGCGGAGCAATTCACTGGGAGGATTAGCCATTGCCAGTGATGGTAGATGATGAAGAGGTCCTTACGTCCGGGATCAGGATACACCTGCCAGTTCTTGTGAAGGGGACGACAGTGCAGAAAGATGGTCAGGATCACTGCAGTATACGTGCCCATGCAGATAAAAGCATTGGCCTTGACAAGTTTCTGTTGCCAGAGTCCTAGACTGGGGGATGTTAGCATCTATCTTCGCCCGCGGTATCCCAGCGCAGACTAACGTTAACCGGTTGTAGAAGAACAGCATGCATGCTTTGAGAGACCAGATGAGCGTGACATAGCATGTCCATCCCGCAAGAAGACACTTGGAGCCTCGGGCAAGCACTTTGATCTCCTCTTCCGAGAATGCGGCACGTTGTGCATCGGTGAATCCGATATTGGTGCCGAATTGGCCTGTGAGTGTTAGCTGCAGCACCAACAGAAACACAGAAACCCGATTCAATGCGCACCAATCATTTCCAGCATGGTCAGTTCTGCCTGCAAAGAAGTTAATAGATCGTACGGGGCGGACCTTCGGAAATGCCGGCATATGACTGACCGTCCAGAATAACAGCGCAATTATTGTAAAGTAGTCATCTCCCTGCCAGTTCTTGACACCGACCACCTTCGCGCGGGCCAGGATGCGCAAGAGGATGATTACCGTGCCGATTCCATACTCCGTCCAGGCTTCTTTCTGAAATGGAGTCCCGGTACCCATTTTGAGGAGCAATTGGGACGTATCAAGATAGCATGAAGAGAGTGGACAAGGGGCACATAGGAAATCTGTCGTTTACGCACAGGTACTTAAATAGGGCCTGACATGAAACTACAGGTACGGAGTATAATGGGGTTCCAGTGAACTTCTCCAAGCCCCTAATGCCTCTGCCGAGTTTGAACCGCCTACTTCGCCAGTTAAACTTCGTCTAGAGCCGAACCCACAGGGCTAGAACAGATGGTCGTATCACGAATGGGTATTTTGCTTTTTTCTCTGTTGGTGTACCGGCTTGTGAGACGGTGACAGGGGGCTAAATCTCTGACTACCGGTATTTACTTCGGATCCCAGCCGAACGGGCATACGGAACATTTCAGCCCACTCGCTACGCGTCCTTCAGTATCGCCTTGTTGCTGATAGTTATGACAATCCTATTAGTACATGAGTGGAGATGCCAGCGTTCCACCTCTTGAAAGCACGGAGTAGTCTGTTGCGAGCGGCAGGGCATCAATCGTCAGGCGTAAAATTGCCCAAAGACGCCTTTAATAATAAGTGGCACTATAACCCTATTATGACCAGGAATAGCACGCCAAACTCAATCCACGTACCCAGACCCAGCCAAGAACTCCGTTGGTGAAACCAAAGCGGCGATCGACTGTGTTGACCGGGGCTCTGCCGTGCCCGCTGTGGTGCGCTAGTGCTTGACAGATCGCAGTTGGAGTCGCTCCACCCGTCAATATCATTGTTCTATGGACGGAACGACGGAAAGTGGAGCGCCCTTACGAAGGGCAGAGTTGGGGCCAAAGAATGGAGGCTGTTGATCTGCCCGGAATCGACTTGCTGGGAGTATGGTCTCTCGTATTTTAATTATCGCCTCTATCGACTATGGAATGTAGACTTTCCGCTGCTCGTATCTCTTTCTCTTTCTCTTTCTGCCGCTGGATCTACCGGCACTACTGAGTATATGTGACCTATCACTCTGGCGACACAGCAGCCACAGAGTAGACTACGTCCATCTCCTATACGGAGTAGTAAACCATGTGTTCTGCACCGTTATCGGCACGATGCGGAATTAAAAGACAATCAGGAGGCTTGGCTCCATCAGACCACCGTGCCCTAATGCAAGACTACTCCAGAGTAGGAATGACTAGATGATTTGGCCTATCGCTGACGACCTGCCTCTTCGATAGTCCTCATTTCTCTGGTGATCGCGGACTCTCATTCCGCCCTCCCTCCAACGGTGTTCACCCGAGTTATGACCGCTGGCGAGGTAAGGGCGTACCCCGCTCCCAAAGGGTTGTATCACCCGCGGGTTATTTATAAGGGTTCCATGGCCATGGGATGGGATCCTGTTTAAATCCCTGCACCGGTTTGCAGCAAGTCTCTGAACTACGGCTCTCCCTAGCATCATGGGCTCCATCGAGGACATGAACACCTATGACTATATCATCTGTGGGTGAGTGAGCGCTCTCTTGGCTAGTTCTTGTCTGGCAAACTCGGAAACTCACCCAATGCCCAATTCTCTAGAGGCGGGACTTCCGGATGTGTCGTCGCTGGTCGTCTGGCAGAGAATCCCGACGTCAAGGTGCTGGTCATCGAGGCCGGACAGCACAACAAAGACCTCGAAAATGTGCACATGACTGGAGGGTAGGTGGCGTCTGCATGTCGTCGATCTTCATCAGCTGAACGACATTAGATGGTCCAACAACTTCGACTCCGAAACCGACTGGAACGTGGTCACCAAGCCGATGAAAGGTGTCAATGACCGCCAGGTCAAGCTCAGCCGCGGTCGGTTCCTGGGTGGGTGCAGTGGATGCAATGGCACGTTGTGTATCCGCGGTTCGAAGCAGGACTATAACGATTGGGGTCTGGAGGGGTGGAGTGGCGATGAGTTCTTCGGTGCGATGATGAAGGTATCTACCGGCAACCTGTCGTGCATGAGGGAGCTGTTCTAACGATGATCGTGATCAGGCAGAGACCTTCCACCCCAAAGACTGGTTCGAAGCGGACATGAAGAGCCACGGATTCAACGGCCCTCTCCATACCGAGCCTCACGATCTCGCCCCTATCGCCAACCTGATTATGGACTCGTTCGTCTCGCAGGGTCTGCCGCTGCACCATGACATGTTCAGTACTGGTGACGTTCCTCATGGCTGTGGACATGTCCCACGTAGTGTCTACAAGGGTATCCGTACGACTTCGGCCGACTTCATCACGAATGAATACCATCGGGCGAACGTCACAATCCAGACGGACACCACAGTTGATCGCGTCCTCCTGGAGGAGACCTCCAATGGGCTGCGGGCGACGGGTGTTGTCACCCAGCTTCCCGATGGATCTTCCAAGACCTTTTATGCGACAAAGGAGGTCGTTGTCTCGGGCGGCGCGTACTGCAGTCCGGCCATTTTGATGCGGTCTGGTATCGGATCCCGCGAGGAGCTGGCCCAATTCAACATCGACTGCAAGGTTGACCTGCCGGGCGTGGGTAAGAACCTGATGGACCATCTGGTAAGCTTCGTGAGTATATACGAGGCTTCGCTTCATTCTAACCTGCATCTAGATTGTGTTCATGTTCTACGAGACTGAAAAGGAAGGCCTGACAAACGACTGGCACGTCTACCACGACGACAACCTGGCCAAGACCTACAAGCAGTGGAAGGAGCAGAAATCCGGCTTTTTGTCGACCTTTCCCTTCGGCTGTTTCGCATTTGCGCGCATGGACGAGCGGTTGAAGGACGAGCCCATGTGGAGAGACGCCCCGAGACTGCCCGGACGGGACCCTATGGGCCTCACCCCCGCCCAGCCCAACGTCGAGTTCTTCACGACCGAGTGCTATGGCGGCCCCAAGCAGTACAACCAATTCCCGATTGACCACAAGCACGCCTTTTCGATGATCGCCGAGCTGTTTGCTCCCAAGTCCCGCGGAACGGTGACGCTGAAGTCCAAAGACCCGAAGGAAATCCCGGTCGTCGATTGCAACTATCTTGCCGACCCGATGGATCTGCTGGTCCTGACTGAGGCCTGCCGCTTTGGAAACGAGATTATCATGAAAGGTGCTGGCACCAAGGACATCGTGAAGGGTTCATGGCCGCCGAATCTCACCCATCACACCTACACGACTCGGGAGGAATGGATCCCGTATGTCAAGGAGCATGCGACGACGTGTAAGTGGAGCAGTCAATTCACTCCGCTGGGAGAGAGACTAATGTGTAACAGGCTATCATGCGGCCGGAACGTGCGCCATGGGCAAGGACGACAATCCCATGGCTGTGTTGGATAACAAGCTGAGGGTCAAGGGCATCCAGGGTCTCCGTGTGGCCGACTGCTCAGTCATGCCCACCCTCCACGGAGGCCATACGCAGATGCCTGCCTACGGTATTGGAGAGAGATGTGCCGACTTTATCAAGGAGACCTGGTAGTCGCATTGTTCGTTTTGCGTTTAGTGATCTCTCACAATTTTACAACTGTGCATTGTCGAGAAACACGAGTTATAGCATTTTCTCCAGATGACGGTCATAGCATGACTTCAGATCGATATCCAAACAATATACGCATTACCTGAACTCTACGTTGCTTCAGCTAGGTTACCGGCTAAATCGACCAGAATAAGTTCCATAAGCATTCATCGCTCTCGCTATGTACATTCTCTATAGGGATCTATCATACGCGCTAAATCGAACGACCACCAAAAATCAAACATCGTCACATAGCCGCCTGTAATTCAGCAGAGGTCCATCCCAGCAAGCAGCCTAAGCCTGCGCAGCAGTAAACTCGGGGCTGAACGGGTAGTCGAGGTAACCCTCCTCCTGGATAGGGGTGTAGAAAGTGTCGCGATCGTATTTCTGCAGCGCAATGGAATTCTTGATACGGAACGGCAGGTCAGGGTTGGAGATGAAATGCCGCCCAAACACCACAGCGACATCATTGTTCTTATACTGTTCGTCGACCTCGCGGCAGTTCTCGGGGGTGTAGCCACCAGCAACCAACACAGGCGAGGTCTTGCCCCAGATATCGAGCAGGAACTCCAGACCCTCGCCCTTCTCGCAGTCGATGTTGTTGATGACGCGCGACTCGACCAGATGCAGGTACGCCAGCTTCAGCTCCTTGAGCTTCTCGACCAGATACGAGAACTGCGGCACGGGGTCCGCCATCTTCATGCCCTGCCACGTGTTCCACGGGCTCAGACGGAAGGCCACGCGGTCAGCGCCGACGGCATCAACGAGCGCCCGCGCGACCTCGATCGCGAAGCGCGCGCGGTTCGCCACACTCCCGCCCCAGCCGTCGGTGCGCTGGTTCGTGACGTCCTGCGTGAACTGGTCGACAAGGTACCCATTGGCGCCGTGGACCTCGACGCCGTCGAAGCCGGCCGCGATGGCGTTCTTCCCGGCCTGCGCAAAGTCGGCGATGAAGCCCTGGATCTGCGCCTCGGTCAACTCCTTCGGCGGGACGCCGTCCTTCTCCATCGGGATCGGGCTGGGCGCAGACACCTCATAGTCGCCGTATTTCTGCAGCGTCGGGCCATGCGCCGCGCGGCCCAGCGCGATCAGTTGGCAGTAGATGTGGCTGCCCTTGGCGTGGACGGCGTCGGTGACCTTCTTCCAGGCCTGGACGTGCGCCTCGTTCCAGATGGCGGGGCCGTGCGGCATGCCCGCGGCGGCGGGGGAGATCTGGTTCGCTTCGGCGATGAGCAGGGTGCCGGGCACGGAGGCGCGCTGTTCGTAGTATTTGGTGACGATGGGCAGCGGGAGGTTGTCCTCGGTGTTGCGGAACCGGGTCAACGGAGCCATCACCACACGGTGCTGGAGCTCCACCTGGCCGACGCGGAGGGGTTCGAAGAGCTTGCTAGAGGACATGGTGGCTGACGACGAGTATGACAGTGGGAGCAGACGGAACAGTGATACAGAGGGTAATGAGGGAGACAAGGGAAAAGGGTCCAGGAGACGAGCTGCATAAATCCCCTGCTCGCCATGCGAAGAACGAATTTAGCATGCGTGAACCAGCAGTAGATTTGTCATTCTCCATCAACCCCTCTCGTTTTGCCCCCCTAAAGACGTCCTAAACGTGCTAGGCCAATTGCATCTGGCAATCGCAGGGAAAAAACGGCTCCAAGTGGATCTGTCTCCTAACCGTCTCGGATGGACCGCGGCAGAACCAGCAAGAATAGGGGGGAGAGACCGAGAACAGGACATCTCATTCGTCTTGGAAGCTGTCAAGACAAGAGATTGGCATGGTCAATCGTCTCCAATTCTGGCTCCAAAAGGCAATGGAGAGACGTTACCTGCCATTCAGCAGGGGAAATTTTTATATCGAGTCATGCAGCCAAGTAAGAGCGCATAAACGGTCTGTTATGCATGAGCATAATAATAACTAATTCATAATTGAATGGCTGAGTCATCTTATGCATTCTTTTTTCTTTTTTCCAACCGACAGCAGTAAGTATCCAGGAATCAATGAAGATACAAGAACTGCAGTAGATCACAGAGACTAACCATTCTTTGTATTTTGAAGAATTTCGTCTTCTTTTCGTGGGTTGTCCTCTTGTCTGTGTTAATCACTGTACTATGCCGGTGGGAAGATATATCTTGCAGACTAATACTCAGAAGACACCAAGAACCAACCTCCATCTCCTCCCTGATAGACATGAAAATCAGCCGGAAGAACTATCCATTAGTTTGTTGCGCAACACTGTGATGATGCTGCTTCCAGCTTCTGGATGCCAAGGCTATTGCATCAGAAGCCATCTAGAGAAAAGAGTCCTGTGAGCGATGGCTATAGAGGAATCAGTCGCGTCTCTTAAGCCCTGTGATACGCACGATCAACACGAATCTTGAGATCAAGGACCACAAAATAAACACACCGCCCAATGTAATACTATCCAGTAATTGATCGACTTAAACGAAGCGTTTGGGGATACCCGATCGGGCAATGCAATCCTTTCCTAACAGTAGCTACAGACGAAAATAGCATCCTGACCCTATACCGTGAGCTTGTCTTCATGCAGGTCTCATTGTGCATGTTGTTGATCTCTTCGTCTTCCACATTTCGGCCTCAGATATATCGTCGATACCAATGCATAGCTAGATATACATATCCGGAGTTCGACTACCAGGATGGATATGATCAGTGCATTTAAGAAGGATCAGTGTAATCTGAATTCAACGAGCCCCAGTCAAAGAAGGACCCTTGTATACCCCAAAGTCTAAATAGCAAAGAAATATGGATAGTGAGGAGAAGATACCCTCAGCCATAACTGAGAAGGTAGAGCGTAGGGTGGTGCTTGACATCGACGTGGACGAGGTTTACACTTACGCTGAGCACCGGAAGATTGTCCAATTGTTCACCGTGTCGATGCACGTCTATTCTTGGACATACGAACTAATTATTCTGTAGGGAATTGGCTTCACCTTCACCCGTACATGGACTGACGATCTGGCGTCACGCACCTTACCGGATGTGCTGGAAAGTGTCTATATTCCCGGTGGCGTGTACCTGCTTTCCACCTGGTACAGCCGATGTGCGTAGTCCCGATCGAATTTGCGAGAGGTATTCGTGCCTAGCTGACATGCGACATATCTGGACCAGATGAGCTACACAAACGATATTCGTTATTCTACTGCATCGGTCTCATTGCCCAGGCCATCGCCAATGTTCTCGCCTTTGGTCTGGGAAAGATGGAGGGCTGCAGAATATTCGAGGGTGGAGATGGGTTTCATCATAGGGGGGTGGTATGTCGTTTTGATGGCTTGTGTTCGTCTGTAGACTAACAACAGGCTCAGATCACCGGGGTCGTCGGCCTCTTGACGTACTTTCTTGTGGTGGAATTTCCAGACAAGTGTCACAAATCCTGGCGATTTCTTAGTGAGGATGAAGCAGCATTTATCATCCGTCGGTTAAACATAGATCGGGACGATGCTGTTCCCGGAGACTCTCTCTGAGAGCGTTTCTACGCTACGGAGTGAATATCCGACTCCGGGGTTAACGGCTTGATCTTCTGGGACTCACATCATCAACTCGTATCGAATGACTAGCTGACATCCAGCGATTGCCTCATGGCGGTGATGTACGCCATTACGTTCTCCCTGCCGCTGATCCCGAGGAAACGGCATAGGGTACTCGGTCGGGGAGAGTCAACCCTTATGTGCACCGCCGTATGTTGCTCCTAGTGTCTCGATGTTTGCGCAGGACTGGCTTGGAGACAAGCATCGGAATCGATCGATCATTCTTCTCGTTAACGGGACGGGTTCGATCATCGGCCTGGCTCTGAGGGGGTTCGTGAAGGGCAGCGGGATGCGGCACTTTGGCGTGTTTCTGGCGACAGGCATGACCAACTCCTCTGTAACGGCATGCATGACCTGGCAAAGCAACAATATCCAGGACAATGGAAGCAAGCGTTGTCCAGCGCCATCATGGTCGGGACGAGGGCATCGGAAGCATGGCAGGCAGTCTGGTCTTTCGGAGTCAGGATGCGCCGGCCTATTTCCCCGGCATCTATGCCACCATCACGTAAGTGGCTCTTCCTCTATGGGGCCGATAGCCGGACTGATTCGGGACGGAAGGGCGTCCGCTATCATCGTTGTAGTGACGGGACTGTTGACAGCGTACTTCATCTACGCCAACTGCGAAGCCGGTCGGAATGCGAAGGTGCTGGAAGAGTCTCCGGATATCCGGTATACGCTGTGATGCGCTGGGTGGTGTTCTAGCTGGGATTCCGGAGATATTAGCTGGGACCTAGTAGTCGTTCATGTTCTGTGTATGCAATGTCAGTGGACATCCCACGTTCTGGACCACCCACGCTGCTGCCAACATGCCAGAGACGCAGCAAAACCCGACTCTCCCATGCATCCGGCCCGTACAAGCTGCTACCATCCTCGGCTGTTCGTTGTGCTGTCCTCGCCGTCGATTTCCGCAGGGCGTGGGGGTTCACTTCACACCCGCCCCGTGGGGGTCAATCCAGGGTTCGAGATTTTTGCGGGGAAGACTCAAGTCTTATCCAGGTAGATAACTACCTTAGTGCTAGACATGGTCTGATCCCACAAAAGATTGGCACGGATTGGCCTGAAGGATTCCCCAGATTGCCATAAGCTCCCCCGATCCACGACTAGTGACGACACTGCAAGTTGCGTGGGGGTGCATTGTGAGCATGGGGGTTGGTATTTATCTACTTTGCCTCCCAGCTCATCTGTCCGCCAGCTTGCTCAGGACGTCGTTCTGTCTTTGCTCCATCAGACAGTTCTCTCATCCTCAATCTCTTTCATACTGTTACCATGGACACCAATAAGCCCGGCGCCACGCATAATGAGGGCCATGAATTGACCAAGCCGGACCTGGATGCCATCCATGTCGTCCGAGTCCCTCTCACAGAGGAGGACAGCAAACGCATTCGTCGCAAGACAGATCGAGTGATCCTGGTGATTCTCGTCTGGGTGTATTTCCTGCAGATTCTGGACAAGAGCGTCCTGGGATACGGCGCCACGTTCGGTCTGAAGGATGACACCCACCTGACGGGCAATCAGTACTCTCTCATCGGCTCCATCTCCCCCATTGCCCAGCTGGCCTGGCAACCTTTCTCCTCTTTCTTGATTGTCAAGGTGCCTCACCGGATCTTGATGCCGACGCTGATTCTCGGATGGGGCATCGCCCAGGCATGCATGGCCGCCTGCCACAGCTTCTCCGGTCTCATGGCAACCCGTTTCTTCCTGGGTCTATTCGAGGCTGGATGTCTTCCTCTGTTTAGTATCATCACGAGTCAGTGGTACCGTCGTGCCGAACAGCCGCTGCGTGTGGCGGCGTGGTACAGTACGAATGGATTGGCGACCATCATTGCGGCCATCCTGTCGTACGGATTTGGACATATCACGTCCGGTCTGTTGAAGGAATGGCAAATGTATGTTCACCTATCATCAACCACCGCTGGAACAAGAAACTGACCTGGTCGCTATAGTATTTTCCTTTTCGCCGGGCTTCTGACCATCATCTCGGCCCCTGTGGTCTATTGGCGGCTGGATAATGATGTAGCGTCGGCGAGGTTCTTGACGGACCAAGAGAAACTTCAAGGATTGGAGCGTCTGCGTGCCAACCAGACCGGTGCTGGAAACCGCGAATTCAAGATCAGCCAGGTGGTGGAATCCGGCCTCGAGCCCAAGACGTACCTATGGATCGGTATGGCCTTCCTGCTGAACGTGGGCGCCTCTGTCACGAACGTCTTCGGCCCATTGATTCTCTCCGGCCTTGGGTTCGACAAGTACCAAACCACGCTGCTCAACATGCCCTTCGGGGCTCTGCAGTTCATCATCATTCTTCTCGCTAGTTATCTGGCACAGAAAGCCCGACTGAAGGCCGCCATCCTGGCCGGGTTCATGCTCCCCGTCATTGCCGGTCTCGTCATGCTGCACGTCCTCCCTCGCAACGACTCGGTACAGGGCGCCCTGATGGCCGGCTACTACCTCCTAGCATTCTTGTTCGGCGGAAATCCGCTGATTGTTGTCTGGATTGTGGGTAACACAGCCGGGACGACGAAGAAGTCCATCGTGATGAGTCTGTACAATGCGGCCTCGTCGGCGGGCAACATCGTGGGCCCCCTTCTGTTCAACGAAGCCGACGCTCCGGCGTACCAGCCGGGGCTGAGGGCTTGTCTCGGAATTTTTGTGGCACTGGTGGCGATCGTGCTGATCCAGTGGGCCAACCTGTTCGTCCTCAACAAGATGCAGGAACGGCGCCGGGTGCGGAACGGCAAGTCCGCGAAGCTGGTGGATCGCTCCATGCAGGCTCACTTTCAGCAGGCGGGTGGGGATGCAGCTGTAGAGGATGGGGGGAACCATGAGGTGGGCAATAATGCGTTTTTGGATCTGACTGATCGTGAGAACGACGAGTTTGTATATATCTACTGAGATAGCTTACGATGAATTTACCTTTATATCCATGGATGATGCTATCATGCCACGTACTACCTTATGGCGAAGCTACTAGTACTAGAAATGTAGTAGAAGGTATGCAAAGGCAGCCATCGTTGATTGTTGTGATGCTTCTATTCAGGGGTTGGCTGAGCTCACTAGGTAGCAGCCGATGGAATTCCTCGGTACCGGTACTCCATGTGGCAGGCTTCGTTGTGAGTAAATATTGAGCAGATCTAACTAGCCAGTTACTCCGAGTATTCCGTAGAGACCGTTGCCTAACGCTAAAATTAGATGAGCTTAATTGTGAGTTAAAAGCAGCTTGCGTAACCAGCGGAGAAAGCGTTGTTCCTACAATGCTACAGTAGCAGTAGAGATGGAGGATCAGCCGTCTAGAAAATTCTATTCTAAGGCAGCTGTGGCCATATTCAGATATCAATCATATCACAATGTCGATCATCAAATGCCACGGTTATACCTGTACTCCATAGACTGATTTAATGCTCAGGAGAGTCGGTGAGAGTGAGACATGACCTGTGCGTTGGCATCACAGCCAGCCACAGGGAGAAGAGAATCCACATGCAAAGCCCTTACTCCGTACTCTGTACACCACCTCCCCAGTCATGCCTTACAGAGTACAATTGCCTCAGATATATTATTTCTTATGTTGGGGTCGGGCTCAGAAATCGCTGTCCCTGTCGACTTGTTCAACCAAAAAGGGATTTGCCGGGGATTTAGTGAGACACCAGCGGGATTATACTGGGGTTAGTGAGACTAGTTGGGACTATGGCTGAATCTTGCGCCTAATTCTCCTGATATCGTTGGAGGACCGCATTCCTGCCGGCGGGAAATGGCTGGAAATGGCGCTGGGAGGTCGATCTCTGCTCCACTGCGTGGCTGTTCCGTGGATCTTGTTTCCATTAATATTGAAGATTCGGGATTTTGCCGATAGGGGATAGTTAGTCTCTCCCAGCATTCAACAACGTTTGCATCGGGCTAGGAACAGCAAAAGCAGAGAAAGGAGAAGATTGACGTCCAAAGATTTATCCGGCAGTTCCGTTTGAGACAATCCGCGCGGAGGAGGACAGCGAGGAACTCCGATGCACTCGAGTGAGACATGCGGAGCCGACGAAAGACGTTGGCTGAGCCCTAGGGGATTGCATCCCTAAACGTCATCCGACACGGAGAAATGCATATAAATATCCCTCTCCATCCTACTCTGTGGTACCATCATCAACAAGTTCAACTACCAACTACCAACTACCAACTACCAACTACCAACTATCTGACAAGATGAAGCTCTCTCTCGCTGCCGTCTCCTCTTTCGTCGCCGCCTCCGTTGCGGCCTCTCTGCCCGCCGCCTTCACCCTGGTGGCTGACGGTGGCAACACCGTTCTCACCGATGGCAGTATGTCTATCTCTATGAAACGATTGTGAAGACCAAGATATCTGACAATACATAGCCAACGCCTATATCAGCAAGAACGGCTCTGATTACCCTGCCCTCGACATCCTTATTCGTACGTCCTCCATCCGCCAGTATACCTAAAGAGACCCGATATTAACCCCCTGGCAGTCCACTCCTCCAACAACCAGGTCACCTACACCGCCGAGGACTCTACCCCCACCGGCTGGCAGAACCTCTATGTCGTCGAGGGCAAGGTCGACCCCATCGCCCTGACCGTCCCTCACTCCGGTGCCACCCCCGATGGTGCCAACATGACCGGCTTCGGCATGACCGATGACGGCTACTTCACCTTCAACGGCGTGCAGGCCTTCGTCGTGGACCCGAACGCCGGGGAGCGCCAGGAGATCTACTACCAGTCGCCTAATGTCCCCACCCCGTTCACCTCCGCTTTCCTGTGGGTGAAGGAGTGCAAGGGCTGCTAAGCAGCTCGCTCAATCGGCCCTTTCGCAGGATGTCATATTTGACACGATGTGATAGCGTCTACGCATGTTCAGGGAGTGCACATATTACCAGAAATTGTAATAGATTGTAGTACATAGTCGCTCATTTCAATCCACTTCTACATACATTACCCCACCCGAACTCATCCATCGTATCCAATCGCCTTCGGGTACTTGACAAACGCCATTTGGCCCGACGGGGCGAGCGGCATGCCAGCGTGCCCGGTGAGGCCGGGTTCCTCTCCCAGCATGTTATGCGGGTATCCCACATCCAACGGCTTGACGCTCTCGAGGTACTTGATCTGCTCGTCGGTGAGCCGGATGCTCAACGCCTTGATATTGTCGTGCAGATGCTCGATCTTGCGTCCACCGACAAGCGGGAACACGTTCGGCGTCTTGCTGAGCACATACGCCAACGCGATAGCCGTCACCGACTCGATGCCATGCTCCGCGGCGACCTTGGCCAACGCCTCGCTCATTTGCACCTCGGCCGCGCTCTGCTCGCCGCCCATCAGCTTGCGCAGCCCCTCGCCGTTGCGTTGGCGCTCCGCCAGCGCCTTCTGCGTCTGGAACTTGCCGCCGCCGATGGCGTCCCACGGCGCGAGCGCCATGCCAAACTGTCGCGCCATCGGGATGATCTCGCGCTCAAAGTCGCGCAGCAGCACGTTCCACCGCCCCTGGTAGATGCTGAACGGCGTCTTGCCCTGCAGTCGCGCGTACGTGTTGGCCGCGCTGACCACCCACGCCGGCGTGTTCGAGATCCCCAGGTACAGCACCTTGCCCTGCTGGACGAGCGCGTGCAGGCTGTCCATGATCTCCTCGAGCGACGTCGTGTAGTCCCAGAAATGCACGTAGAGGATGTCGATGTAATCCGTCTGCAGCTTGCGCAGCGAGTCGCGCACGCTCATGTGCAGGCTGCGCTTGTGGTTGCCCGCGTGGTTGACCGTCTTGCCCTTGCCCAGCTGGTACGCCTTGTACTCGCCTGTGTACTTGGTTGCGATCACGAGCTGGTCGCGGTTCTGCCGCGCGGCCATCCACTCGCCGATCCACGCCTCGGACTCTTCGTTCTGGTAGTTATTCGCCGTGTCGATAAAGTTGCCGCCCGCCTCCACGAACGCGTCAAGCAGCTTGAATGACGACTCCTTGTCCATGCTGCCCATGCCCTGTGCCCACGCCGACCCGATCGACATGGCCCCCAACTGCAGCGGGGACACCCGGATACCGGCTGTTGAGGACAGCACGCGGTAGCGGCCGAGCTCTGTGGGGGGTTCGGGGGCAGGAGCGAATGCGTCCATGGTTGTGTGTGAGTGTGAGTGTGTGGGAAAATGCGGAAGGGAAATTGGAAAGACGGGCAGAGGACGGGGCGAGGGCCTTTATATCTATGGCCTTGCTCTCGCCAGGGGCACACCAAAGTGGGACGACCAACCCATGGATCAAATAGTCTGCAATAGACGCAGCAATCAGAACGAGCGTCGATCCATCAGATCCTGGTGTTTGTGGGTTGGGATGATCAATCAGATGCATCGCTTCAGCCATTCGCTTGCACAGCTGCGCTGCGTATCAGGTTTATTATGGGGTTTTATGAATAACTACAAGCTATGAATCTGGCGAGAGCCAGGCTGAATGATTGAATCAGATGTATTAACAATTAGAAATATTTGTACACGAATCGAACAGAGTACATGAATCATTAAGGATAGACCGGCCCATCCTATAGGACCATTACAGCGCATTAACCATTCCCTTGACATTCTCCCACACATTACCAGATCGTTGGAAGACCTTTTCGGCCATATACTGCATCTTCTTTCCCGTCGGGCTGGCAATGAAGCCAGCCTCGACCAGGAATTGCACGTTGCGCCGGATCGTGGCCTTGACGTGCTGCTTCTGCGACGGTGTCACGATGCTCGTGTCCTCGAGAGAGTCAACGCCCAGATGGCCCTGGACGGCATCGAAAACTTGTGACACCGGCCAGAGTGGGTGAGAGTTCGTCTCCTTCTGGATGGAGCTGTGCATCGTCTGCATCCAGGCAGAGTGACTGACGGGCCTGATGGGGTATTTCAGCTCGCGCGAGAAGACCTCCCAGAATTCGCGCTCGGTAATACCATCGGTCATGTACGTCACCGTCTTCATTGCGTGAGCGGGACAGAAGGCCTGATTGATCGTTTCTTCGGCAACACGGGTGCTGCTGGTCACGAACATCCAGCCGTCGCCGTGGTCCTGACTGAAGCAGCGGGCGTCGACGACCGCCGAGGCAAGGCGCCACACAAAGTCATCCGTGTTGGCAACGCCCTCTTCAGGAGTGCCCAGAATCAACCCCGGCTTGATGATGGCGAATTGATTCGGGTAGCGCGCCGCAAATTGCTTCACGAGCAGTTCAGAGAGATACTTGGTCTGGGCGTATCCGTTCGCCTGGGAGACCTCCCGAGCGATATCTTGATCGGTCTCATCCAGAGACCACTTGTGTCCACCAGAAACGTAGATAAGACGAGGGCGGGCAGGCGAGGTCACAGAGGCCTTGATCAGCTCTGCTGTGGAGTCCACGTTGGCAGCCCGGAGGATGTTCGTTCCCGCGTTCCAGTTGACAGCCGCTCCGGCGTGGATGATGGCGTGCACAAGCCCGTCATTCGGGCTCTCCCCAGTGAGGCTGGCCCATTGCCTGGGCTTCAGGCCGAGTTGCGGCTTGGCCAGGTTTCCAGCCCAGACATCCAGCTTGCCGAGGTAGTAGTCGGTCCACCATTGCGCACGAATAGCGGCATCCTTAACTCTCATGAAGGCTTCCGAGGGAGTAGAAGCTCTGACATGGGCGATTACACGACCCACATCAGACCGCTCGCATAGCTGACGAAGAATCTGCGTGCCGAGGAAGCCAGTAACACCAGTGACAAAGACAGTCTTCCTCACAGCGCTGTTTTTGATGATGTTCTTCAGGATGGAGGAGGCCTCTTTCATGACGTCGAACGTGGGAACTTCCTCTTTCTTGGTGCCGTTGAGCTCCGCGTCGATGAAGCTAGCCAGGGATCGGACGGTCATATGTCCGTCCAGGATGCGCGACACATCGACCTTGACCCCGAAGTTCTGCTTGATGAAACTGGCTAAGCTGATAACCTGGACGGAATCGATGCCCATCGAAGAGATATTGAAGTCGCGTCCTTCTATGGGCGTGTCATCTCGGTTGATCAGGGCGGCAATCTTCTTGCTGATTGCCATCGCCTTGGACTCATGCGCACTGAGAGTTGACGTTGCCGGACCCTCTTGCTTGATGCCCATTGTTGGCTCAAAGTCAGACGGCAAAGCTGCGAGCCAGTTGTCAACGGTCTTCCGGTCGATCTTCGTGGATGAGGAGCTAGGAATCTTCTCGACGATGATCCAGATCACCGGGACCATGTGGACAGGCAGGGTCTCAGACAAGTAGTGGGATAGAGAGCCCAAGTCGAATCCAGTCCTCTGGATACGGGCCTTCGACAATGGGACCATGTCAGATCCAGTGGCCCCAGACAGCTCGAGGATGGCAGTAAGCTTGTTGGCGTACAGTCCTTTCTTAGGGTACGCCACAACCGCCTGGGTGACCTCCGCAGGCAAGCAGAGATGGTATTCGATCTCTCCAAGCTCGACACGCTGACCACGAATCTTGACTTGCGTATCCTTTCTGCCGATGAACAGAATGGAGCCGTCCGGTGCGTACTTCACCAGATCACCGGTCTTGTAGAGCCGGTCACACCGGGTCCAGGGAAGCCATGACGGACGGGGAATAAATGCAGCATCGGTCTTCTCCTGGTTGTTGAGGTAGTGGCGTGCGAGAGTGTGCCCCTCAACCAGCAACTCACCGATGCAGCCAATCGGCGACAGCTTGTTGTGGTCGACCCGGTCAGCAACCCAGCATGCGGCACCAACAGAGGTACCAATATCGTTGGGGAGGGTACCAGGCAGGACGCGGCGGTTCGAAGAACTGCAGACACAGCATTCGCTAGGCCCATAGCCATTGACCAGCTGCACATGAGGAGTCCATGCGGCAACATGGGCAGCAGTCATTGCCTCGCCCGCCAGAACAAGCGTCTTCAGGGTGGGCACAGTCGTAGGGTCGATGGTGTTGACGAAGGATGGGGTCAGGACAGCCCAGTCCACGTTCATGCGAGTGATGGCTTCGGAAATGTTACCACGACGCTCGGACTCCGATGGAACACAGACGCATCCACCCTGGACAAGAGTTGACAGGATCTCAAGAATGCTGGCGTCGAATGTGTACGAGGCAAACTGAAGGACACGGCTGCCCATTTGTAAGCCTTCCTTGTGGGAGATAGCTCCGGTGCAGAACGCCCGGTGCTCAACCACAGACCCCTTGGGGGTACCGGTACTACCAGATGTGAAAATCACGTATGCCGCGTTCGTGGACTTCACAGGAGTGGGCATGGTCTTTGGAGTCGCGGCCTGCGTCATACCAGGGCCGACGGCGATCGCCTTCTCCACTAAACCAGGGCAACGACCAAGCTCATTCTCTGAGCACAGCATGAGGTGAGCACCGACCTCCTTGACAACCAGCTTCATTCGGCTGGTCGGCTGCGATGCGTCCATGGGAACGAAAGCACCCCCAGCCTTCATGGTCGCAATCATCGCAACGATAGTCCACATGGACTTCTCGAAGCAAAGCGGGACGAAGACTTCAGGACCAACACCCAAGTTAACAAGGTGAGCTGCCAGCTTGGACGAGATGCTCTCCAGCTCAGCGTAGGTGAGCTCACCATCCCAGGCGCAGATGGCAGGAGCATGAGGCGTCTTGATAGTGTTCATCGCGATCAGGTTGTGAACACAGTCGTCGATGACATCGGGGATTGTGCGGTTCCAGCCGAGAATGTCGTCTTTGTCTTGAGGGCTAATCATCTCAAGCTCTGAGATTTTGCCAGTCGGCGTCACTGCCAGCTGTTGCAGGACGTGCTCGAATTGGTTCACGATCCGCACAATCTGTGCTTGAGGAAGAATGGCATTGTCGAAGTACACGTGAATAAGCACTCCTCCATCAGCGGAGAGACTGCACTCCAAGGTAAGCGCAACGGTGCTGAACTTGGCCCGAGGAGCAGAGAACGGCGGGAGGACACTGTCCTCGGGGACAGAGGTAGCAGGCTGGATAACCAGCAAGGTCTGGAAGCCGCAAGCCGCTGCAGCTGTGTCACTGACACGAGCAATGTTCTGGAGACCGTAGTTCTGGGTCTTGGTCATGTCGACAGACTGGGTGTTGATCATATTCAAGTAGTCGGCAACAGACTGCTGACCATCGACATGGGCCTTGACAGGTACCGTGGCAATGACTGGTCCGACCATATCCTCAACTCCAGGCACAGAGGCATTTCTGCCACTGACGGTACATCCAAACACGGTGTCGGGAGAATCGCAATACCGAGCCTGCAGCAGAGCCCAAGCAGCCCGTATCAGAGTCGCCGTGGTGTAGTCGGACGGACCGTTGCGGTTCAATTGGAGAGTGTGGATGTAGGCGTCATTGGCCACGGGCTGATAAGTGGCAGAGGGGAGAGTAGGGAAGGGGATGAGGTCTCCATCTGAAAGCTCATTACGCCAGTACTCCTTTGTCTCCTTGTTGGCATTCATCTCCTCGACATGCTGGACGAAGTTACGGAATTGAGGGCGGAGCGGTGGAACAGTACCCTGGATGGCTTGTACCAGGTCGTTCCATATGATTTCCAGAGACAGTCCGTCGTAGATGGCGTGGTGAATCGTGAGGACAAAGTATGTCTGCTCACCGGAGATGATCGCGTAACGGGTGAGAGGGTCACCCATCAGCATTGGCTGCTTCTCATCATTCTGGAGATAGTTCTCCAGATCGACATCGTGGTTCCACTGCACACGGGCCCGGTTCACAACTTGGACAGTGCCATAATCGTCCGTGTCAACCATCATCGTCCGCAGAACATCGTTGTTGCTCACGATCAGCTCCCAAAGCTCCTTAAACCGGTTGACGCTCAAGCTGCTAGGCAGTTCGAGCCAGTGACGGGCAATGTAGGAGCCAGAGATCTTGGTAGAAAGAGCCATCAGACCAGCCTGGAGCGGACTGCAAGGGTAGGCATCCTGAATGAGCTCCGGATCATTAAAGCCGGTGGCAGACAAGACGTTGGACCGGATAGTCTCGACATCGTCTCCCAAAAGCTCAAACGGCTTGCCAATAGTGACCTCTGCAAATGCACCCCGTGTCATGACCTTCGCCATGTCACTTAGAACAAGGTTTTTCAAAATATCGCTGACCTGGAGCTGGAAGCCCTCCGCGCGGCAACGTCTGGTTAGGTTCATGGCTTCGATCGAGTCACCGCCCATGTGGAAGAAGTTGTCCTCGGCACCAATCTCTTCCGCAGGACAATGAAGGATCTCAGCCCAGAGCTGCTGCAACTTCATCTCCGCGGCGGTCGAGGGTCTTCGGGGTCTGCTAGCAGCGCCGCTACCCGCCACAGCAGCAATCTCAGCGGGAGAAAGGCTGGATCCGTAGGTGGTGATGAGGCGACGATCGGTCTTTCCGGACGCTGTCAAGGGCATATACAGCAGAGGAAGGAATGCGGACGGGATCATGTAAGGGGGCAGTCTCTCAGCCAGCCGGCTGTTCATCTCAGACGCCAAGGCAGTGATCTCTGCTTTGTTATCTGGTGCTGCATGGAATGGGCTGGCAAACTCGGGTCCAAATCCGCTCTGAGCGGAAATGAAAGCAGCCAGCATGGCCTTGCCTCCGGGGTGCACCATGGCCACTGCCGTCTTCACGTTATTATTGATTGCACGCATGTGGGCTTCAATTTCCGTCAGTTCAACGCGCTGACCACGGATCTTGACCTGCAGATCCTTGCGACCGATCAGGTGTACCCTGCCATCATCACCATACCGGACAAGGTCTCCGGTCTTGTAGAACCGACGCGTCATTCCGGGCTTCCGGGCCCAAAAGGGGTCGCTGATATAGACGGCATCCGTCTTCTCGGGGTCAGCTAGATAGCCCCGAGCGAGCGTAGGGCCTTCAATGACCAGCTCGCCAATGGCACCGATCGGCACCAGGCGATCATGGTCGTTGGCATCGACAATCCATGACAGGCCACCGGTCGCCCGACCAATGCAGGTCCGAGGAGTATCCTTGGACATAGGACCGACCATGATAACCGAACACTCGCTGGCTCCATAAATGTTGATCAATTGGGCTCTGGTAGACCACCGATCGATGATGTCCTGTGCAACTGCTTCGCCTGCAACGATGAGGGTTTCCAACGACGGGACATCCTCGTGGTGCACGGAACGAGCAAAGCTGGGCGTGAAAGATGGCCCAGTTAACATCCCAGGCCCGGATGACAGGGCGAATGTCGGTGTGACGGTCGTGGTCGGACGGGATACAGAGACAACCCCCAAAGATGAGGGTCGTGAAGATTTCAAAAGTGCTGATAATAAACGTGTAGGCACCGAACTGAAGAGCGCGGGTGGCGTTAGAGATGTTCATCGCGGGCCCATGATGCAAGGCGCTCGACGAAACAGAGGCATGCTCGTGGACTACACCCTTGGGTTTTCCAGTACTTCCGGAGGTAAACATGACGAACGAGACATCATGTGGTTGCGACCGTGATGGGAAGTCCACTGGCTCGCCAGCCAGGATCTCTCCAGCCAGCTTAGCGTCGAGTGTGATGAGCTGGGGAACACTGCCGGCCAGTAGTTCTTGGTTGGTTGCAGACACAATCACAGTACGTGCCTGCACCGACTCGATAATGGTCTCCATACGTTGGCGAGGGTGCTTTGGGTCCAGGGGGACAAAGCCGGCGCCGACCTTCCAGAGCGCAATCATGGTGATGATGGTCCACATGGTCTTCTCGAAGCAAATAGGGACCAACTGGCCCCGCTGGACGCCAGCCTGGTCCAGATAGGCGGCCAGCTTAGTGGCCGTCTGGTTGAATTCGGAAAACGTCATCTGTCCTTCCCATGAGAGCAAAGCAGGGGCATCCGGAGAACGCTGCACGGCTTCCTCGATCAATTGGTCGACACAGGCGGTGCTGCCCCGTGGAAGGGCATGATTCCATGTCTCGATCTGGAGGGTATCGAGTTCGCTCGGATGGCAAAGATTGCCCACGGTCTGGTTGGGGTCGACGCAGACATGTTGCAAGACATCGGAAAAGGTGCTGGCAATGTACTCGGCCTGGGCACGAGACACCGTGGGTTTGTAAAATATTAAACTAAGTGTAGATACGGAAGGGTCAAGGCGTAGGACATAATCGAACTGTGTTGTGGGGTGATTAGAGTTGGAATGTAGAGGATGGAGTGAAATGAAGAAGACATGTCTTACCGTTTTACTATTTACAATATCGCTTTCGCATAATTCACTCTTCGAGGCGGGATCTCTGAGCCAAATAGCCGAGTTGCATGGCTTAGGATCGAGGGTCGAGAAGACCTTGAGAGCCTCGGGCACAGAGACGAGGGCGTCTGCCTCCAGGAGGCCCTCTTCTCGGATCTCACTCGCGGCAGAAATGAGGACATTCTCAGCCTCAAGCCGGCCCCGGAAAATAGACGTGTTGGTCCATTGCTTCTTGGTGGTAGGGGGTTCAAGCCCAATACCAGCGAACATCACATCGTCCGAGCCCGAGTAAGAGCGGAGGACAGCCGCCCAGGCGGCCTGTACCAGACCCAGGGGAGACACATCACACTGCTGGCAGCAGGCGTGGATTAATGGCAGTTGGAGGCTAACATTCAACTGGCCGATGGGCGACTGCGTGCTTTGTTTGGTGAGATAGCCGGACGGCAGATGGGACGGTGTCACATCTGCTACCAGCCTTGACCAGTGCTGTTGAAGCCGTCCAGCATCATCAATAATTGTTGACGGCATGTTGCATGTAAAGGAAGAATCACCAGAGCCAGGAGAGACCGGTCTGGCAGTCTGGGAAGTAACAAAAAGCACAGAAACGAATAAACAAAGAAGGGAGAGGGATGAAGGAAAAAGAGTGACGTCCTGTGGAGAGGAGAAAGAGAAGAGATTGATCGGAGGATCTTCTTGTGAGATTTATTTGAGTTTATCATAGAAATCCTTCTTCTTGCCGGTCACTCTCCGCTGGAGGGACCTCGGATAGGAAGACGTACGGGCGACGCGCCTTTGATCCAGCTGAAAGGTACATTGTATCCACCTATGGAGCATGTTTTGGCGTGAACCCAAGTTCGCTACCAACCCGAACCACCAGGAGTATGGGACAAATCACTAGTTCGGCAAATCACTGCAGCTAGGGCTTCAGATCGTGAGGTGTCAGACTCAAAGTTCTCCATATGAGGGAATAGTGGTACGGTAGAGCCGGCATCTCCTCCCACATGTAGCCCATCTGCTCAAACGGGAAGGGATATGGTCATGGACAACACCCCCTCGAGTGGGTGGGTGGATCATCATCTCACGCCCATGGTGATCGATTGGAGCTTTGGACCCGGGATCTTGACAAATTCTGAGATTGGCCGTGTTCCTGACCCAGCTAAAAGGCTGTCAGTATGGAGGCCTGCGTCTTCGACATCTCTCCAATCGGTGAAGCTAGGACAGCTGGCAATGCCAGCAAGGACATCAATAACGCGAGTCCCGTACATGGCGGGGATGAAGATGTCCCTGCAGCAGTAGGACTATGAAACCAACTCCGAACCGTGGATATGGCGCCGCCCTTGCTGGGGCTACTCCGATGCCTAGTGCCGCCAACAATACTCGATATGATGTAGGAATGAGATGAGCGGTCTTCGAGAGATGCCTTGCCGAGCAAATACATCATCGTAATTTAGTAGCGGGAAGGAGTGGGACGCGCTAAGGGGGATCAGGAATGGCTGAGATCGCTTGTTTACACGGTCGACGATCTCTCCCGATTAGGTTGTGCAGGATCCACTAGAATCTGAATTCGGCAAGAATTAGTGGGGCCTTTCGGTACTTGGGGTATTTAGCGCTCGTATGTACTGTATTGTTGCGGTGTTCCGTATGGTATCGTGTACCGTATTGCTTCCCAGATTAGGTGGATATCCACCATGAACTATATCCACCACGTCCTCCTTCGATGGAGTAAACAAACCACATGGATGGTTCCAGGGATGGATGCCTCTAAGCTTACAAACTACGGAGAATCGCGATCATGACTCCTCTAAGCTAGCAGCATCAGATCTCCCCCACTCGTGTCCACTCCTTGCCCACCATGCTGGGTGAGCACTCCCGACATTCGTGGACTTTGTCCTCTCGGTCAGCTCCTCACCCACTGATGTGCATAGTCGTCACTTTTCATTGATGCCCTAGACGTGTGAGAAAAGTCCCAAGCTCCAATTACGTGGAAAAGGAGGAAAGGAGGAAGACCATCGATTCCCGGTCCTATCAGTTGGGCAGAGAGCAATCCTTTGGCCCACATCGTCCCAATGTCCCCGGGCCTGAGGGATATCTTTTCCTTTATCCTGCTCCAATACTTTGGTCCCCGTGGCTAGCTGGATCACGCTATGACAGGAGACCGATCAGATCATCTCGGAGTTGCTCGTGCGATGCGCAATGGAGACGTAACCCGGACGGGTGGAGCGGAGCTCCAACGAAAGAATTTGATAAACTTTCTCGACTCAGGAGCTGAAGCTTTGGATAGTTGTCGCATCCTGAGCCTCGGTGAGACGCAAGGTACATATGATATCCGCGTAGAAATTCTAGATAAATCCCGGGTCCGTAGCATGTTGCTGGCAGTGATTACTTCTTCTATATCGTCCCGGACAGTGATTCCCGGCTCAAAAGTTGTTGTTTCTATATAATCTCCCTCATAATCTTTACACCTTTTAATACTTTGCTTTTCGTTCATTTTTTCCGTTTAGCACATTCCCAATATGCCTTCCTTCACATCTGCCAACGAGCCCGTGTTGGACGCCTCCAACCTGGAGCTCCTCCGCCAGAAGCTGGCTGAGGATGTGCGCAGTATGTCATTCATGCAACCTTTCCATGCTCATATGACAGTCAACGCTAACCCCATGCTCAGTTGAGAAGTACACTCCTCTCGCCCCTCCGGAGCTCGTCCAGTTCGAGATCGGCCTCTCCGCCGAGTCTCTCCTCACCGTCCTCAACAGCCGTATTGAGGCTCGCCAGATCATCCGTCGGGAATCGGACCGCCTCCTTGTCCTAGTTGGTCCTTGCAGCATTCACGATCCGGAAACCGCTCTCGAATACGCCGCTCGCCTGCGCGAGCTGGCTGCCGAGCTCCGGGATGATCTCTGCATCGTCATGCGCGCCTACTTGGAGAAGCCCCGTACCACTGTGGGCTGGAAGGGAATCATCAACGACCCCGATGTTAACGATAGCTACAACATCAACAAGGGTGTGAAGATTGCTCGCAAGCTACTAGCGGACATCACCCATCTTGGCGTCCCCGTTGCCAGCGAGATGCTTGACACCATCTCGCCCCAGTACACCGCTGATCTGATCAGTGTCGGTGCCATCGGTGCCCGCACCACCGAGTCCCAGCTCCACCGTGAGCTTGCTTCTGGACTGTCTTTCCCAGTCGGCTTCAAGAACGCTACCGACGGCTCTGTCAACACTGCCGTGGACTCCCTGAAGTCCATGCGTGGCCGTCACCACTTTATGGGCACGACCAAGCAGGGTGTTGTTGCCATAACCACCACCAAAGGCAACGAGGATGGCTATGTCATCCTCCGTGGCGGTACCCGCGGCACCAACTACGACGCGGAGAGCGTCAAGGCTGCGCGTGAGCTCCTCCACTCCAAGGGCGAGCGTGACGTCGTCATGATCGACTGCTCCCACGGTATGTCCATTCATTACCATCCATGCTGAAGGTACGGGTCTAACAGGCAATACAGGCAACTCCCAGAAAGATCACCGCAACCAGCCCAAGGTCCTCAAGGTGATCGAGGAGCAGCTTCGCCAGGGTGAGAACGGCATCATCGGCGTGATGGTGGAGTCCAACATTCGCGAAGGTAACCAGAAGCCCGCCCCTGGCCTCCAGGGTTGTGAGAAGGGCGTCAGTATCACCGATGCCTGCATCGACTGGGAGACCACCGAGACCTCTCTTCGCTCTCTTGCTCAGGCGGTGAAGGACCGCCGTGCCCGATTTTCCATGGGCAAGAACTAGATTACTCAGTTGGGTTTTTTTTGGCGCTTGTGTGGAGTGTGGGTTATATCATAATGCTTTAATTTCTGAAAAAAGCCTACTGTAATTACGCATTGTTTAATTTACATATTCCTAATTTCTAACAAATTTTATCTTATATTTTACAATATTTCAGAAAATGGGAGTTGCATGCGCTGCGTGACACGTCTTGTAGATCGTTAGTGGGCCGATGGTTAAATAGTTTTGAGAATATCGCAATATATATATCGCCTCTAGCACCTCAACTCCTGCTGAAAGTAAAAACAAAAAACATGTCCAAGAAGGCTCTATTATTGCATAAACAACAGAAGTAGCCATATTAAAACAAATACCAATAGTAAACTCGCTTCATAGCAATAGAATCCTTGATGGATGATCACGTGCCGTGAAGCTTACATTCCAATCGTATATCAGGATTCGGTCATATTCCTGTCAGATGCCTCAGCCCAGAGTGGCCAACAGATATCTAGCAGGCTGCGGAAAAAGTGACTTCAGCTTGCTATGCCATCTAATACAGGACGATTATTAACGGGATGGATCCCAAAGTGATATCCACTGGACCCTGCATCTGAGCTCCTAAAGAAGCATTCGAACCTCCGAAAAGAATGACATTCAACAGAGCCACGTGCGGCTTGTGTATTTACACTGACAGCCATCGCAAGCTCCGCTTCTGCAGGAACAGGACGCATCCACCTAGGCGGAGGCGGAGCTTGCACCAAGTTAATCTTGGGCGTAGGGCTCAGAAAAGGTAAAATACAGTAAACAGATGGCCAATTACAGACCACGAAGAAAATAAATCACCAGCCAGCAGCTGAACTAAGATCGACAGCAATCCCCATTTCGTCGACGGTACACCACGACGGGTGGGGGATGCAAAGCCTGCATCTGTGAGCTGAGGTCCCACTTGCCATGTGCATGCTGGGGACCTACCTTGACTAAGGCGAAGTCAATCTAGCAGAAGCGGAGGAAGGAGACGTTGTTGTTGACAGTGCCATCGTTGGTCGGGTTGACGTCTCCATCCGTGGTCATGGTGGGCGACTCGCGCTGTGACTGGTCAGTGACAGGTACACGGGAAGAACCACGAAGGGTGTACTGACCTTGGTTTTCTATTGTGGAGGCGTTGCTTAGAAGAGTTTTGACTGACAGGAGGATGTTCACTTACACACTGCCGGAAACTGTTAGCAGGATCAGATAGGATAGGGCCGGAGACTTACAAACTGGACACACAAAATGCACTCATTAACTATTAGCGCTTAAGTGTGAAGTTCGAGTGACTTACGCTCTGTAGGCTCATTAGCATTGTCAACTAGTAGTAGGAGAGTAGTTGCTTACCAACTATATCATTGTTAGCATCCTGATTTCAACTCTGACAGAAAGATGCTGGCGTATGGGTTCTTACAAACTGTGCACCTTGTCAGTAGATATTGCATACTCAATTGCAGGAAAACTCACGCTCTTCATGGGATCAGCAAAGAGAGAGATCATATAATGTCAGCGAAGTGCGGAGTCATATACTCACAACCTGGACCGGTCAGTAAAGGTAACACTGCAGTGACAGGGACACTTACATTCTATGCATACTGTTAGTCCTGAAGGTGTGTTAACCGTACATCAATCGCCACGCAAGACTTACGTTCTAGAGGGGTTAGCATATACCAGAAGAGGAAGGGTTGAAACTCACGTTCTGGAAAGCAGATGAGGCCTGTGTTAGTGGGGCTAATTCCGACTTGTTCAAGCAAACAGATGGATACATACCACCTATATATGTTAGGTAAGAACCAAATGAATGTAGATAGTAAGTAGACTTACAGTCTATGGATATAAAAGGGCCCAGATCAGCTAAAGGTCATCTCTCTCAAAACCATGAGCTCGTAGACTTACGCCCTGCTGAGGTCAGTATAGCTCGTCCGTGGAGGATTGGCAGCTTGATCATACATTCTGACACATCAGTTAGCATAAGCATGCATAAACACATTAACCTCAATGGAGACAAATGGGGAACAAACATACGTTCTATCCAGGGAACTGAGTCAGTGATCATCATGTCCAAAGCATTAGTCGGGTTAGGTCGGGGAACATACAACCTGAACAAGACGACACGCGTTAGCATCAGCGATCCAGACTCGGGGATTAGATGGGTACAGGAGATCCAAGACATACAGGCTAGAACACACACGACGATCCCTCTCGGTCAGCGCAAGATCAACGGAGCCCATCGGGGTCTCGGAGGATACATACAGCCTACATCACGATGGATGTCAGTATTCGGTCAATCTCGCATATCAAAGGCCAAGAGTGGACAACTCACCACATCACCATTCTTTAGAGTAATGATTAGCATTCCTGAGAGGAGACTGTCTCGCAGCGAGGGCAGAGGAGGGTCCATACCTGGGTCATGCCTTCCATGCTCTCGGCCACCTTACTGAAGGGTGGAGTGAGGGGAGCCCCCAGACATCCGACAATCAGAGCAGCCGTCCACAGAAACTGCATAGTGATAGTGTAATAAGCGACAGGATAGACAAAAACAAGGGGAATTTGGAGGGGAAAAAGTGGGAATCGGAGGATCTGGTAGAAAAGAGGGACTGAGAATGGAATACCGGATAACAGGAAGGAAAGAACGTATGGAGAATCCGAGGGGAAAAATTCAAAGAGGCAAAAGCAGCGAAGAGAAGAAGCGAGCGGAGGAGGGCATTCAGGAGAGATCAGAGGAAAATTTGCGTGTCTCTTTCTTGGGGGCTCCATCTTTAACATGAACGATCGCTGAGGGATCGCGGTGGATCGAGCGGGAACCCGATCGAAACCAATAATAGCGAGATGCCGTCTGATCGGCCTGCCCGATAGGGAATGACGCTGCCGATTGCTTGTCATCATCGTGGATCCCAATGGCATTGCCCATCGGCACTTGCTGGCCCATACATGAAGTAAGGGCCGCCTGCCTGAGTCGTACCTGGGCTTCATACAAAGTGATCTTCCTCAGCAAGGCGCTTTCGTGGTATAAAAGGCTGGTTCATGTCCATTTCATCTCTCACGCCTTCGGTTGCTTAGTATAAAATCACTTGATGTATCATGATGCATCGCCGCTCCAATTACTTCTGCCGTGGAGCCTACCCTAGCCGCTCCTCCAGAGCATGGCAGGGAGTCAATCGACCTCCCCGAAAAACTTGCTGCCGGAAATGGGTCCCAGCTCTCTGTTACACATGACGGCCCGCTTCCATGGGCCGGCGCCAATCTTGGTACGCATACACGGGAACTGTGGGGACTGACCAGGCTGTACTCTGTATGGACAGCAAGACGAGCAGTACTGTACGGAGTACGGATTCGATACTACGTGTATGGTCTACAGTCGTTCTTGAGTCCGGAATTTGTCACTGGGCCAGTGTTTTGGGCCAATAGTAGACAGCTCGTGCTCGAGCGCCGTCGACCTGGAGCTAAGGACCCGGTTGTCTGACTCGTATCCTTACCGGTCCACCTGTAGCCCAGGGCAAAGATTAGTCGCATCCTTGGTGGTTCAGAGAAGATTTTTTCGAGTGAAGGGACTTCCCACCAATACGCCCACGTCGAACCACGTTTCTGTTTTTTATTTTCCTGATTCACTGCTTTGTAACACATTGCGCAACGATATACTTCGTATGGAGGGCAACACAAGCACGTTACGGAGTACAATGGGCGAATTTCTTACCGGAATTATTATCCTGCAAATTGCCTCCCTCGAGCCTTCAGGCAATCCATCGTGGCCTATGCAGAAGAGATCCAGATTCAAATCGACTACAGGAGGCTCGATTCTATGTGCAACAATCAGTTGTTCTATATTCTGACCACCGAAGCGTGTGAGCACCGAGGCGTGAAAATAACATACACGGCATTCCCAGGTGGCCACAGGCAAGCAAGATAGAATGACAATATTAGGTTCACTAATTAAGTATAATACAAGAAGTATACACCCAAGCCTTGCCTCCAATGTACCCAGTCCAATCTAGCCCATCTATGTAATACCGTCCCAATGCAACTAATGAAGAAAAACAACGCCGATTAGAAACCCCGAAGTAAAGTGCTGAAAAAGCCCTTGCGGGCATACTTCACAATAAAAAAGGCCGCCGTAACTCCCGCACGAAGACGGTGACCTTTTTGAAGAAGCGAGTGAAGGAATCTCGGATGACCGTGGCGGACTTTTGCTGGAAAATCGCTGCCTCGTTAGATTTGGGAAACGGGGTGGATGGGATAGGCTGTTCGAGGAACTTGCAGAGCGGTTCTCAGCCTTCTTCGGGCTGCATTCAAGAGATGTCTGTCGGCATCACTCGGCGAACGTGGT